CAGTCCCGGGTGTAGCGAAGTAATTGTCTCTCTCGCAGTAGTTCCACTGGCCTGAGCGGCAGAAGCGACAGGTGCGGCACGGAAGGGCCGGCTCGATTGCGACATGGTCCCCGACAGCAACACCGGTAACTTCGCTACCAACGGCGTGGATTATGCCGGCGCCCTCGTGTCCGAGGACAAGGGGCTGGCTCACGACACGCGAGCCAATACCCCCGCGAGTGTAGAAGGAGACGTCGGTGCCGCATCTGGAGTCAGCTTGACAGGGGCCAGAATACGCGCAAGCCGGTCGCCATGACCTTAACGAGGACCTCATGAGGCTTGATCAACGGCATAGGACGGTACTGCACCTCGATGTGCTCCTTGCCCATGAGCACGACGTGTTTGTTCGTGCCGGCGGGGTGAGTGTGTGGCATGGCTAGTGTCAATGAGTGAGGGGAGGAGTGGAGCGGCGAGGAGTGGGAGAACAACAGGTTAGTGCTTTTAGCGGGTCAGCTATAAGTTGGTCCCACCTTAGCGAGTGCGAGTCCACATACCCCGCGGTGCGCCACAAATCTCACGCCCCTCCTCATCAGGACACAGAAGGTCAGCTGCTCAAATGAGCGCCGCCGTCGATACCAAGCTTCCATAACCACAGTGATCCCAAATGTGAATGGTAACAAGACAATCTTAGCTCGCTAGAGCTTGGCGGAGCGCTTCGGCCCGAACCGGTGCGGCTCGAGTCCCGAGATGTCGGCGCTAAGCTGAGGCTTCTTATGCGCCAGATCAGCACGGATGAGCTCGGAGAGCACGATGCCCGACCCCGTTGCGAGTGTGATGCCCCACGGCCCATGCCCCGATGAAACATAGATGTCCTCTGCCCACTCGCCAATGATAGGGCACTTGTCGGGCGTGATGGGGCGGTAACACAGCTGTCGTCAGCACCAACACGGACAATGGTGGTACGCACGTCTGCTTCAACCAGCTGGGCACCCTTGTCGAGGTCCAGAGCGGGGGAGACCGCCTTGGAAGCCCGCACCATGCGTGCCACAAGTTCGTCATCGACGTGGGCGCGGCACCGGGCCGCTGTAGGCGGCAGACGGTTGAGGCGGGCGTCAGCTGCACGATCTCCAATCGTCTTGGGAATGGCATTCTCGCCAGCCACGTAGACATTGCCGTCGGCACGCCTGGCGTCAGTGGCGGTCCCCTATTTCCCATTCCTTCTCCAGTACCTCATTCCACGCCTCCCATTCCCACACGGAAACCAGCCTCCAGAATCACCTGTTCCAACTCACGGGAAGAACTCGACAGTCCGCGTCCACCCCTGGGTGCGCTCCCACGACCCAGGCTCGTAGTCCGGAATATCCGCCGCAATAGACTCAAGGATGTTCCCATCGCCGGCACCTACGCCGCAGAATAGCGACTCGTCCGGGATCACCTGCATGCCCTTTGGCATGGCAGGCTTGATCTGGATGTGGTGTCCGGGCAGTGACGACACCGGGACGCGGGGGAGGCCGAGCGTTTCACACAGGTCGGCGGTCCATGGTCCGGCAGCGAGAACAAGCTTATCGAACTTAAGCAGGCCCTCGGTCGTGCGCAGTGTCTTCCCGTCACGGCCCGTCGGCGTCGCGATAAGCGTCACAAGACCCTTGGCTGTGCACTCGGCCCAGAGGCGGGCACAGAACGCGCCGGGCAACCTGGCGTCAATCATCGTTGGTGGAACCTATTTCCCCGGATCTGCGGATCCGGCGGCTACCTCTGTCCTCCACCTCAACTCACAGTTGCCCACTGTCCTCGTTGATGAGCACGACCTTGTCGCCGTTGGCCCACCCGCCAATGCCCGACGTCGCCTCAAGCGCGCCCGCAACCGGCAGAGTTCGGTACCCGCTCATCTTGTCCTGGTTGCCGATCTTAACGCCGGTAGTGGTGACGCGGCGCCATCCAAAGCTCTCCGCGCCGTTCAACTTAGCCGCAAGGTCGGTGTAGGCGTCGAAGGAGAGCTTGGCAAGCTCGACGTTGGCTGGGGCATGCCAGCCCTTGTTGCCTGCAACGAAGCCAGCGGCCTTGCTCGACGCCGCGGCGGCGATGTGTGTGTTCTCGACGATCGTCACGCGCGGCGGCTCAGGCCCAGAGAGGAGGTAGTACGCCGTGTTAAGGCCGATGATGCCGCCGCCGACAATGACAATGTGGGGGCGCGAGGACGACATGGTGAGTGATGAGTGAGAGTGAGAAAGAAGAGTGGGAGATGATATTGCTGGGTCGAAGTCGGAGTGGCCGGGATTGCCGAGTGGCCGATTGGACTAGGGCAACTCCGAGATCGCCGGTGGCTCCGTACTAAGCGCCAGCCACTTAACGAGCCGAGGGATTTCTGTACGCGTTGCCTCTTATTATCAGAGACGACGTGTCGATGAGCTCAATCCAAAAGAAGTCGCGAGATACGCGTTCCCCGCAACACAGGCGCTGTCGGTATGCGCTCGATCTGTCGGTCAGCGCCGACATCTCATGGTGAGTGTTCACGTGACTAATCGCTCGGCAGAGCTCCGCTCTTGAGGATTACCCGGCTGCCGGCTGACGTCTCTCGACGTCGCGTCGACATCATGACAAGTCGATGTCTCTGCTGCCCGGACCGCCGTGACACGGCACCTGGCTATCTCCGGCCGTCCGATCGCCTCATCGTTTGCGAGTCCGCTAATAATCTGATTGTGAGAGTGATGATTGACCGACAGGAGGCACAAGGCAGGGTGGCAGATAGGCAAGGGCAGACAGTGAGGTTTGACTGATGGAAAGCGAAGTGGAGGTGTGCTCAGCGTCATACCACCTGCCGATGGCGCAACAAAGCGGCGGATTCATGATGATGCTGAGCATCCAGCATTTGTATAGGGCTTATCCACTGACGCCGACTATCAGAACGCGCCATCAGGCAAGGATGATAGCACAACGGGCAAGGCGGAGCCGTTGCCGGAATGTCGGGAGTTTGGCATGGCGTCCGCGATACCACGCATGACGTGGTGGTCAAATGCCTGGGCTCAATCACTCCACTGAGCGCGCGGATGGCGACACGCCAAGCCTCGGGTGTACTTTTGTGGGCTTTATTCATACTGACGCTGATGAGTCAGGCGTCACCATACCGCCAGAGTGGGGCCGAGGTCAAACAAGGCTGGCTGTGGTCCAATTTCGCAGGTGGTGGCAAATCCTGGGCTGGCTTTGGCAGATATTCTCACTTCCGCGGCCCAGGCCTGGATCGCGAGGCTGGTGCACGTCTCGACATGCACTGGAAGACGAATAGGTCGCCGGGGGGTTTGTATTAACAAGACTAATACCGAGGAGGGGTGATTACAACGCCTTTGTGGAGACCCCAGACACTTTGGCAAATCGGGGGCAAATGTGCCAATGTGGCGCCTGTCACCATCGCATCACGCCATCTTGATCCATCCATGGATCTGCCAACGTCGACTGTCTCCACCACTGACTCAGTCGACGCCATCGCTGGCGCTCTCGCCAGGTGGGGTGTACGTATTGGTTCCAGTGCCCATAAAGAGCGCGGGTCATGCATTCCGAACAACTCATCCCCTTCGTAAACTCACTGCGCACATCACCGCACTTCTGCCACTACCACTGCCACACCACTGACCGCCACATCCACCATGCCCGTCGCCGTCGCATCCATCCCTCCCCTCCCCGCGGCGCCCCTCAAGAGCTTCGACAAGGGCATTACACAGGGCATGCTCGAGCCCCTGCACGAGCTCGTGCAGCCGTACTCTGCCTTCCCCAAGAAGATCACTGGCAAGACTGTGTGGCGCCGCGAAGACTTCCTCAACGACGAGACGCTATGGAAGCGCTTCTGGACGCCTGAGAACGTCGCCTCGCTTGAAGCTTCTTACGACGCATGGGCCGCCAAGGGCCTCTCTCTGCCCGAGATTGACCGCGTGAGTCGCCCCGTCCTTATTGCAGCGCGAGCCACGCTGACGAAATAGGAGACCTTCCCGCTGTCAGAGGGCGTGCGTACTTTCCTCGCCGAGATCCGCGAGACGACGGTCCACGGCGCGGGCTTCATCCTGATCAAGGGCCTGCCGGTGCAGTCGTGGCCTGTGGAGAAGGCGTGCGCGGTCTACCTCGCCATCGGGGCGGCGATTGGTGTCGCGGTGTCGCAGAACCACAAGGGCCACATCCTGGGCCACGTCAAGGACTTGGGCAACGACCCGACTCAGATTGACAAGGTGCGGATCTACACGACGACGGCGCGCCAGTACTTCCACACGGACAACGCGGATATCGTAGGCCTCCTCTGCCTCCAGAAGGCCAAGGAGGGGGGCGAGTCGGACGTGTGCTCGGCCCACAACTTGTGGAACACGCTGCAAGCCGAGCGCCCGGATGTCGCCGAGCTCCTCGCCCGCCCAGACTGGTACTTTGACCGCAAGGGCGAGGTGAGCGCCGGCCAGAAGGAGTGGGTCCAGAAGGCCATCTTCTACTACCACGACGGCCGCGTCATCAGCCAGTACGACCCGTACTACGTCAAGAGCATCCAGCGGTTCATCGACGCCGGGCTCATTCCCGGCCACACGGACGCGCAGAAGGAGGCGATCGAAGTGCTCGAGCAGACGGCGCAGCGCCTCGCGCTCCACATGGTCCTCGACGTCGGAGACATCCAATTCGTCGGCGAGATGCACAACTTCCACGCCCGCACCGCCTACGTCGACCACGTCCCGCCCATCCCCCGCCGCCACCTCCTCCGCCTCTGGCTCTCCGTCCCCGAAGTCGAGGGCGGGTGGAAGCGTCCCTACCCCGACTCGGGCGCCTACAAGCGCTGCGGCATCCAGGTCAACTCGCAGAAGGAGACGTGCCCAATCGACGCCGAGTAGAGGCTCAAGGACGGCACTAGAACTCAGAAGGTCCACGTTGTTAGGGAGAATCCAGTTGTATAATAGCCGCATTTTATTTCATGGACATGTCACATAGATTTCATTTCGCGCAAGGAAAGGGGAAGTGCTGGGTGAGGAAAAAAAAAAGGGGGGGTGTTTGCAGAGTGAAGAGATGTAAGCCAAGCATCATCTCGTCACGCTCGCCTGCAAATGCACCAACCTGCCCACTTGCATTTGCCAACGTAATAAGACGCCATCGATGTCGAGTGCGGGAAGGGTCGGCTCGGCGAATACCCGCAAAGCCGCGATCTCGGCATCCATGATCGGCGTTTAAGGAAGGAAAGAATGCACGCTCGATCGGCCTGACCCGACGAAGACCAGCAAACGCGGATGCGGATGGTCGTGTACAGACTACTACTTGGGAGCAGCAAGTTATAACCTTGGCGGAGGCCTCTGGAAGTAATCTGGGGGCGGACGACGTGGGCGCATCCACGTCAGCGGCTCTCCTTCGTCCCCGTTACGCGCCGACGTCTTCCGGAGCGTGTATACACAGGTTGCTGCCCACCGGCGGTCTGCACGCCTGGCACTCGTACGCTACTCTCACCCAACAATAACATGCTCATGGGTATGATTGTCCTAAAATATAAAGTACACGATGGATAGTCATTGTTCGCCACGCCCCGCCTACGCAAAGTTGGCCGCGCGGCGACGCAGGCCGCCGGCGAGGTTCGAGGTCCAGATCTGGTTCTGGTTGGGGCCGTCGCATGCCCAGACCTGCACCTGGTTGCCGCTCTGGAGGTTGCCGTCGGTCACGTCCATGCAGAGACCGGGGCCATTGGCGATAGCCAGGTGGTTGTCGCCAGTGTACCACCAAGTCTGCTGGTAGAGGCCGCTGTAGCACGTCCAGATCTTGAGCTTGGCGCCATTGCCGGGGTTGACGCCGGCGTCGAGGCAGAAGTTGGTGCCGGGAACCTTGACCTGGCCGGCAGCGTTGCGGACAAACTCAAATTTCTGGCGGGCCGAGCCATTGCACTGCGCAACCTGGACCGGGGTGCCGTTGGCGTTGACGCCGCCACGAACCTCGAGACACCAGCCGGCATTGCCCTTGGCGTTGAGCTGGGTGCCACCGGTGCCGGTGGGAGGGTTGGGCGTCGTGGTCGTGGGAGGAGTGGTTGTCGGAGGCTGCGTGCCGCCGCCACCGACAAGTGTCGGGGGAGCGGTGACCTGGGGGTTGTTGGGGTTAATTCCGTTCGAGATGGTCGAGTAGCGGACGCAGTTGGACCGCCTGGGGAGGAAGGCGGGCTCAGCTGGAGTGGGCTCCATTCCCTGGTACCAGGTGTAATCGCCGTAGACACCGGGCGGGGCGGCGATGTCGCTGTCGCACGACTCGAACCCCTGCATGTTCCAGTAGTCGTCGATGGCCATAACAAACTGGCAGCCCTGCAGGTCGTAGATGTGGTTGCACTGTTTGGCAGTGGTCACTCCATTGACCTCTGCGGTGCAGATACGCACACAGAACTGGTCGTACGAGACGAACGACATCCACTCCTGTGGGGTCAGCACGGGGTACACATGGGTGACACGGTGCGCAAAGGGATGGTGGGAAGCTTGCGCCCCGCCCCGGTATCATCATGGCATCCACTTACCTCGTAGAAGACATCATTGCCGGTCGGGACGTTGGTAGTGACATTTCCGCCGACAGGGTTACCCTCGCCGGTTGGCCCGTGGGGGTCGAGCTCACCGCCATTGTCGCCGTTGGCAATGTTGACCTTTGTGCCGTCCCACCATCCCGAGACCTGGACGTACGACGGTGTGCGGAGGAACTGGGCGGCGCGGATGGTGCCGTCCGGGATGATGCGTGCGTTGTTGCGGGGCTTGGTGCACCATGCGACGACATTGTGCTCGTTGGGGCCGATGACAGAGTTGGGGTTAATGGGGCCGAAGAGACAAAAGTCGTCGATCGAGTTGACGGAGAGGAGGCGGGCGAGCGAGTTCTGGTCGACGGTGGTGCCGACCGCGGCGAAGCTTGGGCGGTCGGGGTTGGTGGGACCGTTGGGGCCGGTAGCGACGACCTGAGCTGAAGCGGGGGAGAGGAGGGAGGAGGCTACAAGGAGAGAGAACATGATGGGAAGAGGTTTGGGGGGGGAATAAAGAGAGAGGAGGTGGGAGTCTTGGAAGAGTTTATATTGAGAGCGACAAGAGAGGGAAGTGAAGGGCAGTTGAGGGAGACCCCGTGGGCAGAGGGCGACGAGGAGCGCCAAGCCGTTGCAGGTGAGCTTGATTTGGGACCTTTAGATCAGGGGAGGGAGTGTAGGAACTGACCCCTGGGACTGCGTTGTTTGGTCTCTGATGCAATTGAATCATAACAGGGTTCTGAATCAGTGACGTCCACGACACAGACGGCGTACCCTCGCAGACGACGACGGCTGTGCCGCTACAGTAGATGCTTGAGCGCTCGAGACAGCGTCGATGAACGGGCCAGACGGCAGAGACGCAGACAACTACTGTAAACAGAGTTGGAGCCGAGCGACGTGGATCTGGACTGATACTGACAAACTGGATTACCGGCATCCGTGATCTGCCTGGCTCACGTGCCTGCCTCCAACGCGTGTGACGCGTCCCCACCGATCTCTTACCTCGTTCCTGTGTCCCTCTGTCATCGGTTTGATTTTCAGTTGGCGGCCTGGCGTGTGTACGAATGTACGAGCTACAGTACCTCTCATGCCTCAAATCGAGGTCGAAGAGCTGAAGAGCCGAGGAAGAAGAGGACCCGAGATCCCGAGAATGACTTTGAGGCGCGATTGGGGCGTTGGGCTGAACAGAGTTCGAGACGCGCTCGCGCTCTGTGATCTGTGACCCAGGCACTCACCACCAGATGATCTCGAGTCAGGGGCAACCGGGACTGTCGGACGGAGCGCAGCGTGGGAACGCGTTTTCCACCGGAACGCGTCATGCGCTCATCTCAAGCGAACGCGCATCCCACCTCGCATCCTTGTTGTCTGCATTACGGCCGCGGTGCGAGGAGGTGGGCACAAGCAATTCGCAATCCGATCAACCCGAGAATCAAGCCTGGGTTGCGAGACAACGACCTACAACCCCGTTGCTGTATGTTCGGGCCGTCGGCCCGCCGGCCGGCAAAGCATGGCCCATGCCATCCAAGCTTGTTAACTGTGGAGATCTGAAAGGTTAGACGCCTGGGTTGGTCGAGACTTGAACCGCCGCTGCCTCACTTTCTCGCTTCGAGTGCACACGTGCCTAAGGGCAGGCCTCTCAAGCAGCGACGTTTGTCGATCTGCGTAGCGATTGTAGCACAACAGCTGATGCCGATAGAGTGTCCCCTACGTCGACCACGGCGCGCGAGGGGAGGCAAGAGTTCACTCGGAGGGTGATAAAAGCGGTGCGTAGCGTGGGCAAACACCCCCAACACGGCGTCTGTGACCGCAGTCTGATACCAATCGTCTGTAACGTGAGGATACTTGGCTGGGAGCCCAGTACATGCTCATCAAACATCGCCACTTATGCTGCTCCGTTGATCTGGGGCATTCCCAGCTACTCGGCATCTTCGACGCCCAGAACCACATCGAGGGCAACCTGGTCGGCCACCTGCTTCCTGGCAACAACAACTCGGCCGTCCTTCACGACACCCAGTATACCTCCTGGCGAGTCGAGGACGCGCACATCGTCCAGAGGGTTAGCCGCGAGCACCAGGAGATCGCCGTACGCGCCCGGCTTGAGCACGCCAATCCGTTCATCGTTCACATTCTTCGCCGCATTGGTAGTCGCGTGAGCGAGCACCTTGTGCGAAGGAAGGAGTTGTGCGCGCTGTGTGAACTCTTCGGACTGAAGATAACCCATTCTGTCGTCAGCTGAGCCCCTCGATCACCAAGCTGACCCTGCGGTGAGGTCCGTTCCTGCTGTCAGCTTTAACAGCACACGTGCACAGCACGCACCGTAGCAGATGCACACGCCCTCCTCGTCGGCAATCTGGATAGCTTTGCGGCCCGCGTCCCGGACCATGGCATTCTTCTCTCGGCTGTAATCTGGTAGTGTGTCGTTCCAAGGTGGTCGCCCTTTAGCCGTGGAGATCATAAGCGTTGGTGTGAGGAAAGCACCGGCCTTGGCTGAATGTCAGCTCTTGAAGTGTCCTCGGAGAGGAATGAGTGAGACTTACCCATCAGTTTGGCAGTGTCTCGATCCAGTAGGTTTCCATGCTCCACGCCGCGGACACCATTCTCCACCGCCCGCCGGATCGCTGCCGCTGTGTACGCATGGGTAGTGACACCCGTGCCGCCCATGTCACGGACCACTTCCACGATCGCGCGGATCTCCTCAGGCGACAATTGGATTCCATCGAGTTTGTCGGTGGGGGAAGAAACGCCTCCAGAGGTGGCGATCTGGAATCAGCAGAATCCCATCCCAAGCACGAGGCTGCAGGCGTGCACACTCCCCTCGGCCGATCGGCGCGAACATGGCCGAAGCTGGCATCCTCGGTCCCATCCGCGACCGAGCTACGCCTCGGCATCCACACCCCGAGGCTGGTGTATATGGCTGAATTGAAAGGGAAGGTCCCGAGATATCGCCGTCGGGCAGCGAGCACTGACTCTGACGTTCCGCACCACGATCGCGGCATGCGGAATAGCCAGACCAACGTCCCTCATTGTACGCTCTGGCAGACAAGCTCACCTTGATATGATCTGCGCCCTTGCGCATGAGGTTGCGGGCTTCGCGCGTGGCCTCCGTAACACCATCAACGAGCAGTCCGCCGAATCCCCCACCCGTGCAGCATCCGTCGTCCTCGCGAGCTCGCGAATCGCCGTGCCCACCAGTCTGCGACACTAGAGTGAGTAAGAGCGTATGAATGACCCACTCATCGGGCCTCCCTGGAACAGCCGTGGGCCGGGAGTCAGCCATTGCTCGATTGCCTGCTTCTGGAAGAAGGTCGCGCCGCCCTACTGTCAGCTGTGGCAACGAGTGAACACGCTTCAACGAGAGGCGCCAGCCTACTCCTACGGAGTAGTACTCACCACATCTCGCACTGTAGTAAACCCTCGAGCGAGCATACTCTTGAGTGTGTACGTAGCCCGCAGGTGTGGCTCAACATGTGGTTGCATACGACCATCTGACATATTAATGTGGACATCTGCTGTGAGCTTGCTCCCAACTACTTTGCGAATCCAAACCGTAAGGGCGCGGGAAGACACTCACGGCAGTCCACTAGCCCCGGGCACAGGTAGAGGCCGCTGCAGTCGACAACGCGATAGTCATCAGGCCACGAGGTGTGCGAGCTCTTCTCTACGCTCTTGATAGCGCCCTTGACGACGACAACGGTGTGATTGTAAAGCACGCGATTCGCATCAACATCCACAACGGACGCGTCTGCGGTCAGAGTGACTCGACGTCGGAGCGGGAGGGAAGGCGGAATCACTGGTGAAAGCGAGCGGGCGCGCATCGTCCAAGAGCCAGGGAATGGCGTTCACATCGCCCTTCGGCGGCGCGCGGGGAACATGCTTTGACGGTGGTGTCCACTTGTCTTTGAGGGCCGTCATTTTAGTGTAGCAGAGCGGAAAGAGCAGAGAGATGTTGAGGAGGGAGAGATGCGGAAGATGGACATCTCCGATCCGGCCAACGGCGATGACGCACGGCCACGCCGTCACCACGTGCGATTCCTAGTCGCCGCCCCCCGTCGTTCTCTTGCCGCCGACGGCCTATGCCGCCTGTTTCGGAAACGGAGGCACACATGGGGTGATGTGTACGATTGCAAGAACGCTGTACCGCTCTGATCGCTGTTAGGTGAAGAGCAGAGAAGAGTTGTGGGGAAGAAGCAACAGTCCCGAGTGACATCCGGGCGACATGTCTTTGGTTCTTCTGGAGAACCTCGTTGCATTTGGTTGGCCAATTGGCCGGGGAGTGGTATCCGGCCCGCAGGTGATGCCAGGCACGGCTGCGACAAAACATGCCCCTTCCAAGGATGCAAGTCACCTCGCACTTTGGCCACTTACTCCTTCTGTACTTGTCTTTGTACTCCCTCACATTGCCGTCGGGCTCGTCACTATCCACTCTCCTATACCCCATCATTCTCTTCTCCACTCTTCATCATTACACACGCCCGAAGCACAGTGAGCCAGCCTCCTCGCTTCGTTGCTCGACTAGAACGCAGATGACGCACGCAGGACCCTCCGCTGAGGTCGAGGACTTCAAGTCTGGCCACTGCCAGCGTATTCGCCTCGCGCCGGACTCAGCGACCATCACCGACGAGATGTACGGCGTGCATGAGATCATCGAGGCGCCGCTGCTTGCGCTTCTTTCGTCGGCGCCTGTGCGCCGCCTCGGCCGCGTCCACCAGCACGGCATGAGCGGCCTGCTGGGCCTCACGCCGCCCGTCACGCGTCTCGAGCACAGTGTGGGCGCCATGCTCCTTGTTCGCCGCGTCGGCGGCAGCGTGGAGGAGCAGGCTGCCGCGCTGCTGCACGACATCAGCCATACGGCGCTATCGCATGTTGCAGACGACATCTTCCCCTGCGACGGGTCCTACCACGAGATCCACAAGCATCGGTACGTCGCCACCACCTGCCTCCCCACGCTCCTGCCCAAGATTGGGCTGCCAGACAAGGTGCTGGACGAAGAGCTGTACGGGCTCGTCGAGCAAGACTCGCCACACCTCTGCGCCGACCGCCTCGATTACGGGCTTCGCGACGCCGTCGCGTTCAAGTTCCTCCCCCTCGAAACGGCGCAGGCTGTCTTCGCCGACCTCACCGCCTTCCCCTCCCCTTCGGCGCCTAAGCGCTGCCTAGCCCTCCACGACCCCAAGCTCGCCCTCGCCCTCGCCCGCGGGTACATCGCTACCGATTGCGCCGTGTGGGGCAATCCCGCCCATGCCGACATGTACATACGCGCCGCTGCGCTTATCCGCTCCCTCGTCGAGAACGGCCGCATGGCTGAGGACGACTTGTGGCTTGACGACGAGGTCTTCTGGGCCACCATGCGCGACGCATGTGACGAGGACGGACGTCGCGAGATGGACGCGCTTTACGCCATCCCCGATGAGCAGGGGCTGCGCCTGCGCCTGGAGGCCAAGGTTCGAACTTTGGACCCGGAGCTTGTGGTCGATGGCTCGCTCGCGCCCCTATCGCAGGTTACCCCGGAGTGGAAGGCAGAGAGGCAGGCGTATATTGCCTCGCGCCACATTCTATACCAGCCCCCCTCTCCCGTCCCCGGTGCCTCCACCCGAGCGAACGGCGTCGCAGGCGCGAACAGCGACGTCTGCCCTGGCGAATGAGGTAGGCGCACTTCGTACATCGAACGCATACAAATCTAACATTTTTGAGCACACCATCGACATCAGCATTACTGTCACTTATTAATGTACATGCATTGCCTATACAACCAAACATGCTACTCAACACACGCCTCCCGCGCCGCCCTGCAAACCGCTCGAGATGTCTCCAGTAAGCCAGTCGAACAAGGCAAGAATATCCACGTCCGGCTCCAAGTCCAGGACCGCCCCGAAGGCAGGCGGATCGGGCAAGAGAAGTGCCTGCACGCCTTCAATACCAGGAATGGCGGGCATGCTTTTAATAAGGCTGTTGATGCGGGGCATTGCCGAGCCAGCTACCTCCCACTGCGTGCTCACACCCTGGACCGCCGTTAAAACACGCTGCAACAGCGCAATCGTCTCCGCCAGTGCCGTGTCGATCGCTGCGTCTCGTATCGCTGGCAGAATGTTGGCAGGCACAGGTCCGCCATTCTGCACTACGTTGGCGCAGGTGTGCACTCGAATTGCCTGTTGCAGAAGCAATGTGATGGCATTGGTGAGCTGGTATGCCGACCACGGCGCCCAGAATGCGTCAAAGTCTTCTGGTCGGAGGCTTTCAATAAACACCGCCATGTGCTCGATGACGATCAACATCTGCTTGTTGGCGGCGATGAGATGGTGAGGATATTCAAATTCCTCCCTCTCGAGACCCAATCGACAGATCAGCAGCTCAACGCCCAAATGGGAGAGCTGGAGCGAGCCTGCCATCAGACGTGCGAAAGGAGGCTATACTCACGACTCCCAGGTCTTGGAGATGGCTGTGCAGGATCAAACAAAAGATCGTCCGGTAGGTCTCGATATAGCGTCTCAAGATCGCTGGCTCCGTGGCGCAGCAGAGATCGGTCAAGGTTGAGCCGCCGCGGATATGTGTCTCGGTCGAGCACAAGCGGGAGCAAACCCTCGAGGACGGAGCTCAACCTGCACATCGCCACAAAGACTGCAATCTCCGACTCTTTGGGCGTTGTGGCGCCGACACCGTCGCCATCTTCAAAGGACAGGGTTGGAATGGAGCTGCGCGTGGCCTCTATGTTGACCGGACGCCCATATGTGTACGCATTCCTGCTGTTAGCTGCTTCAGTAAATACATGCAGACCAACCACTTGTCCATCACGTAGAGATTCCACCACAGGCGCTTGCGCAGGGCGCGCTCCCACTTTGGCAGCTTCCATCGCGAGCAGTCGCGATGCAACCCAAGCAGCTGCAGAACACCCAGTGACCTGCAGATCCCCACATGATTCCCGCCCGGGTTCAAAATCGGCCGGCCAGCCAGGCATATGATCTCGAGCTGAAGTGTCTGCAAGCGAGCCTGGCGGTACTCGTTGTCAATGACGTGACAGCAAATGGACCACAACTGCTTCGAGTGGGGTCGCAGTGTGATTTCATGCACGGCCGCATGCGAGAAAATGCCAATGAGCAGCGCGTACGGGAAGGTCCCAGCACCTTGCCAGCCCTGAAGACACGCTTCGAACCGCTGCCTGTTCAGGATGGGGAGAGCGGGCAGAGTGCGGGTCATGAAGCTGCGAGTCAATGGCTGCATGGTCGCTTGGCATCGGCCGTTTGGGATAGGTGTGACTCACTGCTGAATAAGACGCTCGGGCAAAGTTGGGTCAACGCCATTGATGATCGCTAGGACATCCTGATAGGCTTTTTCTGCGACAAATGCGGCGTTCGAATGGCCATAGACACGCGACGGATTCTTGAGGAAGAACGCGGGATTACGTGGATCAGCAACCTGGCGATACGGCAGATCTGTTGCGCCGTTCTCGAGTCGTGAGTCCAGCGACACAGATGCAAGCTGGGCGACCGCTCCAGAGCCTGTGGATTAGCTAAGACGCACGGGCCTTTCCTACCGAGATAGTGAGACTCCTCCTCCTCGGTCACGTCCGCATCCAGGGACGAGTATCCAAGCGTATCTTCCTCCTCTTGCTGAGCAACACGCTCGTCCAGAGTATCGAGGAAAGCCCGCACCCCGCTACCAGGTTGTGGACGTGCCGATGAGAGGGTGCTGCGCTCGCCCATCCAGCATGACGGCGACTGGGACGGCCCACTTCCCAGGCCGGTCGTGCTTCCAAACCTCGAGGCGAGAGATGACGTGCCTGCCTCCGTCGACGACGGCCCATACCCATTGGTGGTCGAGGTCGGCGTTGTGCTAGACTTGCGGTGGCGGTTCAACGGAGGGGCTCGGAACGAACACTCACGACCGGCGCGGGCGCAATGCTCACATGCAGCTCCGCGGACGGTGATAAGGCATGAACGTTTGGATATGCGGCAGTGATCGCAAGGTCGATCCTTGCGCGAGCGCTTTGCGCGGAGACTGGGAGTCAGGTTGGATGGAGACGGCGGAGACTGGTTGGCCGAGGATGAGCTACGGTGCCCGATAAGGCGGGCAACTCTGGCATGTGGAGGGAAGGCGTAGGGCGAGAGGCCAGGCCGTGGATGACTCACTTGGAAGGCTTCTCAGACTTTTCATGGGTGGGCGACTGCTGGGCTGGGTCCATTGGACGCTGGGTGAGAAGGGAGGGAGGGACTGGGGAGTCAAGGATGGCGTGTGAGAGGATGTGGTTAGCGAGCACGACGAGTCATGGAATGGCTGAATGCAAAAGAGATGAGCAGAGGAGGGGGTGAATTGGGTGAGACACCATGTGCAGTGGAGTGGACGCATGGGCATGGAATGAGACTGAATATCATTTCACGATGGCGACAACTGATTGGTACGTGCTCTCCTCAAGGCCTCAATTCTCCTTCGCACTGCAAACCTCGCAGATAACGTTCAGCAACTGTCCTCTTGGCCTCTTGTCGCTCGTGGATCGCCCAAGCCGTCCACTCGTTGCTTAATCAGCACCTCCAGAGAGAACACGATTCACCTCTCATCCAACGCCGCGCTCCCTGTACTGTTAACATGACGTAGCATACCGCACCAGCACGGCATCACTCGCCGGAAGTCGATCAGCTCGCTTCCGGCGCGCGCCGTGGCACCATGCGTCGTCAGCGTTCCGCTTTGGTCTCCCGCCCTACGCATTACAACGCCGATATATCGATATAGCCTCCTCGGCTCGATATTGGTGCGCCCAAGTACACGGCCGCGCTCTTCGGAGCCTCCCAAAGCCTTAGCGAGGCGGACTGACATTCCGCAAGACGGCCACTGAGACGGCGAAGGTGCACAGCAACGTGCACAGTCCAGCTATTCGCGGCGTCCCGTTATCATTTCTTCCTCCGGCGGTGGGCCGAGGCAAGCGCAGCACCGAACTTGACGGGGTAGCGAGGACCGAGACCGAGGAGGGAGGCGGAGATCTGGCTGACCATTATTTGGCCCCTCCCTAACACGCACGCTGACTGAGGCCGACGGCCGCCAATACACACTTCCACGCCATCGCCCGCTACTGGCTTCATTATGCCGTCGTGCAATGGAGTCGTGTTCAAATTTGAGTACCCTGTTGCTCCCCCGGCCCAGCGCCCGACGGGCTCGCTCGTGCTTTCGCCTTCACTCCGATCGCGTCTTTGTCATGCCTGGGAGGCAGGGTGCAGTGTTCCGCATGCCTCATTCTTGACCGGCACGGACTCGGAAGCGAATCACCCCAGAAATCGCCAGCCCGGTCGCCGCTGCCACGCCGTCGGTCAAGGTGATGCTATGGACTGACGGTGGCTTCCGTTGGCGCTCACGAGTGGTACTTAAAGCACGGCAGAGGCAACCAACTCACATCAGCTCCTCCTCACTTCCACCTCCCCAGCCCTTCTCTACTCGTCGCCCTTGCCCACAGGTCCTCAGCTGCCATGAACTCCACCTCGGCTGATGTCACTGCCGCGTCGACGCCAGTACCTGGCTCCCCGGCGCTTCTTCCGCCCACGCTGGATGGCAAGACCGCTTCACGCTCTGGATCCTTTGCGTCCGCCTCTCAAACAATCACCGACTTTCAGAGTGTTGAGCTCGACAAGAAACTTTCGGATTCGGATGACACCGTCCAAGCCGACTCCATCGTCACAGCAGAAAAGGGTGGAGTCTCTCAAGACGTCGACGAGCGCACGCACAAGCCCAACGCTCTCTCCTCCCTTCCCCCAGTTAAGAAGAGCCTCTTGCTCCTATTCTTCGTGAGTCTGATTCCACAACTGCTCGCTCGCCTGCTGACCGCAGTGCACGGCCATGTTCATCGATGTCGCGGGCGTCTCTGCCACATTTCTCATGACCGCGCCCATCGCCCTGGACCTTGGTGTCTCGCAGGGCAACTTCGCCTGGGTTCTCGGAACATACTCGCTCGCGTTCGCTGCCACTCTCCTCTTTGCGGGCCGACTCTCGGACCTCTACCCTCCCAGCAAAGTGTACACAATTGGCTTCTTCGGCATGGGCGTCCTTTACCTCATCATCTCCTTCATGGAGAACCAATATGCCTTCTTCGTTCTACGGGCTGTCTCGGCACTGCTGGCCGTTCTCACGATCCCTTCTTCCATCAACATGATCGGTGAGTTATGACTCGCTTGGCACCACTGACTTTAGTTCAAATGTACCCCGAACCTACGGAGCAGGCGAAGAAGTTGACCCTCTTCGGCATGGCGGGAGCGCTTGCCAACACTCTGGGCTTGCTCCTTGCCGGCGTTTTCCTCCTCGCCTCGTGGCGCTGGTACTTCCGCTTCATCGCCATCGTCGTCCTCCCCTTTAGTGTTCTGTGCTGGTACATCATGCCGACCACCGAGGCCGTGGCCAGTGATCTCCCCGGCACTGAGAAGTGGAAGCGCATGGACCTCGCTGGTGTCCTTGGCTTGATGGCCATCCTCGTCCTCTTCATCCTCGCCTTTACCCAGGTCGAGCACGACGGCTGGAACTCGGCCATCTTCATCGCGCCTCTCGTCATTTCGGTCAGTCTCCTCCCAGCCTGGCTGTACTGGGAGCACCGTCTTCCGCGCGGATTCAGCCTCCTCCCGCACGACATCTGGTCGTACCCCAACATCTTCCCCCTCATTATCCAGGCCTCCTCCATCTTTATGTGGTTTGCGACTTACCAGCTCCGCCTCGCTACGTACTGGCAGGAGGTCGACCACGTCAGCTCAATCCTGGCCGCCGCTCGCCTCCTCCCCATGGGCGTCGTCGCACTGCTCGTCGGTGTCCTCACGCAGCCGTTCCCAGCGCTTATTCTGCGCCCGCGCTACATCCAGCCTGTCGGCTCTGCCCTCGCCTTCTGCGGCTCCATGCTCCTGGCCTTCTCCAACGGCGGCCGCGGCGCCGACTACTGGAAGTACGTCTTCACGGGCGAGATCATCGGGACAGCGGGCGGCATGATTGTCTTCATCGGTACCAACACGAACATCATCCAGTCGTTCCCCCTCGAGTTCGCCGGTGTCGGCGGCAGCTTTGCCCAGGTCATCTACCAGATTGGCGGCGTCGTCGGAATCGCGGTCCAGCAAGGCCTTCTTGGCACGGGTGAAGGCATCAGCGACTGGACGGGCTCGAAGAACGGCTATTTCTTCACCTCAGCGTACATCCTGTTCACAGGCATCGTCTTCGTCCTGTGGTACCGCCAGTCGAAGATGCCCGTCCGCGAGGGCGGTCCCGCCCCGGTCGCCTGAAAGCGGGCGAACAAAAGGTCTTCACACTGTATCATAGCTCGAAACGCCCCTCGAATTAATAGACTATATAGCTCTCAACAGTGACTGTAACTCTTAGATGAATCTAGGTCGTTGATCAGAGCCGCAGTAGCTTGCCTTCTCGTCAATCCGCCCCGTATCCGGGCTGAAGGAATCCCTCAAAGCAGCTCTTACGTAAGTCCTCGTGGTGTAGTGGTTATCATACTCTCTTAGGGTCTTGCTATGGGAGTGGCCCCGCGTTCGAATCGCGGCGAGGACCAGCCGGGCTTCAATGACCGGAACTTACGCCTTTTGCCAGGCGGCGGATTGGCTGACGTTTTGGCGAAACGACCAGGCAAAGAAGAGTTATGTGTGTGTACATGCTTGGGAGCGATATGCGGGTGAGCTCCAGTTAGAGAGTCAAGTCTGTTCGGAACCCTCCTCTGTGTCGAGGAATGGGAGGTGGGCCACTTTGAATGGAGGTCCGATCAAAGGAAGCCGGTCGAGATGTCGGGGAGATGGTCGACCCCGTCCTGGTTGTGCACATCTCACGGATGCGAAGACTACCGCACCGCTCACACGAGCCACACAATAGTGGGCGCAGCGCGTTCTCCGGGACAAGTAGCGTACACCCATGCGCCTTTCGTCTGCCAAGTGCGCGTCTGCGGATCCGCGCCGATGAGGGGGCGTGCACGTGCCGAGTTCTGGGCGGGCATCTCGACCTCCCACGCCGGTGTCATGACGGACGCGTTCGGCTTGATGCGCATAAGGAGTGTGGCTGCCTCCGGCGAAGAGAGATGGCGCATGTTGTGATATGGCAAAGGGTGAAAAGTTGTTCCTGGAGCGCTGCGTGCCTCCAGGCTCAGCGGCGTGGGTTATCTCCGGCTCCGCAGCTCCGCATCCATCCATACATGAGTGCCTCCCGACAGAGCTACGCAAGCCGCACGCCGCCCGCTCACTTGGCACAATTCACAGATCAGATCTCGTGGCGTGGTAGATTCCAGAGATCCGCGGGGATGACGACATCGCCGAGCCGTGGCAACAACATACCGGGGATGCCAGCTTGCCCAAGAGCGTGACCTCCGCTCAGGCGTATCACACATCGTCCATTTCGGCGTCACAATGGGCCTCGCCATCAGCAAGTTTCGCCGCCGGCACCGCGTCACGCGCACAATCTCGCCCGGCGTCGACGCGGACGCGCTGCGCGCGCGACTTGCCTCGCTTGAGCGTAGTACGCCGTCCCCGACGGCGGGATACGTCGCAGACCCCGACAGCAGGACCGGGGTATCTGAGCACGCGACGCCCACCTTCTCGGCCATGAGCTGCGTGACGCGGACTGCGCCCGACATTGCGCCGACAAAGGTGTGAGGCCGGAATTGGATCCCGACCGGAGACACTGCCGCGGGCGATCGCTACATCAGCCTGCTGTAGTACGGTCCTTTACGCTATACTCCCTGCCTTGGCGCAGTCCTCGCCACCCGACCCCGCACCCGACCGGTCGGTGGAGCGGGTGTACGTTAGTCCGCGTCGATCGTCAACTCAACTCGCACCGCGAACGCCAGCACCACTCATAGTGAGAACGGGTCCGCACACGATGGTGACAGCTCCCACGTCGACGTCTGCGCACCCAAGGACGATGTAGCCCCCTATCGTGCTGTTTCACTCTCTCCCCGACCTGCACGCACGCTTTCTGCGACCCTCACATGCCAGTTCGCCCAACACTTCCGAGTTGAGGTCCGGCTGAAAGCCTCGCAGAGCATGATAGTCGATCCCTTCAAGGACAATAGGCTCTGAACTTTACTTCGTCTCATATTGTCACAAGCTGTCAGCCAGAATGTTATTAAGGGTTTGTTTGACCTTGCGCGAACTGCCGGCTAATCCGCCGATTTAGTGACCTCCACATCGGTGTCTCAGGTCGATGCTGTCATAGCTCTGTGACCATTCGCCGCCTCGTGCCACTCTGGGCCACATCCGCCTCCGCAGCAGGTACTCTATCTCTCGACCTCACACTCCACCATGGAACACGCTCAAAGTCTTCTCAGTGCGCTCGATACGTGGCCCGTCCGCGTCGTGCTCGGCCTCACGCTATTCTACGTGTGTCTCCGCCTGGCGTTCTTGCCTCCCTATAGCCCCAAACAGACGCGCGAGGTGGCCAACCTCCCGGGTCCTCCGCCTGTGCCATACTTCGGCTGGTTGATTGGAAACATGGCCGACCTCGCAGAGTACCGCGACACCGTCATGCACCCCGACTGGGTAGCCATGGGCTGGACCGGACGATGCCAGCACATTATGGGGCAGGAGACGATCTGGACATACGACCCGGTGGCCATGGGCAGCATCCTGCAGAGCGCGGACGTGTGGGAGCGCGCGAAGAACACGGAGCGTCTGCTCCGCCGCATCACCGGTTCGGGGATGTTGACCGCCAAGGGCGCGGCTCACCGGCGGCAGCGGCGGATTGTGAACCCCGCATTTTCGACGACCGCCATCAAGGCCATGGTGCCCGCCATGTTTGAGAAGGCCGAACTGTGCGCCACGCTCTTGGGCCGGTGCGTTGACGACGACTCGCTCGAGAGCTTTGCCTCGAGATACCCACCTAAGCCTGAAGACCGCGTCCCAGGCGCCCGGAAGGTCGACATGCTTGCGCTCTGCTCCAAGCTCACGCAGGACGTTATCGGCGCCGCAGGCTTCAACACTGACCTTGAAAGCTTACGGCCTGCTGATAACCCACTGGACAACAGCATCCAGTACATGCTTAACACCATTTTTGACGACACGATTATCTCGATGGGTCAGAATTTGTACTGGTTGCTGGACAAGATCGTGAGGTGACTTGCTGGTGAAGCTGACCCAAGCCTACGCGCACTCGGCGAGCGATGAAGACTTGTCGTACCGAAATGGAGAGGGTCTCCGAGGTGATTCAATCCCATTCTTCCACGAGCTGATTTCAGCGTCTCATGACCGAACGTGCCGCCAAACAGGAAGGCTCGGTGGTTGATGCGGATGAAGACAAGGTGCCTGATATGCTGGACCTTCTCTTAAAGGCAAACTCAGCCGAACGCGAGGACCAGCGCCTCTCAGACGAGGAGGTCCGTTCGCAACTCTCGACTCTAGTGCGTCATTTCTGCTGTCGCGTGCTAGCTGACATCAGCTATTCGCCGGAAGCACGACGACTGCGGGCACAATATGCAGCCTGCTGCGCTTCCTGGCGCTGCATCCAGATATTCAGGCGCGCCTGCGCGAGGAGATTGAGGCCACGGAAGAGCGGCCTAGCTTGTGAGTGTACACGCGATTCTGTGGCTGACACCAGCGAAACGCTCAACGCACTGCCCCTCCTAGACGCTACGGTACGAGAGACGCTGCGGCTGGAGCCTGCCGCAACGTGCACCGTTCGCACAAATACGAAAGACACTGTCATTCCCCTCAGCGTGCCCGTGCGCGGACGCGACGGCACCATGATCGAAAAGGCGCTGCCGGTAGCCAAGGGCTCGTACGTCCTCCTCTGTGAGTTGGGTACGGATAGCGCTGATAAGCCATCTCCAGTCTCCAACGCCACCCGGATGTGTGGGGTCCCGACGCCGAGGAATTCAACCCTGACCGCTACAAGGACCCGAGTATTCCCAAGATGAACATCCCCGGCATGTGGGGCGGCCTGGCATCCTTCATCTCCGGCCCGCACCATTGCATGTGCGTACTTTACACCATCGTTTGCAGCTGACGACAGTGGGTGGCGCCTGGCGCTTGCTGAGATCAAGATCGTCACGTTCACGCTCTTGCGCCACTTTGCGTTCGAGGAGCTGCCCAGCAAGCCTGATATCTTCATCGTAATGAAGTGAGTTACTTGTTTCACTGACTATGTCAGACGCTGACAGCAGTGTGGCAAGCCGGCCTGAGGTCAAGGGTGAGAGCGGCGGTCAGATGCCGTTGCTCGTTCGCCGTATTGAGGCGTAAATAAAGCAGAGAATATATTCCGACATCAAAAGGCGCTTAAAAAACTGATATTCGAGTGATGTTGTGTGAAGACCATGCTATTTCTTGTGTACTTCCACAGCAAGCCGCATGGAGCGAAAACGAGCGCCTCGGGAACAGAATTCGGAGTCCCGCAACTGCCTCAGCTCAAGTGAGCAGAATTGGTTGTGATGGCAAATGTGCACCGCGTGTGTCAATCGCCAAAAATGCACGCTCAAGCATGCTGCATGGTGGATGCGGTTGTCTTCGTTGTTTTGGTATTGATCAAGGCCGCCCATCCGTGACGGTCACGCTTGCTCTCGTAATGACGCGAGGCCTCAAACGCGTCGGGACGTCTAGCGCGCTCTGAAACGCGGGCGCGGGTCGGGATACGCTGGCCGTTAGCTAAAACGAGCGACTTTGTACAGTGCGGCTGACACTAATGCATATACTCCCACGGGTTGTCTCACCATACTGTAGTTCGATGCGGGCTTCACTGACTCGGTCCCCGTGCGCACTCCGCTCCCGGGCTCCGTCACGGCGGTTCGGGACGGCACAGCAACTGAATTCCGTACTCCTGGTCCAGGCGGTCCAAGCGATGATGAGACTTCGGCGGAGAGATATTGCGAGATAAGAGTCAAGGCCAAAAGCTGAGGGTCTTTAGTTGCGGGGAGGCATGACTCCAGCCACCTGAGCGTGAGCGCTGTGTGTTCGGGTGGCTCGCATCCTCTCAGAACGTCCCCGGCTGCAAATCCAGCTGGACACATCTCTCGCATCGCTACTTGGCTCCGCTACAAACGTGCAGACACAGAGCTCTTGAGAGGGTGCGTTATCAGTTTCACGATGCCTGGGCATCATGCAGATCCGAGGAATGGCTCCGACCGCCACGGCACAGCGGCGCGCAATGTCTGCGCATTTTCAGGGATGGGGAGACGCCTGATCGGCGCAGCAAAGTTTGGGCGGCAACGGAAGAGGATCGGGTTGGTGCGGGAGCTCGGCGCATTGGGTGCCTCGGCCATGAAGGTCTAGCTAGCTTGGACGCGCCTGTGACTGGGAGGTAGAGCGGGTACGGCATGTCAGGTCGAGGTGTTCATTACGAGAGAGTTGCATTCCCTGAGCATACGAAACATATTGCTATCCCTCGAAGGAGGTGGGAAAACGAGAAGGACATGCACCCCAATCTCAGTCTTGCTAAAGTGAGACACTGAAGCCGACAATCACTCCCCGTTTGATGATGACGAGACGCCTCAAAACGGTGAAGAGGATGGTCCACAAGCCTGTGGAATGCGATACGACCTCTGACAATTTGTGTCGGGTTCGCTAACGTCAATACCACTGTCAGCAGTCGCTACCTGTCGTTGCGCATCCCCTATGCACGATATGTGTCTCTATCGGTTGCATTCCGCCGGCAACGACACATTGGCTGCCGAGTACTAACTCGAGGCTATGGCTACAACGGTGTCTGTACGAATCGCCAGCAGATGCTAGAGGCGGGCGGATTATACGATAGAAGGGGAGGGAAGGGGTGAACGTCCAAAAGGTCCGTGGAGATGGTGAGGGATAGGGGTCGGATGTTGAGTCTATGCCGAAACGATGATGCGGAAAGAAGATGATAGCGGCCGGCGCGCGGTAAGACGGGTCGACCGGGATCCAATGTTCTCGAAGACGTACACGCCGAAAAGGAGAGTGCTGATGCCCGATGGAGATGAGAAATCGGGGGACCGTGAGCGGCGAAGCTGCTTAAAGCTGGGCCGAGAGGCGCGGGAGGCACGACGAGGTCGAGTTCGCCTCGAAGCCTGGGAGGCACTTGGAGACAACGCACTGGCCAGCGACGCAAGCGACGTCGGCGGCGCCAGCAATAGCAGTGCAGTCACGGCCAGTGCCCTCAGATGCGCAGCCACCGCACGACTCAAGGTGAGACTGGGTGTCGAGGCACTCGTACTCGTTGGAGCCGTCGAAGAGGGGGCAGGCGGTCTGGGTGCCGCAAAGACCGTCACGCTTCCACTTCCACCAGTGGCCAGGCTTGCCAGGCTTGCCGCCGCCACCACCACCGCCATTGGTCGACTTGGAGGGGATAATGCACTGGCAGTTCTCGTCGATCTTGCCACCCTTCTTGCAGCAGGCCCACTGGTCCCAGCAGGTGCAGCGCTTGCGGCACGAGCAGTCCGAGTTGACAGCGAGACCCTTGCCGGCACACTTGCAGATAGCGTTGAGGTCGGTGCACTTCTCGACGACGGTAGGGGGCTTCTGGCACTGGCAGCGCTTGTCGCAGGTGTAGCCCTTCGACCAGCAGTTGGCGATGGCGTTCTGGTCACGGCACTCAGTCTCCTGCTCCCACCAGTTGTCGGGCTGCCATGGGCCGCCGACGCAGCGGCACGACGACTTGTCAAGGCGCTGGCGCTTGAGGCAGCACTCGACCGACTTGACGAGGAGACACTTCGACTTGCCCCAGAGGAGGAAGAGGAAGCGAGGGTCGATGTTCTCGCCACGGTTCTCCAGCTCAGTGACTGGCTGAATGTCCGGGCGGGCGGCGACCGAGGTGACCGCAGCGAGAGCCGCAGCCGCGAGGGCGAAGAACTTCATCGTGGTTAAGAGAATGGACGGGGAGAATGAAGGACGCGAGGGTTGGAGAGGCTAGGAAGAGAAGGGACTGGGGAGGGTTGGCGCCAGTCGCGTCTTCAGTTTGAGCGGCTCGAGGAGAGAGTTGAGGTTAGGAGGGACAAGAGCATCCTGTCGTCTCGGCGAGAGGATGTCCTTTTATGCATTCGTCGAGGACCTGATTGTCTTTGCAGAACCCCAGTGTGAATCATAGAGACTTCTTGCGTAAGAGGTGAGCCAAGCTACAACACCCCGCTCCAGTGCCGCCCGCGGGTATCCATGCGCACCACTTGACAACAGCGGGTCCCGGAATCTCGTACATTTCGTGGGCCGCAATGGCCCTGGGGACCTGCCCGCCCCTCGTCCTTGTCCTGGACAGGCCAGGCACATGCCTGCTTGGCCTCGTTGCGCCGCCGGCATCGAGAGGCAAGGTGACAGCTGGTGCAAGTTGTAGTGCCTTGCATGCCGGGAGCGCGCCGCGTGTCCTTGGCCGCGCTGGGGTGGGTATGTCCTTGATTGTGCCTGGAGGGCTGCGTTTGAGATGTAAGAAGTTAGAGTGGCCCGCTTGCAACCCGCACACTACTTGTCATCAGAAGGGAGTTGTCCAAGAGAGCTTGATGTCGCAGCCGGACGCACTGCTACTGTGAGTGGCGTTTCGTGTATGGCCTGGTTTTAGCCGCGAGGGGCAGGTGTCCCACCGTGGCCCGTCGGTTAAGCCATTCCAGAGCGGAGAGGCATTTCCCTACTCCGAAAAGAAACTACCGACCGCCTGACGGGGGGTCCGATCCAGCTCTAACAGGGGAGTTGGAACATGCCGTTAGAGAAACATGGGGAGGGAACATAGGGGGGAAAGGGGGGGAGGAAATGGGGGGGGGAGGTAATGCATGTACATGCTCAGTGCGATGTGGCTCCTCCCATGTCCTCATGCCAAAGATGTTGTGTTTGAATTGTTTCAAGTTAGGGAAGATTAACCTGTTTGCTATTCAATCATTATCCCAAACAATTCACCCCCTCGGGAAGCAATAGGTTTCGCCGTCCGGCCCGCAGACGAGTTTGGCTCGTTCTGCCGTAACCTAGCTGACCTCCAAAACCTACTCTACCTACTCTCATCCAAGGGGTGCCAACCGGAGTGCCTTGCCATGCCGCATCTCGTCGAACTTTGACAGCGCATTGTACAAGACGGGAGGCGACTCTCGACTTGAGCAGCGGCTGCACAGATTACCACGCGTTGGTGCCGCTCGCCTCTCATCTGTCAACTATGCGACTCCTCACACTCATGCAGGCTGGACGCCCCCATGTGAAGCGCAGGTTCGCGTCGCGTCCATGCTCGCTTTGACGGTGGTTTATCCTGTTGCGCGCGCAAGTGGACTCTCGCATCGCCGGAAACCCCGCGTGCTGAAACAGATAGATCCACCAGCCACAATAACACATGGCCGAGTGATAAGACGCGTAGTCGCCGATCCCGAGCGGGTACTGGGCCATAGTGTACAGCGAGGGGTAGTTGAACTGTCTCGGGCTGCCCATTGCTTCCCGCAGCCTTCTTCGCGACTCCTTGACGGTGGTGCAGAGGCAAAATGATCGGAAGACTCTGTCAACTCCACGATGGCTGGCTCGGGCTGGATTAGCGCGCGCTGACTAGTGCAGCCAAAGGCCGCTTGGCCACCCTCCGACTCAAGCTTAGGGACGTGCTCCGTCCCGTTCTCGTACATCCTCCCATGTGTACAGCCACACCTTGTGAAACGCGTCAAACGAACATGCAGGGTGCGTCAAGCCGCAGCCTCGAAACGTGGACTGTCGATGGTCTGGATAGTTGCTGATTTGCATGTTCGGTATGGGCGCCCCTCGTCACCAGGCCTGTCTGCCGTAGCAGAGCTGGCCGCGACGACATCCCCGCAATCGATAACTGGGTCATTTAAGCGCGTCCGTCGACTCTATGTTAAGTGCGGGCACCACTTCGAGGGGGAGGAGGGCCGATGGGAACTGGACGACCACCCGAGTCGAATTTGGTGCATTTCGTTGGACCACCTACTGTCCATGGCCAAGCTTGCCAAGGGGTGGGGAAAGAGGCGGCAGCCGTTCAATACACGCTTGCACTCTGGCTCACGCGGAGCAGGCACCCGCTGGCACCTGGGCAGGCCCGCCATCATGAACACTTGGCACGTCCGCCAGACTCGATGCATACCCACAGGTCCGTGTACCTGTCCCGAGAGCACGAGTCGCAATGTAATGACCACAGTTTCGCTCCGCTGGTGGCCACCCCCTCTTCTCCCCGCTGACTCCCATCTTGCAAAGCACAGTGAAAGTGCTTTTGAGAATGAACTACAGGCACAACAATCCAACGGCCATTCTGGCACTGAAGCGTAATAGAGCCCAATAGTGGCTGCGGATTGGTCTTGGGCGGCGGGAGGAACGCCAGCGATCGCTGAACAACCGGCATCACTGGGCAGCTTACAGCGCATTCTTCGCTGGTACCTGCTCTCTCCCACCCACCACCAAACCCCCTCAGAACTCGACCACAGCGGGCGAGGTTAAGGCGCTGGGGGCCCGAGCTCTCCAACACTGGATGGCGTGGCGGTGACACCATTGGCTGTCGGCAGCCAAGCTGCAATCGATTGTCGTATTGGAGTCGCTAAGGTCGTGATGGTTTCTCCGCTGCCGGAGACGCCAGCGGGCTCTCGATGTGCCGCGGCACCTCAAGCTTGGTTGGATCGGAGACCGTTGCCTCCGAGACTGCAGTCTCCTCGGTAGGTGCAGCCGTGCCACTGGTCTCTACGTCGTCGTCTTTTGCCTCTGTACGAGCATGACGGCGGAGGAACGCCACGGCGATCGGTCCGACCGAGAGACACCCAGAGAGGAACATGGTACACCCCGTCCAAATGCCGGCGTACATGAACGTATTGTTCCGTGTCTCGATAAGTCCTGGAGGATCAGCTGCGCTTCGGCTCAAGCCACATGTGACTCACGACCAGTTACGATCGGTCCAATGAGCATTGGAATCGCGATGCCGTTCCACATCATGCCGATGCGGCTCCCGATCTCCTCAATGGGGCTGATGGCGGCGGTTGCCGCGGCGGCCAGGGTGAACCACCCGCCCGAGAACGCGCCGTAAAGAATGAGGCCGATGATGGTCGGCGCGGTGCCGACAGGGCCGACCCAAAACGCGAAGAGCGTAAGGGACGTTAAGAATGGGATGGTGCCGAAGACAAGCCACACACCAAATCGGTCCGCGAGGCGGCCGGCGCCAATACGCCCGACAAATGATCCTGCCTGCAAGATCGCGACCGCGTAAGACACAATCTCGGGAGACGTCTTGTTGCTTTGTGCCAGCACGCCAGCGTTGAAGTATGGAGACATAATGCTGATGTCAGACCGTGCCCATGGCAGGCGCGAGTCCACTCACTTCATGGCGTAGCACGCCGTGCCGAGGCAGAGAAAGACGTAGCGACCTTCGCGCCACGGCTTCTTCAGTGACGAAATGGGTGGTGGCCTGCGAGGCGGTAGGCGCGCCTTCATCCAGAAGCAGGCGGGAAGCATGAGCACGAAGTTGAAGCCCATGATGATGAGGATAGTGTTACGAAACGCTGTTGTCAGCGGTGTCCATTAATTGTGAGCGCGAGGTACGTACACAACCGCTCCAGCAGCTCCTTGAGCATGATCGGGTAGACGACGCCGCCTAGGCCAGACCCAGCGACAATGAAGCCGACAGCTTCGGCGCGGCGCTTGAGAAACCAGTGGCCAGCGACAGCAGTGGCGGGCGAGTACACGATGCCACCAGACAACCCAAATGCTGTGTGGGAGAGGAGGATCTGATAGAACTCCTTTGAGAACGCCAGTCCTATGAGCGCAATGGTCGCGAGCGCCGTTCCAGAGATGACGAGAGTACGCGCGCCATGTACGTCAAAGTAGCGTCCCATGAACACACTGAATCCGAACACCATGAAGGTCTGGATGGTGCCGCCCCATGACACTGTGGAGCGGCTATACCCCGCCAGCTGGTGGGTGATGTAGTATGGCACGAGCTGACCGTATGATGTGACTGGGGTCAGATCATCTCAGCGACAACTTACTGAGGCCAAAAATGCAGAACAGATGGAGGAAGCAACCGAGAACGACAAGCCAGGCGTCGCGCCCACCATCGGGTGGCGGCCCGATGTCGAGCATCCCCGGCGCGATATTCGGTGGCAGCGCAGACGCCGGGACCATCGGCTCGGGCGTCGGGAAGCGCGGTCTGTCATCCCCATTGATGCAGGCCTTTTCGTCGGCGGAGTAGTAGTCCTCGACCCGTGTGGGTGTTGAGGCGATCGGAGATGGGGGTGCCGAAGGCATTATTGGGTGAGGCATGGTCGGACTTGCCTACGGGCGGCTGCGTTGGGAAGCTCAAAGATAGTAGGGGAGGCGACTATGTAGTCTTCATTGCCAGCGTCAGATATATCCGGTCACTGCTTGAGTTTAGAAAGGGAAAGTGGTGGCAGCGTTGGCGAGCAAATTGCGTGAGTAAGCTCGTTCTGTGGAAACGCCGTTCCGGGTACTACCCTGCCGCCGAGCGAGCGAACGGCATTTCCCACTTGTCCGATCATCAGCCTCAGCGCATCTGCCCTACATACCCTCACACTATAGTGATTCGAATGCTAAGTTTTGCATGGATAGCCCGCCGTCGAAGTGCATCGTATCTTCGCCTCACCGAATGCTTTGCTGCATGAGTATACCCATCCAAGCCGTGCAAACGCTGTTGCCATAATCTGAGCGCTGAGATCTGAATGAACACCGACGACTTGTCCCCGATTGCCGAACCGCACTCTCCGGGCCCTACACGGAATCTCCGGACGGCCGATCCCAGTCATTCCTGATGGCGGTGGTGAGCGGACTTGACCGTCAATTACCACCCCTCTCCCCCTCACGTGTGATGTGGGCCGCGAATCAACAGTGGAGGTGGTGGGAGGAGGAGGTGATGGAGCAGTATGGAGGTGGAGGCAAGGGAGAAATATACGGAGCGAACCCGGCAACGCGTGTGAGATCACTACTGGCTACATCAGCCATGAGCTGAATTGGTCGTGAGTGTGATAGGGTTTTGAGAGTCCCGCTGAGCTCATATTACCTTTTAACTCCAACTTCTTCATCTAAGACGGTGTGTGACTCCTTTGTGCTACTCCTCGTCCTACCTCAGGTGTCGTAGCACTCAAGTCGAACGAATGAGTGTGCGCGTGGCTCGTGCGCACGCGGCCCGTGCGGAACGGGTGCGAGACGTGGATCGGCTCACTCGCATGGTTGACTCGTGGAAGAGAAAGCGAAAGATAGAGAGTGATATCCGCGACAGCATACAGGTCAGAGTTCTCTAACAGGCAAACTGCGAGCGAGGCAGCCCGGTACAGCCCTTTTATCATATTCTACATATTGTCTACTGATTTATCAGTTACGTGACCATCATTTGCTGTGTTGAGGTCTATCTGTGAATAGGCTGACCTGGTGCGCGGCAGGAGTATGCTGTGGTGGCGCCGAGGCGATACGATTGCTTCGCAGTTCTGACGCCTGAGTAGATCCCGAGGCCAGCTAGAGTGAGAGATCCAAGGAATTGGAGTAGAAGGAGGAGTTTGAAAAACCACCAGCGCGCCATGCCGCGCTTCCACCGGCTCCAGTTCCCCCACGCGTCGATACGATTGGAATACGGTTCCATCCCTGGCTCCCATGGGACGTCCCCTGCTGCGGCGTCCACCTGCATCCAGTGTCCGAGGAGAAGGAGAGGTGGAAAGGTGAAAGTGAACTGCAGAGCGCAAACGGCGCCCACAATGACGTTGATATCGTTGATGTTCGGTATGGCGGAACCGAGTGCCCAGGCGGCGCAGTAGTACACCAGGACTGTGAGAGCCCAGTACACCCCACCTTTCCGCGAGGTAAGGGATGGTGCGCGGAAATATCCTCTCAACACCACACGATAGACCAGCTTGCATCCGACGTGCGCGTAGAGCGAGACAATGGCGAACACGCAGAACATGCCGATAATGTTGGTCACGGCTTGGAATGCGATGTTGGCCATATTGACGGTCGGCAGGATCGCAGAGTACTGCCCTTGCATCGAGTAACCGAAAATGCCAAAGAACATGTAGGTGGCGTAGCAGAGGAATTGAGCGCAGAGCGCAGCCTTCCAAAAGTCGGCGGGACGGCGCATCTCTGCGATAAACTCGACGAAAATCATTGCGCCACCATAGCTGAAGACAGCTAGCTGGCACGCAGCCACCTGTGTATGCCAATCCGTGCCAGGAGGCAACCAGCCATGCAGCCTGATTGGCTCCGAGAGGTCGACGTGCCCGCTTTGTCCTGGCACAGGGTCGTACAGGGCGATGCCTATGGCCGTCACGAACATGATGGAGAGGTTGACGAAGACGTTGATGTTCGAAAGCCATGCCATATTCCTAATCGTACGGATTTGGGTAATGAGCATTCCAGCGAGCGCAAAGAAGACGTTAAGAGCAATGTAGCAGAACTTGAAGTCGATGATCTGCGCGAGTGCCTGGCCTTGCATGACGATGAACATTCCCACGTTGAACTGGCGTCAGCGGGACATGTGGGGAGACTCACGAGAAGCTGCAGCGCCTGCAGAGTGTTGAGCAGAAACTTGCCTGGTGGTCCGTATGTTCGTTCCCCGAGGTCGGCATAGGAGCGCACGGGAAACTCTTCCGAGTCCACGTTCATGTACACACGCCACAACATCTGCCCGCCAGCGAAGGCGAAGATAAAGAAGCACGTGTAGACCAGAGCGCCTGGGCCGTATCCAATCTGAGCGAAAGCTTTGCTTGCTGTGAACCAGCCCAGCATGTCGGTTGTGATGAGGTAGAAAACTACCTGCCAGCTCGCCACTCTGAGGAGGCGATAAGTGGTCTCTCGCTCCGGTTCGGTTAAGAGCAGCTCAGGAGTGGGTGCCAATTTGCTGCACGTCTGCGTCGATTCCGTCAACGTTTCATCAGTAGTCGCAGTTGACGAGCTTTTCGAGTGGTGGCCTTTCATCGACTTAAGTTCGTGGGTGGTTCCGGTCTCGCGGATTGCCCGCCAACCGCCATTAATTGGGGCCGCATGGTCGGCCGTGCGTGCGGCCGCGCTCGCCACGGGATGCAACCGCGGCACTGGAACGATGTCGTCTGATCGCCCCCGCAGCCGTTTCCCAAGTGCGACCCAGGGAGCGTCCGGCGCTGGTCGTGTGTCGGCGTTCTCACGTGTACGCTCTTGCCGTGCGTAGTAAAGGTAAACCTCGATGGGCTGGGCGTTGATGCTCGCTACCATCAGCATCGGAGATCCTAAATCCTGAACAGAGGAGAGCAAGAATGCCGAGACTCACAGTCTATGGCGCCATCACGGTACTCCTCGCGATAGCGCATAAGCTCGGCGGCCGTAAGGTCGAGCTCAGCGTTCGGTGTCGCGGCGCCATTGCGCATGGTGTCGACAGACGCAGCCTTCTTGCGACTCGAAGAGCCAGGATCGCCGAGGATGTCCGGGCGGCCTTCCCTTTCTGTTAAGCCCGCTGTGACCTGTTAAGGAGAGTGTCCGATTTTGTCGCGGCACAGTCCTTGCTGCGACGTCGCTTGTAGTAGAACGAAGATGAAAAAGAACACGATTCCAGTTGCTCTCGTCGCTCCGAGTCACCTCGCCAAAGGCGGCGCTCGATCATGGCAACGGTGCGAGCGGCAATTGAGTAGCAACGAGCGAGTGTCGGCATGCAGGGCGGCTTTCCGCGGATACGTTGCAGAACAGGACGGCAGGGCACATAGGTAGATCACCGGGTTCTGGTGCTCGGGACCAGCTCTAGTACGTGATCCGCCTGCATCTGGCCCATGTAACACAGGGAATGCATGCAGCATTTGAGGGAGATGCTCCGTAAGCGTATGTCCTGGCAAAGGACCTCTGAGATGACATATTGTGGGACGCGTGGGAGCGTTAGGGAATTGTGGCGGACGGCGGGCCATGAGAGGCCGCAAGGTGTGAGCAGAAAAAGGTTTTATTCAGGGCCCGTTTGAAACGTCGGTCGTGAAGGTGTTTCGCACATTTCGTCCATTTCGTGTTCTGCAAGGCACAAGACATCCTACAGCCTTCGTCCAAGAACTTCAAGGGCCCTCAGAACTAATTTCGGCGTCGAGATGCACCGGCTGGGGATTGTATACATACTCAGCCTCGCCAAGTGAAGAGTCCTAGATTACGCTGAGGAGCTGTAAGAGCAGTAACCTCTCTGCCTTGGAATCACCACATCCCGCGTTACGCCCCTGGGCCACCTCGTTCTCCAGCCTCACCCGCCTCTAACCGCTGCCTTCCCCCAAGAAGCCGATCGAACATCCACCCCAGCGGAATGCGTATAAGCTCTGGTGCCCCTCCAAGTCCCTGGGCGCGTTGCACAACTGTACGTGTATCTCCGTCCCGCCCACTCAGCCACAGTGCAATATGTGAGCACTCGGCTTTCATGAGACCAAGGGCTCGTATTCCAAGTGCACTCCTTGTTCCGGTTCATTTGGTCTGCCCATCTGTGGGTCCAACAATTCCCAGCCAAGCGGTGGATAGGGTTAAAAGTAGATCGACAACTGCATGATTCGAACATGCGCTCCCGAAGGAAATTGATCAATGATGTCTAGCTAGTGATGCTGGAACATTCGAGTCAATCGCGTTAACCACTCCGCCAAGTTGCCTTGGTGTTGACCAGATCAAACCTAAACTAAGCCTGGCCAAACCACAGATACACTCCACAATCGATGTCAGGAACTGACTCGACTGACCACGACAAGCAGCGACGCAAGCCTGTCGCAAGCCTGTCGCATACGGTTGGGAACACGCGACAGCTCAGGCAGGCTATCTCACTACTTATGCAGTTGCTAACAAACAGTGCTTCCGACGGCATACGAAGAGTTATGTGCAAAGCTTTCTTACTTCACGACTCTCGCGTGTTCTAACGGGAGTCAGTGTGCCGCTTCCCATGGCGCCGTATCATATTCCACCTTCTGCGTGGCGGAATCACCCAGTCCCTTCAACTAACTCCATTGATCCACATAGCAGTGGCACCCAAAGGCGATGTCACGGAGAGGATGATTACCGACAAAAGCGAAGCGGGGTCGGCGATTACTCCAAAGTTGTCCAACAGACTGTCTCCACTGAACACTGCAGGGCAACTGACCTTCAACAAGGGCGAAGGTAGCTTGTTGCCCCCTCAACCTCATATTGAAGCGAACCACCGGCTGCGGGTCCGGCATCATCAAGCGAACAAGCTCTTTCTCCGCTGCACAGCAAAGCATTGTCCGATCTGTGGGGCATCGTTCCAATATTGTGATTGTATTGATGAGTGATCATCGCGCGCCGTGCCTTCACATGAAAATGCTTCGCGCTCGTATGTACAGGTTCGCGTGTATCGCGGCCGATATAACCCCTGGGCTTTCTATGGACCTGGTGATTATGCGATCATATCCGTCTTGGCCATCTGTATGCTTGCCGTCTTCACCGCTGCCGTAGCCGCCAATTCCCTCGGTGGGGCTGGACTCGATGCTAGCCAGTGATGGCTGGGCCAAACGACGCAATGTGTTGCTCCCACAGTGGAGCTTCCGTCTCAGTATCAATGGCGGCGCTCCTGGACATCACGTCGAACGGTTCGGGGCCGCAGTCCGACCGAGAGCCTGCCCTCGTCCATGCTACACCGCTGCCCCTTCATCCGCCGCCAAGGCACGCGCGCTCACATGCCAGTGCTACTCTCTCCGACGCCCTCTTCCGTACATACAGTATCCTAGTCGCTCAAAGTTTCCCGAGCAAGGAACGAAGCGATGAATGCTCCACCTGGAATTGCCGATTATGATTATCCAGCCTGCGGGGGGAGTCCTTCCCTTTATAGGTCTTTTCCGTGGTGTGACGTTGTGGCAATTGTCAACGGCAGTGAAACGGCCATCCGGCCGGCCCACAAGGAGGGGCTGAAGAAACCCGAGCCTATTGAGAAAACCATCGCGGTTTACACCTAATCAAGGCCGCTTAGCTCAGCTGGTTAGAGCATTGTACTAATATCCTGAATGGGATTTCAGTCATGCAAAGGTCGGCAGTTCGATCCTGTCAGTGGTCATTCTCTTTTGCTTTTGTCTCTCCCTACCTCTTCTGTATGCGATGCTGTTCGTTCCAGCATTCGGGCGCATGGAGTAACCTGTGGAATCTCGACAGCATCGGAGGGGGGCTATCGAGATGTGTCGAGCCACGACAGTCTCCCAAGCCCCAAAGCATGGGCAGGCGCCGAACTGCGTGATGCCTTCTGGGTCCGTTGACCATGATGCTAGATGATACATGTATGTTCTACAATGCAAAACCGACAGCACGCCCGCGCGCGTCGGCCCTAACACTATGAGGAGCACTGGGGAAAGGCCTGCCTGTTGGACGCGGTCCGGAAGAGAGTTAGCTCGGCGGCGCGCCGCCGCCTCAACCCCGGCAGTTCAATGTCGCTATTCTTCGCGCTCGTCCACTTTGGCAGCTCGGCTGCAGCAACGACGTTGGGGTCCTCGCCCGCGTTGAGGCGCTTGATCAATGTTGACGACGAGACGGCCGCGCAACCCTCGTTGAACGCCCAGCTCGCGAGCGCCGCCCACTGGTTGTCATTCAGTGGCTGTGCGCTGGCCGGGGACAGCGCCTCGCCGAGACACCATGTCACGGCGGGCATGTTGGCCTTGAGGAGGGCCGAGGCGGCGCGCTTCGAGAGCGGGAACGCGAAGGGCACGTCGTGGCAGGACGGGGCTTCGCACGCGTGTCCGTACCCCACTGTGGGGTGGCCGATGGGGTCGGGGGAGGGCGAGGCCACGAAGCCTTCGAAGTCTTTGATGAGGTCCATGCCCATGGGGTTTAGGTGTGCGCAGGGAGCCGCGAGTGCCGCGGCGGCGAAGAGAAGGAGTGCGAGCATCGCTGATGTCAGCCGCGTCGCGGGGTGTCGAGATCGCGGTCGAGGACTCACTGGAGAGAGAGAGATGGAGAGATCAACGGTGAAAACGATGGGAACGTCGACGCGCAGCGTCAAGTCGTGAATGGAGCCTCCTGGACTCTGTCACGCCGAGAGGAACGGTAACAGTGAGGATGGACGAGGCATGTTTGTATGCGCAAAGTTAGTTCGCTGACACCGGCGCGCTGCGCTGCGGCACTGCGGCGCTGCGGTACGGCGGTGCCAAAGTCAAAAAGTGTCAGCACAAGGGGGGGTGATGCCCAGGGCCGTCAGCTGGTGCTGTTGCTGGTGGATCGCGGAACTGAGTGCAAACGAGGTGCACAAAAGAGTTGAGACACCAGGGGAACGAGGGTCAAGTGTCGGGTGAGTCTGGCAGGAGGTGGGGGAGGAAGGGGAGGCAGGGGATAAAAGATAGGCACGGCTTGCGTCTGGACACTGGTGCCTATGGGCCAGGAGGATTGGTGCAGAGGCACGGCGTGTCGCGCGTACTCAGATATTCTGGACTCTTGGTCCTCTGATCCTCTGAGCATGCTAGCATCTGGATCAGAGATTTGCGTTCGTTTCACGGCACGCTCGGCCGAGCCACGAGCTAATTGTGTTCCTCCATCGTTCCTCCACCTTCGAGATTCTAGAGGATGCCGGGAGGCAGAACAAGATCGATTACCTTCAAGCTTTGTGGGTGTTGCCAGTGAGACCGCTGCCTCCCCTTTCACATATCTTCGGGGCCACCGAGAGCATGTTCGAAGTGGGGCACCTGGAATACGGGAGCGCATAATGAACCAAGCTTGGCATGCCGGCAAGTGGGTGCGGGTGCATCAACGGGAACTAGCAACCGGCCATCAACGAGATAGGCATAGCGCGATAATTGCCATGACGTGAAAATGACATGCTCAGGGAACGGGAACAGCATAACATACTTTCCGGACAGTCTACTCGCACTGAGGATAAGCCTGTTTGCTGCTGGCAGTGTTGAAGAGGTCGATCTCGGCATTGCGCCGACGCACGAGGCCCGGCAGCTGTTTTCCCCCGGCGTTCACCCACTTCGGCAGCTCTTGGCCGACGACCGTGGCCGGGTCCTCGCCGGCATTGAGTCGGCGGATGAGCGAGCTGCTGCCCGTCGCCCCGCATCCCAGGTTGAACACCCAGCTGGCCAAGGCTGCCCACTGATTGTCGTTGAGCGTCACACCGTCGAGCATATCGCCGAGGCACGCAGTGTATCGGGGTACATCGTCATTGAGAAGCTGGGTAGCGGTCGCCTCCGTGAGCGGGAAGGTGTAGGGAACTTCGGCGCAACCTGTGGTCTGGCAAAGGTGGCCGTAGCCTACAGTCGGGAGACCGATCGGGTCCGGCGCTGGCCGCGGGACGAACCCCTCAAAGTGCTTCAGAAGGGAGGTGCCCGCCGCGTTGAGGGTCGGGCAGGGCTCGGCTGTAGCTGGAGGGGCGGTCGAGCCGCCGCACTTCGGCGCCACGTATTCGGGTTTGCCGGTGGTCTGGATGTAGTGGTCTGTGACGAAGCAGTCTGGTGTGGGTGGAAGGAGCGAGAATGTGGTGCGGGAGGGTGTAGGAAGCAGAACAGAGCCAAAAGTGCCATGTGCCGAATGGGAGAAGGGGTTTAGCATGTAGCAATACTCACTGTCTTGTGTCTTGCCCCAAATCGTGTTGCCATTCACGCTGACACCTTCAGTCTGGCATTGCAGAGTGACCTGCTGGCCCTTCTGGTACTGCTTGACCACAGAGGCTGAGGTGCTAGGTCCCGAGCGGCAGTTGACACCGTTGGCCTTGATGGGGTATGGGCCGGCAGCGAGAACTGGAAGGGCCGCAGCGAGGGCAAGGACGGCAGCTAGCATGTCTGCGTGAGCTGCTATCTCGGCCCGAGCTCACTGAGTAATGTGTGGGAGGTGCGCGTGGGTATACGAGCTGAGAATGAAGCGGGGTCAGCTTATATCACACTTTCGAGGCTGGGCCGAGACTGGCATCCATTGGTGGGGGGAGTAGCGCCAGAAGCCGAGAACACTGACCCCGACCCATCGAGCAGCGCGTCTCGTGCAGGAAACGCAAGCCTTGCACTTGGTGTCAGAAGGGTGTACACGTGGGTGAATCAGGCTCCGCAGGGGACGAGAACCTTGAGGGCAAGCCTGTGAGTGTCAGTGATGTGACCGTGGCAGATGTGGGCGACACGCCTAGAGTAGGTCTCGGGCCACGCGCGAGATGAACTGGACGAGGCGCTCCAGGCCGTCTCCCATGCGCCGAAGGGATTGAGGGGCGTTTGTGAGCTTCTTCATATCAACCTGCCTTGTGATGCGTCGGGGGAAAGGCGCACGGTTTCATGTTGGCACCTCGTGTCCCATCGCCATCGGGGCGTCCTTGCTGCCTTGAGACCCAGCGACCCCGGATGTGCCGGCCTCGGGTCAGTCCTGATCTAGCATGTCTAGCGGGTCTTGGCGATGCGGCATGCACGTTCCGATTCTAACGTTCGACCTTGGGCAGGGCTTTAGTATCACGCTGTCCATCAGTTGCGGAGCTCCAACAAGGTGAATGTGACAAGCGGGGCAATGTGCGGTGCAGCGAAGCCTGTCCGAAACGTGTGGCGCAGCCTGACATGCGATGCATGCTCGGGGCGTCGGCGATGGCCGCTCTGATGTTGAGGCTGATGGCGGCGGCGGCGGCTAGAGATATGGGTGAACGGAGGAGGAGATAGGGGATGTGAGGGATGCTGGTTGGCTGCACTCCCTGTACGTCATGTCGGCCGACCACGCGACGGCGTCGTGAGGCGCCTCCATCGCTCTGCCTCCATTGCCTCTCGACCTCTTCATTTACCATGTCTGCCCTGTCAACACGAACACTCGCCCGACGGCTCGCGAGCGGGCCGGGCATCCGCGCTCCCGCGCGCGCCGTCGGCGCCGTCGCCCTGCGGCGGATATCCAGTGCGTCTCGCCCGATATCCACTGACGCCAGCGCTCCGCTCCATCCGCCCCCTCCCTGCGCTCGCCGCCCGCCCCCTTTCGCGCAATTACGCGCAGCCGGCCGGCTCGACGCGCGACGCGAATGCAGACAACACCGCGGAGCTGCGCGACGCGATCGTCTCTGAGCTGGAGCAGCTCGCGTCCAAGCTGTCGGCGCTGGCGCCGGAGCACGCCGCGACGCCCGGCTGGCTGCTGCCGCTCACGCGCGCCGAGACCGACTTCGTCAACATGGGCCAGGTGCCGTGTCCGGAGGGCTGCGAGGTGCTCGCCCTCCTCGACCTCAGCACGGGTCCGAAGGGCATTGAGCACCCCGGCGTTGGGCCCGACGGGAGCGGCGTGCATGTCCCTCTGCTTGCCATGGTCGGGTCCACTGAGCCTGCAGTGCCGTGTTACCCCGTCGGTAACCTTTTCGGGGACACGGCCGAAGGAGTGGCGGGCAAGATCCGCCTCGCTGTCGACGCGCAGCGCAAGGGCGCCGCCGACACTATCGCGCAGGGCTTGAGCGATGCGGGGCGCGACACGGGCGCCAGCCTCATCGCCCTTCTTGTCCCGCCTGATGGCAAGCGCGACCTCGGCCTCCCCCTCGCGCTTGCGCTGTTTCGTCTTGCCATGGCCGAAGGGAATGGATACACAGGCTAAGCGATCTGTACAGCGTGTGTAAGGGGATACAAAACAGCGCAAGAACGGCGCAGCCCCGCGGCCTATTATGCATGTAACTATCTATGTGTGCTTCGGCTCGCCAATGCGCTGCAGCGCGTCCACAACCAAGTCCCAGAAGCGTGGCACGTCGACCCCTGTCGCAGCGAATGTCCTACAGTCGACTGGCGCAGGCAGGCGCCTGTCAACAACCGTCATGCCAGTCGTGAGGCGTCCCTGGGTCTCGACGTCGATCGGCGCTTGCAAAACCTGCAACAATGCGCGGTCGATGACATACGCGACCGCCACGGGATCATGCACAGGCGGCGCATCGAACCCCTGCGTGCGCTTGTACGTCTCAGCGAAGAACGCGAGGGCCTCGCACACGAACGCGGCCGGCCGCGTGCCGATATCCCCGATGCGGCGCACGACGTCGGGCGTCGCGAGCGCGCTGTGCGTCACGTCCAGCCCAGCCATCGTGACCTGCCACCCGGCAGTGAAGACAATCTGCGCGGCCTCGGGGTCCACGACGATGTTGAACTCGGCCGCGGGGGACCAGTTGCCGACGCCGATGGCGCCGCCCATCACCACCACCTCTTTGACGGTGTGCGCAAGCTCGGGCGCCTGCCGCACCGCCAGCGCCAGGTTGGTGAGCGGGCCCGTCGCGACGATCGTCACTTCCCCCGGCCGCGCAGCGACTGTCTGGATAATAACGTCGACGGCGTGCCGCGCGTCCAGCGGCTGCGAGGGGGGTGGGAGGGCCGGGCCGTCCAGCCCCGTCTCGCCGTGCACACCGTCTGCGACGACGACGGGGCGCACAAGCGGACGTACTGCGCCCGCTGCGATAGGCGTCGTAATCCCTCCGACTGCCGCGACGGACTGCGCGTTGCGTGTCACTTTCGCCAGCGTCTGGTTGCCCCCGACAGTCGTAATCGCCAGCAGGTCGATTCTCGGCGAGCCCCATGCAAGGAGCATTGCCACCGCATCGTCGTGCCCTGGGTCGCAGTCGAGAATGATCGGAATGGGCGGCAAATCTGTCATCTCTGGTCAGTCAAAACGAGACACACTCGCACCTTGTCATGCACGTCGCTTTACGAGGAGTGCAGAGTGAAAGCACACTTGTTGATGGATTCTGTTGTGGTACATCGGCAGGGGGCCGACGCGTCCCCGGTCCAGCACCGATCACGCCGAGACGGGATCAAATTGCCCCGCAGCTCAATCTTCACTCCACACTGGGCTCGGTCGCTTTCGAGATCGACGCAGCCTCCAATGGCTGTGGGCCTGGACAGGGTGTGTAACGGCCTTGCCAGGTGCAAAAGGAAGAGTAGATGGACGAGTTAGGAATCGAACCAAAGACCTTGTCAAGTACCAGGTGCTAATGACACGCTCTACCAACTGAGCTACACGCCCTTCTGCGGGTGAAGAGCGGCGCCTGCCTCCTGCTGCCCCTCGCCCATGCAAGACTCGAGAGCAACGCTGAAATGTCTCTCCTTGGAATCTACAGACGCTGAAATATGAACGACGGCGGAGTGCACGGAAAGAGTGGCCAGCTAGCGAGGCGAGAGCGATAGTCTGGCACAGCGCACGATCAAACAACGAGTCTGCGGAAAAGGAGAGACTGCATTCCGCAAATGTCTTATCGGTCCCTGGGTCCTGAACAGTCCGCTCAACTTAACACGGTCACTGCTCGCACTGGTCCAGATGATGACAGGATGACAAGAGTACAACTCACGACACCTTCACCTTTTTCACTCCTACTCATCTTCTCATTCTCTCTTCTACCTTTTCACTCTCCTCCTCCTCTGTCCACTTGTGCCACCGCACAAGAGCAGCGCTTGTGCCATCAGCCCTCCCCCGGAATCCGCAGGTAAGCACTGCCCCCATGCCTCACAACGTGGCATGTCACAGCCTTCCAACCACGTCTGCTTCACAGCTTCACAGCTTCAGATGTCCTTATGACCTTATACTCAGTCCAGATCCCCTTTTCCGCCAATTCGCTGCACGGGCGACAAGTTTGCCACCCAACTAAACGCCATTGCTCCCGTCAACAACTGTGATCCCCTGCCTCGCTCTCCTGCTGGCCCAACGGCTGTAAGTTTGTCACACCGCCCCCAACCTGCATGGTTCGCCTCGCTCACCCAAGTCGCTGCCATGACTATCAACTCCTCCGACGAGGACGTCTATTGTACCATCGAAGATGGCGACGACGATTGGACTGCCTTCGATGAAGACGACGGAGATTACATCTTCAGTGATGGTGTTGACATTTCGCCTTCGCTACTAGGACTCAGCTCTCTCGAAGAGGACATGGCGGTCGCCAAGTGCATGCTCGAGGGTACGGGCATCGCACTAAAGCACGCCAATTATGAACTTGTCATTGCGGTTCCTCTCATGGACCTTCCTCCTTTACAATGTGCAGCATACGGACTCGTTAGCCTCGCCCCAATTCGTATCACTCTTCAGTTCACCAATGGGTATCGTCGAACCTCGCCGAAACCGATCGTGATCGTGGCGCACGAGGACAGCAATGGACACTGCATGGAAACCTCGTCCATCCGCGTCCACCCTGGTTTCCCTATCGGCCTGAAGTTAACGCAGACGGCTCTCAAGTTTCTCAACCAGCGGTGGGAGACCAACCGGGGCGAACATTTCCTCTCCGACTTGTCGCTGCGACTGTATGATCGGCTACTGCACGCGGGCAACACCTGCATGATGTGCGACGAGGATCTTCCTTTTCCCGGCCTGAAGCCCACCGTTTGCGACCGGGAGCTGTGCTCGTATCAACTGGACCACCTCGGTCTCGGCGCCGACTTGTCTCTGTGCGACACTGATCACAAGGTTGCAGACCTCCTAATCTCAGCGGCTGCTGCCGCGTGCAGCGACATCGCCCGCCAGTCTGTTTCCCCCATTGCTATGCCTTTCAACAAGGTGACTGGAGAGCACTACAAGGCACCCGAACTGAACCGCCTCCTCCAAATGCTGCCCTCCACCTCCATCCTCCGTCACTTGGGCCCCAAGCGTGTCAATACTCTTAAGCAGAGCCACCCCGACATACCTTTCATCATAGGGTGGGTGTTCGCCACGAACCGGGCGCATATCGTCTCAATCCCGGAGGAGAAGCAGATTGCAGCTATGCAAACTCCGCACCAGTTTCAGATTCACACCAGCACCCGCAAACACGCTGAGAAGTTCGAAGCTCTGCGCGCCAAGCACGGCAGCACTTGGGCCTTTCACGGATCCTCCATGGCGAACTGGCACAACATTCTGCGCCAAAACCTTAAGAATGCCAGCAGGACGCCCATGATGTCGGCAGGCGCGTCGTACGGGGAAGGAATATATCTTGCCTCCTCCTCGGCGACATCTTCAGGGTACATGCGCGCTTCCAGCGCATGGCACAACTCGGCATACGGGAGTCACCCACTGTGCCTTGCACTCGTTGAGGTCGCAAATTCGTCGCGAGTCCACCTTCACTTGAATGGGGCCGTTATCGTCGCCAACGATGAGAACTGCGTTATGCTCCGCCAGCTGTTCGTCTACTCCGGCGGAAATGTGCCCAGCGTGATCGCCAAGACCATTGCTCAGGCACGATACAAGAACGAAACCACGATCGCCTACGGATCTACGTTTGACGAAGTCCAGGAGAGTGGCAAGCTCCTTGTCACGTCCGATGAGTACTTCTGGGACATTGGCGAGGTGATCCACATCGTCAAGGCGAAGAACGGCCTCTTTATCAATCCCTACAACAACTTACCGTTCGCACAGCCCGACGTCAACCGCATCATTAACCACCCGAGCGGCGCGGGCCGGGAGCTCGTAGCGATTGAAGCCCAGAACCTCAAGCTCAAGCAGCACATCTCCCCCGAGGTCCTATTGCGTCTCCGCACGGTCGGTGACATCTGCATGCGAGACAACTCTGACGACTTCGCGACTGCGATGGGTGCGATCTCGGATCTCAACGAGTGGCTAAAGCTTCTCCCTTCCTACGAGCGCGACGCCCTCGCCCGCGTACCCTTTCAGGCAATTGACTCTCACACTCGCATGCCGTTCCGCGACACGATCATGCACGCCATCGAGCTCGTCATGGCGGGAGGCGAGTGCACGCATCGTTTCGGCGACTTTCTCATTCAGATCAAGTGATGTTGTAAGAAATGTCTACTGTGTTGTTAGAGCCCCCATACTTTGTCTACGTTCATGTATGATACGCTCCTGCTGTACTTTTATGAATACAGGACCATGCGCGAAGTCGAGTAGTAAGAATACTGTTTAGATGAGTGGGGCAGAATGAGTGGGGCAGAATGAGTGGGGCAGAAGGTGAGGGCTTCGGCTACCGCCGCTCCCGCATCAGCGATCGGCGGATCGGCGGGACTCAGACGCGACTCGTTTCAGACACGGACCAGTCCGGCTTGGCATGCCACCGATCCGCATCTCGCCACCCAACATCTCCTCGCTATCACTCTACCACACGTTCGCCTTTCTGCCCCCAATGCCACGGAAAGAGCCATACGCTGCGGCCCGCGCCCGCGCCGAGGCTGCGCACGACATCCCCGCCGCCGAGGCCGAGCAAGCGCGCCTCGCCGCGCTCGTCCATATACCCCCGGACGACGAGCCCTCGACCTTCCCCCGCACCATCGCCGGCCTGGACATCTCATACGACAAGACCTCTGAGCGCGCCATCGTCGCCGCCGTGCTCGTCTCTACGGAACCGCTTACGATAATCGACAGCGCACTCCTCTCCGGAACCCAGATGTTCCCGTATGTCCCCGGCCTCCTCGCGTTCCGTGAGGTACCCCTCCTCCTCGCGGCCCTCGAGAAGCTGTACGCGCAGACGGGTGTGCAGCCAGACATGTTGCTGTGTGACGGGCAAGGGCTCGCGCACCCCGCGCGCTGTGGCCTTGCGTCTCATATTGGCGTGCTCACCGGCATTCCCAGCATTGGGTGTGCCAAGTCGCACTATATTGGCGAGTATGACGAGCCGGGGCCCGCGCGTGGGGAGCGTAGTGAGATGCGCGATGCGGGCGAGGTCGTGGGACATGTGCTCCGCACTCAGGATGGGGTGAAGCCCGTGTTCGTGAGCCCGGGACATGGCGTGAGCCGCCACGAGGCGTGTGAGGTCGTGCTCCGACTCTGTAGGAAGTATCGCGTGCCCGACCCCGTGCGGTATGCGGATCAGGTGTCGAGGAAGATGCTCCGGGAGACGAAGGAAGAGGCAAAAGAAGTGAGTGTTGGCCAACCGTGTTGTTCTGACGCCAGTGAGCGACTGCACCCCCGCTACACTGACGGCGTAACAAAGGCTTCCGCCACTCGCCGCTCGCTGTTCATGGAGGCCTTGCGCGTGTCGCCGTCGGAAGCAACTTTGGCAGTCCATCACCAGTGGAGATTCCGTCCCGCGACGAAGCTCCCCACGAGCTCTCCATTCTCGTCCGACCCAGGAATACGCGACAACGGCGACCCGCTGAGATATGCCCACCCGGTCAGACCCGCCGTCAAGTCGATTCAGCAGAGCTGTGCGGCCTTGCTCCCGCCATATCATGAAAATCTGTGCATTTTTATTACAACCAGACTAGGACAGAGTCCGCGCCTATGCGTTCACCACCGCGTCGATCTTCTTGAACGCGTCCAGTGTTTCCTCCTCGTACCCGAGGTACCCGACGACCTGAAGGCACAGGGGAGCGCCGATGGACACATCTGCGTCGTACGTGTCGCGGACGTACTTGTCCTTCTCGTTGCGGGGTGTGTACTCCGGGTCCTCCTTGTCGACAGCTGGGTCGACGAACAGACCGGTCGGGAAGATGGCTGCGGGGTAGTTGGCGAGGTTCCAGTACGACGTATAGTTCCAGTACCTGGCGGTACCATGCTGAGGGGCGGGCGACGGCCCAACCGGGCTGAGCACGACGTCGACGTTCTGCTCGTGCCAGTATCTGGCGAGCTCGGCACGGAAGGCATCGCGCTTCGCAACGATTTCGAACGCCTGTTCCTTGGTGCGGTCCACACCACCAGCCTGCTGGATGATCCAGTCGGTGAGCGGCACGATGGGCTCGCCGGACGCAGCGATGTGGTCGTACACCATCTTGCCGTTGTCGAGCCAGTAGAGCTTGGAAATGATGTCCCAGTTCTCGGCGCTCTTGAGCGGCTTGTACTCGACGATCTCAAACTCGCCGGTGGCCTTGAGCTTCTCCACCGCGGTCTCAAGGGCGCGCCGGATGGGCGCCACAGGGAGCACGACACCGTCGTCCCGCAGCACGCCGATGCGGAGCTTGCGGGTCGTTGTAACCTCGCGCCACGGCTTGACGTGCAGTGTGGGATCGACGCGCCAGGGCTCAGAGGCAGCCATGATGCGCATGTACAGCTCCATGTCGCGGGCGCTGCGGCCCATCGGGCCGTGCGAGCCGAGGATCGCTTCGCAGCCTGCGGGGGCGATGGGCACGACGCAGCCACCGAACGAAACGCGACCGACGGAGGGCTTGAACGAGTAGATGCCGCATGCTGCGGCAGGCTTCTGTCAGCGTGGACCTGGTGTGAGCTTACCGAGCGGACGGATCCGCCAATGTCGGTGCCAACGCCGAGGGGCGAGCCCTTCATGCCGATGAGGGCACCCTCACCACCGCTCGAGCCGCCGGCAGTCAGGTTGTTGTTGTACGGGCTCGTTGTGATGCCGAGGTAGCACTCGGTCTCGAGGTGCATCAAGCTCTGTGGATTGGTCGTTTCTGGGTGTCAGGGGGTCCGAGCAAGAGTTACGTACTGCAGTAGAAGACGGCGCCGGCGGCACGCAGAACGGCGACGAGGTTCGCGTCCGTTGCAGCCATCATCTTGCCAACGAGCGAAAGGAAGCCGGACGGCGAGTCATGCCCTTCGACATCAATGTGGTCCTTGATGGACACGGGGACGCCGTGGAGCGCGCCGAGCGGCTTGCCGGCCGCCTGGTGTGCGTCGAGCGCGGCGGCGCGCTCGAGCGCCTCCTCGGGAAACAGCTCGACGAGGCAGTTCGTGCCCTGCTGCGCGAGCGACGCCGTCTTGAGGTACGCTGTCGTCGCCTGCACGGAGGTGTAGGTGCCGTCCTTGATGGCGGCCGCGAGGGCGGTCGCATCGAGGTCCACGAGCTTGAGCTCCTCGGGCGTCAAGAGGCCGCTGCTCTCAAGGATGACGGTGGCGTTTTGGGGTACAACGAAGCTCTTGGGCAGGCGGTAGGGCACTGGGATGGTCTCGTCGCGCGCGCGGCGCGCGGCGGCGATCAGCTCGGATGCGGGGGGCTTGGTGGCTGCGGGTGACATTGGGGGATGATGATGGTGGACTAGAGCAGAGCGCGCCTTTATCGGCGGTCTCACCTCAGCAGATCATCGCAGACAGATCACCGCGGCTAAGCATCCGGCACAGCGATCGCTGGTGGGCATGGTCTCCCGATAGTGCAGAGCCCGGAGACAGCCCGGAGATAGCGGAATAGACAGCTGGATAGGCGGCTTGACGGCAGGCACTAGCATTGCCGACTGCTCGCGAACAGCTGACGCGCTGACGACTCCTGTTGCAGGAACGCAGCGGCTGGCGTTTATCGTCGCTTACCGCTTACCGTCTAATCTCAAGATGCCGAGGGTCACCGCCCACCATCTGTCTTTGATCGGGTGGCTCGCCCAACGAGAATGTCCCGGGTCATCTCTGGATGTATGCATGCCTTGGAAGAACTTGCGCACATCTGCCATCTAATGCTGATGCTGGGAAAGAGTGTTCGCGGCGGGGATGTCGCCGCCGCCGCTGTCCGTGCTGATCATGCGGGTGTGGGGTAGATGCCGAGACCATCGACTGGGCGTGCTTGATAGCCGTATTTCCTCCAGCTCGCTTGCGACCGGCTTGTGCACTCCTGTGTTCATACCGTGCTAGGCTCACGTGCACGCGTCATAAACACAAGTGCATGCGTCCTAATCATAAGTCTCTCGCTGCTCAGCTTCAGGATGTGCATGACTCAAATCATCCATCTCGTTGACAGACCATTACTTCCCTACAGACAACGGCAGCCTCACTACAAGTATCACACAACTGCAAGCCCAACGCTACCCGTACACCCCCATCGATGGCCTCTCAAGCTCAGTCCCCCCACCTGTGTCTCCTGCTTGCCAGTGTCCCACACTTAGTGGTGCGGCATGACGCTCGACTCGACGTAGCGCCAATACGACGTACGGCTGTTTTTGCGGAACCTCTTGCCCCAAGTAGTCATGATAATGAACGAGGCGTACAGCGCCATGCCGACCATGGCGGCGGTGATGAACGTGTTCTTGAGACCCATGTTAAGCCAGGGTGTGATACCGTAGCCGATGGCAAAGGAGAGCGAGTTGCGGATGAGGATGGTCGTGAGAACGACCTCGCCACCCAAATCCTTGTACGAGTCCATGACGTAGTTGAGGGCGAACGCTCCACCGGATGCCGAAGTAAATGCGACGAGAAGGCCGCCGAAGACAAGCCCGAACCAGTGCACGTTGTTGGCAGCGCCGACGCCCCAGAGGATGAGGCCGACGGGAAGGAGGATGGCGTTGAGGGCGAGAAGCCAGAGACGGTCCTCAGGCTCACGCACACCGCCGCGCTTACGGGTGTAATAAAGCAGCCACTTGTCGGCAGCCCAACCCGAGTGTGCCGAGCTGAGGCACGCACCGATAGTGGGACCAAGGTAGAACAGGCCAACCATAGAGGCCGAGAAGCCGTAGTTCTCGGTGAGGATCATGGACGCGGTAGCGTTGAGAACGTTGTACCACACCAGCGAGCAGCCGTAGAGAAGACCCGACCAGAGGACGACGGGGTAGCGGAAGAAGATGATAGGACGGTAGACTTGAGCCCAAAGCGTCGACCAGGTGGTGTAGCGTTGGCGATAGAGGGCGATCTTGTACATGTAGGAGTACTCCTTGCCCTCGAGCGCCGGACGGCTGTCCTCGACAGTAACGGTGTGGTCCTTGTCCTTGTCGTCTTCGTGGGGCGCCTCGACGTCATCAGTGGTCGTGCCGCCGTGCTTCTCGCCGAGCTCAGTGGTGCCACGGTTATAGTTGGTCTCCTCCATAAAGAAGAACAGCACCACGATGAGCACGCCCAGCATGAGTGCGCTGAGCCAGAACACCCACTCCCATCCGAGAGTGTCGTTGGCAAAGCCTGCCCACACGGGCGCGAGGAAGTTGCCACCGTAGAGCGCCGTCGCGTAGAGACCCATGTAGAAGCCGCGCTCGTGCGCGAAGAAAAGATCAGCGATCGATACCTCGATAAGCATCTCGATCGGCGCCGTGAATAGGCCCTGTAGCACTTTGTTGGCGTGCCATGTGCCCTCGTTCGAGATGTACACCTGCCAAATGACGGTACCCAGGTGCCCGACTGTGCTGAAGATGAACATGGGGCGCTTGCCGAACGTGAGAGCCAGCGGTTGCGTGATCAGACCACCCCAACCGAGGAGGAGGAACACTGCTGTCAGCGCGATCCGGACGCGGCTCACTGTATCCGGTGCCTGCGTTAAGGGCGCCCAAGCTGATATTCTTTGCCTCGCCAAGCGGGACCAGCACCGAGTATACAGAGCACGCAGCGAAGCCGGAGAGGACGGTGTCTGCTGTCAGCAAAGGAGGTGTGGGCAGCTCACAAGTCATGAGCATCGCAAAAGCGAGCTGCTTGCGCCATTTGCTCCAATTGAGCGGGTCGTTGAAATCGCGGCTCGGCGTTGGACTGAGAATGATGTCTCCATGGTGCGCGCCGGTAGCGTGCTCGTCAACGAGCAGCAGCGAGCCGGGGATGGGCAGATTGTTGGGGTCTGTCGGCATGGTGGAGGATGTGGGGTGCACCAAACGACATTTCGCCGTCGCCCTATATACATTGCAGGCAATCGCGCAGCTTGCTGCGCGAATGTCTCAGTTGTGGGCGCGATTTCTGGGTGGCGGCGGATCGAGGCGTGGATGTACACGCGAGTGGAAGGGGTGGGTCTGGTGCATCGTGCCTGCTGATATCAGTTAAGCGGTAAGCGATAAACGGTGGATTTCCCTTTCCGGTGGGGTGGAGTGGGCACCGATTTTTGGTCACGAGATACCGCTTTCCGAGAGCTAGGCGGTACGCGGCTGGCTGGTCGCTCACACTGACAAGCCTCTGACCTTTAGCTCTAGATCTCGTCCCTCTGTCGTCTTGGCACGACAGAGGTGGAGTCAGTGAGAAGCAGCGGCATCGGGAGGCGTCGTCTTGACCGCGGAGCAAGTGGCGCACTTGGAGTTGGGTCCAGGGGTTGACGTTCGATGATACGTCGCGGGCTCGAAGCGTGGGAGTGAATCGCAGTCACCTTGAAAACGGCACAGCGCCCTTGTGGCGTCCGAGACGGGCGATCCGCGGACGGCAGTAATGCCGGGGCTCGCAGCTGATGAGGACGGTCTGAGACATCAGATCTCGAGTGCGGGACGCCCTGACTGCATTCTTCGATCAGTCACCAAAGAACAGACATCCTGAGATCGCAACATGAAGCATATCAGTCCCCTGACAGACTCAGACCGCACGTAATAACACTGCATGCAGGCTTGCCGATGGACGCCATGGCCCCGCGTCATCCCAGACGACGCTAATATGAGTGGCCGATATATTCAGACGACAAGCGAGAGTGCGGGATTTGATGCGCACAACTGTTGATAGCTTCTACTGCGACATGATTTTTCGCTAACAGTACAGTCGCTCGGCTGAATGAATATTATCAATAGCGACATTGCCGTCGGCCTGGGTGACGCCGGGGTATACCATGAGGGTATCAGAGTCGTGCAATGGATGGTTTACTCGGGGATCCTGGCCGTCTTGAGGGTAGGCGAAACATCGAAGGGCGCAGCGGTCTTCGCCTGAATCTCTTCGAGCGTCGCGCCGGGCATGAGCTCTGTGAGTGTCATGCGGCCAGCCCTGCGGTCGATCTCAAAGACGCCGAGCTCGGTGATAATCATTGACACGCAACGCGCACCTGTGAGAGGAAGGTCGCACTCGGCCTTGATCTTGGGCTCGCCCTTCTTGGTGCAGTGGTCCGTGACAATGATGATTTTGGTGTTGTCGGGGTTTGACACGAGGTCCATCGCGCCGCCCATGCCCTTGACGAGCGAGCCGGGCACAATCCAGTTCGCCAAATCGCCCTTAGACGACACCTCCATCGCGCCGAGGACCGCGACGTCGATATGGCCACCGCGGATCATGGCGAAGCTTTCATCGGACGAGAAGGTCGATGCACCCGTCGCCATCGTGATCGTTTCCTTGCCAGCGTTGATCAGATCGGGGTCGACCTGCTCGCGGGTGGGAGGGGGGCCAATGCCGAGGAGGCCATTCTCGGACTGCAGCCACACAGACTGCCCTTTTGGGAGGTGGGCGGGAAGTAGAGTCGGCATGCCTATCCCCAGGTTGACGTAGTAACCATCTTGGAGCTCCTGGGCGGCGCGTTTGACGATCATCTCACGCTTGAAGCGCAGAGACCCGTTGCCCAGAGGGTGCACATAATCGTCGCCAGGTGCGGGCATGAGGCTGAGTGTCTCGATGTCCTTTGGTTCGGTGGCCTTCACGATGCGATCCACATAGATACCTGGGAGGTGGATCTGGGCCGGGTCAAGTGAACCAGTCGGGACGACCTCCTCGGCCTCGACAATCGTGCACTTTGCGCCCTTGGCCATGGTAGGGCTAAAGTTTGTGGCCGTGTAGCGGAAAATGGTGTTGCCGGCCTCGTCTACCTTCCACGCATGGATGATAGCCACATCACCGGGCAGCGCCTCCTCCATAATATACTTCTTATCGTTGAACGTCATCGTCTTGCGGGGCGTTGGGAACAGGGCAGGCTTGGATCCATCCTTCGCCGCGTTGCGGTAGGGCACTGTCGCCTTCTCAATCGACGTCTCAACACCTGTGGGTGTAAAGAACGCCGGGATGCCAGCACCAGCGGCGCGCACGCGCTCCGCAATTGTGCCTTGCGGCGTGAGCTCGATCTCGATCTCGCCGTTGAGGTACTTGTTCTCAAGGAGCTTTGTCGCGCCGATGTGCGACACGATGCATTTCTTGACCTGCCCAGTCTTGATAATTGCGCCGAGACCCTTCTCCTCGACACCCGCGTTATTGGACACGAGCGTAAGGCCAGACACCTCGTCGACACCGCGGCGCGCGATAGCGTTGATGATGGTGGAGGGGGTTCTGCTGTCAACTGCGCAAGGCCGACTTTACCCACCCGCAAAGGCCGAAGCCGCCGGCCAGAATCACGTCGCCGTTCTTGACGACCTTGACGGCCTCGTCGACGCTGGGCCAAAACTTGGACTTGAATAGGACAGAACGAGAGGTCGCGAACCCGCGCACCAGCGGTGCGTGTGGCGTCCGCATTATGCGAGCAGCGGCGAACATGGTGAGCGGTGAGGTGAAGGGAGAGGGATGTGCGCGTCCCCAGCCTCCGGATAAGTATCTCGTGAGCATCAACAGCGGAGCTTAGCTTTGCATCGCGTCCCCTAAACTGCGGATGTTGATCCTCATCCCCACACCACACGGCCCCACTACCAGGCCCCATCACGCGTTGCCCGCGCGGCGCGCTCCTCGCGAGGAGTTGGGCGCTCGCGGAAGGGCTGCAAACGATCGCAAGGCCACGTCCGTTGACGCCCCGCGGCTTGACGCGGGGGCGAGTGGTGCGTGAGGTATGGAATGGGAGAAGCGGAGAGCAATTTGCCACGAGACGAGGCGTAACACCGGGCCGATTGGGTCTATTCCCGCCCTAACACCGCGCATGCCGCACAACTACTTGCCCGGCAGCGAAGGCAACCATTTCTAGATAACCGGGCGGCACTTGCCCGGCGAGTTTGTCCAGCTCTTCGCAAGTTGTGCGGAGACCAAGGCATGAGCGCCCTCGCGCCGAGAACGACCAACCGGGGACCAGGCCGATGTTAGAAACGACAGTAAGGAGGCCAAAAGGATGAGTTGGCCCCGCATAACTGTTCGCGGATTGCCAGGTGCCCAGCCGAGCCATCTTGCAGCACTCGGGTGTCTTAGAATGGACGTCTTGAGGCGTTCATGAGGCTTACAGGCCGTATAGATTAGCTGATTCTTCTGCCTGAACCCTGTCACAGCGTCGTGCTCAGCCTGTACTGGGGGGCATAAGCATCCATTACATGGTTGCGGAAACCCAGTGAGCGGCGTTAAACCGACGGTGTTATGGAACGGACTCGTCTGATAATGAAGACGAGCAGGGGCAAGCAGAGCCAATCAGGTGAACCATTCCGCACGGAGAGACCAAAATCGAACGAACTGCAGCACCTGCAACGAGAACGAGACCTGCTTCATCTCCGCGCAATCCCACCCCCGCATGTGCGATACCGCAACAGTTTCCTTTCTGAACGCTAATGCCACCGCATTGGGCAACACTCAGTGTACAAACTTAGGTGAAGAGTACGTTGGCCACCTTCATGAAAGCGTTTTTTGGAGGTGGCTCCTCATAAGCCACCATTTCATCGGTTGGGATGTTCGAAAACATGTCGAGCTCGGCGGGTTTGAGCCACTGGGGTCGCTTGACAAGCCAGAAGCCTGTGGCGAGTGTAATGAAGATGGGCACAGGAATGTAGGCGATGACGAAGTCGGACGGGCTCCAGTTGCCACGTGTGAATACCTTCCAGCCATTGAATAGGAGAATGACGGTGGCCCAAAAGATGACCCACAGTGCCGTGAACGGCTGCATGCGGTTGTAGTAGCTGCGTGAGCACGATCTCAATCCTACTCACTGGAAGCTCCGTCGATCAATACCATTGGCTTCGACGCCTGCCTTGAATCGAAGATATGTGATGCCAACCATCCCCCAAACGACGTAACCTGAGAGAGCAGTGAGATTCGAAAGCCAATTGAAGACAGTGGATGCCCCCTTGCTGATGCTCATGTATGCGAGTGGCATAAAGCAGTTAACCAGTGTGAGCGCGACAATGGGTAGACCTCTTTTGGTCGTCCTTGCGAAGAGGCGCGGGGCGTAGCCACGCAGTGCCATTCCGTAGATCATGCGAGAGGCCGAGTACATGAGCGAAGAGCCTGAGGAAAAAGCAGAGAGCAGCACACAGATATTGACAAAGTGCGGGAGACCTGTGATGCCTGCCCGCGTCATGGCCAGTACGAAGGGAGACGAGGCCGATGTGCCCTTCGATTGAAGAAGCTTGGGGTCGTCGTAGCGCACGATGAGTGATACGAGGAAGATCAGCAGAACGTAGAAGATGACGATGCGCCAGAAAAGGCGCTTGACGGCCTTGCGGAGTGCCACGCGGGGGTTTTTGACCTCAGCCGCAGCCACAATCACCATCTCGATGCCCATATAGCTTCCAGCCGCCTGGACGAGGTTGGTAAACCAGCCCAGGAAGCGCCCAACGTCGCTGTTGCCGTAGTAGGGCGCAAAGGGCCCGGGGTGGATCCAGTATCGGAACCCGATCCGGTCCTGCTGCGGACCCCCACCGAGGTCAATAACGAGGGCGGTCACAATGAGAATGATCACGAGGATGATCTTCATCGTTGCCATCCAGAACTCGAATTCGCCAAACCACGCCACACCGGCGTAGTTCTTTCCATCAGCTGACAGCAGGCACAGAAGCTCACGATCAGGGCGGCAACAACAATAAACGCGGTAATGTAGGCCGCTTGGTGAGCCTGAGAGAACCCCTCGTCCCAAAACGACACGAGGATGTTGGCCGCGATGATCTCACTCGGAGCTGAGATGCAGTATTGGATTGACACCTGCCAACCTAAAGCGAAGCCGATTGCCGGGTTAACCCAGCGCTCAGCGAAGTGAATGTAGCCGCCGGAGATGGGGGCGAAGATGGCCATTTCACCCAGGCACATGACTACTGTCAGCCTCAAACTCGCGCGATGCGCCGTTGACGATCTGCCACAAATAGCTGTAGGCATACACGTGATCATACCCGAAGTGGTCATATCCCCACAGGAGCGATCTGCAGATCTCCGTGGCGCTTCTGCTACGGGAATCAGAATCATGCAGAGCTACGAGCACGAACGCAGGAGCAGACACTCACGAGTTGAGTAGGCGATAGACCCCGTTAGGATGAAAGCGAGGAGGGCGCCCACAGGCCCGCCGTGCGCTATAATGCGTCCCGAGTTCAGGAACAGGCCCGTTCCAATGGTGCCAGCCAGCGCGATCATCTGCATATGTCGCTGCTCCATGCGGCGCTGAACACCGTCATCTGCGCCTCAGCTTGCCTACTCGAGATACAGCTCGTAATGCACTCACACAGTTGGGTGTGCACGTCAGTCTTGACCTCGCGCTCGTCCTGTATATGCTTGTCGTCCTGGTAAGGTTGCTCCACCGGTTGCTCCACATCCTCGATGTTCGGCATGGTAGGCGAGGGGGTTATCCGAGATTGATTATCAGAGATATCTACATTTTATGTGCTTCAGTCCAGCATCAACCACGCGGTAAGCAGTCTGATCACGTCCTCTTGTAGGCCTTCCGGTCCAGCCTCCGGCGCTTCCGGCAGGGGGGCCGTCCCCCGTTGAGAGCCTTGATTCGGGGAGCACGCCGCAGAAGTCTCAATAGAGTAGCCAGACCTCGTGCGACAGTGGGCAAGTGAAACACCTGGTTGGAAGCTGTGGGCCACATGATACATCGCGGCGTTACGGTGAGACAAAAGGAGTGTGGGAGGCCAAGTTGCTAGATATAGCATGCTCCACATGCCCCCACAGGATTGCACGCATTCCTTTGAGCAATGTAAAAGCCAAGTCATGCGCGCAAATGCAGTCTTTCGTCGAGCACGTGTGTCCTGCTCCAGCTTACCGCTAGTGAAGTCAGGTACTTGCAGGCCTGCCACTTTGATACGACCCATCAAGACCAACATGAGATGGTGAGTAGGCCCGCTCTGTTCCAAGAGAGCCGCCGCTAGCAAGGTCGTAACAGTGGAGATTCATCTGGGACAGTTCTGGGTCTTATACCCGTGAACCCTTTCTCCGTCCACCGTGCCCTAATGCACATTATACACCGTCACCCAGAACGCCCTCTCCTTTTATGTGTAAGGTCCTCAAGTCTAAGTCTTAGTCGCAGGCACGTCGCGCTTCTCGTCCTCAAAGGTGTTGAGCTCACGGCGGTCGTCAACGCCGTTGGGGCCAAGGTGACGAGGCTCGTCAGAGGTGTCCGACTCGGTGTCCTTGGCGAGGGTGGTGCGGTCGTCAAGGGAAACGTTGTCGATGAGGAAAGTGAGGGGGAGGAGGACGGCCATAAGCACCACGCCGATGATGCAGAGAATGTACTGCACGTCACGGTAGGCGGGGACGATAGCCTCGCGGCCAACCGAGTACGGGGGGTTCTCCTTAACGAAGGTGAGCGGGCTCCTGAAGACCTGCTGGGCGACACGGGCGGCGTTGGGAACACCGGCGGCCTCGAGACCGGCCCTGAGCTTGCCGGGCATGAGCTGAGTCCAGATGGCACCCGAGATAGCGGCAGCGATACCACCACCGGCCTGCGAACTGCGGATCAGCGATGCCATATACTTTGTGCTTACCCGACAGCCCAGCACGAAGTGAGGAGAAGAGCGTGCTCGTGGCCGAGCTTGGCCTGCATGGCAACAAGCGAAGGGTGCGACGAAAGACCGTTTCCGATACCCTCGATGATCTCACCAGCAATGAGACCAGCAAGCTGGCTCTTGCCGTAGCCGCCACGGAAGTGGACGAGCATGCCCTGGGCAACAATCTGGAGCACGGTACCGGCGATAATGAGGGGCTTGACAATCTTGTACTTGCGCACAATGAAGGCGACAAAGATGAGGGTCACCGAGCCGGCGAAGCCCTCAAGGGTGTTAATACGAGTGGCACCCTCGACACCCCTGTACATGTCAGCTCGGCATCTCGCGTAGGGAGGCAATGAACTTACTGGTTGAAGGACACGATGAGGGTGAAGTAGAGGTACGAGTCACGGGTAGAGCCGGCAATCGACTTGACGAACGAGAGGATGAGAATAATCATGACGTGACGGTCCTTCATGTGCTTGAAGGGGAAGATGGGGTGGCGAGCCCACTTGTGCTCCCAGAGAGCGAACATGGGGAGACAGAGAACACCGATCACGAGGGGAACAATGCACTCGGCCGAGCGCCACTTGGCGGCGACACCACCACCCAGCGAGAGAGGAAGAAGAATGAGGGCGAGGCCGGCAGCAAGGAAGAACAGGCCGGGGATGTCCATAACCCAGAAAAGGTGGACCCAGCGCTTTCCGGAAGTGAAGAGGCCCCAGGCGGAGGGAATGCCGCGCATGAGGCCGAGGCGGCGGGCGCGGAACGAGCCCCAAGCGAAGACAGCAATGACACCGATAGTGCAGATGGGAGCGGCGATCGACCACATACCAGCACCCCAGCGCCATCCGACGCCGTTAACGAACTTGGCGGCGATCACACCCGAAGACCAAACATTGATGATGGAAGGGAAAATGCTATCCGTTAGCATATGCTTATACTATCCCGAAGCTGGGTACTCACTAGACAAACTGCATGAACAGACGGTTGCGCAGAGTCGTGGTGTCAACGGCAAGAGCGTAGTTAAGAACTTGGGTCAGCAAGGCACGCGGCGATCTGCTCACTGTTTCCGCACACGTGACCGAGAGTGTAGATGAGGAAACCGGGCATGTAGGCGCCCAGGCTGTTGGAGGTAGCGACGATGACGGGACCGATGATCCAGAAGACAGCGGTGGCGCACAGAATGAAGGTACGGCCAACGTAGTCGGAGAGCTTGGCGGTGATGGGGAGGGTGGTGGCCGTAAGGACCTGGCGGACAGTGCGGACCATGCCGGCGCGGCCGGCCTCGCCCAAGTCGTTAAGCGCGTGGGACTGGTAAGTGCCCATGGTGGTGGCCGCGAGACTGCAAGTCAGGGGCGCTCCTTCCTGTTGTTGTTGTTGTGGAGCTACTCACGTGCGGGCGTAGGTCATGACCACGAGGGCACCGAGGAAGTAGACACGGTCCTTGATGGTCCAGGTCGAGACGATGGCCTCGATGCGGCGGACACCCGGCGAGTCCTTGTCGACGGCCATGATGGACGAGTTGTCGGCATCGTTGGCGTCCTGAGCCTGGAACACCGTCTGCTCGTGGTCGCGGCGCTGCCGCAGCTCGTTTTCGTTCTTGTCCATGGTGTGGGATGGATGCGATACGTTGCGAAGAAGAGGCGCCCAGCGTTATATACTAGCAGTGTCGGACGAGCACAGGTCGCACGAGAGTTTTGAGCGCCCCCACTCTCAGGCCAAGCAGCCGGCGCGGGACTGACCCCGGCACTCCATCCATCTCGTCTCGAATTGTCGGAGAGGACAGGGCCTCTTACTCCTGGCACAAAAGGAGGTGGAAAAAGTCGCTCCGAGACTGGTGCCCTGAGGCTCAATGCTGGGTGGTGCCGGGCGAGCATGTGATGGGTGTGATGTGGGTACGCTTGGCATCGGTCGCATCGGCAACTGTAGGTAGCAAGCGCGAATGAAACGGGAGCTTTATGAAAGTGCATCGGCCGAAATCTAATCAGATAAATCGGGCCAGCACATGTCTTGGCATCCGTCCAGGATTTTGGACCCTGCCGGCCGGCATGCCTCTGGTCCAGTTATTTTCGATCCAGCTTGCCTTGCCCGCCTGTCTAACACCTCTTCCGCCCTATGTTGGCGGAATGGGACGCGGCAACGCCTCAGCCCCACTTTGCACCTCCCTGCTCCTCGCGCTTGTAAGAGTGAGGGGGGAGTAGGCGTCTATGGCGCACGGCAAGCCCATGGCGTACTGGGCCAGGGCCCGACACTGAACGCCGACCAACTGACAGCCCAACGAGGGCCGGCCGGACTGGAGTCAGGACGGGAGAATTGGTAGCTGCCGAAAGGCCCCAGTCAACCATGGTGACAGCTTGAAACGCGGAAATATTGGCATGCCGCTGAGCAGACGTCCAAGGCACCACCAACCTTCGGTCGAAGGCACATCTGTGCATTTCATTGGAGGATAGTTCCTAACGAATCTCAGCATCCCGACCTGACGCGCCCACTGTCCTGCTTGGTGACACTGCTTTCAACACCGCTCAGAGGATGGAGTAGCCCCAGCAACTGGCTGTGAGCGGAGCGTCAATGGCCAGAGCGATGCCGACGTATTGCCGGTGGTTGATCAGCACCTAGGTATACTTGACACAGTGGCACCCAACTCCCATGACGGGGTGCTCAAGGAGGGCGGTAGCGTCGTACCTCATAGTTTCAATGATGCCACCGCCGGTCCCGCACTTCAGTTAACGCCGTCCGTGGAGCGTACCTAATCGGGTCCGTCTGCACCGCAGTTCGCGGCGCCCCTGCAGCCGGATCCGTCATGTGGGGCGTATGGCTGCCTTGGCACTGGCACGGCGGAATACGGGGGAGCGCAGTCCGTCCACCTTGCGTGATGGTTAGTAGCGTGATCCGTGCCGTTCCTCTCATAGAAAACACAGGCTCTCGTTGGCCAGGTGCCTGCCAACTACGGGAACCAACGACCCACGCTGAAATATGACTGACAAGTAGTTTGACACCTCGAGCTCACTCCTACCCACTTTCACTTTCGGCCCCGTCCCTGGGTTTGCCGCACCTAGGTTGGCCATGCCGAAATGATTCGCGCAGCGCATTATGCCTAACCGCTAGATTTATCACGATAAATTTGGAAGCTCACCTTTCAGATTCCTGTGACCTATGGGGTCTCTCGCATTTTGGTGTCCGACAAAGTGTGGAGCTGCGGTGGTGGCTGAGCGCCGAGACTTGGTTAAGGCTTCTTGGCTACACCGACTACTAGAAGGGCTACCCCGTCAGTCCGACTGCACAATCAGTGGCCCGGCTTTAGGTCAGAAGCACATTTGTATCGCCACGACTACGACGCAAACACTGGTGCCCGCCATGCCGGATCCCTCACCATTACACCGTCGCCTGGCCTGGCAGACTCCTCGGCCTACGTCTCACCGGTCGCCAAACGCAATTCGATGGATGCCAGCCTAACAGCAACACATGACCTCTGCGCCAAGCACGGGGTCCACCGCTTGGACAATGTCGGCGTTCACGGACCCTCGGCGCCGTCAGCCAACGAAATTTCGGAGTGGCGCACTATGAGCCTGACTGTGGGGCTCAAACTCTGCTGAGCTTGTGATCACGAGCGAAGGAGAGGGCTTGGCGTTCCATTCGTGGCCAGACCCATGTCTGTCGGCCGCACGCAGATGTGCAGTTCATGCTCGTGGAACCAAACAGACGAAGCACATGAAGGTTTTGCGACGACGGTTCAGCATATCTCCTTTCTTCACATTCCACTGCCGCTGCCATGTCCGCCCTTTCGGACATGCTGACAAGTAGTAATGCAAGTTGGAATCTCGGGCCCCCATGCCCAGTGTTCCGCGGCTGGATCTCGTCAGCCATGCTATGCTCGCGTGTCGGCCAATCCAACCATCATCGTGTCTCAAAATGTTCCACGAGTTCCACTAAAAAAAGCTCGAGCCTGTCTCACACAACCCCAAGCTCCAGCTTGTCATGTCACTTCACGCACCCCCAGCCACCCTGGTGGACGATGCATGCGCTCGGACCGCGCCAGATCCTCACTGCGCTCGGTCCTTCTGCGCCACCGCCACCGCGCGCGTGAAACATGTTCTGCAGCTTGTCCATCACTTTCATCTCGCTGCCCATCGCTGACGCTTCCGCACACTCATTCTGACCCACGCTTGATCTCTGACCCGCTGGCTCGACGCCGCCACATCGCTCCTTCACCCCCTGTCACTCTCTCCAGATCTTTGCACCCTTGCGCTCCCATCTTCGTCCCTTCGCCCTCTCATCCCCCTCGACCGCGACCAGCTTCCCCTGCCCGCATCTCTCGCTTCCCCGTCCCTATCTCCTATCTCGCGTCCGCTCGCGCACGCCCAATGCCAAGTCTCGACCCGATCCAAGTCACAGTTGCTGGCAGCGCAGCGTGCCTCGGCGTGTACGTCATCCTCACCGCGCTCGTCGTCTACAACTCGAAGAAGTGCGCGTACTGCGACCAGCGCCTCGTAGTGTGCAACTACCTGATCGCGCTATGTTCATGTAGGTAGCGGCGATAGGCGCGTCATGCCTGGACGGACCTGCTAATCTGCTCATCGGTCGCTCCCACTCACGCCAGTCCGCCTCGTAATCTTTGCACTCCGCATAGCCACAGCAACAATGGGGACGTGGGGGATAGTGCCCTTCTGGATCAGCTACGTCCTCATGCCCGGTGCGACGTTCTGCCTGGCTGAGAGCGGCGCGCAGCTCGTCTTCGACTGGCACTGGCACGGCGTCGCGCCGGGCGACATCCCGCGCTCGCAGCGTCTCGGCTGGGCCGTCCCGCGGCACCTGTTGCTCAGCGTCGCCCTCGTGCTGGGCATGTTCAACATCGTCACGCGCAACTACATCCCGCTCGGCTACCTCGCCGCGGGCATCTGGTGGTTTGCGGCGGCCGCGATGGCCGTCGGCTCCGTGTGGATCTGGGTGTGTCGGCGCCGGACCGACCCCGTCGGCGTCGGCGCGCTCCTCTTCGCGTGGGCCTTCACCATCGCCCTGTCCGCGCAAGCAGTGTTCGTGCTCTTCCTCGCGCTGGGACGGTTCCGCCAACCCGCCGAGGCCCTCGCCGCCTTCCCGTTGCTCGAGCGTGGCGTTGTGACGCTCAACGTCGTCCCTGACCTCCTCGTTCTTCTGCCCGCTGTCTCGCTCGACATGCGCGACCTCGACGCATTACGCGGCTTCCGCTTTGCATGGCACGAGACTTCGGGTGTGGCGGCATGCGAGCCGCACGAGACACATGAAATGCGCCGCCGCCGCACCCCGCCGCCGCCGCCGGACGGCTACGAGCGGCGCCGAGAGGTATGACGCAGTATGTTGATGCAGTTCGTTGGTCGGAGCGATCGGGGTGGTGCCGAAGCGCGCGCGCGACGATTAAACTCCGAGCGGGCACGTGCTAGCCACTCCGCGGTATGCCGGACGGGCCGTCGCTCATTTTGTCATCTCGGCCCCTCGCGTGTCGCACCTTGAGCATGGCGACTGAAAGGTGGCACCGGCGTCCCAAACTTCCGGGCCGCCAGGCCCCGCGAGCCACGCCAATGTCAGAGGCTCCGCTCATTTAACGAGCAAGGTTTGTTTGTGCCTCGTCCATCGAGGCAAACATTGCGGGGGTTGTTGTGTGGCCACAAGTGCCTGTCGGGTTCCAGTGCAGCTGGGCCGAAACAGCGATGAGCGTGCTTGACGGATACAGTTTCTAAGCAACAGCGTCAAGCCTCTTGAGATAAACAATGGTGTCAGTGCGAGTGGGGCGAGTGTGTATAAATGTGGCGGAAAATTGTGTTGGGCCTGTGTTCTTACAACAATCTCGTAAACACCAGGTAACTCGCCACGTCAGGACAGAACGACCGCTTCCCACTCTCTCCCCACCTCAATTCGAGTCAAGATGCTGATCAACGCAGCCCTCCTCCTGGCGCCTCTTACTCTCGCAGCACCCGCGCCCGTCCCCGACGCGCTGCCGGAACACGACCACTTCGTGCCCCTGGCCTCCCGCCAAATCGGGTGCGTCAGCAACGCGTCCAACGCGGATGCGCTGCAGCAGCTCCTGATCCGCGGCGGGTCGGGGTACGTGCTCCGCCTCTGCCCCGGGCAGGTATACACGCTGGACAAGCCCCTGCTGTTCAACAACACGCGCCAAGAGATATCGACGGCAGGCTACCCGACGGGCGCGGCGCGCGCTACGCTCGTCGTCGGCGGCGACCCCGCGGTGAACGTGAACGCGATCCGCGGCAACCGGAAGGGCATGGACGGGTGTGCGATCCGGCACGTGCAGTGCGACGGGAACCGGCGGGACGGGCGGCGCGTGCCCCGCACAGCCGGGATCATCGAGATGGGCGGCCCGACGAGCGGGCAAGTCGTCGAGCACGTGCACTCGTTCGACCCGCGCGGCTGGACGTGTCTCCACACCAGCGAGGGGCCGGACCTCAACTGCCGCGGCATGCGGGTCGCGCACAACCAGCTCGGGCCCGCGGGGTTTGACGATATCATGGCTGCCGCCCGGCCCGAGATGGCCGGATGGAGTGACGGGCTGTCGCATGCGTGCTCGAACTCGCTTGTCGAGAATAATTATATTGTCGACGCGACGGACGGGGGGATTGTGGTGTTTGGTGCGCCGGGCGGCGTAATCCGCAATAACACCATTGTCAACGTTGAGCGCCAGGCGCTCGGCGGCATCGTGTTCGCCCAAAGCCCGTGGCGCCCGCGAGGGAATTACCAGGGCTTGCAAGTATACCAGAACCGGATCGTGGGGCCTTTTGCGACGTCGGTGAGTCTTGTGGAAAGGTAGAGGGGGCGGATGGCTCACGCCAGTGTGGCGACAACGCCAAGCGCGTCGGGCCGAACAAGTACCGCGCCCTCACCAAGGTCGGCATCGCCGTCGGCTCGGGCGTGACGCAGAGCGCGCTGCAAGAAGACATCAAAGTGTTCGGGATGAGCATCTACGACAACGTGCTCACGGGCGGGTTCTCCTACGGGATCGCTGTGAGCCTCGCGCGCGACGTGAGCGTGCATGGCAACCGGTTTGAGAATGCCAAGTTTGTGAGTTCTGCGGGGAGCTGCGAAGGTTGCTGAGAGATGAGAATTGTGGGCGGGGCTGACGGCAGTTCGGCACGCAGCCCAAGCGGTGTTTCTGGAACTCGACAACAATCGACGGCGATGGGCAGCATCCCCACGGGCCCCTCCCGCTGATTTATTACGCGGGCTCGACGCACAACCTCCGCCTCCAGAGCGACTTCCAGCAGGCCGAGGCGTGGTATCTCATCTGCATTAATGCGCCGGAAAGTAACGCAAACGCGTGGCCGTACGCCGAGGGCATGAAGTGTTAGGCGGTACACTTTGTAATGACGACAAACGCGAACAATCTCATGAGTGGCTGCAGCGCCAGGCGCAAGTGGCGCACTCTTGGCAACACGTCCGCACAGCAGTCTAAAGATACAGTCGCATAGCATACAGCCGTGTATACAGATGCTAGCGGAGTCGTTCAATGCTAGCGGGAGACGCAATATACCTGGTACGGGAGGAAGGATTAAATCGCTTTGACGTGACTGCCGTGCAGCGCTTTCGTCCAGCGTGTGTACAGGCGTTCCAGACGAAGGAGTGCGGAACCGTCGTGGCTCGTGGCGGCACTATAAAGTAAGTGTCCAGTGAATCTAGATAGAAGCCTGAGATTTGCCGAGATTGGCGCGAGGTTCATCCTGGCCCGGCCGGCGCCCAAGACCACTGCTGCAGCGGTTGCGGGACTGGCTGTTGGAACTGCAGGAGAGGTTGAGGCGCGAAGGATGCATAATTCTGCACCTCTGCGCTTGCAGTGCCGTTCTGGACCGGCGCAGTCCCATTCGCGAGGGGATGGCTAAACGATGCTGGAGGCGCGCTGAGCGCCTGCTGCGGCACAGGCGGCGGAGGCATCTCGTTGCTCGCAGTGAACGATTCAAGCGGTGGGCCCAGGCTAGCGCCGCTGACAGCCGCGCGGTGCTGATCCCCCGGTGAACCGCTGGACGCGGTACTGCGTGACGTCGCTGAAGGCGCGCGCTTGGCTGTCCTCGTCGCCTTGGCGGCGATGGCGCAACGGCGAGCAATATCTTGCACCCGTGCCGCGGCGGCGGGGGCGAGCGCATGCGTGCGGTTCTTGCCCTTGGTGTAGGACGAAGAGGTCGTAGGCGATACCTGCGAGATTTCCGACGCACAGGCTGGTGGCTGAGGGGGAGCCATGCCTTGGTGCCCTTTCGCCTGGGAGACCTGTGAGGATTGTAATAACGCGCCACTCGGCGACCAGCTCGAATTGGAGAGGGAGTTGTTCAAGGGCGAGCCCTGAGCAAGCGAAATTGAGTAGGGCGAGGAGCTCGTCTGCGGCGAAGGATCCGGTGGCGGAACCGAGCTGTGAGGCGACGAGGTGAAAGAGCTGTTTTGAGAGAGTTGAGGGCGATGCGGGGAGGAGCTCGGGAGAGAGGACGTCGAGCTGAATGGAGTTGACTGGCCGGGAAGGCCGTTGGGCAGCGCGTTCATAGGTAGAGTCTGTTGAGCATAATTCGAACCTTGTGGATTCTGTGGAAGTGCAGGTTGAGCGAATGAAGGGGTCGATTGCGCGGAACTGAACGGAGGGGTCGACGACGCTGACCCAGCCGCGGTTGGGTTTGGGGCCAATGACGCGGCGGGTGCGAAGGGAAGATGTGACAGCGGCTGCGCGATCGTCGGCGTTCGCCCTCCAAGGTCGTGAGGTAGAGAAGCAGTGGCCACACTGGATGTGCTACCATTCATGTTGAGGCCAGACCCGCTGAAGGATGGTGTCGACCACGACTGGTTAGGTGGGGTTTGGTGTGATTGAAGTGGCTGCTGAGACTGTGATGCTGGTGGGTGCCGCGGATCCTGAGGGTACAGTTGTTGATGTTGTTGTTGTTGTTGTTGCTGTTGTTGATGGTGCTGTTGCTGTTGCTGTAGGTGGGGTTGCGGTTGCTGTTGTTGATGCTGTTGGATCTGCTGCGTTTGCTGCTGCACGGATGGTGAAGGAATTTGCTGCGCCTGCTGTTGCGGGTGCTGCCACCGAGATGGTTGCTGTTGCTGCTGCTGCCATGACTGATGCTGCGGCAATGGCTGCTGCTGCTGAGGCTGCTGCTGTTGAAGTTGTGCTGGGGGTGGCGGAGGCGGAGTGAGTTGTGGTGGCCGCTGTTGTGGTCGTGGCTGCTGCTGTTGGGGCTGGTACGAATGTCTTTGCGGCGGCTGCTGCGACTGGTACTGCAATTGCCGCGAAAGCTGCTGCTGCTGTTGTTGTTGTTGCTGTAGCTGTAGCCGTTGCTGCTGCTGCTGCTGCTCCTGCAACTGCAGCTGTTGTTGCTGTTGTTGCTGTTGTTGCGCTTGCGCTTGCAGCTGATTTTGGGCGGAAGGCGTTGGTGTGGCGAAATGTGCCGTCGCCGACGCTTGCGATACAACCTGCACGTGCTGCATTGCATGGGAGGTGTGCTGCAGCTGTTGGGGAAATTGCGCGGATGGCTGCTGCCCGCCATACTGCCCGTAGTCGGTCGACGGCATCGACCACGACTGTCGTTGGGCATAGGGTGACTGCTCAATGCCCCCCAGAGCCTGCCCTTGGCCTTGAATATGCCCGTTGGCGAGGGGAGGGGACGCGAGGGGCTGGGACCCGATCGGCGGCCGCGTCATGCCGTTGTGAGGTGACCATCCTGGCGCCGAGGGTGTCTGGAAGGAAGGTTGTGGAGGCGGCTGAGGCGGCTGATGGTGAGGTTGCTGGGACGGTTGGTCTGGAGTGTGTTGAAGCTGCTGCTGCTGCTGCTGATGTTGCTGCAATTGCGGCTGGAACGATGTCGAGATTTGTTGCTGAGCGTGTACGTGTGGAAAGGGCGCCTGATAAGCGTGGTGAGGCTGAGACTGCGTTTGCGGTGTGCGAATCACCGAGGTGTCTGTCACGCGCGCCGGTGAGTACCCAGGCTGCGCACGTTGCTGTACCACCAGTTGCGCTTGCGGCCATTGCTGAATCTGCGCCTGCTGTGCATACTGCTGCTGTTGTGGCTGCTGTTGGTGCTGGATCTGAAGCTGCTGCTGGTGTTGGAAGCCGGTGTTCTGGACCGACAGCTGGTTCAGATGATATGCCGACATGCCGCGAGGAGATGCGGCAGGGTCATGAGCTTGTCATGGGCGTGTTGGCGTTGGGACGTGCGAAGAGGAGCGGCGAGTGTGGACGAGCGTGGACGAGCGTGAACAATGGCTATGACTATCGGGGGTCGTGTCGTCGTGATCGAGTGTGCAGGAGGAACATGGTTTGCGAGGTGGCAATTGATTGCTCGCTCATGGGATGCATGGGTGGGTGGCGCTTGACGGGCTTGGGCAACGAGAGCGTCCCGAGTGGGTCGAATTCAACGGCCGCCGAGCCGCCGTCTTCCTGTGCCAGGTCCCTTGCGTGGGCCTACGCCGTGGGTGGCATGGGTGGGGGGCTCTGGATCGTGGGCCGAGGCGTGGGTGACCATGCCAAGTCGCGCAAAAGTCGCCGATGACGTGCTTTGGAACAGCCGCGTTTGCGGCACAGAATCGAACAGCGACCACGACGCGGGCTGTTCTTCGTGACCTAAGTTGGTTGACAGCGACCGTCTCGCGATGCTGTTTCCATCGTGCTCCAGCTATACACACACCGAGACGCGCGTTGAGCCATGCATCCAGTCGATTAGTCGATCGTGAGCTTGAATTGCATGAATTGTGTGATGGGGTATGCATGCCGCGCACAGGTCGGTTGTCGCCACATACCGGAAATATCGGCGTTATCGAATTTGGCCACTTTGCTTCCGCGCGAAACCTCGAAGTGGACCACAGCTCCCAGTTGAGAGTCTCAACCAGCAAGCAACCGCCAAAAGACGCCGCCATGGTGAGTGCCGACGACAGCAACGAGCACGAGGGCAGCATGCGCGCCGTGCGCCGCGCCGACTGCGCGTGATCCTGGAGCGCGGCGGGACGCGTATCGACACGTGAAGGGATCTGTGCAAGGATTGCGAGAGAACTGCGGTCGCGAGACCTGCCAGGGAGAAAGGATTGCTGGGACGACATTGAACGGCCCGTTGAGAGCGAGCGCGTGAAAACGCTGCACTGCGCTGTGCAGGAATCGTGGGGAGACTTGGATGGAGAACCAGAGAAGGACGGGTTGGAATATGGCTCGCAGATTGTGCGACGGCGAGTGAGCGTATGCGTTCGCGCAGCCGTGTCCACTGTTGTCTGTGCAGTTTGCAGTCTCCACCGTTCAGCTCGGTTTCCTTTCTGGTTGCGCTCGCCCGGCGCTGCTACCGGCATTTGGACTCGGTAGATGAGCCTGTCCGAGGTGTCGAATCCAAGTCTCGAGCCGCACCACTCTTCGTCCCTTCCTGTCGAAAGCGCATCTCACCTCCTCCCTCGCCGCCCACACGCCTTCCTCTCCACCGCCCGCGCCGCGCCCCGCTGCCCTCGTGCTCGTGCACCTCCCCCATCCCACCCACCCACTAACCCCAGCCCTCGCAGAAGACGTTCATCATCAAGCAGAAGCTTGCCAAGAAGGCGCGCCAGAACCGCCCCATCCCCCAGTGGTTCCGCCTCAAGACGGACAGTGAGTGGCTCGGCTCGTGCAATGCGGAAGAGCGCGCACTAACCCGCAGCCAAGATCCAGTACAACGCCAAGCGCCGCCACTGGCGCCGCACCAAGCTCAACCTCTAAGCGGCTTCCGTGTTTGGTTGGTAGATGGGACAGCGTGTACACTAGCGCATTGCGGCCCCTATGGATGGTGTCGTGACTTGCGAGATGGCGTGGGGATGGTGAAGAGTGAGCGGTGAGAGGATGGACAGAGAGCTGGGCGTGGGGGAGGGTGAGAGGAGGAACAGCGAGGGAGGCGCATGCTGGAGTCAGAGATTGGACTGGAGCGAGGGATGAGGGAGCGAGGGGATGTGAGTAGAAGACGTTGAAAACCCGGCGCTCGTACAGGTCAGTTTAGGAACTGTTGTGCTGCAGGCGGCCAGCTGCCAGGCGGCCAGGCGGATCGGCAGCTCAGTGGCGTGGAGAGAAGGCGGTGGTGGAGGAGCAAGCTGAGAGCACGTGTGTGACTGCGGTGGAGGTCGACCGCCGCGCGCCGCCGCCGAGCCAGCCAAGGCAATATTTGCGCATCCACCACTTCATCACCCCTCGTCCCGCAACTCTCTCCTCGCCGACCCTCGCTTTGCCGCCTCGCCGCCTCTCGCTCGCCGCCTGCAACCCCCGCTCCGCCCCAACATGTCCCAAGTACTCGAAACACGATGGATCGACGAGGTCGCCGCGCGCTTCGGCCTCTCCGGCCCCACATTCAGCGCCATCCTCATGGGCGTTCTCCTCATTGGCATGCTTCTGATGGGGTCGTTGCGCCCCGCCGTCGTCGTCGAAGCTGAAAAGGAGGAGCGGGAGCGGATCGCGCGGGAGCGTGCGGCGAAGAAGGCCAAGTAGTGGCCCACTGTATCTCGTGTGCACTAGCCTGCGCCGCACACCAACTCCCAGCCACACAATACCCCGCGGACAATGCCGCCACTATACATATACATCTATGCAATCTCCGCGACGAGGACGCGCTCCTCGCTCCGGCTGCAGACCTCGATGAGCTCGATGCGGCTCGGCACGCTGCTGATGGCCATGACGCAGCTCGTGCCCGCAAACGTCGTCCCTTCCTCCGTGCCCACGCGGTTCGCCGCGACGAACACGACCTCCCTTCCCGCGGCCGGCGTTCCCTCGTCGTATCGCGGCGTCGGGTCGTGCAGGGGCGCCAAGCGCGCCGCCCAGTAATTGAGATTAGACTCGGACGGGGCGTTCGGGTCGCGCGGCGGGACCGCGAGGCCGTCGTCCTCGTCGCTGTCCGAGTCGTCCTGTTCCGCCGGATCGAGCCAATTCATCCTGGCGTCAGCCCATCCCAGCTCTGGCGTGAACTTACGGAACGACGAGCATGTCCACGGCGTTATCTACGGCGAACGTGGCGAGCTCGTACGCATTCCACGGCGCGATGAAATCACGGGGATTCAAGTCTGGCGTCAGCGAGAACGCACTCTACGCACCCATGCATATGCCGACGCCGACCCGCCCCAGTGGCTGGGGGAGGTCGAAGAACGCAAAGCCATCGCCCTCGCGCGCCCACGTCTTGTCCGTGTCGAAACGGAACGTCTTGCGGTAGTTCCCGATGACACCCTCCGGTCCCGCGAGCACAGCCGAGTTGTACCCCACCCCCAGGTCGATGTCGGCGCCGGGGATGGCCTCGGGATATCCCGCTACGACGTAGCACTTGAGACGCGACGCGAGAGCCGTGGCCAGGCGTGCCGTGGGACCCCCCGGTGTCTCGAGGTACGGCGCGATGGCGGCGGGCGTCGCGAACATGTATCCGCTCAATGCCATCTCGGGGAGGACGAGGAGGTCGAGCGCGCCGGGCGCCAGGCTCTTTGTCAATGGATCGTGTAGATCGTGTGAAGCCACTCACCCCGCAGTCATGGCCTCGACCTTGGCCGCGTTCTCGGCCACGCGGCCCATCTTGACGTCGTACTGCACACAGGCGACGCGCAGGGGCTGGGCGCGGTACCGTGGCGGAAGGGAGGGGGGCGGGACGCTCATGATGAGCTTGCGCCAGGTAGAGGATAAGCGGCGAAGGATGGTGGCTTGGTGCTGCAATGCTGTGCGCCACTGCGCGGATGGCAGTCCGAGCGCAATCCGCAGTGGCCTGCTCTGATTGATACCCGTGCTCGATGCATGCTGCTTCATCAGGCTGCTGAAGTGTGGGGTCTCCACAATTGCCACGCGAGCGATTCCGCGGGGTTGTCGCGAAGTGCGGCTTGAATAGGTGCGCCGCCACACACGTAACGCCGAATCACCGGCCCTTGAGAATCGCCACCGTGGATGTTATTTCCCCCCAGGGCGCTCTGAGAGAGAGAGCCCACCTCCACCACGCCCATCTCTCCGCCCCCCCACCCTTTCGTTCCCTCCACTCGGACCGTACACCCACCCCCCGCCTCTCCCATCCACTCATTCTCGCCACATCTTCCATCCATCCTCTCCACAACACCGTCTCTTGCAAGTCAATCAGGAGCATCCCATCTCTCTTCCCACTCCGTCTGGTCGCTTCAAGCGTCACAAGGCGTCCCTCAACGTCTGTTATCAACCAGAGTGGAGGGCATCCATCTTGACTCTTACAACATCCCGTTCTCCCTCCACCTCCACCCCCCTCCACCGCACTCGTCCACCTCCATCCACCCTCACCAGGCATCCTCTGGCCACCTCGAGACACCCCCCCCACCACTCCTTCACACCGCTATGCCAGCCCGTCGCACACCCCAAGTAGGGCCCGACGGAAGTCCGCTTCCAGACACAAAGGAGAAAATGACCTTTGGCTGCGCCTTCCCTGGGTGCGGACAGGTGAGTCGACGCGTCTCGTCTCTCTCAGATGCCCCTCTGCATCCCCGGCGTTGCGCAGCCGGCTAGATTGTACACGCGCTGACACTTCCCAGACATACAGCCGCATGGAGTACTTGAAGCGGCATCAGCGAAAACGTACGTGTTGACCCCGGCCCGTCGCGTGGCAAGTGTCACGGGAGGCACCCGTCTCAGCAGGACCCAGCACTGACCTTTTGCAGACCAAGATGAACGCCCGTTCCAATGCAAGGACTGCACCAAAGCATTCGCGCGAAGGTAAGCTCTTTCTCGCGCGCATCATGTAGCTCACACCAGCGATGTTTTGCTGCGCCACCGCCGCCGCTGCCATCCCACGCCCCCGCCTCGGGACCGTTCATCGCATTCCCCCATGCCTCCGGTTCGGGCAGCCCACCCTTCGGTGCCTATCTCGTCTTCGCGGACATCCGACCGTGAAGCTTCCCCTCGTCGTGCAGGTGCAAGTGGGACTACCGCCGGTCGTAAGCATGCCCGCTCATCGGGCGGCTCGGCCAGCGAGCACCCCAATACCCGGCCCAGATTGAGACTCAGCGAGGAGGAAGAGGACGAGGATAGATACGGCTCAAGGCTAACGCGCAATGGCATGGGCAATGGCGGAGTCTTTGGCGTGTCCAACAACTACTACAATGGAAACCCTGTCTCGACAGATGACTACACGCCGGGTCTTCTGCCCATGTTCCAGAACGCCACTGGCCCTTACCACAACATGCACGATCCCAATCACCTCGAAGACGCTTCAGTCCTGCTCTCCATGGCATACCCCGGCGGAGTCCCCGGATCCAATTCAAACAATTCGGAAACCAGCCCCGCCGACGCCAGCACCAACTGGGAGAGCGCTGACGCTGCCACGCTCAACCTCTTGGCAGGCGACACCACCAATGGTGATGCCGCCGCTGCTATCGAGGCGGTTGCCGCCGCCGCTGCCGAAGAGGACGCCGACAAGCCCAACAAAACCGACTCGAGTTTTAACTCGGGCGCCGCCGATGACCCGGCTCGGCCGGCGGCGCCGGGAGCTTTGCTGCCCGAGTCGATGGGAAACGCGCTCGCTAATGCCATGGACTGGCTGGCTGGCGGCGCTGGTGTTGACAACTCGCCAGATGATTCCGCCATGTCTGATGCGTCGCGTCTACCCCACTTCAACATGACCTCTCTCTTCCCACCCAACTTTGGTTCTTCTGGGCTCAACTCGGGCTCGATCTCCAACGAGACCACTGCCATGGCTATCGCCGCCGCTGCGGCCGCCGCTGCCATCCCTGAAGAGCCAATCATGACCACCACCTTGACAACAACTAGCACCGACAGCAACCACATTGTCAGCAACAGCAGCAGCGAGGAGAATGAGACCGCCGCCATGGTCAGGGCCATCCTCGAACAGCTTTACAAGAATGAGGTCCCTGAGACTCGGTCGAACCCCCACCCCGAGCGTCCACTACTCCGGATCGCTAGTAAAGAGGTGCTGGTCCGCGCAGGTGATGAGTGCCCTAAAAGCTCGCGCTTCTACCTGCCCGCAGACAGATTCACGGGGTGCTACCAGATCCCTCACTGGGCTCTGCCGCCACTCCGCACGCTGTCCGTCATGGCGGCGCGCACGTACTACTCGGTTCTCAACCACTTCCCCTTCGTCCACGACCCGACCTTCCAGCTGATAGATACGGCAGCGTGCCTAGCCTTTGCCATCTGTACTGTCGGAGGCATCCGGCTGAGCAAAGCCAACAAGTCGACCAGCAACCTCCTGATCGGCGAGAGTCCGGCTGCCAGCGCGCCGTCCCCGTTGTCCGCTGGCGGCGTTTGGGAAGGCGTCGGCGCCGACTTTAAGGTTGCAGCTGACGCCGAGGATCCCGAGGACCAGCGACGTGTGCTGGAGTGGGAAGCTGGGCAGATCGTCCGCCACGAGAAGACGAACATGCTGGTCAAGTCGTTCTCCCTCGCACAGGGCGTGCTCATGACTGACTACAATGTTGCGCTTCTCCAGGCGCTCATCCTCTACCACGCCCCTTACTTCCTTTCTAACAACGAAAAGGAGCGCCGCCATGCCAACCTGTTTTTGGGCACTATTGTCAACGTAGGTTACATGGGCATTTTTCAGCTGATTGCAGATTACGCGCCAGATCGGCTTCTTCCAGACGGGCATGGAGCACACCGACCCGAACTCGCACCTTCCTCCGCCCGACTCGGCCCCGGCGGACCTTGACCGGGTGTGGCGTCGCTGGATACAGCTCGAGTCGCGCCGCCGCACCGCGTATTTGGTTTACCACCTCGACACAGTCTCAGCACTCGAGTCGTCTATTCCGCCTATTATTACGCCATCTGAACTCGCCAGCATCCCTCTGCCTTCGCCCAACACGCTGTGGCAGGCAGAGACGGCTCAGGCATGGGCCAAGGCGGTGCAAACCTACCGGCCTATGACGCTCGATGAGGCGATGCGCCGCACCTTTGGCCTCCCGTCGTCGGGCAGGGTAGACGAGGTTCCCAGCATCAAGGAGTTCCAGCGGGACGTATTTGCCGAGGGCGAGTACGGGCCATTCGCGCGCACAGCAGTCGTCATGACCCTCGTTCGTGGGGTCATGGACCTTGGCGAGGGGCGCCGTGACCGCGGCGACTGGAGGGACTTGACTGACCTGTGGTTGTCAACGGCACACCTCCGCCCAGCCGACACGTGCTTCTCTTCTGACGGCACCGACCTGGGTCCTTGCACGCAGGAGGCGCTGCGCGCCCGTTTTGCGCTAGCGCTCCAGAGAGTGAGCTTTGACGGGGGTGGATATGAGCTAACATCAGTGGCGTGAGGGCTGGCTGCACGACACGATGTGCAACAACCTTTCCGCGAGCACAAGCCCCTCGTCCGAGGTGCTCACTCCCAAGCTTACCCTGGAAGTGCTGAACGGCGACCACTCGCCTCGTCCACATGGTAAGCTCGCGTACTGCGAGGAGGCGATGCCGTTCTTCTTCCTCGCGCAGGGCTTGCTTAGCAAGCTTGGCTCGGCGCCGGGGCGGGACGGCAAGCATCGCCGTAACGCGTTTGCCGAGACGTCATACTCGGAGCTTCTCGACGCATCGCGCACCCTGGCCCGTGCGGGTGCAACGTATACCCCGAGCCCGACTAATCCGTAAAGTGTCTGATATTGTATGATTAGCAACGGCTGGTGATCTGGGCTCGTCGTTCGTAGTTGCTACCCATGTAGAGATTGATGGAGCGGTGTGTGGGTGCAGAGGCTTGCGAGTGACAGCAGGGGGGCGCATGGTAACGTTTGCCCAAGCATCCATCAAATCGGGCCCATCTATACATGCAGTTCTAAAGACACACAAAAGTTCGTCGCCATCATCGTTGTCCGTCATCGACGTCATCGTCGCGTCGTCGTCGCGTCGTCGTCGCCATTGTACAGGCGAGTTAAAGCTCATACTGAGGCGGGAAGAAGGCGCGGCGGCCGAACCAGGTGCCCTTGACGAGGTCGGAGAAGTAGACACGGGGGAAGACGTCCTTTGTGAGGTGGTAGAAGAAGCGGTTGGGGACGCTCTGGTTGGTCAAGGCCGAGAAAGTCTCGGCGAGCTCGGTGTTGTACTTGAACTCGGCGAGCAGGAGCGAGCCGCGGCCAGTGAAGAGGGGGCACGACGTGTATCCGTCGTAGCGTGCGCTGCCGACCTCGCCGCGCTCCATGAGTGCGACAAGGTTGTGGGCGAGAACAGGCGCCTGGCCGGTGATAGCGGCGGCGGTCTTCGACGTGGGGAGGGACGAGGCGTCGCCGAGGCCGAAAACGTTGGGGAACTTGCGGTGCTGGAGCGAGCCGTCGTCGACGTCTGTCCAGCCGACGCTGTCGGCGAGCGGGCTCTTCTTGATGACGTCTGGCGGGCCCATGGGCGGCACGACGTGGAGGAGGCCGAAGGGGAGCTCGAGCTTGGCGCCTTTCTCCGGGCCGTCGAGGACGTCGAAGACGGCCGTCTTGTCGGCCACGCGGACTTCGGAGAGGTTGGTGTTGAAGTGGCCCGCGATACCCTTCTCCTCGCGGATGGCGTTGAGCTTGCGCGCATACATCGGCTGCGAGAACATCGTGGGCATGCCCGTCACGAACGTCGAGTGGACGCTGCGGCCTTGGTCCTTCCAATACCAGTCGGCGAGGTATGCGATCTTCTGCGGCGCACCAGCGCACTTGACGGGCCCAAAGGGCTGGGTGAACACGGCTTCGGGGCCGCTAAAGTCCTTGATGAGGCGCCACGTCTTGTCCACCGTCTCGAACGAGTAGATAGACGCTACGTTGGAGCCGGGGTCCGCCAGCGCCTCGGGCAGGCCCTTGACGTTCCCCCAGTTGATCTGGATGCCGGGGGCAACGACGAGGAAGTCGTACGCGACCTTGGCGCCGTCGTCGAGCACGACCGTGTTCGTGCCCGGCTCAAAGGCGGCCGCATTGCGCTTGATGTGCGCAAAGTGTCGCGGGATGAGCGAGTCCAGTGGGCGCCGGAACGCGTCTTTGTTTCCCAGCCCGCCGCCGACCAGCGTCCATCCCGGCTGGTAGTCGTGGTGGGGGTTCGCGTCGACGATCGCGACGTCGCCGTCCGCAAGCGTCTGGTTGCGCGCCTTGAACAGGTTGTACACTTGGTTCGCGGCGGCCAGGCCGCCCGTCCCGCCCCCGATGACAAGCACCTTGTGCTTGCCGCTTGAGGACGCCGAGGTCGTGAGTGCGCGCGCGAGGGGGGTGAGGGGGGACATGGTGGTGGGCGAAAGCAAAGCGAACAAAGGTGTCGAAGCGCTCAAGTGTCTGCATGGCTGCATACCTCGCTCGGAAATCCATGGCGTGATTGATCAGACCTCCACCTCCTCGGCCTCCGCAGCTGGAACATGACAACAATCGCGTGCCTGCGGGCTTATCCCAATCACGTGAGAGACACGTGGGATGTAGAATTGAGCGTGAATCTTGGGGTTTCCGAGGATGAATCTGCCACGGAGGCATTTATGAGCCGGCACTGCTTGGGGGCGCGGACAGAGGCGATGCAGGGACAGGTGCGCAGGGACGAGAGGCATGTTTAATGATCCGCCCCTGTCAAGGTAATGATTGCCTAATGTTATTGTAATGTAATGACGATTCCATTCAATCAGCCAACGTCGCTCAATCAACACTTGTCACAAACAGCCCCTCCTCCTCCTCGCCGCTCCCAGTCGCGTCTACATCATCACTCTCCTCTTTCTCCACTCTCCCCACTCCACTCACTGTGATCACTGTCTCACTTACTCGCTCCCCCCCTCCCTCTCTCGGTCGCTCGTCATCCCCCATGGCAGACCCATCACCTCCGCCGCCTCCCGCCGGCGCACCACCCGCGGCCGCCTCCTCCTCGCCGCTCATGGCCAACCTCAACCGTCTGAGCCACGCCACAAGCCGCCCCGACCTCCCTCCACACGAGAGCTTTACCTCACGCACCATCCGCGCAGTCGGGAGCGCCCTCAGTCCCGAACAGGCGTCCGAGGAGCTCGACTCCCTCATCCTCCGAAACACAGCGCACCGCCGCCCCTCAGTTGCTGTTGACAGCTCAATCCTGTATCCCACGCTCGAGCAGCACGGGCAGGCCGCCAACGGGCCTCTTCTCGTCCTCAACCTTGCGGCGATCAGCCACGTCCCGCTGGCCATCAGCAACGACGAGCTCCTCGAGGTGCTCCTGCGCCGCCTCGAACCATGGGTCGGCGAGGACGGCGAGGGCGCTTACAGTCTCATAGTCCTAGCCGCCGAGGGAGACGGCGACCGCCCACTGCCCGGCGTTGCGTGGTGGCTGTGGCACTGGCGCCGCATCCCGCGCAAGTACGTCTCACCCGCACCAGAGCTGACTGACACAGATTCCGCAAAAACCTCAAGCGCCTATACATCGTCCACCCGTCAACACTGACAAGAAGTGAGCCACGCATGATCCTTTAAACCTAACAACCAGCCGTGCTCCCGCTCATAGTGCCGCTCGTATCCCCCAAATCCTACGGCAAGGTCATCACCGTCCCTTCTCTTCTGGCGCTCACGCACCTCAACATCCCCCTGCGGGGCATGGACCTGACGGTGCCCACGCTAGTAGAGGAGGCGCGTGTTCTCGCCGAAGACCCGAACGCCGCGCAGCGCAGCAGCGTAACCGACGCCGTCGGCCGGCGGGCGAGCACGTCGCTCGCCGCCCCGCCCGAAGCGGGTGCGAGCGGCTGGGGCGCCTTCTCGATGCTCTCCGCCGCCCTCGGCACCGCCACGAGCTGGCTGCACCCGAACGTGAGCGCCGCGCTCGCCGATCGCCCCCCGCCCCCCTACTGGAGCCGGGACATTGACGCGATCGTGTCCGAAAACAACGGGCACGTGCCGCGCGTCCTCGGCGCGATCGGCACGGCGATCCTCGCGCACTGCGCGTCCACAGAGGGCATATTCCGCCGCTCGTCAAACTCGCCCCTCGCCCCCGTTCTCCAGTCCTTGCTCGACCTCGACCTCGACCTCCAACCCCGCCTCGACTGGGCCGCGCTCGCGCAGCACGACCCCCTCCTCCCGCCCCTCATGCTCAAGCGCGTCGTGTCCAAGCTGCGACCCCCCGTCTTCATGCACCACCTGTACCCCACGATCCGCGCCTCGCACACTGTCGCCGAGTACGTTTCTGCGTCTATGCACCTGACACCAGCCTCGAGACCAAGCTCATCCCCGCGCTGTCGCAGGCGCGCGCGCAGCTCCTCGACGTCGTCCTCCACATCGCCTACCATCTGCTGCCGCACGAGCGCGCGACTCGCATGGGCGCGCGCCAACTCGCGCTCATGTTCGCGCCGTCGCTCATCTCCGGTCCTGACCCGCGCGAAGATCTCGCGTTGCTCATGGAACGCGGCGTGGCCGTGCCCGCCGGCCTGACGCCCGCACGCAAAAGCTCAGACTCGGACCGGACCGGACGCTCGTCCACGTCCGCGTCCGCGTCGCCGCAGGCGGCCGCCCTGCCCCTCCCCGACACCGAGGCGCAGACGCTCGTCGGCGTCCTCGAAATGTGGATAACCAACTTGCCGGCCCTGCATGAGAAAGAGGGGTGCGACTGCGCGATGATCGGCAAGGCGTCGCCCGTCACCCCCCTCGCCGGGCATGGGCCGCACGCGCTCCTCAACGCCCAGAGCGCTGGCGCGCGTGCGCCCCCCGTCGCGACGGCGTCTTGAGTTGGCTACTTCGTGTCTCCGCCAATGTACCACGGACGATCGGCTATTGTTGTAGGGTTAGGACTATGGATAATATCAGTGCCTGTCGGCGTGTGCGAGCCAGTGCGAGAATGTATCGCGACTTCAATGGTGCATCGTTCTAGCTTTCTGCGCCGGGTCTATCGGCGCAAGGGGTCCGGGAGTCCGGGAGAAGGTGGGGGCGGGGCTGGAGGGGACGAGGACTAGCGGCTAGTTGAGCACGCACTTGTAGTCGACGGCGGCACCCGTGTTGAGGATAAGCGCGACGATGAGGCCGTACAGGCCGAGAACCTCGGCGAAAATGAGGATCAGGATCATGCCGACATACAGGCGCGGCTGCTGGGCTGCGCCGCGCACACCGGCATCACCGACGATGCCGATTGCGAAGCCGGCCGCCAGACCCGCCAGGCCGACGGACAGACCCGCACCAAGCTGGATGAAGCCCGTGTAGAGCGGCATGGGGGACTCGAGGCCGCCCGAGATGAGCACCGACACGACGAGGCCGTACTGGGGTGAGCAAGCAAGCAAGGAGAGTCACTCACAATGGCAATAATACCGGCCATGACGACGGGGATCACACACTTCATCATCATGTCGGGGCGAAGGACGGCCATCGCCGAGACTCCGACGCCGGACTTGGCAGTGCCGTAGCTGGAGGGAAGATGGGCGACATGAGGGCAATTAAACACGGCGGCGGCGAGGCGCAAGGCGAGAGCGAGAGCGTCAGCATCCCGGCACGTGTTGCCGCGGTGTAATGTCCGTACACCGATCCGTCAACTCACGCAGCACCAATACACGTCAGCGCAATGGCGGCGGTGCAGCCCATGGCGCCGAAGAACGGCGCGTACACGGGGCACAACTCGGTGTTGATCTGGGGGGCGAGAGAGGCCATGGTAGTGTCTGGGGTAAGCGCTGTCTTTGAGTCTGGATGGGCCCGGACCAGCAGCGGGTGCGGCAGCGGCAGCACTCAAGCAGCAACGCACCTACGTCCGTGGTGTGGGAGATGGACACTGGGAGATGGATGATGAGTGCGAGGGTGGTGACGGTGACGACGAGTGACGAGTGGGGGCGGGCCACCCTGGCTGCCGCCGCCGCTGGTGACTCCAGGTGGCACGCAGCGGCGCTTCGGCATCTCGCGAGGTGGCACCACGTGGTGCGTGGTGGAGGTCCTCCACTGTCGCCACCCACTCCAACATTACATCTGCATCTGGCGCAGTTTTCTATCCAAATCACTGCCGCACCGCAATGGACGTTTCGGCAGAAACGTCGGCAGAAACGGAGCGCAAGCGCGCGCGCTCTCCGAGCCCGAGTCCGTCGCCGCCGCCAGAAGCACACTCCCCCACGCCACTAGATTACCACCACCGCCCGACCAAGTTCCACCGCGCGCCCTCCCCGTCCCGCGAGTATCTGTGCACGTTGCCCCCGACCTGCTCGCAGCCGGACACGGCACAGACGTTTGCAACCGAGGCCGAGCTTGAGGCGCACCAGGAGCGCCTGCATCGCTGGATGTGTCGCGTGCCGATCCGGGACAAGCCGGGGCGTGTTGGAGAAGGCGCGACAGTGCTCGTCCCCGAGCAGTTTACGGGGCGCGGGCCGCGCGCCGGGCAGCGCTTCCGCGAGTGTGGGAAGGTGTTCCCCAACGAGCGGCTGTTGGATTTGGTGAGCGACAAGGAGGGCGCGGCTGACCGCAGCACTATACCGAGACGCACGACCCTATCGCGCGCGAAAGGCTGGAGCGGGGCGAGAAGATCGTGCGTCATCAATCACACGAGTACAGCTGACGCCAGTACGAGTGTTTTCTCCCGCCCGACCGGTGCGATAAGGTGTGTCTCACGCTCAAGAAGCGCCGGCGACATCTCATTGACAAGCACGGTATGCGGACGCGATCGTGCGGCTGCTGACGCCAGGCTATCCCAACACCTACTACTTCTCCATCACGGCGCATGGGTTGAACCGGATCACGCGCGAGGACGGGCCCGGCGCGAGCCTCATCCGGCCATATCGCCCGGCGCCGGAGCACAAGGAGGACAGCGTTGGACATGGGCACGGGCACGTACATGGGCACGCCCACGGAGGGCACGCCCACGCCGCTCCGCCTCGCCGCACGAATCCGCACCATGCGCCGCCACACCCGCCGAGCGATATGGATATCGACGACCTCACGTCCAGGATGGGCGCGTTGGAGAGCAGCCTCGCATTCGTGCCTCGCAATGTGCGGCGGGCGGCGGCGCGGCGCGAGACGCGGGCGCCGATGGAGGTGGGGTAGAGGGAGGTGGGGGGGTGCAGAGGGGCGAAGAGACGGGTGCAGAGAACGTTGGGCAGGGGAGAGACGATCGGCGAGTGAGCTGTGTAAAATGGAGCCGGCGGGTGGGTATTTGTTGACACTTCTTCTGGAGGTTCCAAGCGGACGGACGCTGTGAATCTCGCAGCAAGACTCAATCCAGCGGTCAGATCACCTTGTATGCATTATTCCGTTGTCCAGACGGCAATTAACGGAGGAAGTGGTGTTCGATCGTCACAGCACTACTGTTCTCCAGCTCTCCAGTTGTCATGGGCAAAAATAGTACTCCCAAACACGTAATAGTCTTCCGCCGGCCACTCGGCCAGTCTCCAGTCCCGCAACCCGCCGCAATAGGCCGCACGCAACACTGCGACCGCAATACAACTTTCGTGGATGCAAAATCCCACGCGCTCGCCTACGTTCATGACGACAATGGCAGATTCCGCTCGCTCAAGGTCAGAGGGACAGGAACGAGCCGTGCGCAGTCGTCCAGGTCGGGGGCTGTGCTCGCTAGGCGTCACTGTGCGTTCCGAGACGTGCATGCCTCTGCTGAGGTGAGCTGGTGCGAAAACACAGGCGGACGGGAAGAGATCCAAGAGAGACGAGGTGCCAAGCTACGGAAGACCCGAGGGCGAGTGACAAGTGACACTGATGAGACTGAAGAGGCAGAGATTAGCACGCCGTGGGTGGTGTTTAGCTTCCAGGGGTAATTGAATTGCCCCAACTGGCATTACCCCAGGGTATGAGCCACTACTCGTAGGGTGGGCAGGGCAGTTGCCCCGGGGTGCACGACGTCATATCCGTCTGTCCCTGAATGGACGTGCCGCCCCCTGAGAAGACACACACGATTGACCAGCCGCCGGCCTACCCGTTGCGGCAAATGTGGCAGGTGATCGGCTGAAACGCGCCTCATCGTGACCCGGAGCATGCCCACACCCACAGCCAAGGCGGCTCAAAGACGAGGACAGCAGCCGTCCCGTGCCGCTTTGCTTGCCGGCTGGGAGGTAGTGAGTGGCGCCTGCGACTGTGGCATCCTGGCCGAAGACGGCGCGGGAATCGCGTGACCCCCCACCTCGAGAACCTACATAATAAACGCTCGCCTCCCAGCTTCGCGTCTTTAACCCCCATCAACAACTACCTCTGCCATCATGCTCTTCGCCCCTCTCGTCGCCCTCCTCGCTGTCGGTGTTGCTGCCGACAAGCGCCAGCTCAACCCCGGAGAGATTGCTGGTCTCGTTGAGAACTTTAAGAGTGAGTCACCATGGTGGAGAGGGCGTGGGAGGCGTGGGAGGCGTGGGAGACCGTGGGACGCGTCGTAACATAGACATAGTCTGTGGGCGCGCATAGACTGCCTCTGTCCGTGTCGACTACCCCCTTGTGGCTGTGCCTTTGCTTGATTTTTCCCCGCTCACACCAGACGCCGGCCTCGGCGACCTCGTCGGCGGCGACAACTTCAAGCCCGAGGGTCTTCTGACCGGCAAGTTTGGCACGGCCGATTGGACCGTTGGTGCCAACATGACGGTGAACCAGACGGCCGACTTCCCGTCCTTCTTCGTGCAGCCCAACGCTGGCTCTACGGCCTTTGACAACACGACTCAGATGTACACCGCTGCGCTTGTGGACGCGGGCGTCGTCGGCTCCAACTCGACGACCCAGACGCTCCACTGGCTCATCAACTCGATCCACGTCAACACCACCGGCGGTGCCCCCTACGCGCTCGCCTACGAGAACGGCACCACGATCACAGAGTACGCGGGCCCGAACCCGCCCTCGGGCTCCGGCCCGCACCGCTACGTGCTCGCGCTCCTGCGCCAGCCGGCCAACTTCACCGCGCCCGCCGCGTACAGCCAGCGCAACACCCCCGTCGGCCCCTTCAACATGGCCGAGTACCTGCAGCAGACGCAGCTCGGCCCCATCGCCGCCGCCAACTACTTTACTGTCTCGAACGGCCCCATGCCCGAGAACCTCACCTCCACCTCGGCCGTCGTCTCGTCCACCCTCTCGGGCTTCACCGGCGCCGCTGCGATCCCCACCGCCGCCGGCGCACAGGGCGGCGGCAACCCCAACGCCACGACCACCGGCAACGGCAGCGCCGGCGCCAACCCCTCCAACCCCGCCGCCAGCCCCTCCGCCACGGGTGGTTCGGGCGCCCTCGCTGTCCTCGCCCCCATTGCTGGTGTCCTCGCCTCGGTCGCCGGCGCCGTCTCGTTCTTCTAAGCGCCGCGATGAGCGAGCGCCTCCCCGCCCTCGCGCCGTAGCACTGCATCTGTTTTCTTCGAGCAACCCTCCTTAATTGGCGATAATGTGCGCACCTGCTCTCCCGCTCTCGAGCGGAGGTACGATGAATGCCATGATTTGAATTTGCGGGTCTGGTGGTGGTGGTGGTGTGTGTGCTATCGGCCATTGGGATGTGCTGATGATGGCCGATGGGGCGTTGTGTGCAGCGGTAATTGTTGATCGCACAGACCTGTGTTCTGATCGATGTTCTGAATGTTCTCGCGATCGTCGCAGCAAGCGGCGTGTGAATGATCTAGACGCTTTGGATTCTGCGCTGGTTTCAAGTGTACATGTACTGGCACAAGAGCTTATCACATGCTTGATGCTTGGAGATTATTAAATGAATGAAAGGTAGGTGTTGAGGTGATCGGCGCGTTGTATCACCCTTTGTCTGTGGCCTTGTGGACGGAGCCGAACAGTGATGCAACTCTCATCATGGCTCGGCATTGCTTCGGCCCCTGCTGCGTCGCGGTGCATCATCAACGCCTGCCCGATGCCGATGCCGATGCCAACACCCGCACAGACGTTCGGAATGGGCTCGACGTGAATGGCCGATCCGAATTCGGCGTGTTCGTAGCCCGTGCTGGACCTCGGGTGAGCGTTTGGCCTGCCAAATACGAAATGAGCCATGGCATGTCAATACCCAGCTGTGCATGCATGCATTCAGCAGAAGCACCGTTACATCGCTTTCACACGCCAGGCATGCAGCCATGGCGTACGCGTGCCCGACCCCGAGTCAACGGCGTCTGACTGTCTGACTAGAGAGCGCATCGTCATAGGATATTCGGGACTGGCGCGGCCTCCGTCCACCCATCCGCAGAACGCGGAGCCTGAGAGCACAACGAGCAGCGAGCGAGCACGACGAGTGTGGCAGAGCAGTCGTCCATAGCTTCAACTGCAGCATGTGACATGCATCCAGCGCCACACTCGTGTACAACAAGCCGACCAAGCTGATGGCGCACTCCTGCCAGGCCCATGCTGCATGCTGCCATCGCAGGCCCCGCAGGACGGCGGCCATGACACGAGCGCGAGAACAAAAGAGCAGGAGGGTGGATTGAGGTCAAGCCGATTGGTGGATCTCGATGCGAGTTTGGCCGGCCGCCACACGACGGCATTAAATTTCCTCCGCCCTGCCAGCTGCCAGCCGACCCCACCGCCCAAGCCCCACCACCCGCAGGCAGGCAGACCCCCCCCCCCCCCCCCCCCCCCCCCCCCCGGACCCAACCTCTCCACTCGCTAGCCTCAACCCTCTCGGCTCCATCGATTCCATCCCTCTCACTCTCACTCACCACTCTCCCTCCCCCATCCCCCGCCCCCGCCCCTCGGCTCCCCTCCCAAAATGTCGCTCCTCCGCATCGCTGCCTCCCGCGCCGCCGCGCCCCGCCTCATGACCCGCGCCGCCTCCTCGTCCGTCCACGTCGTGAGCCAGAGCACCAACGCCTCGGCCCCCCTCCTCGCCAACATCGAGGCGTCCTGGTCCTCCCTCCCGGCCTCGGAGCAGGCCGAGGTCTACCAGGCACTCGAGGAGGTCCAGAAGAAGGACTGGAAGGAGCTTACCGTTGACGAGAAGAAGGCTGGTAAGTGCTTGCGCCAGTGGAGATTGCAGATTGGAGGCAGGCGAAGCAAGGCAAGGACAAGCGTGTGCAAGCAAAGCATAAACAGAGGGCGTTAGATGAGCGCAGCAAGGTTGCACGCAGCAGCCAGGACGCAGAAGGCAGCAGCGACGCCTTGCTGCCGACACCGAAATGCCTCGTCGGCACCGTCCAACCGGCGACATTTCTTTTGGCGACCCAATCTCGGGTCGTGCCGGGCAGCGGATAGCGCATCATCGCAGATCGGCGCCTGTCGTCCATCGTTCCGCGCATCACCGCCGGCGGCGTCGGCGCTGCGCCGCGTTGCGCAACCTACGCTGCGCGGTACGCTCTGCAACCCAGCACACCCCCACTCCCATCCCACCATCACACCCAACCTCGGCACCAGGCAACCTCCACCCGAGGCGAGGCGCCAGCCCCTGTGCCATGCTGCCCATGCGTCCAATCCGCGCATCCCGTATCCCCCGCCGCTTGCACTGCGCTGCAAGCGCAACGCCGCCTGTCTTCTACCCGCCCGCTGCTCGCCTGTTTGCCTGCTTGCCTGCCTGCCTGCCTGCCTGCTCTTTGCCTGTCTCCATCTGCCCCGCTCCCGCCCCATCCCACAACGCTAACCCCAGCCTACTTCGTCTCCTTCGGCCCCCACGGCCCCCGTGCCCCCGTCCTCCCCCCTGGAGGCAGCATGAAGGTCTTTGCCGGCACTCTCGCCGCCGTCGCCGCCGCCTTCACCATCTTCGCCGTCGTCCGCTCGCAGGCGCCCCCTCCCCCCAAGACCTGGAACCGCGAGTACCAGGAGCAGTCGAACGAGTACCTCAAGGAGCAGAAGTCGAACCCCATCGTGCGTCCCGCGCCGCTCCACCCGCTAACCCCAGTCCGGTGTCTCGTCCGAGGGCTACAAGGGCAAGGGTATGGTTATGGTCTAAATGCGTCCAGGGCCGAAAGTCGGAAATGGATGAATCGTATTTGCATAGCGGCGCCGATGCATTGCACGCGTTGCGTAGGGCGTGTGGGGTGGGATGGAGTGGGGGTCGGTGTGGGTGTAGTGGGGTGTGGGAAGACGAGAGGAGAGTGTCAGTGACGCGGGTTGGCGGAGGTGAGCGATGGAGGCGTGCGGAGTGGACGGCATAGCGAGGACATCCTCGGCGCTACTCTGCGTCACAGCGCTATTGTCCGCACCTGTGGGACGTGCGCCAATCACCGGCCGTGAGACATCATCGTCAGAGAGACAGGTCGTCTGGCAGGCACATGACTGCTCTTCGAGCAGGCACAAGCTCGTGCCACTCACCGGTCCGCCACGAAATATGCCATGACCATGGCGGCGGCGGATACATGTTTTACGCATCTTTACGTACCATACTGTCTAGCGCACGGATCCCGGCCGCGGCGCGAGCATCGCGAGAGGAGGGCATCTGCAGATGTCGGAGCGAGGCGTGTCTTTGTCAGGATACGCTGTTGTGGCCACGTCTCGAACTGGAGAAAGAGAAGTGGATTGAGTGCTAGGGCTCAGCACGCCGTTTCGGGGCTCACATATGAATTGCGGGAAAGGGTGCCGTGGTGGTGTCAGGTCTGTAGATAGCGTGTCAGAGAATGGCATCGTCAATGCCCTCCTCAACCAGTCTGAAGCTCCATTCCCCACTCACTCGATAGTTGGTGGATTAGTGGTTACTCTGCTCGTTTTCGCTCATATGAAGTGTGATGCATGTCTATGGTTACGCGCCGACCTTGCGCACGTCGGGCGGGATGACCTGGTTCTTGGTCTCCTCGAGGGCGAGCTTCTCGAGCCTCTCGATCGCCTTGCGCGCCTTGCGCTCCTTGCGCGCCCGCTTGGCCTCGAGCTTGATACCCTTCTCGCCCTCGACCCACTCGCCGTCCTTGAACACGCGCCCCGCCGCAACGTGATACTTGACCTCGCGGCGTGCGAGGCGGATCTCCTCGTCAAACGCCTGCGCCGCTGCCTCGGCCACCTCGGTCTCGGTACGCGGCCGGATCTGCACGCCGCTGAGGTTCACGTACTCGTTCGCCAGCACGGCAGACAAGCCCTTGTCCTTGCCTGCGGCGGTCCACGCGTCCACGGCCTCCTTGACGGCCTGGGCGCGCGCCTCGGCCTCGGCGGTGCGGCGTGCCGTCCATCCGCTCTGCTGCTTCGCGCGCGAGAACCGCGGCGACAACTCTTCGGAGAGATACAGCGGCATAGCCGCCTGCAGTGCTGCCTGTCCCCGTGCGCCGGGCTGAAGGATGTACTTGTCCGCCCAGGTCTGGTCGGAGGGGGCAGGGGCGCGGAGCGAGTTGGGAACGAGAGATGCCGGCACATCAGAGGGCGCGGCGAGCCGCAGCGTCGCGCGCTGCACGACGTCCTTGCGCGTGTCCTGCGCCGTGGGCGGCTCGGGCTTGGACGCCTCGACGACGGGCCACGGGATGTGAATCTGGCCCTTGGCCGCATCAATGGGAGCCGCGGTCGGCGCACTCGTCTTGGCAGCAAAGCGCTCCCACACGAACCGGTTGGTCGCGCGATCGAAAACCGGCGCCGACGTCGCGATGCGCGTCGCGAACACGCTCTCGGCCCCCGCCTCCTCCACACACAGCTGCACGTTCGAGTACTGCACGGGACGCTGCGTCGCGACCCAGTTCTTCTGCTCTGTCCACTCCTTCTGCGCCTCGGGCGTCAGGCTGTCAAAGTCGGGCGGCAGCGGCCGCGGCGAGTTGGCGCGCTTGTTCGTCAAGCCCTCGAGGTACACGCGGTTTGTGGTCTTGTCGACGTCCGCCACAGTGTACACCTTGTACCCGGACTCGCGGCCCTCGTCGGCATCGTTGAACTTGTCTTTTGGCGCACCGACAAGGATGCGTACTCGGTCGCCCTTGATGATGTTGAAGCGCGGGATACGGTCCTTGAGATGCACGAATCCCCGCCCCTTGAACTTGGGCACGCGGCCTTGTGTCCTGCCGTCAGCGACGCGCTCGCGGGCACAACTCACTTGTGCACAAACTTGTTGGACGGCTTGGACGTCAGGTGCGAGAGCGCGACTGCGGTCAGCTAAGCGTACGCCGGCGTGGAACTCACTCTTGCGCGCGCGCTCGAGGTTGACGGTCCGCACGCCTGTTGACATGGTGCTGGAGGGTATGACTGGCGATGCCGAGGCCGGTGTCCGAGGATCCGACTTTTGCTGGACACTCGACATTCTCGTCGGGCGGAGGTCGGAGGCGCGGAGTGATACGAAAACGTCCGTAACGACAGGTCATTGTTGCCGGAGATGGAATATTATCTCCGGTGGGCCCCGCGTCTCGGCGCGTGAACGATCGCCCCCCCCCCTCGCGTGTCACGTTCCCGTTGTGCCGTGCCCGTTGCCCGACATTACTCCCCTCCCAGACGACACCTTCACTGCCCTCTCCCGCTCATCACTCGCCTCTTCTCTCCTCTCCACTCATCACTCCGCTCATCCACCATGCCCCCCGCCGCGCCATCCACCCCCCCGCCGCCCGGACACGAGACGCGCTCGACCTTCGCGGACCTCCTCCGGGCTGGCGACAAAGCTGTTGTCTCATATACATGCCGACTCAAGACATCTCAGGGTCGGATCGACGCCGAAGTGGTCATCCTCGCTCGTGGCTCACAGACCATCAAGGAATCTGCGTAAGCTCGCCTCCGGCATGCCGTGCGCTGACCCAGTCAGTGTCTTGATAGTCACCGGAGGGCCGCAGCCGCGCATTGCACACGCGCTGCCCGTCACCCCGTCGCTGGCAGTCGCGCTCGAGCAGGCGCCACCTTCCCCGTCGACTAGCTTCTTCGCCCAGAGCTCCAAGCCTCGTGAGTGCGGGCGAGATGTAGCTGACGGCAGGAATCGAGGTGTCGCTGACAGGTACGCCGGTGTCGATGGCTGGTCCACCGGTGCCGCAGCGGATCGAGCTCCAGTTCCCGCCCGGCGACACGTTGCGCGTCTACGCACTGGTCAAGGAGATCAGGAAGGCCATCAGCACGTCCTGTAAGCTCGCACACACTCGAGTTCAGCTGACACAAGATTACTCGTCGTCATCATATGGCTGGCTCGCGTACTATCCTGTCACTGCGTTCGGATCACCTACAAGCTCTCGCACCAGCTCCCCAGCATCAGATCAGTCTGATGAGACTGCGGTAGCGGCGAGGCCTGACGGCGAGGCGCCGGCCAAGCCAGAATTAACAGAGAGCGAGCCAAAGGAGGGCGAGACGGAGCAGTACCCAAACCCCTACGTGGAGGGTTTCTCGCGGCCAGGCTTCCTCCGCAAGCGGCTCTTTGCCCGACAAGAGAAGTGGTCGGAGCGCACGCCCGTCAGGTGAGCTGGACGTTGCCGTCCTTGCTGACAACAGCATCCGCATTGTGACCTACAATGTCAACGACCGCGTCCCGCCAGCCGGGACGAAGGAGCTCGCCCCAATCCTGGGCTATGGCGCCGAGGACATACTCGTCGTCGGTCTGCAAGAAGCAGATCTTCGGAGCCAGTCACTGCTGGTGTCGCAGGGTGACGAGCGTGCAGCAGCGTGGGAGGTCGCCATCTTTAACGGGTTACGAGAGAAGGAAGATGCGTATGAGCAGGTGGGTTTAGAAGCGCGCCGTGCTTACCCTGCCAGGTTGCCGTGATGCAGTACGTCGGCGTCATCTTGCTCGTGTTCGCCAAGAGCGTGATCCGGCCACATGTGCGCATGGTGCAGACTGCTGCACGCGGGATCGGTATTTGGGGCATCGGGGTGAGTCTAACCGTCTTCGATGCGGCTGTCTCGCTGACAAGCAGGGAAACAAGGCAGGTGTGGCCTTGCGCATGAAAATCCACGACACCACTGTCTGCTTTGTCAACTCTCGTGAGCCTCCCACCCAGGGCACTGCTGACCTCAGACCTCGCAGCATTCGCGTCTCAGCTCTCCCGCAGAAGGCTCGACTACCAGGCGCTGAGGACGACATTGACGTTTGATCAGATGCCCGGGTTACACCCACCCACCGAGGCATACTACCCCGACAGTGGCCAATTGGCCGTGGACGACTGCGACGTCTTGTTCTGGTTTGGTGACCTCAATTACCGCCTCGAGCTCGAGCCTAAAGAAATACACGCCCTCCTCGAGGCGCGCCAGTACGAAACACTGTTGACGGCCGATCAGTTGAGGACCGACATGGCGGATGGCCACTCGTTCGTCGGTTTCTCAGAACCCGAGATCAAATTCAAACCCTCGTACAAGTATGTGCATGGCTCGGTTACGCTGGATCCGAAGCGCGCGCCAGCGTACTGCGATCGTGTGCTGTACACCGCGCGCAACGGTGAGGTCACGCCAAACCGCTACGCTTGTCACGATGTCCTGTGGTCCGACCACTTGCCGGTGACCGCGACGTTCTCGCTCGGAGCTCGGGTTGTCGATCAGACGAAGCGCTCGGACGAGCTCCTCAAGTGCCAAGGCGAGCTCGACCGTTTGGACGAAATGTACCGCCCTAGCCTGGTGGCCGACGTGGAGGACATCGAGTTCGGCGATATCCTCTACCGCCGCCCAGTGGTGCGTGAGCTGACGCTGCGCAACACGGGCCGCGTACCGGCAGGCTTCTCGTTCCGCGAACCCGCGCCAGGCAAGCCAATCTGCCGGCCGTGGTATTGGCCGTTCCCCGCCGCGGGCATCGTTCCCGCCGGCGAGGAGGTTGTGCTCAAGCTCACCGCATGCGTTGACGAGACATTGTCTGCTGGTCTGACATGCGGAGGGGAGATGAGCGACGTTCTCGTCCTGCAGGTCCAGGGCGGCAAGGACTCGTTTATCACAGTCCACGGGTCGTTTGTGCCCACCATCGTTGGACTGCCACTCGACGTCGTGCCCGAGCTTTCGGACGTGATCCGCAATGTGTCGCTGGCAGAGCGCAAGGCTCTACTTAACGACTCGGAAGAGTGGAACGCGCAGGAGGAAAACAGCTTTGGCGATGAGCTGCCGGTAGTGGAGATGAAGTCGCAGGACACGGAGCGGGGTGAGGACAAGCTGGCAGGAGACAGCGAGAAGGCATCGGGAACAGAAACGGAAGCCGAGACGGAGTCGGAAACCGGGCGCAAGTCGGCGTCGCTGGATCCCGCAAGCGCCCTTCCATCAGACGGGGCCTTGGACACAGACGACGCGGCATTCGACGTCGCACAGCTTGCGCTCGACGCCGATGTCTCCGGACCACCCTCCAAGGCCCCTACGCCCTCTCCCTCCACGCCCGCCCCCGCCCCCGCCTCTAGACCCAAGAACAAGCGCGGGCGTTCGGGGATCACACGCCCGCCGCGTGAGGTCTGGCGTCTCCTCGAACGGCTGATGGAGGCAGGCAGCGTCGAGCAACTGTGGACGACGCCGCCTGACTATCCCGCCGTTCTGTCTGTGATTGACGTGAGTCTCCTCTTCTCCTGCTCCCTCTAACCACAGGCACTCGACACCGGCGCACCCCTCCCGGACGATGTGCACGCGGTCGCGAATGCCCTCCTGCACATCCTGTACGCATTGCCGGAACCGCTTGTGGCGGAGAGTCAGAAGTGGGCGTGCCGCCTCGTCATGAGCCGCGACGACGCATACGCCGTCCTGGAGACGGTGCAGGGTGTGCATGCTAATGTGCTCATTGGGCTCATGAGCGTTGCGCGGCTGTGCGCCGGTGGCGAGGAACTGGACAAGGACTCAGGTGAAGCAACGATGACGGACGAGCTGACATTAGTGCTCGCGCTCGCCACGGCCATCTTTGGAGGACCGGTCAAGTATCGCGAGGGCCTTGTGTTGGGGCTGCTGCAGGGATGAGTGTATCTGTAGACATCTTGTAGCTATGCAATCCCAAGAACCTGAGAGACGGCGGGAGTTGGACTGACAGCCTTCCGTCCGCTGTTTCCGCCTCTCCACCTGCCAAGCTCTACTGCTTTACATGTCTTGCACTACGAGTGGCAATTTTGATACAGGTATGATTTTCGACATCTGACAGCTCGACGCACTGAACGCGCGCGACGCCTACTGCTCGTTGACAAAGCACGCGGCCATGCCCATGCCGGTGCCGATGCACATGGACGAGACGATGATCTTGGCCTTGGAGCGCTTGGCCTCGGCGAAGGCGGTGGCGATCTGGCGGGCGCCGGTGGCGCCGAGGGGGTGGCCGAAGGCGATGGCGCCGCCGACGGGGTTGACCTTCTCCTGGGGGAGGCCGACGTGGATGATCGACATGAGGGCCTGGGACGCAAAGGCCTCGTTGATCTCGTAGATGTCGACGTCCTCCTTGGAGATGCCGGCCTTGGAGAGGACAGCGGGGATGGCGAAGGCGGGGCCGATGCCCATGACCTTGGGGGGCACGCCGACGACGGCGTTGGTGACGTACTTGCCGAGGATGGGGAGGCCGAGCTTCTGGGCGACGGAGCGACGGGCGAGGAGGACGGCGGCGGCGCCGTCCGTGATCTGCGAGGCGTTGCCGGCGTGCGTCGTGCCGTCCTTGGAGAAGGCGGGCTTGAGCTTGGCCAGCGACTCCTTGGTGACGCCGTCACGGATGCCGTCGTCGTGGTCGACGACAATCTCCTTCTCCTCCTCGCTCTTGGGGTCGATCCACTTGGTCTTGACGGGCACAGTCTCCTCCTTGAACTTGCCGGCCTGCTGCGCCGCGTACGCCTTCTGGTACGACTTGGCGGCAAACTCGTCCTGCGCCTCGCGCGAGACCTTGTACTCCTTGGCCACGTTCTCCGAGGTGATGCCCATGGGCATCAGGCAGTCGGCCGCCTCGGGGTACGACATGATGTCCTCCGAGAGGGCGGCGGGCATGGTGCCCGCGCCGTAGTGCTCGGTCATGGACTCGACACCGGCGGCAATGCCGATGTCGTAGTCGCCAGCCCTGATGGCGTTGGCAACATCGACGACAGCCTGGAGACCCGACGAGCACTGGCGGTTGAGCGAGTGCATGGGAACGCTGGTGTAAATTGTGAATCTCCGGACTGCTGAGTTTCACTCACGTGTAGGGGATGCCGGCGGCGAGCTGAGCCATGCGGCCGATGGTCGCTCCCGAGCCGGGGGGCAGGACGTTGCCGACGACAATGTCGCTGCAAGTCAGCTTAGTCATCTTGGCGTTCAGCGTCAGCCTCTCGCACTTACCCAATGGCGGTGGGGTCAACCTTGCCGCGCTTGACCACCTCGACGAGGACAGCCTTAAGGAGGTCCTCGTGGAGCGTGTCCTTGAAGCCGCCCTTCTTGGCCTAAATGTCAGAGCGATCATAACCAGAGCGTGTTGGTACACACCTTGGTAAGCGGGGTGCGAACAGTCGAGACGATGACAACGTCATCGGCCGAGTTCATGAGGAGGCGGGCCTTGCCGAGGGAGGGGAGAGCGTTGGTGATGGACTGGAGGGGCGACATTGTGGTGGCGGGTAGAGGAAGAGGGAGAGAGAGAGTGAGAGTGAGAGTGAGAGATGGAGAGATGCAAAGATGAGATGAGGAGGCTGATGAAGAGTCGAGGACACGATGGAGGGAGCCGGGTCGAGCGGATAGCCGGAGAGTGACGCGCTCTTTCCCCTCACAACACGGTCATCCATCCCGCTCGACGAATATCCGCCTGCTTTTATTTCCGGCTTTATCCCTCCCTGCAGTCACCCCGGGCCGCGGGCTGCCATCGAGAGCGCGCGCCGTACTCGGTCAACGGCCGCCGCCGCCCCGCGCCTTCCGTCTGCATCTACGGTACAGTACGCTCGTCCCATCGCCGCATGGCTTGGGCCCTGTGCGATCTGTGAGCCGGGTGGCATGCGGCTCGCATCAGCCGGCTGCAAGTGGAGGTGGAGGCATGCTCGAGAGATCGCTTCGCCATCCATCCCCGCAAATGTTTGTGCACTCTCACGCCCCGTACAGGCCGTACATGTACAATCGAGACCTCCTTGCCTCTGTTCTCTTGACCAGCCTCCCTCCGCTCGCATCAACGCCGTCCTCACAATGGTACATACAGCAGCCCCAGGCCCACTGCAACATCTAAGCGCGTCCGCAGACAGCGTTCTACACTATTACAGGCTCATCCCAAGAAGTTGAAGCAGAACAGGTGCAGCGCGATCGACGCAGCGGTAAAGTCGGCAAAGGCGCTGTATGTCAGCATTCCAGCGGCTGGGCTGACCAAGACGGCCGCGTCGAGATAACCGGATGGTCGAGGCGGCTGAGATCGGCAGCGTGCCCGAGTCTCGGGCCATGATCGCGCCCGAGGTATTCAGTGGCAGTTGGAGCTCGACGCTGTGACCACAGGTCTCCAATCCAGGCCGAACAAAATGATAGAAATCAAAGGGTGGCAGGTGTCTGCGATTCCACGACCCATCCTCCAAAGCTCGTACGCGTCACGCGACGCTGCGATCTCGCTCCGCTCATTTGGCGCGGGCCATTCTCGCAGCCACTCAAAAAACTCACCGCTCTTGGGACACGGCCTTGAACTCAGCATCCCGCCCCGGCGCGACCTGGGCGCGCAGCCCAGCAAGTAGACAGAACTGGCCGACAGTGGACCCGAAGCTGGTGTTAGCTGTGCGCCAATAATCCTGCATTGCAACTTTGCGCGGCGCCAAAGCCCGGGGTGTGTGACGTGCAACAGCACCATCGAAACTCACCCGCCTACAAACGCCCCGTACGGGTGCGAGGTAACGAGAAGGCGGTAGGCGAACTGCGTAACGCCAGAGATGATGAGGAAGAGGAGGAAGCAGTCGATGAGCTTGACGCGCGCGGGCACCGTGCTCTTGTAGTTGCTAACGAGCGTGTTGACAGACGACTGGAGCTGCTGCGTAGGTGCTGAGGCGGGCATGATGGAGAACGAGTGTGGTGAAGAGTCGTGTCGCGTCGACGTTGTCGTCACTGAAACGTGGACGCCTATGTGGGGGCCGGATAAAGTGCTCAAAAGTGGAGGACCGAAGTCGACCTTGTCCGATGTCCACTCCGCATACCCATATTGCATCTATCACAATGGCCAGCCGTCCCCCTACGCTCCAGGAGGCTTCGGACTCGTATTACCCCAAGGGGATTGTGAGGCTGCGCACGCCAAAGCTGACCCCAGCACGAGTCGCCCGCGCTCAAGCGGGCCCGCCTCCCGTACCAGATCCGCAATGTGCTCACGGGCGGCGGCATCGTCGCCTTCATCGTCGGCGTCTACTTCTACTCCATCTCGGCGGTCAAGCAAGACGACTTTGTGAGTTTTGAAGCTAGACGGCTATGAGCCGGAGCGTTTGGGAGCCCAATGAGACGGCGGGTAACGCTGACACCAGTCCGATGTCGTCGACCTTCTCCCGCCACCGGAGGAGCGCGCGAAGATGCGCTCAATTGAGGACGAGCTGCGCGACAAGGAGCTCGGCGTTGCGCCCATCGCCAGCGAGCTGCCCAAGCCCGCAACACCAGTATCGGGCGGGACGGGCGTCATGGCTTGGCTGCCCAAGCGCCTCGACCAGGTCGAGTGGCTGCATCGCCGCGGGTGGGTCGAGACCGGCAAGGGCAATGTGATTGTGTGGGGTGCGCCGAACGTCGACAACATCGGCAACATGCGCGACTCGTTCCCTTCCGCCGGGCCTCGCCGGGTGTAGAGCGCAGGTCTGAGCGCGGCGCGAGCCAGTGGAAAGTCGTCCATCTCATCTCTGTATGGCGTACAATAGCATATGACACTTCTCTCCCTTGCGTATCGTGTGCGCTTCATGCGCACGAAGTCTGCAGTGAAAAATCTCCCCACGTTGCTTGTCGAGCCTAAACAGCTGGCTACGGTTGTCAGCGATGGAGCGAGGACGACGAAAGGAACACTCACGCGCAGCGCACGCAGGCGCTCGGCCAGACGCCCATCCTCCTCCATCGGCCCCTCAGTCTGCGCGGGTGCCGCGATCTGCTCCGTTGGAACCTTGGCCTCGCCGAGCCCATGCTGGATCTCGAGCCCCGCCTCGTCCGCCACCTGGTTGATGAGGCTGTCGACCTGGTCCTGTGGCGTCGTGAGTGCAGTCGTGTCGCTCATCGTCGACTCCATGTATGACGTTTGAACATCAAGGTCATTGAACTGCGATTCGAACTTGTCCATGACCATGGATATCTGCATTAGCGCACCCACGCAGCACACGTACCCGCTCGAGGTTCATGCTCTCCATCGCCTTGTCCATCCCGCGCACGACGTTGGCCATGCTACCCGTCACCGTACGCATCGTGACGGCCGTCTCCACGCGGCTGGCCACCGCGTCAATCCGCGACGCCAGGCGAAGAAGGTTCAGGCCCTCTGTCTTCTTCCGGATCGCATTCTGTGCGTAGATGCGCGCTCCTTCGGTGTTACCCTTCTGCAGCGCCTATAGTCAGCTTCCACGACACGCTGTAATCCTACAGCCTTCAGCTTGTTCTTCTCAGCCGCCTCGTCCTTGTTCGCCTTCTTCGCCTGCCGTTGCAGCGTCTTGGCAGTGAACTGGGTTAGCGGAGCGGACGGGCCGGAGTACCTTGAGCTGGAAGAGGGCCTCTGGATGTCAGCGCGCGGCTCGAGCTAACAACATGGAAAATAGACGCACTCTCAAGATTGCTCATCGTGTGAAGGCTGTTGTGAGTGGGGAGTGGAGAGATAGGAAAGATGGAGAGATTGAGATGCAGTGTCGGCCGGATGTTGGTTGATGGATGTTGCCGCCACCCAACGTCGTCGGTGGGTAGCGTCATCACTCAATTGAGATTTGCTTCCGCTCCACGCCCGCAATGTATTGACCGCGTTGATCCATGACCCGCCAGAAATCAACCTCTTCAACATCTCACCATCTCCACTCGCTCTTCTTGCATCAACCAACTAGTCGGCGTCACTCGCGCATCACAGCATCTTGGCAGGCAGGGCCGCCACTCCTCGCCATCACCCGCACCTGTCTTGACCAGCACTAATATCATCACCGACGTGGCCGGACCCGTCACCCCGCTCCCATATTCCCATCATGATCTCACTCCTCCACCTTCTCTCCTACCTCGGGAGCATCACCGCTTTCCTCTTCGTCACGCTCTCACTAGGTGAGTCTGTGTTCATCTCTTAATCTAACAGCAGCAAGCGGACTCCTCTGGATCGCCGAGCTCATCGAGGAGCACTCTCGTTATGCGCGCATCGTCGGCGTCCGCTCCATTTACGTGAGCTAATCGCACTGGCATACCTAACCTCAGGTCATTATTGTGCTGCACGCGCTGCTGTACATTGTCGACGGGTTGCCATTTCTCCACATCGTCTTCTCGATCTTCTGTCACGTCGTGTACCTGCAGCACTTCTCGTCTGGGTCATGGCCCTTCATCTCCCTCACCTCGCCGGTATTCATACTCAGCTGTGTGCTGGTTGTCGCGGACCACTTTCTCTGGTTCTTCCACTTTGCCGGCGTCGCACAGGAGGCCAAGCGCGCCCGCGCGGCACGCTACCGCTACTCGCAGCAGGTGGTGCGCGACGCCCCATCCTTTATGGACGTGGCCGCCTTCTTCGCGACTTGCGTCTGGTTCATTCCCCTCTTCCTTTTCCTCAGCCTGAGCGCGAACGACAATGTCATTCCGTCATTTGGTAAGCCAACCATCAACCCCGGTGCTGATGGCAGACACGTCCGCACCACCCTCGCCGATGGGGAGTACTGTCGACCTTACGCAGATGAACCAGCCCGCGTCGCCACGCCGAAGGCTCATGGGCGCGTCACTCGTCAAGACTGTCCTCGCGCCCATTGTCAGTCTGATTCCACGCGGGAGACGGAGCAACCACGGCATCATCGCCCCCCCATCACCTCGCGTCATGTCCCCTGCTCCCGGTCCCCAGGGTTACTCGCCATGGGGCGGCGACTCGCCAACTTCGACGCCGCCATCACGACCACCGATGACCCATGAGCATAGCTTCGGCGCTGCTTCTGGGAGGCTCACGCCGCCGCCAGCGTCAAGGCCACCCAAGTCGCGCTCAGCGAGTGCGCTTAACTTGAGAGAGGAGAACGGGTTGACGTCGCCCACGCGAAGCAGGTCGACCCTACCCGCTGTCGACATGGGGACGCGGAATAAGGCGGACTGAGAAGGTGGGCTGAGGGGAAAGGGTTTCCTCCTTGACTGTAGAACGATGCATAGACTGGATCCTGAGTAGTACCTCCTCTCGCGCATTCTCACCATTACCACTCCTCGGGCTCGTCGATCCACTCGCCTGTGCGCCGCAGCTCACGTTCTCTCTCCCGCAGCACGCGATATCCCTTCCAGCGCCCGATGACTGCTGGGTCTTCCATGCGGCTGACACCGAGCTCGCGGCGCAGCTCTCCGATCCCCTGCTCCCACCGCTTCTCCCAGTACACGCCGACGAGTGACCGTCCCGCGGCGCCAACCCGAAGTGCCCACGGCGCCCAGTCTGCGCGCCACATCTCGCGCCGCTTCGCACTGAGCCGCAATGGCCCGAAGGTGCTCGACAGCGCAGCGGCCGGCAAGCCCATGTTCGCCCACTCAATGACCTGGCGTCAGCAGCTCTCTCCCCCCTATTATACCTTGAGCGTAAGCTCGTGTGCGAGCGTGGGCGGCAAACAGAACAGGGTATGGTACAAGTCATGTGTCTGACGATACCGGAGCATGGTGTACGCGAGCGACGGCGAGTCGATATACCGGACCTATCATCAGCCTTGCCTGCACTCCTGCACTCCTGCACTCCGTCATACCTCCGTGCGCGAATCAGGCGTAATCCCATCCCGATCGAGCCACTCCACATACTCGCGCCCGACCGTGCCGCGCCGCATCCCGCGCAAGCTATCGAGGTTCACTGTGCGCGAGCTGACGACCGGGCGGTCGCGCAGGATCTGGCGCCCCTCGGGATGCGCGGCCATCGCGTCGTGCAGCCGCGGAAGAAAGGACGCGGCGGTGCTCTCGCTCAGCGTCGCGATGAGGTCAGGCCGGTTCGTGTAGTCCATGACGCCGACGACGCCACTCCCGACGGCGAGGAGGGCGTTCTGCGCCGCGTTCAGCGGTACGTGCGTCGGATAGTTCGCACCCGGGGGAGTAGGACCGGTCGGCCAGGACGCAGCGGACGGGGAGGTGGAGAGCGCGCGCGAGAGCGCAGGGACGGCGCGCGACAGCGACATGATATGTGGAGGACGTGCAGCGTACTGCGAGCTCACTTCCGAGATTGTCGGCCGTCATCGTCGTGTGCCTGAGGAGAGGCAATACGTGTATATCCCGCTGGGGATAATCAAGATCAAGCCGGAAATACCGGGAGCCTCGTTACGAGCATGCGAACCGCGCGGGTCCTCGTTCCCACCACAGCGTCCCGCGTCTTGGCTGCCTCGTAACGAGATCGATAACACTGTTCCGCCCGCCGCGACACTGACTTTTCTCTTCTCATCGCCCGCTCACTGGGCTTACGCCGGGGTTGGGCCGCATGCGTCCTAAGCGCCGGCCGACGAAAGCGGAGCACTGACGCTGAGCTGGACACTGAACCTCACCTTATAAGAGAGCACCCACCTGCCACACTGACCAGACTCACCCATTTGCGTTCAATATGACATCCCACACCATCGAGCTGAAACCGCTCGGCGCGCGCCGGCGCTCCAGCGTCCGCCGCGACCTCCCCTCACCCCCAGCCTCGGTCTACTTCCCTCCGTCGAGGGACGCAGCCCCTCTCCCCTCCCTCCCAACCTCCGCGACGACATCAGCCGCGCCCTCGGCCGCACCCTCGCGCTGGGGCTCCATGACGGACCTGACGGCCGTGTTTGACGAAGAGGCTGAGGTCGGCACGCCTTCTTCAAGCGGCCGCTCATCCCCCTTCGACTTGGCGGGCACGGAAGGCGTCGAAGCCGCGGCGGCCGCGGCCGCCCTGCATCCCCCGGACGTGGGGTATGGCGCATGGACGTTCCTCCTCGCCGGCACGGTCATCGAGCTCCTCGTCTGGGGCTTGCCATGGTCCGTCGGCGTGCTGCACGAGTACTGGGCGCGCGAGATGTTCCCGGGCGAGGAGAGCACGCTCACGCTCGCGGCGACGCTGCAAACCGGCGCGATGTACATGACTGCAGCCATCGGCCCGTAAGTCTTCCCTTCAGTCTTGACCTGACCTAACCCCAGCCTCTTCACCACCTTCCCGCAGTACACGAAACACATGCAGGTGCTGGGCATGATCGTGGCGTCGATCGGGCTGATCGCCTCGGCGTTCGTCACGCGCGCCTCACACCTCATCGTGACCCTCGGCGTGCTCTACCCCTTCGCGGGCGCGCTGTACCTCCCCTGCGCGACGCTGCTGTACGAGTGGTTCCACGCGCGCCGCGGCCTGGCGACGGGCATTATGTTCGCCGGCACCGGCGTCGGCGGCACAATCTTCCCGTTCGTCACGTCCGCCCTCCTCCAGCGGTACGGGTACCGGGCGACGATGGTGTCGATCGGCATCGCGTTTGCGGGCCTCAATGCCATCGCGCTCGTCTTCGTCAAGCGCCGCATTCCGGTGCCCCGTCGCTCCCTTGCTTCCTCCCTCAAGCGCGAGCACCGCCGTAAGACGGACTGGTCGTTCTGGCGCCACCGCTCGATCTGGATCGGCACAGCCATCATCCTCAGCACGAGCATGGGCAACTTCCTCCCCTCGCTCTGGATGCCGAGCTACGCCGAAGCCGTGCGTGCACATGCGCCGGACGGCACCGCTCTCGTCGCCATTATGAACGCTGCAAGCGTCCCCGGAAATACACTTACTGGATATTTGTCCGACCGGCTGCCAACACGCATCGTCGTGACCCTCAGCTGCACGCTCGCGGCGTTTGCCTGCCTCTGCCTCTGGGGGTTGGGCACAAGCGAGGGTCTTCTCGTAGGATTCAGCGTGGTATGGGGTGTCACGGCGCTCAGCATGGTCGGGACATGGAGTAAGATGATCACAATTATTTCCAGTAAGTCGAGCAAAGAAGGGAAAATGGTCAAAACAGCTGACAATTCAGAGGACGACCCCACCCTTCCAACCTTCTCCTTCTCCTTCTTCACCATCCTCAAGGGCGTGGGCAACCTGACCTCGGGCCCAATTTCAACTGCGCTCCTCTCAAAAGGCCCGATTGGGGGCAAGGGCGCTTACGGCGCCACAAACTATGGCGGCCTGCTCATATACACGGGTGTCATGGCGCTCGTTGGCGGTGTGCCCGCCATCTTCTTCCCGACAAAATAGAGACTCTAGACGCTAGAACGCTAGATCGTAGACAGTCCGTATCTAATGGCATGGGTACAACAGGGTCAAGGGTCAAGAGCACTAGTCGTCGTCTTCCTCCTCCTCGCTGACAGCTTTTCGCCGCCCGCGTCGTGCCCGCTCCTTGGGTGCAGGTGTGGGCGCGGCCGCGCCACGCTTGGCCGCTCGCCGTTTCGCCGCCTTGGTCTTCTTCGCGACGTCGGCCTCGAGCGCCTGCTCCTCGAGCCCCTTGGCTGCGTGTTCGTTCAGGATTGCCTCGAACTCTTTGAGCTCGGTCTCGGGCTTGCCAGCGCTCTTGTTTGCGCGCGCCTTCTGCAGAATCTCGGTGAATCGTTTGAACACTGTCTCCTCGGCGAGCTTGTCGGCGTAGAATGGCAGGCCCTCGATGAGCTTCTTCATGCTGCGCTCCGACTTGAAAGGCAGTAGTGAGAGACAGAAGGCGATGTCGCGCCACTGACGCTCGTCGCTCGCGAGTCGGAACCGCTGGCACAGCTTCTCGACGATCGCTTCGGCTTGCTGTTCCTTCTCGATGAAGCGGAAGATGAAGCGCATCGTTGAGGCAAATGTCGGCTCGTCGACGGCGTGCGCGCCAATCGACAGATGCGAGATGACGTCCTGAAGGTTGTTGTACAGCGCATTGTCCTTGGTGCTCAGCTCGGTGAAGAAGAGCTTGGCCAGGTCCGAGATGCGTGTGTCCGGGTCCTCAAGACACTTAGCCATCTCCCCGAGTTGGCCCTTGACCTTGATCATGCCGTTCAGGATCAAGTGTGTGAGCACCATAAGGGTGTTCTTCTTGACCACACCATCGGGGTCGGTCAAGCCTTGGTATAGCACTTCCGAATTGTCGTCAATGAGCGAGCCCCAGCAGACAGCAAGGTCGCCGAGCGCGATGACGATGTTGGAGCGCACGACGGGGTCGCGCACCTTCTTGTAGATCTGGAAAAGGAGCGGAAGGTGGGCCTCGCAGAACTCAGCGCTAACGCACATGAACTTTGTCAAGGCGAGAGTCGATGCCTGGCGGAGAGTAGGCGACTGCCATCAGCCTCCGACTTTCGTATGGCTTACCTTGTAACGCTTCGGGCTCGCGCAGATGCCAACAATGAGCGGGCCATAGACAGCAAGCAAGCTTTTGTCGCCGTACAGCAGCTCCTTCTCGCGAATACCCGAGATCAAGTCGCCAATGTCATCCTCTGCGTTGCCAGCGACAGCATCCAGGTCATTGCCGTCCTTGTCAGCCGCCTTGGCTGCGGCCTTCTCTGCACTGTCAGCGCCCCTCGTACAATGGAGCTCACCCTTAGCCTTCTCGTCCTTGCGGCGCTTAAACTCGCGCTCGACCAGCTCGAGGTAAACAATGTGCTTGAGCGCTACGTGGCCGACGAGGAAGACGAGCTGCGCCAGTGCATACGCGCTCACCTCGTCGCCGCTGAGGGATGTCACGGCAGTCTGCATCGAGCCCTCCGAGTTGGAGCGGGACAACGACGCCTTGGGCGAGCCAGCCTTGCTGGGCGACGTTGGATCAGCGAGCTCCTCAACGGCCTCCGCGGGCGAAGCCACCGCGGCCTGCTTGGCCACCTTGGCCGTCATATTGCGGATGATAGTACCGCACAATGCGTCGGGCTGCTCGCCCAGAAGATAGATAGTGTTGATGGCCTGTTCAGCCATCGCGAACCACTGAGGGGAGCGGGACGGCCTTTCGATGATTTGCTGGAGCTTAACGAAAATGGCGTTGTCCATTGGCAAACGCATCGTCTTGTCGGTGAGCGAGCCTGTCGTTAGTCTGAATATCCGGTCGATTGCTCACCCTTAACCTTCTTGGCACTGCCTCCCAGACGCTGCAGAGCGATACAGGTGTAACGTGCGAGTACCAGGTCGTTCTGTCCGTGCTGACCAAGACCAATCTTTAACAATGACTCAACACGCTCCGCCACAACGTCGCGCTTTGCGACAGCGAGCATGCCAAGGATGATGATGGCGCCCTGGCGCTGCGGTTTGGGGATCTCCTGGCTGGTGCTGTACACCTGCCACAGCTTGTTGATAACGTCGGGATGCACGCCACCATCAGCCATCATCGTGCGCATCAACTCCTCAAGTGAGGTGAGCTCGGCAAGAGTAGCGCCGTACGTTCGCCTGACGTCAATTGGATCTCATCGCTTCACTCACTCAAGCATGTTCTTGGCGATGCGGTTGACCTGCTGCTTGGGAGCCAGATCGGGAACGACGTCAAAGTACAGACTGCGGTACACCTCGATGAGGTTGCCGCGGATGCTGCGGCCGTCTGTGCCGTCATCAGTCGTGGCATTGTTGTCCTTGGTCCAGATGAGATGGAGCATAGTCTTGATGCCCTGCTCGGACGACTCGATGTTGTACTCGTACGCGGTGCGGAAAAAGCGCATTGCTTCGAGTGCCTCGGACTTGTTCGTGCTCACGAGCAGCTCGCAAAGGGTTGGAATCGCGCCCTCGATCTGCTTGATAAACTTGAGGGCATCAGAGTAGTACTTCTTCGTGAGTCGGAGGCGCATTATGGTCTCGGGGTTCAACGATGCCTGTTCTGCCTGCACGGCGGCAAGGTCTATCTGCGACTGGCGCGGCTTCTTGGCCCCAGACTTGCGTTTGGCCCTCTTAGGCTTTGGCGTGGCGTCCTCGCCGTCCTCGCCCTCAGCGTCTTCGTCAGCCTCCTCGCCTTCCTTCTCATCGCCGTCTTTCTCCTCGCCGTCTTTGTCCTCGCCCTCTGCTTCATCCCCCGTCTGCTCCTCTTCCTCGTCGTCCATGCCGGCATCCGCTCTAGCCTTCTCCATCTCGTGGGTGTCGACCTTGTCGAGCTCGGCACAGAGCTTCTCGTACCGCTCCTGCCACTCGGGGAGGTTGAGGGTTCCGCCGTGCAGCGCGCCAAAGGGGTGAGTTTCGAGCAGCCGGCAGAGCAGCTGGATCGAGTATCGTCGCGCCGATGATGTCTTGTCTGCCAGCGTCCGAATTGTGAGCTCGGTCATATGCGTCCGCTGCTTTGGGAACTTGGCAGGAAGGCTCATGTCAGCCACCATTGTCATTTTTCAACTCACTCGCAGAGCTTGATCAACGTTGTGAGAACCTTGGAGCGCACATAGGAGTTGAGGTCGAGATACCGCTCGAAGAGGATCTCGAAGAAGCGCTTGATCTGCTTCTGCTTCTGCTCATCCTCTCCCTCATCGGACATGGAGAGGTCCTTGATCAACAGCCCGATGACCTCGACAACGGCCATGCGCATGGGGTGGGCCTAAAGTTAGCCGCGTCAGAACATTCAACGTACCTCGCTGTCAAGGTGGGCGAGCAGCAGCGGCATCTGCTTGTGCACAACGCGAGGGCTCATCTCGGCGAAGCGAACGAGGAAGCGCTGGAACGAGCGCGGGCCCTTGGCATCATTGTGCAAGAAGGTCTTGGCGGCAACTTCGCGGAGCACCTCCTCCGCAAGCTGGGGGTAGTCGAACTCCTTGTCGAGGATGGTCAGGAGCTCCGCCATGGGCTCGCTCAAGTGCTCGTAGTAGGTAAGGTTCTGCATGATGGAGGTCTGGGCGCCGAAGCCGTGCCCGTGGAACTTGACGGCAAGGCAGATGACCTTGTAGATGCCGAGGCGCACCTCGTTGGCCTTGAGGTAGCCTTCGACCTCGGCGAGCTGGTATGCGGGCTTGGTGAAACAGCTAATGAAAGCCTCGCGCTCCGAGCTAGTGCGCCAGATGCGTGATGACGGGATGCGGAGGGCGCGGTGCATCGTCCCAAGGACGTGGGGAAGGTGGTCAGCCCACGCAAGACTGCTGGACTGGGCAGGACGGGGGGGAGCCTTCCTCCCGCGCCCCTTCTTCGCCGCCGCCGCCTGCTCTTCTGGCATGCGGCCGGCGCCGCGCTCGGCTGCAGCTACGAACCACTGCAGGAGGAAGGCCCAGCGCTCGAGCTGCGCTTTGTGCTGCAGCGGCGCGTCGAGGTCGTCGTTGCCTGGCGCAACGAGGACCATAACGGCGTCCGAGTGGTGCTTGAGGCCGTGGAGGATGGCATCCAGCGTCTTTTGGAGCACGGGGCCGGTAATGGGTGGCGCGTCGGCATGTTTCAACACCGAGGCGAAAACGTCGAACGTTCCGGCGGGGGAGTAGGTGATGGAGTCGGGTTCTTTGACGATCGCTTCGATCGCGCCGGAGAGCTGCGAGTCGATGGCGGCGGGCGAGAGGTCGGGGATCTCGAGCTCGTTCGAGATCGGGTACAGGGACGGGTCCTCGCCGAGGGAGAGGAGCTCCTCCTGCAAGTTGTAGTCCATTGCGGCGGACCGGTGCGCCGGGAGCGTGTCGGGTGTCGGGCTGCCGAAAGAGAGATGGGGGAGGAGATGGGCGATGTAAACAAGCGGGAAAGGAAAAGCAGGAGCGTGTTGTTGTTGATCTCGGATGTATTACGTACACAAGATGATATCACCACGTGGCTGTAATACCACGTCAGGATCGTGGCCGCGCGTCGCTCACTCGTCATCCGTTGCTTGCTTGTCCACCTCGCATTGCAGTGACATCCTCCTGCGTCTCCTCACCTCCCAATCACTCACTCCCTCTCCTCTCCGACGACGAGCACGGCCGATACGCAGTCGACTCTCCGTCCAGCATGAACCACGTAAGTCCACCCCGCAGCGTGTCCGAACCAGAGCTGACCGTGCCTTCCCTTCATCAATCTGTCCTTCTCGTCACAGCACCCCGCAGCCTGGGGCCAGCCCCTTACCGCCCACCAACAGTTCGACATGTACTCTACCTTCCCTATCGGACACACGGGCGCGGCGGCCGCGCCCGTCACACACACGCAGCAGCCGCTCGTGACGGGCACGTCGGTGATCGGCCTCAAGTACGCGGACGGCGTGATGCTGGCGGCGGACAACCTGGCGTCGTACGGCTCGCTCGCGCGCTTCCGCGACATCCAGCGTCTGCACCCTTTGGGCACGCACACGATCCTCGGCGCGGCGGGCGACATGTCCGACTTCCAGTGGCTCAAGAAGGAGCTGGACGCGCTGCTGCGCGACGAAGAGGCGCTCAAGCTTACGGACGGACACCCCCCACTCGCCCCGCGGAACCTGTACACCTTCCTCGCGAACCTGTTCTACAGCCGACGGAGCCGCATCAACCCGCTGTGGAACGCGTGCCTCGTCGGCGGGTGGGACTTTGAGAAGGACGAGCCGTGAGTAACCCCGTGGGCAGGAGCTGATGCAGATTCCTTGGGTATGTCGATCTCCTCGGCACGACGTACACGGCGCCCACGCTTGCGACAGGGTTCGGGATGCACCTCGCGCAGCCGCTTCTGCGTGAAAAGTTCGAGGCGAAGGCCGGCGTCGATGGAAAGGGCCCGCTGCTGAGCGCAGAGGAGGCCGAGGCCGCCCTCGACGAGTGCATGAAAGTGCTGTTCTACCGCGACGCGCGGAGTATCAACAAGTACCAGATTGCAAAGGTCACGAAGGACGGCGTGACGATTTCGGACTCGAAGACGGCGCCTACAGTCTGGGACTTTGCCGAGGGCCTGCGCGGGTACGGAGCGCAGGTGCAGTAGGCGTGGAAGTAGATAGACAGCATGCATGTGTAGGCAGTAGGCGGTGTGTGCCACGTGCTGACGCAGGCTGACGATAACGCCTGCCGATGGGACGTGTGACTGTGTGATGCGTCTGCACCTACTCCACCCCCCCCCCCCCCCCCTCGCTCCATGCAAATATGCCATGCTGCTATATGGATGATGCTAGATGATCATTAGGATGTGTCGTCTCTCCCATCTCGGTCTGTGCTACAACACGCCTTGGGAGTAGTACTGGAACGTGTCGTACAGCCGCGTGTAGTTGCTGCCCGCCGAGCTGACAATCAAGCGCTCGAGGTATGCGTCGACGGCAGCGGTGGTGAGGCCGAGCGCGAAGCGCTCGCGGAAGTGCGTGACGGTGTGCTCGCCGAAGAGGAGGAAGCAGTCGAGCTTCGAGTCCTTCTGCATGAGCTCGACAATGGCTGGGGTGAGCGGGCGAAGCGGGGTGAGGAGTGTCCACTCACTGATCAAGCTGTCCGAGTGTTTGCGCGCGGCCTCAAAGCCCTCCTTGAACAGTTTTTTGAAGTACGCATATCCCGGGCTGTCGAGCCCGCCCATGATCTCGATGTATTCGAGGGGAAGCTTGAACGGGGCCGCCTCGAAGCCCATGTTCCCGCCAGGCGAGTTGGAGAGCATGAACCCAAAGTCGATGTGGATGAGGTGCCCGTCGCGGTCCACGAGGATGTTGCCGTTGTGCCGGTCCTTGATCTGCAGGAGGTACGTGATGACGCTGTACCCGGCAAGCGACTTGATGAAGTTGCGGCGCGCGCGCGCGAACTGGCCGCTGTCCGGCTTGCCGTATGTCTGGGGTCAGCGTGGCAGACGGGCAGACTCACATTCACGTAGTGGTCCATGAGGCTGACGTGCCCGATGGCCTCGCCCTCGGCGAGGCGGCGCGCATACTCGCTCTTCTTGATCGAGTGGACGCTGACTGCGTCCGTAATGGTCTCGACGAGACCCGACGTCTCGCCCGTGATGAGGATACGGAAGAAGCGGGCCCAGCAGTCGCTCTTCTCCTCCTTCCAGATCCGCACGAAGCGCTCGATGAGCTGCGTCGCCAGCTGCTCCTGCCGCAGATCCGCACCCGTCTTCACAATGACACTGATGACGTCCCAGTTCGCGAGGTGGCCCCACGGCGACGCGGCGCGGATGCGGCTCTTCTTCGCCGTCCAGCTCTCCTTGAAGATCGCGGCCGACGGGTCCGCCTTGTTGATCTCGCGCCGCACGATGCCCTCGTCCTCCGCCGTCTTGCCCTCCACCAGGACGCGCGCCGGCGTCACCTCCACGCCCTCGGGAAGTGTCGTCATGCGCGCCACGCGCTCCTCCTCCAGCGCCATCATCTCCTCCATTATGCGCTCGCGGATTGCCGCCGCCTGCGCCGCGGCCAGTCGCAGCTTGCCGCCCGCGCCGCTCGCGCCCGCGGCCGAGTCCGCCGCCGCGTCCTTCGACGCGCCCGTGATCCAGCCCGTCCCCGGAATCCAGCGCAGCGGGCCGCTGCCGTGTGCGTTCTCCGGCGTCGGCGGCTGCACGCTCGCGTTCAGCTGCGCGAGCATGACTGCCGCTGTGCGCATGCGCTCCGCATAGTCCTCGAGCGTGATGACGCGTTTTGGCGATGGTTGCGGGTCGTCGACCTCTCCCGGCGTTCCCGGTCGCAGTGTGGGACTCGGGACCTCGAGCTCGCCGTCTCCGCCGATTGGCGTGCGTGATCGGCTAATGGGCGAGGCGCCGAGCGACGATCGTCGCGATCCGAAACCCTCGCCCGCGTTCCACACCTCAAGGTCGAGCTGCTTGTTCTTCGGTGCGCTCGGCAGGGGCAGCGCGTCCGTGAGGTCCGGCAGGTTATCGCGCACGCTGAGCTTGTTGCCGTACAGCTGCTCGACGAGGTCCATCTCCTCGAGGTCCGCTTCTGGCGGCTCCTTGACGGGCGACGCGCTCCCTGACTTCTCGTCCTCCTCATTCAGCTCCATATCATCGCTTTGGAGCGGGGGCACGCTCATCGGCGACGTCGCGAAGCTCTCGTTGATCGTCGGCGTAAAGCTCCCGTCGAGCGCGCCCTCGCGCTTCCGCCGATTCATGTCTTCCTGCATGACGATCTTCTTGAGGAGCTCGCGGTTCTCTCGCCGCGTCGGGTCGAAGTCGAGGTCGTCTTCGAGGATCTCCACATGCAGGAGATAGGGGGCGCGCTCGGCCGAGTTGAGGACGACCGAGTCGCCGGGCGAGATGCGCACGACGCGCGAATGCGCCTTCTTGCGCCGCGGCCCGCCCACGACGCGGTTGAGCATTGCCGTGTCTTTGCGGCAGTGGTCCGCGTTGCACCACAGCGGCATGCACACCTCGGCGGGGAGGTTGTGGTTCAAGCTCGTAAGCTCGGCTCGCAGCGCCGAGATACGCGCAGGCTTCGGGATGACCAGCAGCCGGTTGCTGATGTCCTCGAGGTGCAGGAGGAAGCGGATCTCGCTGCGGCTGTAGTGCGAGCGCAGGAGCTTGCTCTGTGCGTCGAGCGAGTATTGCTGCAGCAGGGACTCGCCTGACGGCGTCCGCGCCCCGTACCCTCGCGGAGTGGGGGAGCTGCGCGACAGCTCGGGGACAGAGTGGTACGCTTGATGCAAGGGAATGAGGTTGACGCGTGACTTTGTAGGCGGGAAGAGGTCTGGGGTTGCGGAGCTCTGCGAGAACGGGTCGCGCCCGCGGTTGTCGTCCATCAATGACGGCATGGCAGGGAGCGAGTCGTGCGCCGTGTGCTTGACGAGCGCCGGCGACGTCGCGGAAGGATGATACGCCCGCCCGTTTGGCGGGGTGTGTCCCCTCTCCCTCTCCCGTGGTGGTGTGCCGACTCCCGAGGTCCGCAGCTGTGGTGGCAGCGTCTGTCTCCGTGCTGGTGGGCGCGAGCTGGACGCAGACGCGGGCGCCGTCGAGTTGTCGTCGTCCGACTCACTCTCGGGTGCAGGCTTGCGCTCCCACCGCCCGTCGCGGGGAGCGTCCGCTCCCCCTCCCTGCTCGACCTCGACTCTTGCGCGCGACGCCTGTGCATCATCCATCGGCCGTCGGCCCTGTATCACGGCCCACTCGCCGGCGAGCGACGTGAGTCCCGGCATGCCTGCGCCCGCGAGCATGACTCCCATGCCGACGAGCGCGGCAGCAGCGTGTGGGTTCACCCTCACGGGCGGAGACGTGCTGTCGGCGGGGTGTGCTTGGAGGAGGGCCGCAGAACTCGACAGGTTCGGGCTCGACGGAAGTGATCGGTATGGGCTGCGGCTGGGCTCGGGTGGGTCGCCGAAGAGGATCTCGTGGCAGCGGTGCAGGACGCGCTGGCAGATGAGAAACGGGCGGGGGTTGGTGGTCCGCGTCGGCGTGAGATCGCGGAGTGCGCTCTGCATGAACCAGAAGGTCTGGGGTTAGTGGGGGTTGCCGCGGCGGGTAGCTCGGATGAGGAGGGACGCACCAGCATGGCGGCGTGGGGGCTCTCCTCCGCGCGCAGGAGGACGAAACTTTCGAGCGCATTGGACTCTGTCGGGCGCGTGATGAGGAGGTGACTGGCGTGAGTAGGCCTGAGTGCTGGTGTGCGTGGTGGCTTACCATATTTGGGGCCAGTAGAACTCGACTTCCTCGTAGGGCATCGACTTCATGCGCCAGCACAGGTAGTGGCTGATGCCGATGTTGTCGGGGTATGTTTTGAGGTAGTGGAGCGCGACCGAGGTGGAGAAGTATGGGCTGAGGAATAGCCGCAGCCTGGGATCAGCGCTGTTCAGGTGGAGGGGAGGAGAGGGGAGCTCGGCTCGGCGCGGCGCGGCGCAGCGCGCGCGCGCAATGTGTAGAGGAGTAGGAGGGAAGCAACGCTCACAAAAGTGCGTGCGACATGGCGCTCGTCGCCAGCCGGCACTGGAAGAGTGGTCAAGTGGAAGAGCAGGTGGAGGGCCAAGATGTCTGGGCGGACACGTTTCACGAATGTCACCCTCTAAGGGCATAGAGCGCGGCGTGCACGGGGTGGCATGCAACGGCGGAGACGTGCGGCGGAGAAGGGGAAGAGGGGTGAGGGGAGCGGGGCGGCGTGGGGTGCGGCGTGAGGAGAGCGGCGAGTGGTGAGTGAGCAAGTGTCGAGTGTGCGGACGATGGGATCGATGGGAGGCGATTGAATGAATCTCGGCACATAACTCCGGCTCGCTGCTGGCACCACCCTCAGGGACGGACGCGTGGCACGCTATTCATACATATGCTTTCGATTGACTAGAATGGCTCTATTCGCTGTCATCCTCGAGGCTGAACACTGTCTTGGGATTGGCGCTGGCGCTCGCGCCGGCAGAGGGAGGCGAGGTTGGCCTGCTCCAGTTCCTGCTGGAGCGGCGGGAGTGAGAGTGAGAGCGAGAATGGGAGGGTCGGGATGCGGGGCGCGGGCTGGGCGACTGCGAGCTGCGGGAGGGCGAGCTTCGCAGCGCTTGCGCGCCAAGCGGGTCCATCCCTTCGGGTCCCTCCTCCGCCTCGTCCCGGTACAGTGGGGTGGGTGGCGCGTGTGAGAGACCATGGGCGGCGGCTTCGGCCTCGGCTGCCGCGGCAGGAAGGAAGGGAACGTCTTGCTGCGCCAGCGCGGGCAGCGAGTCCGTACTTGCGTTGTTGGCTATGAACTCGTCTGCGGGTGGCTGGGGTGAGCTAGCGGCTGAGCGAGGGAGACTTACGCCGTCGTTTGAGAGACGGAGCGCGTTCGTCGACGAGCCCAGGTTGTGCAGTCTCATGTCAGCGAGCGCGCCGGGGAGTTGGGGTGGAGGCCGACCGACTCACTGGAACGACGTGTCGCGCCGCCGTACCTTGAACCAGTAGTAGGCGCCGCCTGCCACGCCGAGGAGTAGGAAGAAGAGGAACCAGAGGGCGCCACCACTGCCGCCGCCGCCGCCGCCGCCGCCTGCGCTGTCATCGTCGCGCGGGAAGGGAGACATGGTACAGTGGATCGTGGAAGTAATCGCCGGGTGTCGTCATGATGCGGCGCGGAACTATAATGCACGGCCGCAGTATCCTCGTTGTTATTGTCCAGGCTGCAGGGGTGTATGCATGTAACGTCTAGATGCTGTCTACGCGAAGCTCTCTGATACGGCGTCTCCTGGATCACTGGCCAGGACGTCTGCGACCTCTGCGCTACGTCGCCTTCGCAGGACGGAGCGAGTTATAGTGCTCGCCAAGCCCGTACATCCTGCGGTGGTACGTGATGCGCACGATGCGCTCGCCGGCGGCCGCGCTCGCCTTGGCGTCCATCGCTCCGCCGAAAGCATCCTCGCTCCCTCCATGCGACACGACGGTGGGCGGCCCGCGCTGGATGACGTGAATTGGCACGTTGAAGGCGCGCGACAGCGCCTGGATCTGGCGTTAGCGAATGGACTCTTGCGGCACTCACTTCTGGCTCGCCGCCCCACTCGCCCGTCTCCTCCACGCGGTGGCAGTACTCTTCGAACTGCGCGTCGTTCATGATCCCGTCGTCGGTCGCGCCGGGCATGTCCTCGCCGTCCACGCTGGGAAGGAAGGGGAGGAAGTCGTCCTTGTGCTCCCGCATGTACTTTGCCGCGGCATGGCGCGTCGTGTACGGGTTGTCGGCCTCCTGCGGGGCCAGGATGCCCAGAAGGCCCAGCTGGTCCGCGACTGCAGAGTACATGCAGTGGCCGTCGGGCTGGATCTCGTGGATTTCACGCCCGAGGACACCACACGCGTCGCTGATCACTGTAATCTCCTCCTGGCGCTCCTTCTCGAGCTGCGCGTTCCACGCGGGGTCTTGGGGCGGGGCAGAGTCGAGAAGCGCTTGTTGCTTACGAGCCTGGAGTCAGGAGGAGAGGTGAAAAAGGGAGAAAGAGAAACTCACCTGACGTTCAGCAAAGCGTTGTTTGCTGCTCTTCTTCCCCCCGAGTTTCTCCCTAATCGTGTCGCGCAACCCGTCCGCGTCGCTTTCAGACGCGGAAGGCGTTGCGATACCGTTCCCGGCCGTGGCTGAGCCAGTAGATGCTACGGGTGGGGGGGCAGATGACGAGGCAGCGGGCGCGGTGGGCTGGACAGGCGCACTTGACTCGTCATCGGACAGCACGACGAGGTCCTCGATTGCGACGTCTTCGTACTCATACACCGGCGTGGGCGCGGTGGGCTTGAGGAGCTTCTTGATCGCCTTGCGCTTGCCCATTGTTCTAGAGGAGGCGTAGGAAAGGTTGGAAGAGAATGCACTGAGATGAGAGTGGATGGGATACTGGGAAGTTGGATAGGATCAACAGGACCCGGTTCAAAGTCCGTCGTCACAGGAACGAACGCAATTTCAGCATTTCAGCCTGCCGCATGAGATCATCTCCCATGTCTCTCCCACGCCACTCAGCACTCAGATCATGTCGACAAGTTGATATTCATCGCGTGAAATAAGACAATCTTCCAAGAAGCGCTAGAAGCGCCACGCATCACTCGTCACGAACTATGTACGGCCACCACTATACGTATTCGGTAGCTACTAGGCGATGCCACGAAACGCGCTCAGAAGAAGAGGTAGGTGAGAACAAAGACAGCGAACACAAGACCTGCGCACACCTCGAGAGGGACGCCCTGAGCCTGCCCCGGTGCGGTCGTAGTGGCCGTCTTGATACCTGCGCCAGCGACGTCTGTACCCGCGCCACCACGCTTCCGCAAGCCCGAGGCGGCAGGAGCAGCGTTCTGAAGCGCGGCAATCTGCTGCTTGAGGTTGTCATTCTCCTGCAGGACGATCCGGAGCTTCTCAGAGTCGCTCGTCGTCGCGTTGAGGGAACGCTCAAGAGCAGCATTCGTGGGAGCGCCGCCAGCTTGGACATCGGCAGCCGAGAGGGAGGGAAGCTCGCGCGAAGTCTGGCCAGCGCCAGCCGACGGGCTGGAACCAGCGTTCAGCGCGTGAGCTCCACCAACGGCAGCGGCACCAGCACCGAGAAGACCCGCGGCGCCAGCGGCAGCGCCACCGTGCGACGGCGTGGACGGGAGGTCCTTGCTGCCGTTCGTCGAGTGAAGCTGCTGGGAACGGGGCGTGCCACCAATGTCGGTCTCGGCATGAGAGTAGATGCCCTGTAACAGTCAGCCTCGTCGGTTTAAGAAAGAGAAAGCCAGCTGTGGGGAAATGTCATGCACAGGACACGCGGGCAGAGAGGCAAAAGGAAATGGCACAAACGGAGAGGTGGTATACGCTCAGGCTCTGGCCATCGTTTTGGACCAAGGCCACGCTTCTGGGCGCCGGCCCCATCTCGACAATGGAGGGAACAATAACAGTTGTGGGGCGGGGTTTCGGGAGGGGAGCCGACGGCATGGTGGGCGAGATTGGCTTCTGAGGAGCGGGCTTCGGCTTCTCCAGCTCCCAGTGCGTCAAGCCACCGTTCACAAATAGAGCCGGGTCATGTGTGCGCTCCTTGACAGTCGTGTACTGCGTGAAGCCCTTCGTGTTCGCCAGCTGTTGAGACCGAGCATGACACAAGGAAGAACGAAACAGGTCAGAACATACGAGGACACACTCTCGACGGACTCGACAACTTTTGACGAGCTCGCGACGGCTGCCAGGCAACAAGGACTAGACCACCTAGCTGTGTCCCGCGCATCCTATGCCGACGACTGCGCATGACACGTCCACAAAGGCACCAGAAGTTTTAACTCACCGACTCGTCCATCTTGTGGTCAATAGGCGACATGCTGTCCTCGTTCTCCTCGGGGATACCGTTGGGGTTGCTCGCACCGTCCTCGGCGGAGAGGTACGCGCAGCGAATCTTCTGCTCGTGAATCGAACCCTTGTTAGTGCGCTCGACCTGAGCCCACTGCTATTAGTTGCACTGCCGGAAAACAGAGGATCGGCTCACCATCTCGGGGAGCGAGTGCATCTCCTCGTCAGGAGGAATGAATGCCGACTGCACGAGGAACTTGTCCTTGCACTTGGCGTGGGGGGGAGGGTCAGCTGAAAGGGCCTGCAGCACGACTGAGATGATCAGCGAGAGGCCACAAGGTGGGGGGAGTGAGCGGGGGGAGGCATGGGTCCACGCCCTCTTGATGGCGCGCGCGGAATTCTGCATTCCTTGCGGGGAGAAGACCTACTCTGCACTTCAACATTCTCGCCAGGCTCAACGCGGCCCTGGTTGGGACGGACGCAGTACTGCTTGGGAGCGGTCGTCTTGACCTTGAAGGCTACGGGCTGGGGGTTGGGGTTGTGAATGAGCAGCGAACGTTTGACGATTTGGGTCAGCGGGCCTGGCTACGTCAGCGGGTGGATCTTGCGGATTGTGTGGTGATTGCGTCACTTGTCGGTGTGGTAGAGGTTTGGGAACGGTTAGATGGAGGAGAGAGCGACGTCGACGAGCGGCGTAGGAGCGGGGGCATGGACATGGGTATGGGCATGGGCATATGGCAAAGCCGTGTTCATGAGCGGGAGGTAAGGGAAGGTCACGGTCGCGACGACTCTTCATCCTCCGCGCCGAGAGGAGGCTGGGCAAAAGCCATCCAGCCTTCTACACTGATTGAGCCCGATCACACGACTGTTGTCATGCTCGTCGCTGCGGGGCATTCATTGAGAGTGAAAGAAGGCTTGAGGAATCGACGAGGAGTGACAGACGATCAATGTCTGTGGTGCGCTTCGCCTGAGGGTCGGGGACGGAGCGCAGGACTAGAGGGCGGCGTTGTATGGCCGCTTCTGTTTGTGGGGAAGCTAGAGGACTCACGGGGAAAGCCCAGCTGGTTTTGAGGAGAGAGGTTGACCGCCATGTTTGGAGAGTGGTAAGAGTTGGCGTTTGTGGAAGAGGGATGTGGGGGAAATTGGAGAAATGGAATGGGTGGGATTTAAGTATTCGGTTGGGCCAGGGGTTGAGGGGAGTCGAGGTGGGCGGGTGAGGGGGATGAATTGATGGATTGATGGATTGATGGGGGATTGATGGATTGGGAGGGGTTAGAGACGACTGCAAGAGCGTGTAGGGGGGTGATGGAGGAGGTAGTGATGGAGTTGAGAGAGAGAGAGAGCAGTTGAGGAGAGTTGAGAGAGAGAGAAGAGAAAGAGAGAGAGTGAGGGGAGTGGCAGTGAGTGGGAGGAGGATGAGGAGGAGGAGGAGGGAGAGAGGCAAGGAAGGCCGATGACGAACGATGTGCTGGCGCGGATACTGCCGCTTCCCTCGTGGATCGTGGGAGACAAGGTCTATCAAACTCACCCTGAGATTAGGGGGGGCATTGGGTTTGACTTCTCTCTCTCGCTCTCTCTTGCCTCGAGCAAATGTCAGGGTGATGGATAATTCAATGACGTCGCATCCGCCCTCCTCCTCACCGTACTCTCTGTCTCTCCTCCACTCTACACCGCTCGTCACCATGCATGGTCATCTCCTGCCGCGTTGACGACCCGCGACCAGGCCTCCTCAGCCTCCTCAGCCTCTCATGCACAGACTCCCCGGGCCTGCTGCCTGCTGCCTTTATCAACTGCCATGATCATCTGAGGGTAGGGAAACGAACCACGACGACGCGTTGCACCGCCACACTTCGTCGATCACTCCTGTCACGCGTTCGAATCCTATCCCTGTCCTACGCGAGTTTCACATTCAACCTAATCCCTTCTTACGTTTCTTTTCAGCAAGCGATAGCGGGACCAGCACAATCTGACTGGCGAGCTGGCGATCTCGCGCTAGCGAGCTGGCGGCGAGCGTGAATGCTAGTCAGTGGATCAGTGGATCAGTGGGTAAGAAAGACATGCAACTCGGTACACATTACTAGGACTACACGTGAGATATTATGCGAGCAAGTACGCGCCTGCGCCTACACACACACCCAGCGCCGCCAGGGGGGCTGCGCGCCCCGCCCCGCTCGTCATGCTCGCGCTTGCGGACTCGCCGCTGGGGTACGCGGCTGCGGCGGGCGTCGGTCGCCCGGCCGAGGGCAGCGCGACCATGCTCACGGAGATGGACGAGGACTGGGGCACGGCCGCCGTGTTGAGGATCAGTGCCGTTTCCGTGTTGGTGCTTGAACTGGAGCTCGAGCCCGAGCTCGAGCTCTGGGCGAGAACAAGGGGGGCGAGGACAGCGAAGGCTGGGGTCAGCACGTCCGCGATGCGCTCACCGAGTCCGAGCATGTTGGGATGTAGAGAGAAAAACCGCCGAGGCTCTTGTATAATGTTGTTCGAGGTCGCTGGATCCCATGACCATGCCCATCAACTAGCGTGGATAGCGCAGGGCGCTGCAGCAGGGGTCATGTGGTGGTAGGGTGCTGGCCTGCTAGTCCACACGCTACGCCAACTGGGCTACAGCGGCCGTACAGCTACGAACGAGGGCCGAGGGGAAGGTACAGCGTCGTAGAGCTTGACAATGACGGACCTGATCGGGCGGTGGAATGAGAGTGCGGCGGGGCGGCGACGGCGCACGCAGGAACGCGCGAGCGCGAGCGCGTGAGCGTGTGAGCGCGTGAGCTTGGATTGTGGTCAACACTGGGTGCAGGGACGGATACACTCTACAGATCAGCAGATTCTGCATGACTGGCCGACCCGATGCTTCGGCGTGCCCTAGGGAAAAGACCCTCGGCGTCGGCCCTGCTCTGAAATAGCACTTGGGCACTCCGGCGACATGACCATGGTCGCCTGTTCGATCCGCCGTCACGACTTCTGGTATGCGACCCGACGCACGCGTCGCGTCATGCGATCGGTCCACGAACCCGACTTCAATCCACCTCCGCTTCTGGCGGTCTGGCCATCTCGATCCTCGAATCGCCACCTAACTAATCAATCGAGCTCATCAGCCCATTCACCAGTCTCCGCCTCAACTCTCGCTCACGCTCGAACGCCGACTCCCACCTCTACCCGTCTCCCGGCTCTTACTCACTCACTCTCCCCTCCACCCCGCTGCCCCACCATGGACACCCCCAACGGCCACGTCCCCCCCGAGATCGAAGCCACCCTCTCCCGCCTCTCCGCCTACCGCAACGTGCGGGGCGTCATGATCCTCGCGCGCGGCGCTGGGTGCGGCATCGTTCAATCCTCCGGCGCGGTATTCGAAGGCGACAGCGGGCGGCGGTACGCTGGCGCGCTCGAGGGCGTGGTGGCGGCCACTGCTGGCGCCGTCGGCGCTGTGGACGAGGGCGTGGGTGCACGCTTCGACCCGGCTGATGACAGGACGAGCTGCGCCTCATGCGCATCCGGACGAAGCGGCACGAGCTGATCATCACGCCTGGTGAGCGCAGAGGGAGGGGAGAGGGGCTGATGCTAGATGACAAGTACCTACTTGTTGTGCTCCAGGATCCGCAATAACTGCCGCTTACCGAACACAACCCGACGTTCAACGCACTCTGGGAATAACTGTAGATACGTAGACATGCACTAATAGGTACCCTCTCCCACCTGCTACTCGCGCAAACTCACAACCACAACACTTCCTCCATCACCATCGTCACCATCGACACCAGCCTCACGCACCGCTCCTCAAAAATGGATACGTATACATCCCACAACCCTAAGCCGCCTAGTAGACGTAGGCAAGGACCTTGCCACCGACGTGCTTGCGACGGGCCTCCTCGTGGTCCATGATACCAGCCGAGGTGGTGAGGATCATCTTGCCGAACGAACGGGCAGGAAGCAGAAGCGCGACCCAGTTCTCGATCTGGTCAACGGCGATGTTGAAGCGGGGCGAGATGACACCGCACTTGTTGAGGCGGCCGTTGAGCTGGATCACAATCTTGCCCGCGCGGTGGTCGTCGATGATCTCGAACTCGCCGATGTAGCCTGGTGTGAGCGCCGATGTCGACTGGACACCAGGAAGGAAAGGATAGAAGAGTAATGTCCTCCCCCAATCAGCCGCCCCGCCTAGGGCCCCGGCCGTGCGGCCTTGGGCGCGGCGGGGAGGATAAGTATGAGGAGGTCGATGTACCGGAGATTTAAAACTCCCCCGAGGTGGACTGTTCGAGAACGACACGGAGGAGTAGTTATACTCCGGGAGGAGTGGTGCCAGCGCCGGCGCTGGCGCCAGCTGGGCGTGGGCTGTGCGAGATACTAACCGTGCTTCTGGAGGACACCGAGGACCTTGACAACGACCTTGGACGAAGGGCGGATGAGGACCTGGCGCTTGCCGCGGCGCTCGGCGTTGACTGGGGTTAGACTGCGCTCGTAGTCCGGCGAGGGGTCTGTCTGCGTCTCTAATCCTGCCGCCGCTCCTCGCAAAGCAGGCGCAGCAGACGTAGCCAGACCCCGCTTAACACGCACCCATCGACTGAAGAGCGTCGGCGAGAACGGAAACGCGAACCATTTTGAATAACTGCGGGGTCAGCGCGTACCTCGGCGCGACTCACGTTTCGAGGTTGGTGGGGTTCGTAGAAGAACTAGTAGAATAAGCTATTGAACTCGATGCGGGTGTGTCGCTCTGCTCACGACAGCCGTAAAGAGTTGGATCAATAGGTACCTTTTGGGGAGGGGAACAGATGGAGTGGGAGACGGTGGTGAGCAACCCAGAAACGTCGACGAACAGCGAAGACTTGGAGGTCACGTGAGAGGGGCCAGGCACACAGTTTGGTGATGTGCCCAGGTGCCACGGAGGAAATGCCGAAGGGCCGTGGTCAACGGAGATGGGAGGTTGGCCGAGGGCGTGGAGCGGAGTTGAGAGAGATGTCCGTGCCACCTAGCATTTCGAAGTGACGTTCCTCGCCATGTTGCTGAACGCAGCGACAAACACAACAACAATGCCGCCAGCGCAGACGCACGCAGGCCAGACAATCAGGCAGGCCCGCGCTGTCGTCAAACCCGTCCTCGCAAACCCATACGCCACGCCATGGTGAGCCGCCTGACCCCACACCAAGAGCTCACACCAGGCCCACGCTCCCCAACCACCTCCAGAACGGCGTTATGGCCGCGCTGCCGCAGCTCGTTCCCGACTCCGTGGCCGAGTACCACACAGACAGGGCGCGGTGCTCGCAAGCCGCGAAGCGGGCGCGCCGCAAAGTAAAGCGGGGGATGGACGTAGACGCGCCAAGCGATGAAGCGCCAAGCGATGAAGCGCCAAGCGATGAGGTGCCAGGCAAGGAGCCGCCAAAGGATGACAACGTACCCTCCCGCCCAGAAATCCTCGACCACCTCGTCCTGGGGCTCAACGAGACGATCCGCGCCCTCGAGACGGCTATCTCCTCCCTCCGCCTCCGCATGACGCTCCTCGCCGAGGGACGTGACCCCGCTTCCGCCCGCTTCCTCCCCACCGAGCCGGGCGCCACGCCAGAACCAGACGCCGCGGGCATCACTTACCTCCTGATCCCTCACACGTCTGTGTCACCCCTCGCATTGATCGACCCCCTCCCGACGTACTGCGCGACGTACAATACACTGCTGCGACAGGCGTACAGCCTGCCCAACGTGAAGAAGGGTGCGTTGGGGGACGCGATCCGCATCGTGCCCCTCGGCAAGCGCGAGCCGGAGCTAGCGCTCGCTGCGGGCCTGCGCCGCATCACGAGCATCGGTGTGCGCGCCTCGCATCCGGCCGTCGGCGTACTCGAGCGCCTGCTGCAAGCCGCGCTGCCGCCACCTAGGCACAGCATGACACTCCCGTGGCCGACGACGGCGCTGGCGGTGCACACGGGCAAGGATGGGCAGAAGGAAACTGAGCCGGCGGGTGAAGCAGGGAAGAAGGCGGAAGGGAGGGCCGAGGGCCCATCGCACCCGCCCATCGCGTACGCTCCGCTGCACATCAAGGCCATCCACACGAGTGCGCCTGCCGACCCCGGCGCGCGGAAGGCGCAGCGCCTGGCCGAGGTGCGCGCAAAGCGCGTCGAGAAGAAGGCCAACCGCTTCGCGGCCCGCAAGGAGATGGAGCGCAAGGTGCGCTCCGAGTTGTCGGGTAAGTTCGTTGGCGCCGGCAAGGGGCGTGCTAGCCGGCGTGCAGCCAAGGCCGCGAAGGCGGAAGGGAGAGCCAAGGGGGCGGACAAGATGGTCGTCGCATGACCATAATCAGCATGGAACGTGTACACATCAATGCATTAGGACGTGGCTGTCAAGAATGGTGTCGTGACGCTACATGATATAGCTGGGCGGGGGGCGCGCCTTGGGTTTCGAGTCCACCGAGCTCGAAGCAGTCTGCACGGCGTTGCCGTATGCTCTCGGCGCATCTAATGTGAGGCTGGCGAGCTGCGCCATGGCATTGGCGTGCGCAGCCGTCGGCGGGGATGCAAGCGGGCCAGCGAGGACGAGAGCGATTTCCGGCGGCACGCTCTGTTCCACCTCTCCGTTCCCCTCCTCCTCTCCCTCCTTCTCCTTGTGCAACCTCAGTGCGCGCCTCTCCGCCTCCTGTCTCTCGCGCACCACCGCGGTACGCATCAGCGGATGCCGTGCCAACGGCCGAATCAGCCTAAATCTGGGATCAGCGCCTTCTCTCCCCGACGCACCCATCCTTCCCGTTCGAGTAGAACCGATGCAACCGCTTCTCGCGCACAAACCCAAGCGCCTCGTACAGCGCGAGACTGGGGGCGTTGTCGAACTCGGTCTCGAGCACAATCTCGTCCGCGCCCATATCATCCATCCGCCGGATCGCGAGCTCGACGAGGCGGCGCGCTGCGGTCAGCCACGCTTGCGTACACCCCACCAATGCTGCGCCGGCGCCAGCGCTTGTCCACGCTCAGCATGCCGATGTAGCCGCGCGACGTGCGCTCGCGGTGCGTGTCCAAGCGGCAGATTATCGTCGCGAGCGGCTCGGGGTCGTCGGCGGACGGGAAGACGAAGAAGGTCAGGTCCGGGCTGGCGTCAGACCGCGGCAGGAGGGACGCACCAGTCCTCGAGAAAGTAGCGGAAAGTGTAGACTGCGGTCAGCGGGGGTGGTGTGCGCCGCACCATTGTATCTGCCGTCAGCAAGCAGGCTCGCGCCGTCTCACTCCCACTCACGGCTCGCTCAGCTCTTGGCTGCACAGCCGCGTGATGGCCGGCAGGTCAGTGTCCTCGGCGGCAAAGGTTCGCAGCGCAAGCGTGTCCCCGCGCCCGTCCACAAACGGCTCGGTCGGATATACACGGCGGCGGCCCTGCGACGTCGACGGGCCCGCCTCGTCTGCGTCAGGCATGGTGGTGGTTGCAAGATGCGGGTCGTCGCGGCGTCATCAAGACCGCCCGAAGTTAAGTGTGTCACGTGATGGACGAGCCTCCACTCTTCCATCTCTCTTCGATTGTTGTCGCCCTTCCTCCCATCTCCCACCACCCACCACTGCCATACTACCACCATGGATATCGACCAGCCGAATGGTGACGACGCAGGATCCTCACGCCCCTCGCCATTTGCGGACGTCAAGCTGTCCGTTGATGCGTACACGCTGGACGCCGCGTCGGGGAAGCGGAGATTGAAGGAGATCGAACCCGATGGGAGCCTGACCTTTGAGGAGCCGTGAGTTGTCCGGGCCAACACCCACTTAACATTTAGAAAGCCACCGCGCGTGAAAGCAACAGAGGAGCTGGCCCGCATCTGGAACCTGTACCCCGGGGGCATGCCTGAGCTGCGTGAGGCGGATGTGCGTGCTGCCGACCCGTCGACAGAATACAACGAGCCCGAGCCGGAGGAAGACAAGGGCGGCGAGTCGCGCGAACCCGGCACGCTCATGAGCCCCGCTGAGATGGAGAAGCTGCGCTCGGAGGTGGTGCAGGATCTGAACAGCGCGCGCAACGAGCTGTGGTGGGTCTTGGAGCTGGCCAAGACGCTGGCAAGCAGCGCAAGCTTCACCGCCGACCCGCCGCCCGAGCCCATCGCTGCAGCGGGTCCGCAGCGCAAGAAGGCGCCGCCCCCCAAAACTGCCGCGGCCCCCGCCCCGCCCGCCCCACCCGGCGCCAAGACGGATGAAGTGCCCCCCATCCTCCCACCGGGGACGTACACGACTACGCCAGCCGCGCCGCCTGAACGACCGGCCGCTGTCGTCGCGCACGAGCTTGAGCTCGCCCTCGCGGCCAAAGCCGCGGCGCTGGACGACTGTGCCGCGCTCATTGACGCGGCGGTGGATGAGCTGCGGCTCATGAACGAGGCGGGGACGCGGTGGGCGGCGGAAATACGCGCTCTGCGCCTCGGCAACGAGGGCCGCGGGCAGTGGGCTGTCGTCCCCAAGCCCGACTTCGGGCGGACAGGCGAGAGTGCCAAGGACGTTGTCATCCCGTACGCGCTCGACGAGGCGCCGTCGAGTGTGCACGCGCGCTCAATGGCCGCGTTCGATCTAGACCCGCGCAAGGATGCGCTCGCGTTTGGCGCGCGCTCGTATTACCGCCTGCGGGTGGTGTTCCGCACCGGCGGCAGTGGCGGGCCCCAGACTGCCAGTCAGCCATACGACGCCAACGCTGAGACTGGAGGCGCGGCGGAGATGCTTGCCGCGGCGCAGCTGGAAACTGTCGATGAGGAACTCTTTAACGAGCTGCGCGTGGAAGCCCTCCGCCTTGACGTTGCGCTCGTCGAGCCGCAGAACATCTCGCTTCGCGTCGGCAAGGACAAGCTTTCTTTCCAGCTTGTGAGTTGAACTCATACCACTTCCAGCTGACGACAGTACGATTCCCGGGCGCCACACGACGACTTGCCCACTTCGGCGCGTTGCGACGCACTCCTCGCCGGCGCGCGCCTTGGCCTGCTGCACAAGTATCAGCGGCGGAAGCAGAAGCTGATCGACAACCCGCTTGTGCCGAGCCAGAGCATCCTCTTCCCGCTCGTCAACCTGCTGCAGTTCGCCGCGGCGTGCCGCACCGTGAGCCCTGTGCTCCAAGGCTTTGCAGATGCGCTCAGCGCCGCCGGCCGGCCGACAAAGCTCGTGGCGCGCTTTTCGGCGTGCGAGAGCCCCGACGCGGTCGTCGGCCTCCTTGCCGCGCGCACGAAGGTCGACGTCCTCGGCGCCGTGTACACGCTCGAGATCGAAGAATGGTGAGGGTTTCTAATGCAATAGCTGACAGCAGCCCCGGCCTCACTGTAACCGTGACTGCGCCGGCGGTGCTGAGCGTCACGACACCGCGCGCCACGTTCCCCCTGCGCGACGCGGACGGGCTTGCGCCGCTGGCGGCCGACGCCGTAGCAACGCAGCTGAGCGCGCTCGCGTATCCCGTCGTGCGGGAGGCGGCGGGCGGCGAGAGCGTTGTGTTCTTCGACGAGCTTGACCAGGTCGTGATTGCAGGCAGCTTGGGTCCGTTGTCGTGAGTTCTATGTCCGCTGCGTATGCTGACGTCCAGTATCACCCTACCAGCGCCGTACGACCGCGTACTTGCCTCCGTCGAAAGTGCTGCGGTGGAGGGGTACGACTCGGCTGACGCGTCGCAGAGCCTGGACGAATGGCTCGGCGACCTTGGGCGCGCAGCGGTGACGGAGTCGTGAGCGGCCATAGTATGCGACTGATTAGATGCAACACTCAGGTACAGATCACGTGACGAGCGGCTGTTGTGAGCAATGTGGCACTACCTGTGGCACTGCACAGCAGTCGTTGGCCGTGCTCCGACACCTCGGTGTAGTGGCTTGACCCTGCCAGTGCGCCCCGGCCTAGTTTATGACTCAGTCTTACTCCGCCGTCGTCCGCTTGTAACCTTCTCCGGTGTCACTCCGTACCCACTCCACCTCTATACATCACAGTCTGGTAACGTCCACGAACGCCTCATAGCCCTGTGCCATCTCGCGGCACAGCCCCGCTCCACTGAATCCCGCGTTGAGTACATAGCGCTACGCGTCCCAAGCGGCCAAAGCCCACCCAGGCGGCGGAGGCACGACGCGCCGCACACGTCAGAACGAACAATCGGAAGTGCGGCGCGCTGGCGGGCGGTTCGTCGGCAGTGCGGACCGAATCCAGGATGCCGGATGTCAGTTTGGCCGATGAGCAAGAGTATAGAAGAAGACGGGACTGAAAACGGGAAGGAGAGACTTGGCAGCACACCGCCCGGCTGACCCAACGCGGTGGACTGCGTCCTGTGAGGCGAAGGCTGCGATACGACGGGGTCGCGGTCAAGGCTAGCATGGTCGCGGGATACCGCGACTGCGAGGTGAGGTGAGCCGGAGAGCGGGAGTCTGTGGAGAGCTGAGCAGAGGGGCGGTGAGAGTGTAGGGTGATTCGCCGTGGGAGAAGGTCTCGTGCATCTGCTATGCATGCAGTACTCTCCCGACGGCGCGCGAGCTGCCGCCGCGTGGCCGCGTGGACGAGGTACTCCGGGACCTCGGCAGGCTCTGATTCACATCGAGCAGCCAGGCATGCTTGGGGCTTGGCTTGCGGCGTGCGGCGTGCCGCCAGAAATGGATGCTGAGATGGATTGAACACATTCATGATGGGCGTACTGTAGGAGACGGCGTGCTGCCGTCAGCATGTCCCTGATCCGGAATTGTAACCCGCCGTCTAAGGAAAATTGGGTGGCAAACATTCACATCGCGGTACAAACAAAATAGACATGGCAGACATGTGGTGTGCGAAGAGCGTGAGCAAAGGGGGTGCGGAGAACAGGAGCGAAGGGCGCAGAGAACGAGAGCGAAGCGGGTGCGGAGAATCAGAACGAGCGGGTGCGCTGGTCACTGGGCGGGTCATGATGGCGAGCTGGGTCTACACCTCGGGCATGCGGGGGAAGTACGAGCCGGTCGACGGCTCAGGGTCGCGGCGCGGGGCGAGCACGGGCGGCGTGTCGACGAGGTAGTCGCGGAGGCGCTCGACTTCGGCCTTGGTCTCCTGGGGAATGGCGGTGCGGATGACGCGGACCTGGGGCATGAACTCGAGGAGGCTCAAGTCTGCGCCGTCGAACAAGTCGACGGCGCGGACGTTGTTGCACAGGTGCACCATGTGGTCGCGGCGCGCTTCGTTGGCGGCCACTGCCGCGGGATCCGCGGGGACCTTGGGCGTTGGGTCTGCGGGGACGTGGACGTGGACCTGCGGGCGGCCGTCCTTGCCGGGCTCGCTGAAGCAGGTGGCGAACGCGGGGTGGATCGGCACCTCGTGCAGCTCGAGGTGCTGCGCGAGCTCGAGGTCCACGAGCATGCGCAAGGGCTTGCACACTAGGCGGAGCGCGAGGAGCGTCGCTTTGTCTAGGTGCTCGAGGGCGTTCTCGAAGATGAGCCTGTAGGAGATGAGGTTGCACGTCGCCCAGTCGATGACGGGGGGAGGAGGGGCCGCTTCCGGAACCTTGTAGTAAGTGGTCATGGGGGTCTCGCGAGAGGTGAACATGGGATTTCCGCGGCGAGCGCGCTTGATGGGCCAAGGAAGGATTTCCTCGGCGAGCTTGCGCTTGCGCCTGTTGATGATAGACATTGTAGTTGGAAAGACAAGGGACAGTTGAGAAGAGGTCGCTAAAATGCGCTGGGTGTGCTGTACAACTTGTACGAGGTGAGATGAAGATGGGGATGAAGAAGAAGAATGCAGCGCAGCGTCGTTTTGTAGTCTGCACGAGGTGGCTGGCTGACGGCCGTCCGTCACCGGGTCCGCAGTGGAAGCGGCGGCCGTGTGGCATGTCTCAGCTGGAAAGTCTTTGAATGCATGGCAACTCCTGAAGTCATTGAATATGCGTGACCCAACTCAAGACAACCGCGGCTATGAGTCATGAGGTGAGCTGAACTCTACGACATGATTGTTTGCGATAGGATTCAAAGGGCAGTGTGTGTTGGTGACGGAGTGCATTGAATATGCCTTTCCCTTCCAGGATCAAAGGGGAAGGCGGCGAGATACACGGCGAGAGATGCGGCGAGGGCCGCGCTGAGGAAGACGGCGACGGATGTCCGTGTCAACCAGCCTTTCGGTCAACATCCTAAAGCATCGCCGCCACCCGCTACTCCACGCCGAAGATCCGCCGAAGGTCCTCGAAACGCGCCTGCTTTTTAGCCGCCTTCGTCTCGGCCGAGCCGGACTTTGCAAACGCCTACGGTCAGCGGAGACTGACTCACACCTACGTCCTGCACCAGCGCGTCCTTTTGCTTCTCTGGTGGTCAGCTGTAGTTCTGCTCGTGATGACTCACGGATGTCGAGAACCTTTGCCTCAATGGTGTTCTCGGCAATGAGCTGGAACACGCGCACGGTTTTGCGCTGGCCCATCTATCGTTAGCCCTATCAAAGTGTTCGAACATACGCGATGCACACGATCCACGGCCTGCGCCTCAATTGCGCTTTGCCACCACGGGTCGCACTATCGTCAGCCAGTCGTCTCTCCTTGCCTTGCTTACCAGAAAGACATTACTAGCTGCCGTAAGGTTCAAGCCAACGGCCCCAGACTTGAGCGAGATAAGCATAACGACGGGGTTAGTTTCCGTGGTGGCGTCAAGGAAGGGCTTCTGGAATCGGGCGATGACCTCTTGCCGCTTCTGTCAGCTTCCTCTAACTATGCACCCACCTTCTTTGCTGGCATGCTCCCGTCAAAGCGGCAGTATTGGATACCCTCTTCTTGCAAGATGGCAGCAACGCGGTCGAGGAACGTTGTGAATTGCGAGAATACGAGCGTCTTGTCTCCCTTGTCGAAGGCTTTAAGGTAGCGCACGAGTTCGGTAATTTTGGCCGAACGCAATGATGGAACTATGGCTTGTTCTACAAACTCTGGAGCAGCATCTGGTGGTACCTCGAGAAGGGACGTAAGCGCAATGGGATGACGATCCATGGGACAAACAGCTTGCCGCTTGATGACCTCAGAAATACACTCGAAGCAGACTGGTGTGAGCTGGCTAATATGTAAACGTACATGGATGCCCGCAGTCGGTGATTCGCGGATCGCTGAGGACGTCAAAGCACACGGAGCACTCCTCCTGGTCGGCGATGACCTGTTTGAGTTTTTGAATCAACATTTCTCGCTGTTCGGGTGTCATCTTGGAGACAGTTACCGCAGGTGTGTTGGACGAGACATGCGGGTGGCGGATGTCATCAAGGAAAGACTGCGGGACGAGATCAGCAGATAAGCAAAGTTGCCGCACTGCGGTTAGTTACCATGGTGCAGACAACGACCTACTCCTTGTCAACATGGCCAACACGTTTGCAGCACTCTGAAGGTCAGCAGCGTTTTAGTCAGACACACCTCGCCAGAACGCAAGCTTTGCTCAAAACGGCGACGTGACTCGGCGTGCACCTCGTCATATGTGCGGCGAGTCTCCTCGTCGAGCTTGACGGGCACCTGATAATACTCGATTGGTGGCAGCGACACGATGGGCTTTCCAGTTGCGTCCTTCGTCTCCTTTGTACGGCGTAGAAGAGCCTGACCCACAATGCCTTGGAGTAGTCGAGCGGCCTCAGCGGCGCCGCTTTTGAGTGGGCGCAGAACCAGGCTGCGGAAGTACTCGGGCTGGTCGAGTGGTGCGCACATCTTGATGCATGTGAGCAGCGAGCCGAGGTCTGCCGGGCTGTTGACAATGGGTGTTCCCGTACAGATCCAGCGACGCTCGGCGTGCAGAGAGGCAAAGGCTTGTGTCACTTGTGGTAAGCGTTATCAGTGGGCACGGGACTAACTTTTCGCCTTTGGGTTCTTCATTACATGTCCCTCGTCGGCAACGATGCGCTTCCACTTCATCTTGAGCAATGGCCCGAGTCTCCCGGAGACCTTGACTTTTTTTCCCTTGTCGATACTTTGCGCGGCAGGTGTAGGTGCCTCCGCAGCGATGGTCTGATATGTGGTCAGGACGATCTTACGTCAGCAGGTAATCAAGTCTGGGTTCTCACATCGTATTGGGCTAGCGTAGTCGGCGTCGCGCTCTTGCCAGTACCATGATACACGTAGTAGCGGAGCTGACCATCCGCCACATGGTCCTCGATTTGCTTCTCCCAGTTGCTGAGAACTGACAGCGGGCAGACTGGGGTCAGCTCTCATCGAGCATCCAACGTTACCGATTAGTGTAGTTTTGGTAGAGCCCTGAGCCACATCTTGGGCCTTTGTCGCAAGTACAAGCGCCAGAGTCGTGAGGGTCTTGCCAAGCCCCATGCCATCGGCTACAATTCCACCACGCCCCAACACAGGCGTCTCGACCTGGGGTGTTTTGGTCGCGACGTTGAGCCAGTAATCCGACGCGCCCTTCCCCGACCCCTTTTGGCGAGTCCAGAACTGCACGGCGGTGTCCTCTGGCGTCTTAGGCAGCTTGGGGTCTTCGTGGTCAATCATCCACTTCAGCGCCTGCGACTGGTGGGGCAGCAGGTCGACGAGGAGTTCGCCCGATAGGCGTGACGGCGGGGAAGGGTGAAGTGGGAGCTTGGTGACGTCCATGCCCGCCGTGAGAGCCGCCTGGGGTCAGTGCGCCCCGAGGAGGATACTAACCATGACGCTGTCGGCGGCCTTCTCATCTTCGTTGACCTTGACGAGACCATCGAGGATTCGCTGCATCCCCTCGCCTACCCCACCACCACTGCCGCTCACCCCAGTCTCGCGTGCCTTGCCCTTGCCTCTCGCGGCCGCCTCATGTTGTCTCATGTAGTCGAAGCCGCGCTCCATGGGCGTCGCCCAGGCCAGTTCCGGTTCGAGGACCTCGCGGTGGGCTGCGCGCCCGTAAATGCTCATGTTCCTGCAGTCAGCTGTGTATCAGAGCAGCTCACATAGGCAGCTTGTAGCGATGAGAGCCGTCGAGGTTCTGGCCGATCATTCTTCCTTCGACTGTGATAAGCCTCCCGTCCATGAGCGGGGCAATACGCGCTGCGACGCCGCGCGGAATGTGGCCGACTTGAACGCCCGAAGCATTGAGGACCTATGGTGAGTTAGGTCGAGGGACGATCTCACCTGCACGGCGTTGCTGTCGTACTCGTTGTTGGGCTGGCGGCGGAGCATGACGTACTCGCCAATGCCGACGAGGCCTTCGTAGTACTGGCTACCGACAACATCGGTACGCAAAGTCACGTAGAGCTGAGATGAGGTGGGGAGGGGGGCAGGGGAGGTGTGGATGAGCTCACTTCATCGAGCTCCTGGGTGGGTGGAGGCGCGTCTTCCTCCTCCTCGGCGTAGTGGTGAGGTACATCGCCATTTGGCTGAGCCTGGGTGCGCCTGCCGTCGTCGGAATGGGCTGGTGAACGAGCCCGCTTCTTCCCCGCTGCCTTCTTGGGCCGCGAGGAGGAGGAGGAGTGGGATGAGGGGTGGGATGATCGGGAGGCGCCGGTGCGCCGTGAGGAGGGAGAACTGCCATGAACTTGATGATCCTCCATCTTGTGATGGAAATGAAAGAACGGGCAATGAGTGAAGAGGAGATCGGCGAGAACAGAGAAGGAAGGTGCAGTCAGTGAGCTGCAGACGCTCGGAAATCGCATTCCGTCTAGTTGTTGATGGGGCTCCAAGTGGAGCAAGTGGAGGTTGACTCATCTTCTCGCCTTCGTCATTCAGACATCTAAAGCCATCCATGACTGTCCAGACCCACACGTCACCCTCTATAGCTCGACATTACAAGTGGGTAGCAGCTGCTCATAACTATAACGCACGACTCAACGCCTAGTCGTCACGAGGGCCGACGCGCGATACGATGTACTGCCGCACACGACGCTGCTCCTCGCCTCCCACACCATCAATCTCCTCTGCCACCTGTCCTTCAGAGTTTGGCTACATGTCAGCGCATATACACGGCCACAGAGCCTCAGCGGTTCACGCTGGACTGTACTTGACACTCACCCTCTCGCGGTCGGCACCTGCTTCCAGAAGGATGACAGCAGCCTCGCCGTGCCCGCTCTCCAGCGCGAGATGGAGAGGTGTGTTGCCGGCGCGGTCAGCGGTGTTGAGCCGCGTCTTGGGTCGACCCTCGGGCGGGTTGAGGAGGATGTTCAGGAATGCGCCGTTGCCGGTCGTTGCGGCGCGGTGGAGGGGGTGCTGGTTGGCGCGATCGCGCGCATTGATCTGTACGTCAGCGCCGGTGCTGTGGGCAACACGGCTGTACGTACGTCGGCCCCACGTGTGATTAGCAGGCGACCCATCTGCATGTTAGCGCATTCAAGGAGTGCATGCTTGCATGCATGACATACCGGCACGTTGCCCTTGGAGGCCGCGTAGTGGAGGGCAGTCTGACCCTTGTCATTTGCAGCATCGACCTTGGCTCCGGCGTCCAGGAGGGCGGTGACATTCTCCATCTGGCCTGCGGCTGCAGCAATGAGAAGAGCCGTCCATCCTAATGAGTCGCGGGCCTCGACATCGGGGGAGTTTGAGAGGATGAGCTGGGTTACGCTGAGGTTGTTGGCTGTGGCCGCCCAGTGAAGCGGTGTGCGGCCATCCTGAAGGACAGAACAGGAGACAGGAACAGTGTTTGTTGTTGGTCAAGAGAGGATGGAGAGGTCGGGAATGCAAGGGTTGGACCGAGTCGGGCGGTGTAGAGTGAGCGGAAGCGCTGTAGCAGGGCAAGGGGCTGAAAACGTACATCGTCCTTGGCGTTGATGAGCTTTGGGTTGTCTGCGAGGAGACTTCGGATGAGACCTGGTTGGCCTGTAGGAGCGTGAGCTCTGAAGAGAGCAGAGAGGGAGAGAGAGAGAGATGCAAAGCTAACCTTCCTGTGCAGCGCGATGAATGGTGAGGTTGCTGCTCATGGTGATGGAGGGGGTGAAGGTGATGGCGAGAGAGAGAGAGAGAGAGAGAGAGATGGCCGAATCCAAACAAGCACCGATTTAGCGCATTAGGCATTAGCCTATTAGCCCATTAGGGGTCGGATACGTCAGCGTTCAAAGTGGAGGTGGTGGAGGTGGAGTATCAACAAGGTTAAACCTGGTAAATGCATAAAAGCCACGTGTCAGAAGGGTGAGTGAGAGTGACGCGTACAAGTTGGGTGCCAAGACGCGACAGAGTTGACAGCGGGTGCCTGGCGAGAGGGGATTTCAGGAAAACGGGCCCCAGGGTTGGTTGGAGGAGGCGCGGGGGGGCTGTGCGCAGTGTGGGGTAATGCCGGGTATCAGGGTGATTAGGAATATTACAAACGCAAATAGGAAACAAGGGTTGGGATCCAAGCACAACAAACCGAAGCTACCGAACAGCGAGCGCTCCCTTCCCTCCCTCGGCCCACTCCGGCGCACAGCCATCGACCTCGCAGTCGTCTTCACATCCTCCTCCTCCTCCTCCTCTCTTCTCTCTCTCCTCCTCTCCATCTCTCTCCATCTCTCTCTATCTCTCTCTCTCTCTCGTTCTCTTTCTCTCTCTTCTTCCTGTTCACGATCCTCCTCTCTCTTTGCTTCTCTTTGTCCACAGAAGCCTTATTCTCCTCCTCCTCCTACTCCTCCTCCTCCCCGCCCCTTCCAGCTTACACAAACTCCTCAATCACTCTCTCCTCCTCTCTCTACCTCACCTCCTCCGAAACCTCCCAACATGCGCTTCCTCCGTGCCCTCACGGTGGCCGCATCCCTCGTGCCACTCGCATCAGCTGCCGTCTCAAAGATCACTCGCAGCGGCAAGTACCTCTACGACGACGCCGGCTCTCGTTTCTACATCAAGGTGAGTCTCGTCCATATTTGCTTCACTTTCACACTTCCGTCGGAGCTGCAAGTTGGAAACTCAACCCCACCCCCAAACTCCCACGCTGCACGACGCGATATGGGCACGCGCTAACACCAGGGCGTTGCATACCAGCCGCAGGGTGAGCTCGCCGTCGAGTCCGAGGCCAACGCGGCAAAGTAAGTTGCATCCTCTTCAGCCCTTTGGACAGCTGCTGACTCGTTCCAGTGGTGGATTCCCCGAGCCGTAAGTTTGTTCGCGTCCTGTCGCGACTTGCCCATCGATCCGCCGCCCTAACACCAGATCGTCGTTCTTCGACCCGCTTTCTTCGGAAGCGAACTGCACGCGTGACCTCCCATACCTCCAGCAGCTCAACGTCAATGCGGTGCGCGTCTACAGCGTCAACTCGTCTCTCAACCACGATGCTTGCATGAAGCTCCTTGACGATGCTGGTATTTACGTTCTCCTTGACATCTCGCTCCCCCTCAACGGCTCCATCGACCGCGCTTCCCCTTCGTGGACCACCAACCTCCTCGACGAGTACATCAGAACCATTGACGCCTTCAACAAGTACCCTAACGTCCTGGCTTACAACATCGGCAACGAGGTCATCAGCACTCCCCGGAACACCTACGCGGCTCGTGCGTGTGCTCACACGAGGGCAGATGCTGACTAATAGCTTTCGTCAAGGCTGCCGCCCGTGACGTCAAGGCCTACCTCCGCAGCATCAACTCGAATGCCCTTGTCGGCTATGCGGCAGTCGACGGCGAGGCCGATTTCCGCGACGCTGTGGCTCACTACATGACCTGCGGCAACGAGACTGAGACTATCGACCTTTACGGTGGGCTGAAACGCGCATGGAGGTTGCTGACAGAGTTCCAGGTCTCAACAATTACCAGTGGTGCGGCGCGTCCAGCCTCACGGCGTCCAACTGGAACACGATCACCCAAGGCTTCTCTGACATGACTGTGCCCACTTACATGTCCGAGTACGGCTGCATCACTTCGCCTCCTCGCCTATGGACTGAAGTTGCGGCGCTCCTTGCCACTCCCGTCTCGGATGTCTTCTCCGGTGGTATCGCCTTCAGCTACTTCCCCACCAGCGACGGCTACGGCATGACTACTATCAACGGCAACACGTAAGTGACTCATACAGTTTCCAAACACTCATACTGCTAGTGTCACCCCCAACGCCGACTTTGCCCGCCTTGGCGCCGCGTACGGTAACGCCACTGGCCCCAACTCGCCCGCCCAGAGCTCGCAGGCCAACTCGGCTGCCACTTGCCCTCAGGAGAGCGCCACACTCCTCGCGACGACCAACCTTCCCCCTACCCCCAACCCCGAGGTGTGCAACTGCCTCGACAAGTCGGCGTTCGCGTGCCTGGTCAACGACGCGACGGCCAACGACCCCGTCAAGGTCGGTGCTCTGCTCAACATCGCTTGCGACATGCTTGCTCAGGCTGGCTCGACCGTTGATTGCACTACCATTGGCGGCAACGGCACCACGGGCACGTATGGCCCGCTCGCCATGTGCTCGCCCGACATCAAGCTGTCGTGGGCCTTCTCGGCGTACTACATGCTTAACCCCGTCGCTACCAGCTGTGACTTTGCTGGCAACGCGACGCGCAACGAGGGCGCTGATGCCCCCAAGACGGCCGAGGACGCCAAGATTGCGGCCGACAACTGCTTTGCCGGCAAACCCGCGGTTGTCACCCCCACTAGCTCGCCCCAGAGCACTGGCGGCGGTGGCAGCAACTCTGGCGGCAACGCGCCTGCGCAGAGCAGTGCCACGTCGAACCAGAACAGCGGTGCCCAAGCCTCGCTCTCTCTCCCTCCTCTTGCGGCCGTCGTCATTGGCGCGCTAGGCCTCGTTGCTGGCGCGGTCGTCGTCTAAGATAACTAATAGCGTGAGGCGTTCCCCGCTGCACCTGGACAATCCTCTCCCATGTGGTGTTTAGCATCTAGCATAGGCTCTGCATGTGATCGTAATAATGCTGGCGGTGGTCTGTGCGACTGTGATGATTTGAGCGGCTTGAGCAGAAGAGTGGAAGGGTGGATCTGATGGGAGATCTGGAGCGAGAGAGGTGGATGATGACACGGACGATGGCGTCTCTCCCGTCCATCGTGATCATCGCGTGGCAGCCGTTGTTCGGATTAGCTCCCTTGGGCACTGCACAGACCACCGCCCATCTGGATCTGCGGGCGATCTACACCCATCACCCGAGTCGCTATCCAGCCGAGGAGGTGAAGAGACGAGGCCGCGAGCGGGCATGCGTGCAGGCGTCGAGTCGGCCTGGAAGCGGGGACGCGTAGAGGCTTGAATGCCGTGTATGCCGAAGCGCCATCGACTGTCAGAGTGCACCGGTGCGCAGCTGTGCATGGCAGTGCATTCCATCCCTTACCACAAAGTGCAAGCGGTGTTATGGTTAATATGGCCGCGGATTGTGTGCCTGTGACCCAGCCGAGTCTGCTCCGAGCTCATGGTACAGTATTCCGCTTCGCCCCGGACGGTTGGGACCAAATGACCATCGCCAGCGCATGCAGCATTCACATGCACACCTGTACACTCCTTGCTCCTCGCCCAGCTTGAGTGCTGCGGATATGAGAGAGGCACAGGCTTCAGTCTCTCGAGGATCAAGGTAATGTCTTGGCGTGCCTGCCAGCCTCCCTTCCCAGACGACGCTCATGTCCGTCGCTGTCCAGTATGTCCAGTTCTCTGTCAGTAGGCGCATCGCCCTCGACAGCTGTCGCATGCTCACTCACTCACCCACCCACTCACCCAACCTCTACCTCGACAACTCTGCATCCCATCTTGATGCAGCCATGTTCCTGAATACCGTACGGCAGAACGCAACACGCCACCCCGCGCCTCCTCGCCGCCTGGCCTCCTGACCTCCCCGCCGGAAGTTGGATGTAGGATCCCAGGCTATAGGTAAGACATAGGAGGCATGCGAGACCTGCGAGACCTGCGAGGACGAGGAGAGAAACACGGCGCGTCGAATGAATTGTGTCTCACATAGCGTCCGTCACGTGCACCACAAACAACGCCCTCTCCTCCTCCTACCGTGGCCGCCGGGTCTTGCGCACTGCCACCGCCATGCGAACTCAGCTCGAGCGCTTCGCCCCTCGCGACCGAGAACTCGCACCTGTCATGCTTCTCACTAACTACTCTCTGTCTCTCTCTTTCTCTCTCGCTCTCTTTCTTTAATATCCCTCCTTCTTCGCTATCGCTTCGGCATTCAATCCTGCTCCTCCATTCACTAATACCTGCTCGTGATACCTTGCTAGCTATATCTAGCTTCTCCCCTCCTCTCCCCTCCTCTCCCCCCCTCCCCCTCTCCCCCACTTCCCCCCACCATGGCTGAGAAGCCATACACGTCCCCCGCGGCAGCGCGCAGCCGCAAGTGGCTGTGGGCGTCCCTTGTCGCCCTCGGCGTAGTCGGCATCGCCCTCGGTGTCGGCCTCGGCGTCGGCCTTAACATTAACAAGAAGGACGCCGACAAGGGTGCGGCGGCCACTACCGCCCCCGCCGGAGCCGTCGCGACCACCGTGCCCCCCGCCAACCCGAGCACACCCGTTACAAACACCACCGACCCCGTGCACGGCGGCAGCGGCGGCAACGGCTCGATCGTCACCACCGACCTCAACGCGACATTCACGTACATCAACGAGTTTGGGGGCACATGGGCGTATGATCCCGTCAACCCGTTCAACGTGAGTGCGGTGCGGGGCCAAGGCCAAGGCGAAGAGGCGCGCTGTTCCCTTCCCACGTTCTCATGAGTCGCCCTCCACACGCACCGATTTAGAACGCAAGATCGCAATCTAACCACAGGTCTCGGGCCAGGCGCAGAGCTGGACACCCCCGCTCACGGAAGAATGGGTGTGGGGCAAAGACATTATTCGCGGGTGAGTTCGGCACGATGAGAAGGAGATGGAGGGCTGTGCCAAGGCGTCCATTCCTCCAACGGAGTGGCACACGCCCAAGCCCCCACTCCCTCCGCCGGACCCGACAACCTCGTTAACATTCAGTGTCAACCTTGGCGGCTGGCTTGTGACCGAGCGTAAGTGGACTTGGACCAACGGAGCTGACAAGCAGCATTCATCGTCCCTGCGCTCTATGAGAAGTACAACAAAGCCACGCCCAAGGCGATGGACGAGTACACCCTGTCCCAAGCGTGAGTCGCTCGGGCGTAGGCGTGGGGGTGTGCGCTGCGTGCCGGCGGATACGGGACTGACAGCAGCATGGGTGCCAACCTCGCCAAGGAAATGGAGGAGCACTACAAGACCTTCATCGTGAGCGTTGGCGGCGTGAGAAAGCTAACGACAGACCGAGAAGGACTTTGCGGACATTGCCGCTGCGGGCCTGAACTGGGTCCGGTGAGTGGTCACGCGCCTGACTTTACCTGACGTCAGCATCCCCATCGGCTTCTGGGCCATCGAGACGCAGGGCGACGAGCCGTTCCTCGCCAAGGTGTCGTGGTCGTGAGTCAGCAAGCATGCTTATGTAGAGCGCACCTAACCTCAGATACTTCACCAAGGCCATCAGCTGGGCGCGCAAGTACGGCATCCGCATCCTCCTCGACCTGCACTCGCTCCCCGGCTCGCAGAACGGATGGAACCACTCGGGCCGCCTGGGCGAGATCAACTGGATGCGCGGGTCCATGGGCCTCGCCAACGCCCAACGCTCGCTCGAGTACCTGCGCTCGTTCACGCAGTACATCTCGCAGCCGGGCATCAAAGAGGTCGTGCCCATGATCGGTCTCGTCAACGAAGTCCTCTACGCTGAGGTCGGCAAGGACGCCATGGGTTCTTTGTGCGTGCCCTCGCCCGCTCATGCTTACCGCAGCTACTTTGAGGCGATGGAGATGATCCGCGGCATCACGGGCAGCGGGGCGGGCAACGGCCCCCTCGTGGCCGTGCATGACGGCTTCCAAGGCCCGGCGAACTGGGCGGGCTTCCTGTCCGGCGCCGACCGCCTCGTACTCGACCAGCACCCCTATCTGTCCTTCACGGGCCCGAACCAGAACCCGTGGGCGCAGCAGACGCGCCAAGCCTGCGGCTGGGGCGGCGGGGTGAACGACACCTCCAGTTCGTGGGGCATCATCATTGGCGGCGAGTGGTCGCTCGCGACCAACGACTGCGGGATGTGGCTGACCGGCGTCGACGCCGTGGGCGAGTACGAGCGCGCGTACGGCTCGTGCGCCCAGTTCGAAGACTACCGCACGTGGGACGCGGGCTTCAAGCAGAACGTGCTGGACCACGCGCTGGGCAGCATGGACGCGCTGCAGAACTTCTTCTTCTGGACGTGGCGCATCGGCGTGTCCAGCGTGCGCGGGTACGCGCCCTCCCCGATGTGGCACTACCAACTGGGCTTGGAGCAAGGGTATATCCCGAAAGACCCGCGCGCCGCCGGCGGCTTCTGCAAGCGCAGCGGGTACTGCCCCGGCTGCGCCGAGTTCGGGGGCACGTACCCTGCGTCGGCGACGGGCGGCGCGTCGCACGCCATCAGCCCCGCCCAGTCGGCAGAGTACGGGAACATGGCACAGGCGATCGTGAGCCCCGCATGGATCGCGGGCAGCGCATCCCTCCTCCCCACCCTCACGCAGACGGGCACGCCGATTACGCTCGCCGTCCCCGCCGAGTCGGCGCAGTGGCTCTCGGGCTGGGCGAACGCCAACGACCGTGTCGGCGCATGGGTCCCCGTCGCGGGGTGCCCGTACCCCGACACATACGCGGGCACGGACCCCGGATCCATGCCCCGCGCGCTGTGCAACGCCAACGGCGTAGGACCCGTCGTCGCGCCCGCGCCCGTGCCCGCGCCCACGCCGGCACCGACCCCCGCCGCGCCTGTTCCTCCCGTTCCCCCCGCGCCGACTGACGACCCCTCGACGTCCGCCCCGGCGCCTACGACGGCCGCGCCGACCGAGGCGCCCACTACGCCGCCCGCGTCCAGCGCTAGCAGCGCGTAATCTGTCAGCTGAAGACGTAGACGCATGGCGTAGCCCCGGACATTCTCTCCTTACTCGCACTCGCATACCAACGGGTGCGCCAACACTCTCCCTACCTAGCCTCGTTGTGGTCCTGGTTATATCTCAGCGGACAATACCATAGTCATATGAACACTTTGTTAGTGTGGGAGACGGGTCGGCCTCACATGCCTCGAGGGCGTGTGGTCAAGTCAGCTAGTCAGCCGCGTCGTCAAACGTGTACATGTCCTGCATAATGGGCGGTGGAGATCAAGATCGTTAGCGGGTATCTGTCTAATCAAGCTTAAAGAATTACAGCGCGCCGGCTCTCGTGTGCGGCGCATGGTTGGCAGCGTGCGCCGACTCTGGGAACGCGGGGTTGTTGGCAAGGGCGCCCTCGACCTGGGACATGCCCGCGGCGCCGCGCGTATCGTTTGCCGTGGCAATCCCGCCGTTGCTGTACGTCTTATCGACCGCTCTCCCCTCTGAGAAACGGGGCTCGTACTGCTGCGGCGGGTATGAGGCGTATGGCCGTTCAACGGGCGAGTTAGTCATGTGGCTGGGAAGGAGGGCGTGTTCGTCGCGCGAAGCGGTGCGCCCGTGCGTCTGCAGTTCCGTGTCGCGCGAGATGCGCGGCTCGTACGGCCGCCACGACTTGCTGGCGCCCAGCGATGGGTAGTACTGCCTGTAGCTCCACCAGGCGACGATGATACCAATGACGGCGCCTGCAATCACATCGGTCGCGTGATGCCGGTAGTCCATAGTGCGAGACACCGAGACGAGCGTCGACGCTGAGACAGGGATGAGAAGGATCCAGCTCTTGATAGTGTATCCGCGGCGGTTCGCGACGCGCAGTTCTGGTGTGAGCGGGGGAGTGCAGGACCGGCTGTCGCGACACTGCTACGCGTCAGAAACACTCACTTGCCATCAGGTACATCTCTAGATACCACATGCCGCTCCAGGCAAAGCTCGAGTGGCCAGAAGGGAAGGAGCGGAAGCCTTCCTGGAGCTTGTCAGTGCGCGTGCACGCCGTCCATGCTGTAAGCCCATGAATGGGGTTGGACGTGAGGTCTTGCGGCAACTGGCACCGGGAAAAGAGGTCGGGGCGGGGCCTTCCGACAGTGATCTGGCGTTAGCTCGGGGAGGAAGACAGAGGAAGGCGAAGGGAGGCGTTGCTTGCGCGCGGAACGCCAGCGGGCACGCGAGCGGAATAGTTAAAAGCGCACCTTGATAATCTGAGTAAAAGTGACGCCGAGGGCGAGGCAAAGAACCAAGCCTAGTAGGCCGCTGTGAACGTCCCAGGGGGAACGCATCAATGAGCTGCCGTCAGCCAAAGTTGATAGATCTGGTTGGGAGATCTGGAGGCGCACTAACCCAGATGCTATGATGACGACAGCGGGGAATACGCCGGCGATGAGCGCAAGCGACCAGACTGGGATGCGCTCGTGCTCTGCATATGGGTGGGCGAGCGATGTGTCCGTCACAGAGAAGAGACGTCGGTACCCGTCCACTTTGTCCAGGAGGTAGAAGATGCCCTGGGCGTCAGCTGGGGAAAGGGGGCACGACGCGGCGTCGAGAAGAGGGGCGATGAACATGATTAGCAACACGACATTGCCTATACGTTTTGCCACCATGCTCGCCAACACGAAAGCCACGTACCCAGAGGAAAATGGTGAGTGCCCAGTCGGGAAAGTAGCTCCAGAAGACCTGCCAATTGTATGGGCGCTCACGCGCCGCGGCGCGGCTGCGGGGGGGAACCCAGTTTGGCATGAGGAGGCGGTCTGTGGAAGGGGAGCGTGAGCGTGAGCGTGAGCGGGGTGTGGGCGTTGGGGATGCTCGGGTGAGTGAGCTGTGTGATGGAGATGGCGAGTGAGCGATGTGAGGGATGGAGGGAGAAGAAAAGGTGGAGCGTGGATGATGATGGAGGGGCATTATTTGGGTGTGGTGGACGGAAAGTGGTGGTCGTGTGGGTGGGTGGGATTGGAGTGGTGGGGAGGAAGAAGGTGTGACGTCGGTGATTCAAAGTGTGCCAAGCGGCCAGGAGCCTCGAGATGCCCAGGTTGGTATGTGCCAAGGGGGGGGCAGTGCTTTTCCGTCGCCCCCACAGGTCCGCGGGACCCAACGAGACACGCTAACTTTCTCGATCGCGGGCCACAAATAGTGTTGCCGTCCTTGCCGGATGCTGCGTATTTCCGTGCGGCGGACTAGAATAGATGAGCAAGTGCGCAGTTTGTGGAGAGAGCGATGTTGAGGTGACGAGTGGCGTTTGAGCCAGAAGGAGATGCATCTTGAGAATTGAGAGGGATCCCTCGCCCTCGGCGCGCGCACAGGACGCCGCACGCCGTCGTGCCATTGCCATTGCACAAAGCGAGGGAGAGGAAAGATTGACACGAACATTCGTGTTCAAATGCTCTCATATGCTTGGACCTATTTTCGTCTCTAGACGATTGACAGCAGGCTGTTCCTACACTGCTGGCTTGGTCGCCGCCAGCTCATGCAGCTCATCAACAAGCAAGCATGGCAAGCCCTTGTCCAAGACATTGCACGTGATGAGTGTGTGCAGAGTGACAGCGCCTCTTCATTAAAAGAAACTGAGCTATAATTAAAATATACTGATAAAGCGCTGACTGTTGTGACTGAAGAACTGGATGACGGCGCAGGACAAGACACAAATGAGCTCTGAGCTCCATGCGTCGTCATGCGTCCGACAAGATTCGCGAGCAGTCCGGGTGCAAGAGTCTCGGCCTTGACGGCATCTCGCTTCGCTTGGAGGAAATTCCGGAAGCCGCACAATCGCCCAAATGGAATCTCCCTTGAATTGGAAGTGGGGCAGGCAGGTGAGAGCGCAGCGAGGAAATCTCGGAAAAAAGTCACAGAATGCACGGATCTATTCGTGTCAGCCAGCCATCCAGGGTTATGTTATGATGTCATTTGCTCCCCGGCAACCCCCCTTTCCAACCCAAACCATCACAGGCCCCACTCCGACTCCGACAAGGTCTGCCAGTGGTCAGTGGTCAGCTCGGCCCCAGCGATAGCGCCGGTCTCGGCACTGATGGTCAGATCGAGCATTCCCAACCTATCAAGTTATCTACCAATTCAAAACGGCAAGATCTCGTGCTTTCAATGAATGTTACCCTCACCCTGGCAAGTTTATCTCCGTTCTCTCATTCCTCCCCCCTCCCCCGGATCCTCGGCTCGGCGATCACATGTTGATAGATCGCGACACGCCGGTGTGCGCCGAAAGGACGCCTACTGGGAGATCTCATGAACAAACATGACATGAATGCAAAAAATGTGCAGGTCCGCAACATGCACAGCAACTTACAGCAACGAGCAAAATACGAGACTCTCCACAGGGCGAATAAGAACACAGTCAAGTTCCGACCCTCTCTTCTTTTCCTCCCTGGGAGTTTCCAAGGCGTGACTTGTCGGTCGCCTCGCCTCGCCACTCCGCTGATCCCGCTCACGCGCTCACGCGTCTCAACGAGTTCACCTCGTCTCGACGTCTGCCCTCGAGCGCTCTGGCGCGGGTATGAAGGTAAATGGTGCCAGAAAGTCATCGGTACCTGGACCCATATGTGTCAACAACTGCCGCAGTTCTGCTGGCTCTGCTGATATGCAATCATTTGCCTCGTGACGCATCCCCTTGATCCCCCCCCACCCACCCCTCGGCCTTAATCGCCTCCCTTCCCGCAGCCCGCTCTAGAACTTGGCTGTCGCAAGCGTCCGTCCCCCCGATAACGCTCCGCACATCCACTCGTCTCACTGTCTCTGGATGAAAAGATGAGAGAGTGGACACGGTAGTACGGTAGAAGGCGCCTAGATTTTATGGATTGAACATACCGCCTTGAAAGAGGTCATGCTCACAGGGAGGGTAGAGCACAATGATGTACTTGGGATGGGAGTTGTGGGTGTCATGCTCTTGTATGCAAAAGAACAAGGGAACACCAGAAGGCACACGTCAAATACGGCAGGCAGGCAGGCAGGCAGGCAGCAGGCAGCAGCCTGAGATGAGGTCAGCTGAAAGCACCCAGGCCATACAGGCCATCCACTGGCCACTCACCCAACCCCACCTTGCATCCGCAGCCCCTCACATCCCATCAGATCGCCATCCGCACCTCTCCCGATCTCTCAACAACTACTGTAGTACTAAATCAACTATCCACTACACTGACGCACCACGCACCGCATCGCGTTCGACTCTTTCCACTCTTCGACTTTGTCGCGATTGTCTCTCGTCCCCTCTTCTCATTCCATTTCTCTCCGTTCATTCCATTCCACTCTTGTCAATACCCCCCCCCCCCCCCCACTCCACTCTTTAACTCCCGTCCTGTCCACTCCACCCTCCTCCCCCATTTCACCCCTCCTCGCTGACTGAGGGTGTCAGCCCGCCATCCACTCCTCCACCCACCCCCGCGCCCCTCCCGACTCGGATCGCGTAGACTGATCCATGAAGTGGGCCCCCCGAGACCTCGCCGGACCGGCGTTCGACGAGGCCATGGCTTCATTGCCAATCGCCTTCCTCGAGGTGAGTAGTGGCGAGCTCTACATCTACAAGCGAGCGACATGCCAGACCCCACGGGGCCGGCATGTACACACAATATTATCCAATGCCCTATTGTTGACTCCTCAGTCTTACCCATTACCCGCATTCGTGTGTTGCGTGCGAACAGGACGAGTACGCAAGGAGGCGTACGCCGCCGCCGCCGACAGGCCAGAGCGCCCGCATTTGTCCCACAATGACACCAACGGCACTATCGTCGGGAGCGGGTCGAGACGCGCCCGCTCCATGGGCCAGCACTCGGGATCGTCGTCTACCACGGGTGGCTCGTCGCAGGGCCTTCCGACCGCGACAGCAACGCCATCACCAACTCCAACACCCACAGGCGAGCTATATCGATGGAGCGCCAACGTCGCGTCGTCTCATAGCCCTGCGAACGGCTCTTACCCCCTTCCCCCGCCCTCCCTTGGGAGCTACACCAACGGACCAATGTCGCAGACAAGCACCGCCGCATCGAGCGCAAGCATGAGCCGGAGCGCAAGCCGGAATACGACAACGAGCGGCGCGCTGTGGAACTGGCGCCCGCCAATACGCGACGCGTACGACACAGACGAGGAAGACGAGCGCGACGACGACGTCCTTCCCCTCCATTCCGTCTCGTCCAGCTCGTCTCGTCTCGGCACGCGCGGCGGCTCGCCGTTCGCTGCCATGTCGACCTTCACGTACGACCAACCGCACGGCTCCACCTCATGCGTGTGGTACAACCCACAGTGGAGCAAGGTTGCAGGTGACCTCCCCCTCGCCGCCATTGTCGATCCCACCACTTTTGCCGCCCTCGAGGGCTGGGTCGAGTCCAATATCGAGACACGAAACAACAACAGCCGCGTCTCCCGCGACTCGGCACAGTTCAGCCTTGACGTGCAAGGAACAAATCTACAGCTCGTCAAGACGCGCCATGACAAGCATCCTCCAAATACCGTCCTGTGGATCATCACCTGCACAAAGTTGACAGAACGTGCGTACGGCGGCTCTGAACAGGGCTCTTCAGAACACGACTACGGGCATCCCATGATCGCTCACCTCGCAAAGTCGTTAGGGGCGGACGATCCACATTCCTGTGTAAAGCTCATGGAGACCATCGACTGGTCCAAGAAGTCTATCGGTCCCCGGTCAAAATGGGCTTCCGAGATCAACGCCATGGTCAGCCTCGTCCTCATCACCGTACCGCCAGTAGCCTTATGGATCTCAGACGATCTCATCGGAGTCTAGTAGGTTGGCCATCTTGCGCGCGAGCTAACCCACCAGCAACCAGGCGTACGCCGAGTTCTCTGACCACCCACAAGCTTTTGGGAAAAGCATGCGCGAGTTGTGGGATGTGGCATGGGACGAGGTCGAGCCTCTGGTCAACAAGGCACTGGCCGGCGAGCCCGCCGAGCGCGAAAAGGGGCTCATCTTCTACCAGCGCAACGAGCGGGGGAGACATATCGAGAAGCACCACTCGTTCAGTTTCCACCCCATCTTCGACAAGACTGGCAAAGTGCTGGGCATTTGGAACCCGACGCATGATCATACCGACACGGTCCTGGCGGAGCGTCGGCTAAAGACCACAACGAAGCTTGTCGAGGAGACGTCTTTCGCCCGCACACCGCAGGAAATGTACCAAATGACCGCCGAGGTCATGTCTCAGAATCCCACAGACGCACCGTTCGTTATGCTCTACAGTGTCAAGGTGGCCGGGAGCGCCGCATCTTCCGCGGCAAGCACCGAGGGTGGTTCGCTGGACCTCGACCTGCAGCTCGAGTCCAGCGTCGGCGTCCCAGGCGGGCATCCAAGTGCCATTGAGAAAATCCAAATCACTGGTCTTTCCATCGCTTCGGCCTCGGGATCCTTCACAGAGGAGTGCCTTGCTGAACGAATGGGCAGCGTCGTGGTGGACAAGGCGACAGATCCGGGCGGGAGTCACCTCGTCGCTGTCGACATGACACGAATGGCGTCCCCGACGACTTCGGTGGTCGGCTCGGTGTACTCGCGAGGCTCCGGCCACTCGCGAGGGTCAACGCATTCTAGCAGGCGACGACTATCCATAAGCTTTGACAGCTCGTTCTGGCCCATCCGCAAAGCCCTGGAGACAAGGCAATGCGTCCTCGTTGACAATATCCAGAACCTCATCAACGGCTTTCCGATCCGCCAGTGGGATGAGCTGCCAGACCAGGCCATCGTCGTTCCCATCAACAACGATCCCGAGAACAAGGTGCCGCAGGCCGTCATGGTCTTGGGCCTCAACTTGCGACGCCCATTCGATGGACCGTACGAGGACTGGGTCAACATGCTCCGAGGGTACCTTTCCGCGACCCTAGCCGCCGTCACAACTTTCGAGGAAGACATGCGGTTGCGCCTCGAGAAGGAGAAGCTAGAGCGCGCCAAGTCGGCATGGTTCCGTGGCGCTGCGCACGAGTTCCGCACACCACTCACACTCATCGCGGGACCACTCGAAGATATCCTACAGACGAAATTGAACTCGTCTCAACGACAACAGCTGCAGATGGTCCGTCGAAACATCACACGATTAGAACAGCTCATGACTTCGCTCCTTGACTTGACGCGCCTAGAGTCGGGCAAGGTTGAGGCGCGCTTTGTCCCTACCGACCTCGCGGACTTCATCACGGATCTCGCCAGAGTTTTCCGTCCCGCCTTTGAGAAGCACAAGATACGGTTCTGCGTGGAGACAGAGGCGCACGATGCCGTCGCTGTTGACCCGGTGCTGGTCGAGATTGTGGTTGCGCACCTTGTAATCAACGCCCTCAAGCTAACCGAGAACGGGACTGTCAGCATCCGACTGGCGTTTACGCACGACATGGCCAGCATCATCGTCAGCGACACCGGGACAGGCATGTCGGAGACCGATATGCAGTCGGCGACCAACTTCTTCCACCGTATCCAAACGGCCGAGAACCGCGGGACGGCGGCGACGGGCGTTGGCCTCGCGATCATCAAGGAGATTGTGCGGCTGCACAACGGCAAGCTCACGATTCGAACCAAGACGGCCGCCTCGCCTGGCGAGGACAGCGGGTCGACGTTCACCGTGAGCTTTCCGCTCAGCAACGAGCCGAATGTGGATTCACTCGTCACGGTGCCATTTGGCGTGTATGCCAAGCAGGTGGCCAGCGACATCAAAGAGTGGAGCAAGGGCGGCGACACACCTTCGGAGGATTCTCTGTTGTATGACGGAAGAACGTCTGTTCCGTCTGGGCGCTCAGCGTCGGAGACCTCGGGGAGTCTGACCTCAGCTGGCTTTACGGACGGCCTTATGTTTGAGCGCGAAGACGTGCTGCTCGTCGTGGATAACAATGCCGAGATGCGCGAGTATATCAAGACCCTCTTCGAGCGCTTCTGCACCGTCGTAGAGGCCGCCAGTGCCGAGGAGGCGTGTGAGCTTATCAAGACTGTCGAACCAAACCTCGTCATCTCCGAACTCGTCATGCACTCCATGTCGGGCATCGAGCTGCTGCACGAAATGCGACTCGTCGACAGGCTGCGTTTTGTCCCCATGGTCCTCATCTCCTCGACGACCGACGACGAGCAGCGCGTGGCCGCTTTCCTTGCCGGTGTCGACGACTTTGTCTCAAAGCCGTTCAAGCCGCGCGAGCTGCTCCTTCGAGCCCACCTGCACATGCAGATGGGCAAGAAGCGGAACAAGCTGGAGCGACTGTTCGCGCAGCGTGAGCAGGAGCTGTCCGTGCTCTCCGATTATTGCCCCTCGGGGATCATGCGCACTGACGCCGACGGCAAGGTACTGTACGCGAATGCGTCGTTCCGCAACCCGGCGGGCATGATGTCTGACGAGGATCCGCACCAGTGGTTCGAGTTCTGCGACGATGAGTCGCGCGGCCGCGTCGAGCACGCCTGGTTCGAGATCCTGCAGGGCCGGCTGCCCGCTACCACGCTCCAGTGGAAGTGGCGGACAGGGCGCACAATGTCGGCGGTGCTTATCCGTCTCGACGTTGTGCGGCCGGGCATGTCGGGCCTTCTGATGTGCGTCACGGACATTTCGTACCAGGAGGAGCGGCTGGAGGAGGCGCAGCGCCGCCGTATCGAGGCCGAGGAGAGCAAGCACCAGCAAGAGTTGCTTGTGGATTTGACGTCACACGAGATCCGCACACCCGTGTCCGCAATATTGCAGTGTTCGTCGCTCGTCAAGGAGAACCTAGTCGCTCTCAAGGAACAGTTACGTTTCGCGGGCGATGCGGGCTTCAAGCCGACCCCAAGCCTGCTGGCAGACCTCGAGGAGGATGTGGAGGCATTAGAGAGTAAGTCGTGATGCGGGCTGGCTTGGAACGGTGCTGACGGAGACAGGCATATACCAGTGCGGCCTGGTGCAGGAACGTATTGCGGGGGACGTGCTGTCGCTCGCCCGCATCCAGCTTGACATGCTCAGCCTCCACTTCGTCGAGATGGATCTGCACAAGGAAGCCAAGAAGGTGCTGTCCGTCTTCGCGAACGAAGCCAAGATGAAGAAGATTGAGATTCTTCTCGAGCTGGGCGGCTCGCTCGAGGCGCTCCAGGTGCGCGGGATCAAGACGGACCCCGTGAGACTGGGCCAGGTTCTCACGAACCTTACAGCGAACGCCATCCGCTTCACGGCGGCGGCCGAGACGCGACGTATTACGGTGCACTACGAGGTCGCGCTCGAGCCCCCGCTGCCCGGCACACTCCTCCCCCCGCCCAACATGCCACACCCCATGGTCACCCCGCTTGCCGAGGACACGCCCATCTACCTATATGTGAGCGTGACGGACACAGGGCCGGGCATGACTCCTGAGGAGCAGAAGATGCTCTTCCGGCGGTTCCAGCAGAGCAACAAGATGATCCATACGCGCTATGGCGGGTCCGGCTTGGGCCTGTTCATCTGCAAGAAGATCGTCGAGCTGTTGGGCGGCGCCATCGCCGTCGAGAGCGAGATTGGCGTCGGAAGCGTTTTCCGCTTCTGGATCAAGACACATACCGTCGCGCCGGTGCAGCTCGGCTCGCCGACGGTCGCGCCATCGCCGCTCGCCATTCCGCCCACGCAGACGCTGCGTGTTGGCGCGCCTGACCCGGCCGTGTCCCCGCTTCTACCGGTGCCGCGTCTCCCTGCGACCACCCCCGCGTCGCCGGACGCGCCTGAACCCCTCCGCCTGCTCATAGTTGAGGACAACATCATCAACCAGACGGTACTGAAGAGGCAGCTCGTGAAGGCAGGCTTTGTGTGCGACACAGCCAACGACGGGCAGGAGGCCCTCCTGCGCATCCACGAAGTCGACCGCGAGTGTCGACATGGGTCGCCGGGCGCGCAGGGCTACGACGCGGTACTCATGGACCTCGAAATGCCGGTCATGGACGGCCTCACGGCAATCCGGCACATCCGCGACGCTGAGCGCCGGGGCATCCTGCGCCCCCAGCTCGTCATCGCGCTAACGGGCAATGCGCGGCAGGGGCAGATCGACCAGGCCAAGGCGGCGGGAATGAATGACGGTGAGTCGCCCAACGGTACCCAGCTAATCCTAGTCGTCATCAAGCCATACCGCCTCCCGGCACTCATCGCCAAGATCCGGGACGCGTCACAGAGCCATCGTGCGCGCTGCGCCGACGACGGCTGCGAGGAAGTGCGTGCCGCGCCGCGCCTGCGGTACGACACGAATGCGGCGGGCCACGCCGTGCTTTCCGAGGCGAATGTCGCCCGGCTTGGCAGCAAACGGCGCGTCCAGCCGCAAGAGCAGCGGGGCCACACCGAGGGCCAAGGCGAAGCCAAGAACGCCAATGGCCGCTCGCCAGATGTGCCGTCCGCCGCGGCGGACATGGCGCGCGATATGACGGACGCATCAGAATAGATCGACATTGTACACTGTGACCTTACCACCATTTGCATTGCACTAGATTGCTAGCGCCCGCTCGGCGCGGCGGGCATGTATGTATATTCTGTCACGCAGTGTACACAACAGGAACATCGAATTGTGAGATCCAAGTCCAACCGTGCCGCCTACGCGGTAATCCTGCGCTGCAGGAGAACGCGCACGATGACCGCACACCCGCCCGCGCCGACGCCGACGCCCAGGAGGAAGAGCAGCGCCGGCAGATCCTGCAGGCGCGGCTGGTTGCCGTGCTCGTCCGCGAGCCCGAGGGCCGCGAGGAGGCCGCGCGGCCGAGGCTTGGGCTTTTCGCCGCCGGGCTTCTCGCCGGCGTCCGGCACCGAGCCAGCAGGCGAGTCGGCGGGCGTCTCGACGGCCGCAAGTCTGGCCTCGAGTTCGCGTATTCTGTCCGTGAGCGCGGCGACCTCGCGCGCCATGGCGGCTTCGCGGCGCCGCCGCAGCGAGCCGGGCGTGCCCGAGGCGCGCCGCGTCGTCGTCCAGTGCGGCTTGTCCGGTGCAGGCCGTTGGCGGAGGACGGCATATGGATCCACGCCGTTCGAGCGGTGCGCGCCCATACGCGCCATGTGCGACGGGGAGGGTGGTGAGGCGGAGGCGGGGGCGGAGGCCGAGGCGGAGGGGGAAGGGGAAGGGGAGGGGGAGGCAGGTTCGGGGGACGAGTCGCGCGCGCGCGGTGGCGTCGTGGGCGCGAAGGACCGCGCCGGCGATGGCGCGTACGGCGGCGGTGGCGAGTTGTCTTTCGCCAGGCCGGCGAGCTCTGCCAGCTCGAGCGCGGCTTTGGCCTCGGCTTTCGCGCGCAGCGGGGCAGTGGGGCTCGCGTTGCCCGCCGCGTACACGTCTTCGTCGTGCGTCACCCACACGGTGGTGCTGTCCGCGGACGGACGCCACCGCGCGTGACTCGCGGCACTTATCCCGCTCGCGATGCTGGCGACGCTCGCCACACTGTCACGGCGTGACCAGTTGCGTGCCTCGGGGCGGGGCGCTGCGCGCCCGAAGCCGTGCACGCTCTCGCCGGTGAGTTGTTCGCGGAGGACCGAGAGGGACGCCTCGTCGCCACTTGCTTCAGATGCCGAGGAGATGTGCTCGAAGGCGTGCGCGAGCCGGCGCACGCGCGTCACTTCCTTCTCTTCCGCGGACGCGTCGGTGCTCGTGCTGCATTCCGAGAGGCGGGAGCCTGTGCGCCGCAGCCGGCGGGAGACGACAGCTAGGACTGGTAGGAAGGGTGGCGGGCGGGCGACGCTGGTGTGAGATCATGTAAACATCACAACCTAAGCAGGCACACGACTCACCCTTGGTCAACACCAGTGGCAAACTGCCGCCCGGTTACCTGGCTACGGAGGACCCAAGATACAACGTCCTCGATAACAGGTGAGGGAAGGGTGGGGCCTTGCCCATCATTCCCGCCGGTGCGCAGCGCCCATGAGAGGTACTGTGCGAGTTCAGATGCTGGATGTTAGCTGATCCGCGAGAGGGCGCACGTGTCCAAACAGTAGGCGCAGACTGAGTGTGAGCTAGGCATCAAAATGGCTGCTTACGGGGAGATTGGGCTCGACAAGCTTGGCGCGCGACGGCGACTCGAGACCTTGCCGGCGCGCCTCGACGCTGGGGGAGACGGGATATGCGCCGACGCTGCGCGAGACTCTATGTGCTGGGGTTGAGGGCGCGGACTGGCGCAAGCCGGATCTCGTCTGCTCGCTCGTGGTTCTCGAGTGCGCGGGCTCGATGATGCGTGAGGCGGTGGGGAGGGGGGAGTCGACGGCCGCCGAGGCCGCCGAGATGGAGGACGCGCCACTCATGGGAGCAAGAGGGTGAATGGGCTGAGATGGGGTCGCTTGTGATGAAGACGAGAGGAAGGAAGTCGTAGGCGTCGAGTTTATAGAGCGATCACTGGCGTGATGGATGGGACGCAAGGATGAGCTCGGGTATGTCGGCCGGCTCGTCGAGGGTGTTGTAGGACGCGTAGGGGTTCCATGATGGGCAGGCGCCGGCGCCGACGCCGGCGCCGGGCGCGTCGGTGTGCCGAATGGCCGCGTGCTGGGTATGGGCAGACCGGGGATGGGCGCCGACGCCGTGCTCCGGTGTCTGGAGGGCGGAGGGGGCGGGGGCATCGACATTGCGAGACAAAGGCCGCGGTGGACAACAGGTCAAAGGAGGAGAGAGGAGGTGCAGGAACGGCGAGCGTGACGAGGGTCAACGGGAGGGAGATACTGTACAATATGCGTGGTAACGCAGTGGGCTTGATGGATAATCTGCGCGTGGATGGCGGTGAAAGGGTAGTGACGAGGCAGAGTCCAAGCTTGAGCGACGATGAAGAGGGCGCGACCAAGGTGACAAGTCGTGAGATCGTGAAGGCGGAGAGGGGAAGGTGGTGCAAGATGGAGACGGTGGAGGTGTCTTGTTGACGCGACTGATTTCCCCCTCCCTCGGCCAGTCCTGTTTCACCTCGCACCCCCCATCAGCGCCAATGCGCCACTCGTGCCTGTCAACCTTATTCCCTCGTGACACTCCGTCATCTCCGCCCATGCCTTGTCTCGCTCCCGCCTTCGCCGGAGAATGCAATAGAGCATGCCTGCCATCTATCACTGTACTGCATGTTTACAACGCTCAAGATCTCTTCAACGCCTCGTTAAATGCCACAGTAACGTCTACGACGATGCCTGTGGACACAACTTCGTTGCAACTTCGTCCGCGAGCTTACGAACGTCAGGCTTGCCCCACCGCTTGCCCGCGTCCTGAAGTGTTGCACGGACACCAAGGACCTCGAGGAGCGGGGCGACGCTGTCCTCGTACCCTGGCGAGAGATAAATGAGGAGCGCTGATGCGACGAGGAGGCGGTGGCCTATTGTCAGCTGACGTTGAAGGGTATTCGTACTCACCAACTTCTGGGTCCGCCTCGCGGCCGATACTCTCGAGCAGTGCAGAGAGGAGCTCGACTCCCCACTCAGGTTCTGGCCCCTCCTGCGCCGCCTGCCCCATCTCCTTGGCCACACGGTGGCGCCACGCTGCGGCGTTGACAGCCACATCGGCAGCAGCCTTGCGGACGCTCACTTCAACATGAAGCAGGGACTCAACAAGCACGCTCAGCAGCGGCTCCTGCATCGTACCAGTGAGAATAAGGTTGGCGAGGGGGAGTGGGGCGAGGGCATTCGTACACAGCCGCAGAGTAGTCAAGAGCAGCGGACGAGGAGTTGCGGCGCCCTGCGATGCGAGCTGAGAGGAGGCGAGGGTGAGGATAGGGGTGAGAGGTTCAGCTCCGGTGCCGTTGGGACCCAAGCGGAGGACGAGGGCGGAGACGAGGCGAGTGTTTGTCAATCCCACACGCCAAAGGTCAATAAGCGGGAAGGTCTCAGCAGGCTTAAGGCTGCTGAGAAGAGCTGTCGTTGCTGCCGTCCACTTGTCCACCAATCCTGGGAGCGCGGAGTCGGACACAGCCTTGCCCTCCAAGAAGGGAATCACATCGGCGCGGAGAACGCCAGCATGCTCTTTTGTCGCGCCAGGGAAGCTTTCGAGCTTCTTCAACAGCGCCGGATAGCCGGGAACGGCCGTCTGCGTGATTGGCTGCGTGGACAATTTCGATGTCGCAGCGAGATACATCTTCTCGTGTGGGTGGCGGGGGAACACGTCCTCGAGGAACGCCTCGATGCGCGACTCCAGGCCACGCTTGTCCGCGCCCGCCATCTCATCAGCCTTGACGCCGTCCTTAAAGAAGATGAACGTTGGTGTTGCGCGGACGCTGTACTGCGATGCAATATTCTGACCCTCACCTACACCCAACTCGATCTCGACAAACCGAACGCCCATCGCTCCGTGCGACGTGGCGTAAGTTTCAGCCATCGCCTCGTAGACAGGTTTGATCATGCGACATGGGGGGCAGCCCTCGGTGTTTGTGAAGTTTGCGACGACTGCGCGATGATTCTTCAAGATTGACGTCCAGTTGGCAAACGACGTGACAAGTGTGAGTGGCGATGTCTCGGGGTTTAAGGCCTGTGGGCGGGGTGCGTTTGCGCCATTTGCACCCATAGAGCCTGCGGCTTGCTGCGCAACGGCACCGAGAAGCATCGAGGCGAGGTTCTGTTGTGTGGGGTTGCGTGGGGGTGGAGGTGTAGGAGCTACCTGCGAGGAGCCGCCACGCGTGAACGCAGAGTGCTCGTTCGCGTTCGAGCCCTGGAACATCTGATCAATGCTAGGCTTAAGGGCTTGTCCCAGTGGCGTTGACAAGAACTCGGCCGGCAGACCTGCTGTTAGCTAATCGTCCAAGTGAGATAACTCACCTGTAATCCACGCAGGAATGGTTGAGCCGGTGAGGAAGCCGATCACGTCTGCTGTGAAGTTATTGCAGTTAAACTCCATAAGATGGTAGGCGCTGGGAGTGTACAGGTCGCTCAGCGACTGAAGGTACTCCTGGAAAGTATCGTCATCGATGTCTGGCGTGAGCTGTGGCACGGTCACATTCGCTCAAACGCACGCGTGTCGCCGCAATCGATGACCTGAACAGGCGTCCCGTGCTTTGGTCAGCGGTATCCGACGCAATTTGTACGTGTGTAGTTCCCGGGGTAGCTTCCATGATGCCCCGCCCATAGAATATTTCGCGGCCAAAGACAACGACTGAGGTGTGCCTGCTGTCAGCGCGTGCTGATATTCAGGCGCACCAGATGCCATCGAGTTGCTTGCCGGTCAGAGCGAGGGACATGGATCTGGCCATGCCCCGAGAAAGGTCATAGACATATAGCTGGACAGGGGACTGTGTGAGCGAGAGCTGCGTGAGAGGATGCTTACTCCAGACATGGTGAGGATGAGGGAGATGTGGGAAGTCCAAAAGGCCAGGCGGCAGGCGGGCAGTGTATTAACGCGTCGAAGTGTCGAGGCCGCGTCATGAAGGTCAAAGTAAAGTGGAGGGGGGAGGATATTTGGTTCCGCAAACAGATGGACAGCGGAAGGCCGATTGCGATGACGTTTGAATGTTCAGCTGTTCAGCAGCAGCGCCACCCAACACCCGGTGGGGCCTCTCCCCTTTCCGTTCAACATCTCTCTCTTCATATCCTCATCCCCATCATCTTCCATTGTCATTCTCTCTTCACATCGTCCATCGTCTTTCTCCACTCTACGTCGGACATCATCATCCTTCTGTATCTTCAATTCCCCCCTACTCAAACCGGCGCCCTCCTTACCTTCGCCACCCGGTCACCTCCGACGCGCACTTCGCGTCCACGCGTGACTCTTCCCTCTCCTCTTCCACTTTTCACCCTTGCCTCCTCCCAAAAGCACGACAATGACAGCCGAAATCCAGTCCATCAACATCACCGACGTACTCACCGTGCAAAAGCCCAGCCGGCACATCGCATACACCGTGCAGGGTGAGTGGCATAGTGTTCGGCCAGGGCGGCGGGGGCCGAGGGTCTGTGCGGGACGCGTGTGACAAGTCAATTGGACAAGTCAAGGCGGGCGCGCGACGGCCGTTGTTCCGCGCCGCGAAACGACCACGAAGACGACACGGACGTAGCATGTTGTTGTTGTCGTGAACCTGTGGGCGGTGTTGCGGAGCCGAGCAAGCGACATGCAGAAGCTTGCCGATGATCACCCCTGACTTTAGTGTCCACCCCAACGCGCTCCTGGTCCGTCAACAGGCGGTATAACGACTTTGTGGCGCTTGATGCTGAGCTCCGCAAGAGTACGGGCAAGGAGCCGCCAGCGCAACTCCCACCAAAGCACTGGTTTGCTCGGACGATAAACGACGAGGAAGTATGTTACCCGCATCCTCCGCGACAACCGCTGACCCTCAGAAGATCCGCCAACGTCGCGTCCAGCTCGAGCAGTATCTCCGTACCATTTTAACGACAAAGGATGCTCGATGGCGCAAGGAGTATGGCTTTGCCGACTTCCTCGCCGTTCCCGCGCCAACTAAAGCTGGGAGCTCGGGACAGCCATTCACCGCGACAACATGGGCGACTGAGCAGACGGCGGTCGCGGGCGTTTTGAGGCAAGCGCGGGCGGCGTTGCTGAAGCGAGATGCGCTGGCGCGTGAGGGGAATCCCGCTTCGCGAGCGAGCGGTGGCGAAGCTCGGCGCCTCCTTCGTGATGCTGGACCCCGTATCGATATGCTGGAAAAGTCCCTTCCCGAGCTCTCTCTCGCCGCAGGCGAGGAGCGCCGGCGCGAGGACATGGTCGCCAACCTGCGTGCCGAAGTCGGCAACCTTCTCCGCATGGCCGAGGCGGGATACCGCCCACCACACCGCACGCCGCCACCCGAGGCCAATATGCCCGGCGCAATGCCCGAGACCTCCTCCGCGTTTGCGCCCAAGGCGCGCGTGTTCGGCAAGAAGCCGCAGGAGACGACCGAGACGCGCGCACTGGACGACCGCGGCCTCGTCCAGCTCCAGCAGAGCAAGATGGGACAGCAGGACGAGCAGCTCGGCGTGCTCTCGGGCCTGCTCCGCAAACAGCGGAGAATGGGCGAGGAGATTGCCGACGAGATCGCCGTGCAGAATGAGATGCTCGACCAGCTCGATGGGGACGTGACGAAGTTCGGGACCAAGATGGCTCGCGCCAAGCGCGACTTGAACCGCTTCTAGATCATGACATGACGACCGGACGACGAGGATCCAGCTATCCAGGATGTATTGTAGTACCACGATTTAATAATACGACGACCACACTCATTCACATGATGCACTTTTGTCACGGGGCGTGTATCGCGGAGCATGTTTGGGGTGTGACTCGGGGATCCCGGGCCTCATGGTACATGAGCAAGATCCGCGTGGTGCCGTGGGGCGCAGGTCGAATTGCCCAAGATGGGACAATCGGCATCTCTGTACCTCTGTGAACACATGAGCACCCCCGTGTCTCGCCGACACACCCGCATCACCACCGTCACCTCTCGTACTGCCGACATACTGCATGAATCAACTACAATCTCTACACTTCGTCAAATTACGCCCTAATCTCGGCAAATTACGCCTTGATCTTGGAAGCGATGAGCTCGCGGAGGGTGTTGCCGTCCTTGGCAAAGCCGCGGATGCCCTCGTGGAGCTTGTCGAAGGCCATCTGGTCGGCGAAGAGGTCCCAGCGGAACTTGGCCTCGTCCGAGATGTACGAAACCTTGGGGATGGCCTCGGCCGACTTGGCCTTGTCAGCCGAGAGAACCTGGGGCACCTGGGCGCTCGAGTTCTTAAGCTCCTCGAGCAGCTTGGGGGCGATGGTGAGGAAGTCGCAGCCGGCGAGGGCGGTGATCTCGCCAGTGTTGCGGAACGAGGCACCCATGACAATAGTCTTGTAGCCGTGCTGCTTGTAGTAGGTGTAGATGCGGCGAACCGACTTGACACCGGGGTCGGTCTCCGAGGTGTACTCCTCCCCGGTGGTCTTCTTGTACCAGTCGAGGATACGGCCAACGAAGGGCGAGATGAGAGTGACGCCGGCCTCGGCACAGGCGACGGCCTGAGCAAAGCCGAAAAGAAGGGTGAGGTTGCAGCTGGCTGTTAGCACGATGACCCCGAGTCCAATCTCACTGGATGCCCTCCTTCTCGAGCTCGGCGGCAGCCTGGATACCCTCCCAGGTCGAGGCGATCTTGATGAGGACACGGTCCTTGTCAACGCCAACCGACTTGTAGAGCTCGATGAGCTGGTGCGCCTTCTTGATGGTAGCAGCCTTGTCGAAGGAGTACTTGGCGTCGACCTCGGTGGAGACACGGCCGGGGACGATCTTGAGGATCTCCTTGCCGAACTCGACGAGGAGCGAGTCAACAGCGAAGTCGATCTGAGCCTCGATGTCACCCGACTGCTTCTTGCCGGCGGCAACGGCAGCGTCGATCAGCTTGGCGTAGGCGGGGAGCTTGGTAGCGGCGAGGCTAGGTGTTAGCACGGTTTACCCGCCTGCCTCCGGTGAGAGCAACTTACATGAGGGAGGGGTTGGTGGTAGCGTCCTGGGGCTTGTAGGCGGCGATCGACTCGAAGTCGCCCGAGTCCGAGACGACAACGGTGCCGGTGCTGTTAGGATGAGTGAAGGGAAGGTGACGGAACGTGTGCGAAGACGGGGACCAGGTGCGGCATGGGAGGGGGACGGGGCGAGTGTGAGGTTGAGGAACGCGGGCGGAAAGACAGAGCGAAAGTCAGTGGCGAGGGATGAGCGGTCGAACAGTGAGGAACGTGAGCAGTGCAGATGGTGACGAGTGTGCACGGGCAAAACGAACGTTCGAAGAAGTAGATGTATGTGTGAGCGCGGTGACAGCCAGGGGGAAGCAAGAGCGACTTACGCCTTGAGAGCGTCGAGAGCGTTAGACATGATGAATGAGGATGGAGTGACTGTGATGAAGCCTTTTGACGACGACGAGAGAGAGAGAGAGAGAGAGAGAGAGAGAGAGAGAGAGAGAGAGAGAATGAGAGATGGAGGAAAGAAGTAAAGTGGATGACGAGGACGTTATAAAGAGACTAGAAGGGCGGGGCGGGGGGTGACGAGTGGGGACCATGACGAAACCCCCGTCCTTCGGCTTGGGGCGTTGCTTGAGGCGTGAGGGCGTGGGACTCGGGCCGTCATCCCTCTGTACCGCCGGCACTCACTTTGCTGCTGCACTGTGCGTGCCAGCCTCCATCGCTCCTCCGCTCCTCCGCTCCGCTTGCTAACGCCATTCGTCTCTTCATCCTCATGCATGCATTCTCCGCGTTGCCGCATTTCGGCCCCATTCCTGCCGAGCCTTGACTCCTCGCTCCTCGCTCAACCCCTCGGTCACCTCTCTGGCAGGGATCGGGCATGACGTTCCGCTTTGTCATAATCCTCACCTTTCGCAGGCAGCGGGACATGCCTTCCGCTCCGGTCCGATGCTCCGCGCCTTTCAGTTGGCTGTGGCGGACCCAATCTCGCGTGGACGGACATCCAGGATCTCCGTGACATACAGACAGGCAGGAAGATGCGCACTGCGACCTCCATTTGCCTTTTGACAAGTAACATATTCCCAGTGACAGCTTATCCGGAGACAACGTCGACGAGTGCGTGTCGCGCCCCCTACTCTGACGGACTCCAGTCGCCCGATCTCTCTGACGTTGCGCTTAGAGCCGTGAAGGGCATCCTGTGTTGAGAAACTGATATATTCACCTTCCTCACCCCGTTCTGACGCCAAGCAGCAGGATGAAGCACCACAGCTTCGGGTAGGGCGTGAGCAGCTTTTGCTAATACAGGCAATAGAAATTATTTCAGTGTCATGTTGTTGCTCGGTCCCGTTCTGGCCGTGGTGCATGGGCACTGCTACGTCCACACGGCCACACGCTGCTGTGTAGTTTGCGGATATGCTGGTTGGCCGACCCCCAAATTTCGGCCACAACTAGAGCAGAGAGACAAGCGGTACACGGCCTAATGATCTGTTGAGCGGCCCAGAGTGGCCAGAGCACTGTTCTTCAGCGCGACGAGGTCGGCCGCCCTTCGCGCGGCGAAATGTCTTCCCTTCACAAGCGACCAGGATCGCGCTGCTGAAGGACGTCACCTTGGGACCATGTGCAGACCCCCCTGGCCTCTGACGAGCTGACGATGTGCCGAAGCGCCCGGCGTCTCCGCATTCCCGCGATATGTGCCCCTCCCAGCGCTGCGGCGAGTCACGGGCCGCCGAGAGCCCTCGTCGCGTCATACTGGGCACGCGTAAAGGGGGACTGCTTCAAACGAAGGGAGCTGTGCGACATGTGTAGCATGTACAGCATGTACAGATGCGTTAATGGGTAAATGTTAAACTATTCCGCATGCACGTGGTTGTGCCCATACCCCACAGCGGAGGATTGTGGCGCGTCTTCCTGATTCTTGGCCCGCAACCGAAGGTGCGATGGCGACACATGACCTCCGAGGCTGCGTTTCTCAACATCTTAAGAGAGGCAGTCTTGTCGTACATCGTAAAGTCTTCACTCACCACCGCATCACATCTACTTCAACTTTACCACATCCCGCACCTCCGCGATCTCCATCCACTCCACACCATGCGCAGCCACCTCCGCCCAGGCGACACACCTTACCCTCCCCGTCCTCCCTGCCCACCCATCACACCCATTCCGTCCGATGACCGCTTGCGCCGCTAGACCGCGGCGGCGGCAGCGGCGGCGGCAGCGGCGGCGGCAGCGGCGTGAAACCCTCCACTCCCACGACTGTGCGAATCCTCGCCTACTTCCCATACCACCCCGCGATTGTGCAGACCCTCCCCTACTTCCCATGCCACCACGGCGCCGATCGTCTGTCCACTGCGCGGCGAAATCGAAATTCACAACGACGCGAAGATCACGAACTCGAGAATACGACGCTGCGCCGATCGCGCCGCAGACATCGCTTCCCACGCCCTCCCTCTCTCTACGCGAGGCTCATCGACCGATTAGCGCCGCAGAAGAGTGGTCGAGAGGGCGCACCACCCAACGCCGGAGTGCTTGAGCCCCCGGCCTGGCCCCACTTGGGCGCCACATTCCACCACCGCTCCATGCCCACCCCCACCACGCCAAAATTGTACGAACAACACGAGCCTGTATTAATACCTGTTAACGTAGACTGCGAGCCATGCATCACCCTTCTTGCCCTACTTCTTCGGCTGGATCTTGAGGCTGAAGTCGACGTGCCCGAGACCTTGGTGCACGGCGGACGTGCTGAGAATGTCAATGTCCGGCCCGAGGTGGCCGGCGAGCGATCCCTCGACAATCCCGCCCGATGTCTCGATGAGGAACTCGCGCTGTCCGCGCCACTTGTCCTTGAGCCGCTTCGCGGCCGAGTGCAGGCCCTCGCCCTCAATGTTGTCCAGCATGACAATGTTCGCGCCCGCCGCGATCGCCTCGTCCGCCTCGTCGTAGCTCTGGCACTCGACGTTCACAAGCAAGCTGAAGCCCGCGACGCGGCGCACCGCCTTGACGGCCTCCGTGATCGAGCCTGGCGTCAGAGCCCCGGCCCAAGCGAAGCCCACTCACCATGCGCCCAAATGTGGTTGTCCTTGAGCATGACCATGGAGCTCAAGTCGTGGCGATGGGGGTCGACGCCGCCGACAAGCATCCCGTACTTCTCCACGAGGCGGAAGCCTGCTGTCAGCGCGCCCCGCGAACAGCTCACCTGGCGTGGTCTTGCGCGTGCCGGCGACAACGCCGTGCCAGCCCTCCTTGCGTGCGATATCGCGGAACTTGCGCGACGCCGTAGCGATGCCCGAGCACCGCGCGAGCATGTTGAGCCCCACGCGCTCGCCGAGGAGGAGCTCGCGCGCGCGGCCGCGCACGATCGCCACCTTGGTCTTCGAGCCGGCCGGGATCTCTGTGCCCTCCGGCACGAGCCACTCGACGGTGCAGTTGACGTAGGCGAAGATGGCGGTGAAGAAGGGGACGCCGGCGACAATGCCGCCGCTCTTGCCCCACAAAATCGCCTCCTGCTCGTCCTCGCCAACGACGAAGCCCGCCCAGTCGAACGAGGGGGTGTCCTCCGCGAACCAGGAGGGGATCACCTCCTTCCAGCTTGGGGGGAGGAGGTGCGCGAGGTTCTGGCCCGGAGCGAGGTCGGTGGCTTTCAGAGCGAGCGCTTCGGACATGGCGAGTGGGTGATGCAGAAACGAAGCGCACAGTTCAGCTCAACATATCTACATATGTGGTCGGGATGACCGCGGCATTCACGCTCGGAACGCGTTGGGATAAGCCAGATTTGGTTCCGCCCGGTGCCCCGGTGCCTGAAGATGAGCAAGCACGTACTCGGTGGTGACCGAAGCCGGGAGGCAGACAGGTTTCGAGCAGCTTCGTCGCCCACCGCACTCTTGACTTGACAACAAACGTACCATGGCTCCCCTCCCGACTTGGCCACCTGCGCTGACGGACGCGCAGCAGGCCGACCTCGCCTTCCAGTCCGCGACGTATGCGCTCGCAAACGGCTTCACCCTCCTCCCCGTTCCTCCAAAGGGCGAGCGCGTGCCAGACATTCCGACGCAGGTGATCGCCGCGCCGCTCTCGCTCCTGCCCACACCGTTCCCGCGACCGGCGTATGTGCAGGCCAAGAGCATCCAGCGCCTTTACAATGCACTGTATGCGCGCGTTGCGCTCGACTGGGAGTTCCTCGACGGCATTATGGAGCAGGTTGCCCCTGTTGACGACTTCCAGGCCGAGCTGTGGAACCGCTGGAAGGCCATCCGAGATGAGATCAAGGTGACGCAGGTGGGTTGACTCGGCCGGATGGAGAGGGTACTGAAGCTTACCTCAGCCTATCCAGCTTGGTATCTTCCGTTCCGACTACCTTTTGCATGAGCACGGAAACTATGTCGGGGACAAGGCGCACATCAAGCAGGTCGAGTTCAACACGATCGCGGCGTCGTTCGGCGCTCTTAGCCAGAAGGCGAGCGAGATGCACCGGTGAGTTGAGACTGCTGCCCTCCTAACATCAGCTACCTCTCCGAGCAGACCAACTACTTCCACGCCCACGCGCAGCTGAACAACCCAAACGCTTTTGTTGACAACCACTCGCTCGAGGAGATCTCTGCCGGGCTCGCGGAAGGATTCAACGCGTATGGGAACTGCGATGCGGTCGTGCTCTTTGTCGTGCAGGAGGGCGAGCGCAACGTCTTCGATCAGCGCGCCCTTGAGTACCAGCTTCTGAAGCGGCACCAGATTCAGGTCGTGCGGCTGACGTTCGCGCAGATCGCGCAGCGCGGCAAGCTCGATGACGACAAGATGTTCTGGCTCGACAACCCGCTCGGGAAGGACGCGCTCGAGGTCGCCGTCGTGTACTACCGCGCGGCATACACGCCTGCCGACTACACAACCTCGGCAGAGTGGGACACGCGGGTTCTTCTGGAGCGCGCGACAGCGATCAAGTGCCCGTCGATGGCGCTGCAGCTCGCCGGCGCCAAGAAGGTGCAGCAGGTCCTTGCGGCGCCGGGCGTGCTTGAAGACATGTTGCTGGCGCGGGCACGGCCGGACGTCGGCTTCGGCGCGGGGCCGGGCTCGCTGGGCCAGCCTGACGCCGCCGCGCTCCGCGATACCTGGACAGGCTTGTGGCCGCTGGACAGCAGCGAGCAGGGCCAGAAGGCGCTGCAGCTTGCGCGCGAGCACCCCGAGCGTTTCGTGCTCAAGCCGCAGCGCGAGGGCGGCGGCAACAACATCTACCGCGAGAACATCCCGCCATACCTCGCCCACTTAGAGGAGGAGGACAAGGCGCGGCCAGGCACCGCGCCGCGCCGCGAGGCGTACATCCTCATGGAGTTGATTGAACCGCCGACAGGCTTGCACAACCTCCTCGTGCGCGGTGGCGAGGGCAAGCCGCGCTTGGCGGACGTCGTGTCCGAGCTGGGCGTGTATGGCGTCGCGCTGTTCGGGGGAGACGTCGCCCCGGTGAACAGAGAGGCAGGCACGCTGCTGCGAACAAAGGGGCGGGAGAGCGACGAAGGCGGCGTCGCCATCGGCATCTCGTCTATCGACAGTCCTCTGCTTGTGTAATATAGTGGCGTCTAATACATGCATGATTGCTCTAGCTCATCTGTCGTCTGGTATGTATGGGGATGCGGCGATATTTTACAAGGGCTATGGCTCGCCACCGCGGCCCCGCTTGGCGCGCGCCTTGATTTCGCGCACCTTGCGCTCATGTGCGCGCAACTTGGCCTTGCGCTTGCTCTCCTTGAGCTGCTCGAGCGCCTTCTCCTCCGCCTCGCGCCTGATCTTTGCCTCCTTCGCCGCCTTCTGCGCCGGTGTAAGCGGCACGTCCTCCTCTCTCACGCCCACCCCGCCGGGTGTTGCACCACGCAGCCGGATCCGCCCATCTTTCAAATATTCCGTAATCACAGGGGACGCCGCGGGCCGATACTTGAACTCGTCCGAGTATCTGGTGTCAGAACTGTCGGAGGTGCGGGGGAGCGGGGCAGGGAACCACACGCCAAACACACCTACCGCGTCGCGTAGATGACCTCGGGCTGCTTCGACTTGCTCGCGCCGCGACCGAAGCGGATCGCGCTCCAGCCGAGGAAGATGATGGTTGCGATGAGCGCCACACGCTTCCACCACGCCGGTGCGGGGCGGTTGAACTCTTCGAGCGTGGAACGCGAATGCGGGTTCTGGAGGTTGAGCTCGGTCTCGTGCTCGACCTCGACCTCGCGCTCGTGCGCAGCCGCTTCGGACGTGGGCACGCGCTGGTACGACGACATGGTGTGCTGGAGAATGCGATGGTCGATTGTCGAGGTGGCTGAGGTGGCCGAGATCGGCGACGGAAGCAGAGCCGAGGGTAGTGTTACTTCGTCCGCCCACTTAAAATTTCGGCCCCGCAGTGCTCATATTTTGCTGTTCCGCCGTTGTTGACAACTCTACTCAGCAGCATGGCACACACGAAAGCGGCACCACGAACGAGCGGCGCAGCAGACACACTCGACCAGGATGCGGTGATGCGCGCATTGCGCGAGGCGGCGGCCAACCGCGCTCAGGACAGCGGCAGCGACGAGGAGAGTGGGAGCGACAATGAGAGCGGAAGCGATGATGGGAGCGGAAGCGATGTTGGGAGCGGAGGTGGCGATGGCAGCGACAGCGATGCCGAGTCCGCCGTTTCCTCTACCCACTCCCCACGACCCTCTCCTCCTCGCCCCGTTGCCCGCGCCTCGGTAGCCACAACATCTCGCGTCAAGCTCCCTCCGAAGGCCGATGCGAAGGGCAAGGCCTCCACCGTCTTTGACACGCCCCGCGTCGCGGCAAATGCGACGTTCGAGAGCCTCGGGCTATCACAGCCCGCGATTCAGGCGCTCGCGACTCTCTCCATCAAGGCGCCTACCGAGATCCAGACCGCTACGATTCCGGCCATGCTCGCGGGCCGCGACGTGATCGGCGGCGCGAAGACGGGTTCAGGCAAGACGCTCGCCTTTGCCCTGCCCATTCTTGAGCGCCTTGCGCGTGACCCGTTCGGCATTGCTGCGCTCGTGCTCACGCCCACGCGTGAACTGGCGTACCAGCTCGCAGAGCAGTTCTTGGCCGTCGGCAAGCCGATGGGGTTGACCACCGAGACCATCGTCGGGGGAATGGACATGCTTGCGCAAGCGCAGGCACTCGAGCGGCGGCCTCACATTGTGGTGGCGACGCCGGGGCGACTGTGCGATCTCCTCCGTTCTGACGGCGTCGAGCAGGGCAAGCTCCGCCGCGTGCGCACTCTCGTGCTCGACGAAGCGGACCGCATGCTCACGCCGACGTTCGCTCCTGAACTCGCGTACCTCTTCGAGCAGATCCCCAAGTCACGCCAGACCTGCCTGTTTACAGCGACGATCAGCGACGCCATCATGGATCTCGCGAAGCGCCCTCCCCCACCGGGCAAGCAGGCGCCTTTCGTGTACCGCGTCGCCTCTGAGTGAGTCTCGCGGGCGATCTTCAACCATACTGACTGCAGCACCATGACTGTCGAGAAGCTCAAGCAGAAGTACCTCTTCATTCCATCGCAGATCCGCGACCCATATCTCTACTACCTCCTCCTGAACCCGCCGTCGGACATTGACGCGGTGCTCGCCGCCCCGCGCCCCAAGCCCAAGCCGAAACCCACGAAGCGCGGCAAGCGCGCGCGCTCCGCGACGCCGGAAGACGACACCCCGCACATCGTCCCCACCATCATCTTCACGCAGCGCTGCGCGACCGCCCAGCTCCTCCACCTCATCCTGGAAGAGCTCGACATCCCCTCGGTCCCGCTGCACTCGCACCTGACGCAGCCGCAGCGGCTGCTCTCGCTAGCGCGCTTCCGTGCCCGCGAAGTCCCTGTCCTCGTGACCACCGACGTCGGCTCGCGCGGCCTCGACATCCCCGAGGTCGCGATGGTGGTCAACTGGGACTGTCCCCGGCGCGCGGACGACTACGTCCATCGCGTGGGCCGAACTGCGCGTGCGGGGCGCGGGGGTGTCGCCGTCACGATCGTGACAGAGCGCGACGTAGAGCTCGTCCAGAGCATCGAGAAGGAGATCAAGGTCACGCTTGCCGAGCTCGAGCTGCCGGAGAGCACGGTGCTGGAAAATCTCAACCGCGTGAGCGCGGCGCGCCGCATGGCCGCGATGGAGATGTCAGACTCCAAGTTTGGCGAGCGCAAGGCGATTAACCAGGCCAAGGCGATCAAGCGCGCGCGCCGGGACGCGGCGAAGTAGGTCTGGACGGTGTGGTCGAAGCCGCTCAGCCGCCGCTGCGTAATGTATAGGCATCATGTATGATCTACTTGCACGATATGGACTGCAGTTTAGTTTGAGCGAGGATTCATGAGCATCAACAGCGATCACGCAAAGAGCCTCACCATGGTTGACGCAAGCCGTGTCCGCGGGCACGAGGCGCAAGTTGCATCTCGCCTGCGTCGCCCCTCGCCTGGATCGGTTCCTCCTCCCGTACGAACGGATGGCCTCGGACGTACGGGATTGCGACAACGCGAGATCAAGATTTGCTCATGTGCGAGAGCTATGCATTTGCCGCTGATTGGATCCACCACTCACTGGGCGGTGGTCTCATTCCAGAACAGAGTGCATACGTGATGGTGCCTGGATGCACGTGTACGGCACGGGCTGATCGAAAGTGGAGTGATCTTTTCACGATCAGCAATCAGCAATCAGAATCAGCATATCCATCATCAATGCTCGCTCCGAGCGCCACATGCGTGCGATGCAGCCAGCATACCTACCGAGGCGGGCACAGTTGTAGCGAGCCCAGCGTCCCCCATCGGCCAGTGTCAGGTGTGATAGTTACTAACGATGACGCAGCCCGACGGCCTGGGCTGCGTATGCGGAACCGTTGCAAGCCGAGGCCGAGCCGGTCGGAATGTTATCGCCAGCGGCGTATCGACTGCGTTGGCCCATGGTCCATGGCCCAGCCGTCCGCTGCGCAAACTTGATAACGAGATGCCTCGCCACCACGACTGCGCTGCTCACCGCCCCGTCCCCAGTTACTGGCATCCCCATGGTCCTCAACTTCCGGCGACACAAGCACGTCGCATCGGTTCTCGACCTGCCTGTAGAGCAGTACGACGTGGCGACGCAACTGCCCGCGCGCATTCAAGTAGGGCCGTACGCCGTGAAGCCCCTCGTACAGATTTCTGATGGTGAAGCTGCGCCTCGCACTGGACGCTGACCGCAGTCGTGGACCACCTCACGATCCTCGCGGCGTTCGCAGACGCTGCGCAACGCGAAGTCGACTTTCGGCGCTTTGCGAGCCACGCCGCGGGCGAGTACGAGTTCTGGGCACTCTCCGTGCTGCCGCATCTCCGGGGAGCGCGCAGGAGTGGGGACTCGCCGCGGAGCACGGGCACGCCCCCCATAAACGCAAGCGGACATCCCACTCCACCAATACCAGGCCGGTCGCATACCGTGCCGACGGCCGTGGGGACGCCGAAGCTGCACATTGCCACCGGGGCGCTCGTGCACTCGCCGACATCTTCGCCTCTCTCGAGCCCGTCCCTCCCCTCACCCACCCCGCGCACACCCCTGCTCACATCCGAGCTCCCGCCCCTCCCCGTGCTGATGGCATGGCACGCGCACCTCCTCCATCCGGCGCATTACGCGGCGGACACAGCACCCGGGGAAACATACGCTGCGCTCGCACACACCCATTTCCCACTCGCGGCCGTCGCGGCCGCGCTGCGCACCAACACGCTGCCGCGAGCGCTGCCGCACGCGCCCGAGCGCCACTCGCACAGCATCTCCGGCTGGCGCGTCCCCGACATCACCGTCGCGGTGCAGCAGGCGCGCGCGCTCTGGATCCGCGAGGGCGCGGACACGCCGCGCGTGCAGCGCGCCATCGTGCGATACCATGCCTGGCTCGACTTGTTCGCTGCGACGCGCGCGCCGCGGCTCGCGCCGACGCCGGATATCGAGATGGTGTGGCGCACGCACCAGGTGCGCGGCGCCGCGTTCCGCGCCGAAACGGCCGTGGTGTTGGGTCACTCGCTCGATCAGGAGGAGAGAGGGGACCATGAGCTCCGGCGGTATACGGCTAGAATGTGGGAAAAGCGCTTCGGGCAAAAGTATGAGAAGAGTGTGCCGCGCCGCCCGGTGCGCAGGAGCACGGTGTAGAGCTTGTAGCGATAGCAAGGATGTATAATAGGCTGTGAGTCGTAGCGGAGTGGCAGGCAGGGTGCCACACTCGAGTGCGAGGGCGGATGCACATGCACCGTCACGCCACGGCCCATGTTTACCTCGGTTCATAGCGAGGTTGCACCGGCACGAACAATGACAATGGCGGGCAGCGTGACGCGTCGCAAACATACGTGACGCCGTACCTTGGCAGCGACCCAGATGCTCGCACTACTCTTGTATTCCAGACACTCGCACGCCAGCTCAGAGAACAGACTCTCGCACTACTATCCGTGCATCGCATCCGTGCATGCAGCCGCACGGGCACCAGACCCCGCTCAGCAATTGAGTGCCACACGCCGCATTCCGTTCTCAGACATTCAAGCGCCACCATTAATAGATCTCGATGAACGTGCGCACAGCGATATCTCTGGCGGAGAGGAGGAGTACGCAGCAGTTCGGCGCAATCTCACGACGTTCGCTGGTTACAGTATCACACTAGTCCCTCCGCGAGGGCAAGGAACGCTCACATGCTGCGCTTGATGCCGCCGGAACGTGCGCGCCTGCTCGCCTGATCGCCTGTCCAGCTGCTCAGCTACTCGCATGAAACAGGGCGACATGGGGGCAAGATGGCAAGATGGCAAGTCGCACATGTCATGCGACGATTGTTGGGTCAAGTACTGCGTACTGCGTGCTGCGAGCGCTAGGAATCTGGGGCCGGGCGCAGATCCCCCGCACAGGTTATTCTAGGGCGCAGGGGGCGAGGCCCAGAAAAGAGAGATAGGATCAAGCTCTCGCGCTGCGGCGCTGGTGCGTCCAAAGTTTGCAAGTTGCAAGTTGAAGCGACCAGAGGAGAGAGGTCGGATGAAATGGCCGTCACGGTGGTTGATTTGAGCGCAGCCCGCGGCGCGTGAGGCGCGTGATGGCTTGAGGGTAAACACGGTGCCTGGAAAGGGCGACTGACTTTTCATTTGATGATGTGCGCTCATCCATCTGGCGTTTCATGCCGACCCCGGCCTGAACCATGGACCAAGGACCAAAAACCAAGGAGGGGAGAGCTTCACAACGCCTCGGTCGCTGGATGATCGATGAGATGGCCGAGACGGGGCCACGCAGGGAAAGTTGGACGTGGGGCACGGAGGCTCTGGACTCACAAGCTTGTGCGCCGAACGCTCGACCCTTCCGACCCTCGGGAGGAGGCACCGGGACTGCTTTGACAAAGCTCGGCAAGGCGAAGTAGGGTCGGACGCTCGTACTGTACACTGGGTTTGCATCCCCGCGGGCGACGACCAGGAGGAGGAGGAGGAGGAGGAGGAGGAGAAGCGATAAGAGCGCGCGTACGGCACGAGGGAGAGAGTGTTGTGGGATGATGGATAGAATCTGTAACATTCCAGACATTCCTGGTCCCCTGGGGTCTCCCCTGGCCACTTTCCCACACTTTGTGAATGGGAGATGCCGGGCAGGCGGACGGAGGAAAGAGTCTGAAGAGCCGCAGAGCGGCGGAGAAGCCAAGGAGAGAGACGGAGAGAGAGGGCGAGGGCTTGTTTGGTTACCTTCTCCCGCGGCTGTTGGAATCCACAAAACACGCAACAGACACAACACTCCGCCTCCGATTCTGTCATCTTGTCATCTCTTCTTCCTTCCTTCCTTCCCACCAACACGTTGTTGCTGTATCCTCTTCGTCACTCGACCTCCTCCTCATCCTCATCTCTCCCGCTGTCACCATCACTCTCCCTCGTCGCCTACCATCCACTCCTCAGCAATGTACCCAACAACCTTACCTCTCAGGCCTCGACCACCCGGTGCTCGCCGAGCGTCCCTCCGAGCAACCGCCGGAGAGGCCTCCCCCCTCCCAGCCAAGCACCCTCTCGACATGCATCAAGAGTCACCAGTACCGTCCAAGGGCAAAGGCTATGACATGTACACATCTCCCGTTCAAAGACCTGGCATGCGCCGTCGTCCATTGAGCCTCCTGTCCGAGAGCAGTGTCCTCTCGCCACCACCACCTTACGGAGGCGGCCGTGACGTCGCACCGTCCCCAGAAGACAAGGCCTCCCCCATCGGCATTCCTCCTCCTCCCCCTGAGTGCCTCGAGTCCGGTCCTTCCTCTGTCCGCAACAGCCTCTTTGATAACGAAGGCCCCGGTCTTGACGAGGACGATGGGCAGCCTGGGAACACTCTCACTCTCCGTGGCGTCCAAAAGCTCATCCGCCAGCATGAGTTCGGTGCGTCACACGATGGCCCCTCTTGCTAATCTCAGAAACCATGAGCGATACGCTTCAGGGCCGCTTGCTCGAACTCACGAGCTCCCCCAACGCGACACTCCCCTCTCATTTTGACCTCGACGCCGACACCTCGCCCATCGCCTCGCCGTACCGCGTTTCACCGCAGGGACGGAGACTGCGCTCTGTTCCCAGTGACCCTGGACTCGCTTTCTCTCGTCCCAGATCTCGAGTCGCTACCAACACCGGCGCCCGTGATCTCCGTCTAGCGGCCGTGCGCGCCGAGGAAGATGCCGCCACCATCGCTCAGCTAGAGGCCGCACTGGTCGAGGCTCGCGAAAGCGAAGAGTCCCAGCGAAAGGCCGCCGCTCGTCTTCGGCGTGATCTCTCGCGCATGCAACGAAACCTCGAGCATGCCGAGGGCGTCATCACGGACCACCAGCGCTACCACCCGTACGATGATGACCGTGATCGCCTGCGTAGCGTTGAGCGCGTCACCCAGTGGGCGTCCTTATCCACCTCGGGACTGCGGGCTCGTGGCAGCCATGGCCCACCACTTGATGACGATCCTGTTGTTTGGGGCGCAACAGCCTTCCCCGAGTTCCCACGCTACGGCGACACTGCGAGCGAGACAGAAACGGAGACTGAGACGGAGACGGCGGTCGCGCCGGATCGTGCAAGTGCAGTGCCCACGATCTCAGCCGCCTCAGACGCTCCACTGCAGACTGAGCCGGTCGCACCACAAGAGGCTTCATCTGCAAATTCCACGTCTTCAAATGAGTCGTCCGAGCCCCCAGCCTCGCCCATCGTCGTGTTGGAACGCGCGGCGAGACCCCGTCCGTTCATTACCGCCTCGACGTTCGCCAGCCCGGCCAGAGACGGCGCTGCTGCGCCTCAGGTGACTATCAATCCGGCCTCTGTTTCATCCTCCGCCTATGGAGCTCCTTTGAGCACTGGACCACGCCGGTCTCGCAGCGTGAGGGCGACAGGGACTGGCAGCACCCTCTTGAGGGAGAGTATGCGCGTGCGGACCAAGTCATTTACCTCTGGCTCGCAGCATCTGTCGAATCCAGGTCATGACCTCAAGGCGTCTGACGCGCCGCCGTCGCCCAGCACTGCCAGCCACACGTCAGAGCTCTCCGTCATCGACAGCGTGCGCTCCATGTTCTCGGCCGTGGTAGGCCCCCATTGCTCTCTCGGTAGCGAGCTGGGCAGCGGCTTCCACCCAACGCCAACCAAGAGCAGCCACGATATGGGCACATCCCCTACCCAGGCAAACGCACCAGTCCCGCTCACCCCGATAAATAAGGGGCGGCGGCCTGGTCATGCTCGCTACTCATCTAGCCCAACGACAATGTTCCACTTCCGAGGCACACTGGAGTCGCCCTCCCAGCGTAGCGGGTACGACAACGTGTACCCCGGTGCACCGATTAGAATGGGCCCTGTTGCAGCCAACTGGTCACCGGAGTCTTGGCCCACGCCTTGCCCCCCACCCCGCGACTCGATGAGCGAGGTGGACCTCGCCGAGACGAGGCAGATTCCCCAGCTTATTACGCCTGAGCCTCGCCACCGCGGTAGAGGTTGGCCGTCACAGCCTGGTGCAGGCCCTAGTCTTACGCCTTCCCCACACTACACCACCGGTCTTGCTCCCTGCACAGATCCGTGGGACGAGTATTCAGACCGTCTCACTCCAAGCCCTCGCGTGCGCAACTTGAGACCCCTACTGCTACTTGCCAGACCTTCTGCTCACGCGCGTACCTCATCGTCTGCGCTGGCAAGAGATCGCTCTGCAAACAGAGCAGGATTCAGATTCTCGCGTGTCCCACCCCAGCCTGTGCCCGAGCCGACCCCGAGCAACGCGGTGGTCGCGTACACCCGCAATGGCGGCAGAATTGTGGTATCGCCAGTCGTCGCACTAGTTCCCCGCATCCGTCTCCCGGTGACCATCCCTGGTCGCATCACGCATGATATGTTCTGCCTCATCCTCATCCTCCTCGATTACCTCGAGTGGTTCATTATCCTGCTGTACCGCTTCACGGTCGACCTCCGCGCTGGGCCCGCCGGCGCCGAGACTGCTTTGTGAGTAATTGTGAAATCTCGATCATTCAGCTGACATATTAGGGGTTTCAAACCTCGCGAGCACCCGCCGCGCTTCTACCTATAATCACTCGAAAAGCAGTGTGATCTACCAGTTCAGCGGCCACACTCCCTCTGCCGCTCCCGTTTATCCCCGCCCTGTAAAAGGTCCGCGCGCAGTTGCGCGGCACCGCTTCCTAGACACAACGCTTCCTCTGCTCTTTCTCTTCCCAGGCGCTCTAGTGCTGCCGGTATGCCGGCGACAACTCTCACTGTTGTATTGTCTCGACTCTTTCCTCGTCGCGTGTACGGCGTGAACACTCTTAGATAGATTATAGTGCGATGCAGCACCTGAACTGCGTCGCGGGTCCAAAATACATATTAAAGCTACTTTACACATGTGGCACAAACTACAGAGGGCCTCAATGTGGCCATTAATTGTCCTTATATTCTTTGTGGAACCATCATGTCTCGGTAATGACGCGCACAAACCGCTCCCACCGCTCGATGACGTCGACCACCAGACGCTCGTAGATCCGCGGGTCGCCCTCGAGCGGGAAGATCTCCTGGTGGACCATGCCGCAGTCCGAGCACGGCTTGCTTAGCGCCTCGTACTCCTTAGGCCGCGACGCCGCAGCGCGATCCGCGAGCTCAAGATGCACGAGCCGCTCCCAGCGCTTGACGGCTGGCACCATACGCGCAGCGTCGGTGCCTGCCTTCGTCGCGCCGGGGATGAAGGTGTGCATGATTGACGGCGCGCGCGCGAGGCCAGAGCCGGTGGGCGCGCGAGCCTTGAGTGGAAACACGTCGCGCAGCGTGGGGATGTATCCGCACTGTGCGGACCATTGGCCCATACGGCGGGGGACGTTATCGCTCCGCCCAACTTTGAAGTATGCGGTCTGCGCGCCGCTCCGCGTGCGCAGCTCGTAGGCATACAGAAAGCCGGGCATCTCCTTGGCCGTCAGTGGCGAGTCCATCGTCACACGTAGCAGCGCCTGCGTCTGCTGGCCCAGGTCAGACGGAATGTAGTCTGCCCGTCAGCGTGACATGAGATGGCGGGGACTTACCCTTGAAGTCGATGTATACACCCGCCTTGCCGCGCGCATCACGCCAATAGAACCCGTCTGCCGCGCACACCATGCCCGCATGGTCGCGGCAGTACCGGCCCACCGCGCCGGCGCGGGGCGCGTCCCCGTCGTTCGCCAAAGGCGTGGCAAGAAGAGGCGCACGGGCACGCACTAAGCGCTTGCAGGGCGTGCCGGCGCGCGTGTAGCCTGCGCATCTCACCGGAGTGCTGGCGAGCGGGCCACGGGGCGGCGTGCTAGACCCCGAAAAAGGCGGCGCCGGCGCCGGTCGCGTGGGCGTGATCTTGTGCTTTGCTTTCTTTCCCTTCGGGCTGTCCGTCTTCGTCGCTGTGGAGATGCCACTCGCCCCGCTCACTATCCACGACGTCCTTCGCGTGCCGTCTTCACCGGATGACTCGGGAGTCTCCTCGTCGCTGTCGAGTGTGAGGTCGATAACATTCCGCCCGCGCCTTGGTGGTGGCGTACGAAACGTGGCTGGAGAGGGAGACTGGTTGGGCTCCGAGGAGCTCTTCTTCGAGTTCGACGCCGCAGCGTATAACGGCGACATGAAGGACACGCCGCTGGGCGCAGTTGGGATAAGCTTCGTGAGTTTCTTCTTTGGCGTAGGTGTAGACGAGGAAGCAGCGGGGGTAGCGGCAGTGGCGGACGCGGCCGAATGCGAGAGGGGACGGGCAGGCTTGAGCGAGGGGAAGGACATGGTCCGGGTGCGAGCCGGGGCAGGCGGCGTGGCGTGTGCCGAGGTCATTGGCCTCGCTGCCGGCGCTGACACCTTCCTCGCCCGTGGCGGTGTGATGTGCTGTACGTGCGGTGCGGCATGCGCTGGTAGGGCTGGGGAAGGTCGCAAACTCGGCGCGTGGGTTGTGAGTGTCGGATTCGGCGCATAGAGTGACTGCGGGCGGAAAGAGGTCGACGTCCTCGGCACCGGCGCTGGCGGCTCACGCTGGGGGACAGCAGGCAGGGCCGAAGGCGGATAGTTGGCCTGAACACTAGGCCTGGGCGCTATCAACGACCGAGCGTTGTACGATGACACAGGAGGGTACTGCGGCGGGCCTGTCGGACGAGGCGGAACCGGGGGTGGTTGTGAATGAGCGCGGTCATCATGCCTGGCGGGTGGAACCGCCTGTGCGGAAGGGGTAGACCGGCGCCGATCCCCCACCGGCACCGCCGGGAGGGGTTTGTCCCTATCACCAAGGTCAAGGCGCGCCATCGCTCCCAGCGTGGGCATGAGACGACGCCAGGACGATCGCGAGCTGCTGCTGTCGTCGCTGTTCCCTCGTCGTGGTGGTCGGGGGATAGGCGGGTGAGCGGGACCCTCGTTAGATATATCTCGCACTAGGCGAGGCGGAATGGGCGGAGGCGCTGAGATGGTGTATGGAGGAGGCGGGTTGAGGTCGCCGGTGGGCACAGGGGTGTACTCTGGCGGTAATACGGGGGTCGATGTCATGGTGGGAACGATCAATGGCGCATGGGGTTGAGGCGGTGAGTGGCAAGGCAGCGCTGGATGCACAGTTGGAGGAGTGGAAGGAGAGTGAGGGGAGAGCCGGGAAAGCGAGGGGTGGGTGTAATGCAGCGTGGCGGGTGGGAGAGAGAGAGAGAGAGAAGGAGAGAGCGAGAGAGAGAGAGTGAGAGAGTGAGAGAGTGAGGAAGTGGATGAGATGATGAGGAAGCGTGAGAGAATGGGGGATGGGAGAATGGAGAAGAGGAGGATGCGTTCACCATCTCGGTCACTCGTTCATGCGTACAGCCACCAAGCCAAGACTCGCATGCCGCATCTGATCATCCCACATGCGAAGTCAGGCACGCGGCCTTCACCGGGTCGCACGCCTTTTCCAGTCCTCCCCTTGCCAGGCGCGCCAGTCGTTCAAAAAGAAGGCGCCTAATCACGTGGCCTAGCCCAGAATGTTGACACCAGCCGCACTCCGTCGCGATCGCGTTCGACTTCGAGTCATCCACCCACTACTCGCCATCCACCGCCTTCCCTCAGCCCGCGACACTTGATTCAACCACTATGGCGGGACGCGTTGCGCCAGTCCCGCCGTTCGTGGATCTTCCGTCGTTGCCCCGCCCACAGGTGGTCGACGAGGGCGGGTTCGAGCTCACCGACGAGCAGATCGAGGCGCTGGCTGCACAGGTCACTGGGGATGACAAGCACGCAGACGAGGAAGAGGAGGAGAAGGAGGAACATGAGTCTGCGCATGTTTCTGTTGCCGAGGGTGACGAACCCGAAGCACGGCAGCCTCTGCTAGGCCTGGACCAAAGGTGAGTGTCCAGCAGAACACGTCCTCTCCTGTCGCCTGTCGCACGTCGTGGGTGCAAGTATCCAGCCCGAAAGTATTTGTCCTGCTAGACCCCTCTTTATGCTGACTTCAGTCTTGTGCTCCAGTACTCAATCCTCCAAACTCGGCACCATCACATGCGGCAGCTCTTGCCGCTGATCTTCACGCACCCGCCAGTACCCGCGCATAACCGTCCGCGACTGAGGGTTGCAGGCAAGAAGGAGTTCGCGTTTCCAACTCCTCCGCCTCCACCTCAGCCTCTCCCGAGCGCCGAGTACCACGGGCCGAGCACCAAGAAGACTAAGAAGAAGGGCAAAGACAAGGAGAAGGAGGGCGATGCGGACGACAAGGAAGAGAAGAGCGGGGATGAGTCTGACGAACCTAAGAAGGGTCGGAAGAAGGAGCAGACAGCACCTGCGCACGAGATTGAGTGCATTGCCCGTGTCACGCTGCAAGTTGGTCCCATGAGTTTTCCCAACACGGAGCTGTGGGTCGCCCGGTTCGTACCCCCGCGCCAGGGCTCTGCTGGAACAGTCCGTGGGCGGTTGAAAGGTATGACGATGGAGCCGCGCAAAAAAGAGCCCAAGCCCAAAGAGCCTAAAGAGAAGGTGCGCAAAGAGCGTGCGCTGCCGCGTATGAGCATAGATGGTGGGGCTCCCAAGCGCCCACGAACCGAGAAACCAAAGCCCAAGCCCAGCGCACCTCTTGCCACACCGGCCTCCCCTGCGCCTGCCGCCGACGTGCCGCCTCGCTTTGCGTCTAGACAAGACATCCCACAGGCACTCATCCAAAGGGTCAACGCCGCTGCTACCCGACATCCATGGCTGAGCGTACTCATCCACAAAGCCGCGCGCAGCGTTGCCAGCAAGGACGAGCTGGCCAAGCTAGGACGCGTCGTCGCTCGGCTTGGGCGCGGCGAGGATGTCGGCGAGGGACCCGAGATGCCTGGTGTGCCCGTGCGACCGCCCATCGCTGCTGCCGGGCCATCGCGGCCACCAGTCGGAGTTCCTATGCGCCCGCCTGATGCTGTGGCTGGACCGTCGAGGCCCCCTATGCCTCCAGGAGCTCGTCCGCCCATGGCTGGAGTTCGACCACCCCCTGTCGGTGGGTTTCGCCCGCCCAATGCCGTCGCTGGACCTCCTCCGCGACCGGGTGCTCCACTCGCTCGGCCCCCGGCCACAGCTGCCAGTCCTCCGACACCTGGCGCTCCCGGTGCTATCGCCCGCCCACCTGTTGGAACCGTGCGACCTCCGCCTCCAACAGGTGCAGTCCGCCCACCAGCATCTGCCGTGAGACCAGCAGCTGTCGCTGCATCCGCGATGCCACGGCCACCACCAATTGTACCCTCAGGGACCCCAGCTCCAGCGCCTGCGCTTCCAGCAGCTCCCACATCGGCGTCCGCACCTGTATCCGCGCCACCACCACCAGCTTCGGTCACTGACAAGCCGGAGGATCCCGATTCTGATGTCGACATGAGCGGTCGACCGCAAGTTGGAGGCGGGTTGGGTGACGAACCTGAGTCTGATTCAGATTGGGACGCTGGTTTCGAGATGAAAGGCAGGCCACAGGTTGGTGGAGGCGAGGGCGAAGAGACACATGACGACAACCGGGAGGCTTCAACGCCTGGCCAGCCCGCAAGTACGCCTGCGTCAGCTCCTGTCATTGCCTCTCAGCCTGCTGAGACAGCGACTGCGTTAATTCCGACAGCCAGTGCGCAGGTTCCTACCCGTCCGACTGTTACAACTATCCCAGCGCCTACTGCTCCGGTAATGGCGTCCTCCTTGCCTTCAGCCACAGCTTCAGCAAGCGCGCACCCCTCCACGCCTCGTCCAGCGCTCCCGAGTGGACCGCACCCTGTTCCTCCGAGTGCTGCTCGTCCGCCTGTCGCTGCTGGTGTTCCTCCACCCGGTATGACCTCAGGTGGGAACGTGCGGTGGTTCCCAGTCGCAGGATCTCCCAAAACTCCTATATCTAACCCCGCAACGACAGGCACACCGCGCGGCCCAATCCGTGTCTCTGACCCTCGTTCACCTTCGGTACAAATGGTGCCGCCCAGTACGCCCGTCGGCACGCATCCACCACCGTTCCTTCTGGTTGCATTCAAGGGACAAGAAACAGAGAAGTTCCTCCTCCCGCTTGGCCAGCACTCTTACCTCTCGCGCGTTGGAGGTGACTACATCACCTCGCCACCGCCAACGCCAGCTGCTATTGCGGCGCCAGTGGCCTCCACAACCGCGTCGGCGACAGTCGCCTCCTCTGTTGCGCAAGCCCCTGCGTCGACTCCGGCAGAAGTGACGCCCGTGCAGCCTTCAGCTGAGGTGGAGCAGCCTCCTGTGGAAGAGCCGCGGGGCAAGAAGCGCACGCGCGCCTCGATAGCGAGAGCCGCACCCAAGCCGCCCACCAAGCCAGCACCCGCCCAGCCTGCCCCGACGCCCAAACAGGAGAAGGTGAAGGAGCCTACGCCGCCCCCTGTAGACCCGCTTGCGAACATTCCGCCAATGCCAGGCCAGCCCCCGGCGCCCGGTACCGTCTTGCTGTCCACATACATTCCAATCGAACCGTATATCAAGCCCGACTGGCCTAAACTTGCTGAGCGGCTGCCCTTCCACAACCCTGCGTTCATTGACAAGTTGAAGGTTGCGCCGATGGAGGCCAAGACCGAGCCACTGTCACCGAAGAGAGCCCTCCGCCACGTCAGAGAAGACAAGCGTCCGCGCGAGTACCTCCTCAACGTGGCCGCTGAGGAGTGGCTCCCGGAAGGCCCGCTCGAGCCCGTCACGATTCGACTTCTTGGCGTCGACGACCGCACGTGGGCGCGCATGAAGAGCGTTGTGGAGCAGGTCGAGAAGACGGAGCTCGAGGCCATGGTGCGTGCCGAGCCCAGGTTTGCGCCGGAGGTGGTCAAGGCCATGGCAGAGGCGGAGGCTGCGAGGGCTGCACCGCCTGCGCCTGCACCCGCTCATGTGCCATTACCTATACCTTCCCAACCTGCTGCGGCGGCGCAACCTGCAACCCCAGCAGCAGCTATTAGCGCACCCATATCAGGAGCTCCAGCACCGCCAGTCGGCGCGGCGCCCCCTACTGCTGCACTGCCAACTGCGGCCGGTGCGGCTCCAAGCGCAAGTGCTCCTGCTTCCGTTGCCCAACCTGCCGCGCCTACTACTTCGACCACTCCCGGCCAAGTGCAACCACCTCCCAAAGCACCCACTGCAGTCACCATCCCACCCCTGCCGCCACTAGTCCGCGAGACGTGGCTGGCCCGCAAGAAATCGCTCTTCACTGACCTTCTCGCGCGCGTCGGCCTCCGTCGCTTCCCGCGCTTCCGCATTGAGACCACAAACTCAACGCTGGTAGATTTCACGACGGACAAGTGGGCGCCGCGTCCGTACCACCTGACCACGCGCCCGCTGTATGCGCGGGACGCCGACTCGGACGACGAGCTCCCCGTGGTCCCACGCAGGGTCGAGCTCTCCCCCTCGCCCGATCTGGAGGGCCACACCAAGAAGCGGCGCAAGGAGGTCAGCGCTGTGACCTTCGAGATGCCGGTATCGCTGGACGCGCTGGACGAGCGTGTCGAGGCTGGCGCGGCGCGCGGGCTGAGCAAGCGCGGACGGGCGAAGGGCGCTGCGGTCGTGCGCAAGTTCCCGCGCGGGACGGCCGGCGCGCCGTGCGAGGGCTGTGCCCGGCGCGGCCTCAAGGTCTGGCGCCGCGGCCCGAACGGGCGCGGAACACGTGAGTACCGGAACAGACGTGTGCTGATTCTAGTGTGTAACGACTGCGGCGACAAGTTCTCGGCCGGAACGCTCGGCGAGCTGAAGGCCCCCGGCGCGGCTAGCCGGCGCGACTCGACGGGCACGCCCGGCGGGGACGACGTCAAGGTTGAGAGGGAGAGCGTGGCGCCTGAGGGCGAAGAGGATAAGGACGAGGGAGAGCCGAAGGATGGCAAGGCTGGCGGAGATGGGGAGGCCAGCACTCGCAATGGCAGGAGCGACGATCCGAACGAGACACAATCTCATAAGGCGACTGGTGACGATGTCGCTGAGCCCGACGCTGAGGCACCCGCCAAGTCGGCCGACCGCGCGGACAGTCCTGAGCATGAGGCGACCAGTACGCCTGCACCGTCCACCATGGTTGTATCCGCCGCTGCGTCGGCCGTGTCGTCTCCTGACCCGCTTGCCCTCGTTGATGACGACGCCGATCTTGCAGGAGGCTCCTCTACTGAGGCAGCCGCACCCAGCGACGCCATGGACATCGATCCGTAGCGAGTCGAGCTTGCCATGTAACGTCTCATGCCCATTCAATATTGCTGAGCCTCGAGTATCGTGGCACTTTGCCCTCTGACTCTTCTACTGAAGCAGTTAGTAATGATGCTCAGCTAACAGTTGCGGCTTGCTGAGAACACTGTGAACTTCCTGTGAGGTGGCGTCACCGAACCATGCGCGACACAATTTATGCATCGCATGCAGAGAGCCTGGAGAAAGATATGCAGTGATTTCGTAGCCAAATGTCTAAACAATCGTGTCACTGCTGTCAGCATAGGTCACTCCATCTGCACCTACCCGTTCGCGCTCATAGACTGAACAAACTCAGGCACCTTGCTGCCCTCGGCAGACTGCGCCTGCTGGACGAGAGGTGGCAGGACACCTGGGTGCTCCTTGCTGCGCCGCGCAAGCTCGCTGCTCGCGTACTTTTTCGTGTCGGGGATGTTCTTGATAGGGTCATGGGCAGTGCGCTCGGACGCTCCAAGCTTCGTAAAGCTCGACTGGAAGCCGGCGTCCTCCGGATCCAGCGCGGTGAGATCATCGGCGGTACCGGTGGAGTATGTCAGGTCCTGGGGGAGGGTGAAGAGGTCAACCAGGGCGAGGAAAGTAGGCGGCCTGGCTGTAAGCACATGTACTTTCACGCTCCCCGAATGACTTACCAGTATTGTACGCCAGGTTGCTGCAAAAGCGCATCCGACTTGGTGAGATATTTGATCAGACCGACCTCGATGAGGCGTCGGCTGCGCTGGGGCGCCTTTTGAGTGTTGGGGAGCACGACACCCTTGAGGAGCTGTCCGAAAAGGCCTGGCTGGATGCCGTCGATGATGGCAACAACGGCGTCGGGACCAACATTGTCGACCACTGCCAGGTAGCAGAGGAAGTAGACGACAGCCTGAGAGAACTGTGGTGTCGAGTTCGTCTGCAACCGGGTAAGGATGAGCATGAAGATCGATTGCGAATACTGCTGCATGTTGGACCTGGTGTAAGTCAGCAATCACAACGACGACTCACAAAGGGATGAATTCGTACATCGCCTGGAGGAGTTCAAAGGCAAACACGTCGTTAATCTTGGAGTTGATAAGACGCTGAACGATGCCGAGGAGACCTTGAAGCTGATTGTTGTCGACAATGACCTTGGCACCGCGCATGAGGAGGGCCTTCCACAGACGCGTGAGAGCGGGAATGTTTCCGCGCTGCTCCCACAGCTGAGCCGAGAGAAGCGGAGTGAGGAGCTGCTGGTACTCGCCCGAGAGGTCGTTAGGAGCATGCAGCTCGAGAAGCTGGGCGAGGATCTGGAAGATGAAAGGGATGAACTCAACGATGTCCTGGCTGAGAATCACCTCAGCTGGCCCGAAGATTGCAGCCTCGAACTTGGGCAGCGTGGCGGGTTGAGCTTCGCAAACGAAGCGGATGAGAGCCGAAACACTTTCGAAGGCGTACTGGCTGAAACGAGGGTTGCTCGGATTCTTGCTGATCTGACCAAGGATGCTCACCAGACGGTTGAGAACACCCTCGTACTGCGGTGCGAGTTCGCCGCGGGCAATGATGATGATGCGCATGGCGCACTTCATCAAGTAGTCGTTCTCGGCTATCTTCTCTGGAGTGGCTCCCTTCTCAATCTGCGTAAAGAGCGCCATCAGTGCGCTCTCCGCAAATGGACGGATGTCCACCGGCGAGAAGCTGGCGTCAGCCACTATCAGGTTGTTCCAGCTTACAGAGGCTGACGGTTGTCATCCTTGAGGAAGAGAATACGCTCGATCGCGATAGCTGCGTACGAGTAGATGACGTAGTTGTCTGAAGCAAGGTGCTGCACGAGGAGAGGAAGCACCGACGTGAGCTGCTCCTTGGTGAGTTGGTTGCGGAATGTGTAGAGGTACTTGATGGCGTCAACGGTGAGGATGGGGTGGACGGAGCCCGGAGGAGCCTGAAGGTCGGCGAAGACGTTCTTGCCGAAGAAGTCGACAATGTCGACAAGAACATTAACCGAGGTAACACCACGCTGTGCCGTAGAGCCACGCGACGCGATCGACGTCAACAAGTAGATGGCGGTGTCCTTGCTCTTCCAGTTCGCCTGCGGGTTCTGCTGATATTGCTGGCAGTCAGCAACACAACGATCGGGTCTACCATACGGCAAGGAAGGTGTTGATGTATGTCTGGATAATGTTCGTGACTTCAGACTCAAAGTGGGTCATGAGTGATTGGGTGAACTCAGTCGCGGCGGCACGACGAGTGTCACTTTCCGCGGAGGGCTCCAGGTCACGGCGAATGTACTCAATCGGGTCGTCCTCGAACATTTCTTCCTCATGCTCTAAAGCCATTAGTTACCGCTGACTGGCAATTGTGCCACTCACCGCGAATGGACATGTTAGGCAGGATGATCTTCTCGCAGAACAGCTTGAGCGTGTCTGGGGATGCGAACATGGCGCGGTGACTGCCCATCTTGACCACCACCGAGAGAAACTTGAGCGCACGCGAGACGAGCTTCGATGTCAGTTGTTGGCATACTGTCAGACTCACAACATCGTCACGAGTTCCCAACCCCACGTTGGTGAGCATCTGCCAAGTGCCATTGACAAACTCGCCCAACTGCGGGAAGTCCTCGCCATACTTCTGCGCGAACAGCTCAGCGACACCACAGATAGAGGCGCGGATCTTCTGCAACGGTCCAGGAGCATCATCGTCGTCCTTTCGTCAGCAATGACCTCCTAAGGCAACTCACGTCACCCTTCAGCTCTGGACGCTCCCAGCTGAGGTATTTCAACAACCAGCCCATGTACTGGGACATGTGGTCTTCGATAAATGGTGGGAGGTCCTGCGATGACAGGTCGTGGAAGAGCTGGATGAGGGAGAGGAGCGCCTGAGCGAGGAGCTGGGTAGAGGAATTGGGAGGAAGGGGCTGGTCAGAGGAGAGGAGAGAGTCGACGTGCTGGAAGAGCTGGAAGTGCGGCTGCATGAAACGGCCGAGCACATGGTTGATCTCAGAGAACAGCCTGTCCGAGCGGAACTGCGAGCGCCACCTGGAGGATCAGCTGCTAGATACCAAGGGAGCTTACCTCTTGAAGATCGAGTGAGCAGTCGCCAGCACGCCGTTGTTGATAACGAAGTTGTCCGGGGTCAGGCTGCTGACGAGCTCCTGTGAATGTTAGCTATGCACGAGCCATTGCTACTCACGTCAACAAGACCCTCCCACTGCTCGGGGAAGTCAATGGAGGCGATGGTCGAAAGACCTTCCCCAATCTGGCTTTGGAGACGAGCAGTCTGCGGTGTCCCGAGCGCAATCATCAAAGGTACCAGCTGCTTCTTAACCGCCGCCTTGTCAACTGGTGCGATCTGTACATCCTCGTCACCCTCCCAGAGCCGCTTGACTGTGTTCTTGAAGTAGACACCGGCCGCCTGACGGACGACCATGTCGGCACTGTCGGAGCGGACCAGCTCTAGGACCACTTGGAGGAAGCCGGGCTGGCCCTCGGCCTTGCGCAGCGAATCCTCAGCGGAGCGGCGGGCAGTAGCATCTGGAGAAACGGTGTCGGCGAGATACTTTGAGAGAGCGGCAAGGGACTGTTGGTCCGCCTGCATTTTGATTGAGGATGAGGATGAGAGGGATTTGGAGAAAGAGGGAGAAGGGGAGGAGGTGCGAGATGGCGATGGCGGGATGTCGCTGGATGGACGAAGCGGTCCAGGTGCAAGCAAGCAGGGCTGAGGGGCCGAATGTTGTTGTGGTCACCCAAACCGAAAGTCCACCGCCAGGCTTCCATGACGCAGGAATCTTGGTTTAATTGATCACTCCCCAAGAACCACGTGGAAGCAGCCTCTGGAGGATGGGATCAATTCTATAAAAATTGAATCATGTAAAGACAAATCTTCCTGGGTGAGGTCAGGACCTGGGCGGGGGCTCGAAATCTTGGGCGCATCTGGGCGTGGGATCCGTGCCGCCAGCACCCCGTGCGTGCAGTCAGCATCAGAGCGCCAAAAAGAGCGCATGCATGCAGATGGACTCGAGAGGAGTATGGGGCAGCGTCAGGGGGGAGCCGTGTGGGCGGCTGGACCGCGCGGGCGGGCGAAGACGGGGAGGCAGAGAAGCATCTTGGCACAGGTGTGTACATACGATCCACAGCCACCTGCCAGGCTCTGCCACACCCCACCCACCCAACACAAAACGTTTCCAACCAACACCTCTCCTCATCTCTCTACATCTCTAAAATCTAATTCAACCACCCACCAAAAGTCCTAGCCAACATGCTCGTTTTTGAGGACGTCCTTACCGGCGACGAGATGCTCTCGGACGCGTACGACATGTAAGTATCCATAGGGAGCGGAGCAGTCGCCCTGGACATTGCGGTAGACCAAGTTGGCTGACCTTACAGCAAGACTGTCGACGACGTTGTCTACGAGGTCGACTGCCAGATGATCATCGTCAAGGAGGGTGACGTCGACATTGGTGAGTCTGCGCCGACCGCCCACGCTGCTGGCCCTCGCCGGGTCGCATCATGCGCGAATGGCAGCGCAGCACAGTTATCTGTGCTCAACTACTCTTTGACTCGCAAGCTGACACCACAGGCGCCAACCCCTCGGCTGAGGAGGCTGAGGAGGCTCTTGAGGCCGGTGCCGAGCAGGTCAACAACGTTGTCCACTCGTTCCGCCTCCAGTCCACCCAGTTCGACAAGAAGGTGAGTGTGCATTACGCACTAGGAAGAGGGATGGACAGTCTGCGTGACATCTCGCCTCTTCCCAGAAGCTCAGAGACGTCCTCTGTGCGTTTGCTGACTGCAAGTCGTACCTCACCTACCTCAAGGGCTACATGAAGGCCGTCAAGGCCAAGCTCGAGACCACCAAGCCCGAGCGCGTTCCCGTCTTCGAGAAGGCCGCTGCCGCCTTCGCCAAGAAGATTGTCACCAACTTCAAGGACTACGAGTTCTACACCGGCGAGTCGATGGACACCGAGGGCATGGTCGCTCTCCTCAACTACCGCGAGGACGGCATCACCCCCTACCGTGAGTTTGCTCTGGCCTTGTCGACGTGTCCAGGATCTGAGTTGACATCAGTTACCTTCTGGAAGGACGGCCTCCGCGAGGTTAAGATCTAATCTCAATCGTCTCGTTGTTGTCTAGGGTGTTCATCACGTCGCGCGGGATGCTATACACTGTGCGATGAGGTTGTCTGGAGGCGTTTCTGAGGCAAGGGGAGGCAGTGAGGCTGCAGGGGGCTGCGGAAGCTCCAGGAGACCGACGGTGTGATCATTCGTCGCTCGGTTATGGTGCTGCGCTCCGCTTGTAGTCAGAAATGTTGAGGACCTCCTGCGTGTCAGATTTAATGTTATGACGGTGTCCAAGTGCACGCGGCGATCCATGCCGTAGGACGCGGGCCTGACTCGATTGGACTGGGAATTCAGGCATGTGGTTGGCGCCGCTCATACCACTTCTTTGCAACCTCTCAACTACCTACCACCTCCCTTTGCATTTTTCTCTCACTTTCGGCCTCGCATCTCGGCAGTAGAGACTCCTCCTGCTTGAGTGATTGTCGGGTCCGCAATGACCAACGCGCACCCGGCCTTCCGCCAGGCCGAAAAGCACTTCAAGAACCGTGCAACGCAGGCGCTGCCTGCTCTGCGCGACGTTCCGTCCACCTTCTGCCGGCCCGTGCTTGACTTCTCACGCCCCGACGCGTGCGAAGACGACGAGGTCTGGCGCGCGGGGTGGTGGGGACGGGTGTACGAGCCGCCCGTGGCTGGGAGGAGGCCGAGGAAGGCGAAGGATCGAGTCCGCGGCGAGCGGCCGCCGCTGCCTAATCTCGAAGAGGAAGGGGTACAAGTCGTCGCACTCGAGGACGGACGAACTGGATACGTTGTCGCCGAGGGTGCAGTTGCGATGTCTACACGAGCTGACGGCAGGCTGCGTATCGATACCTCGCTACTACGATGCGGGCGCCCAAGAAGCACTCCTCACTGCTTCTTTGGCGGAGTTCACGCGCCCACCGAACCCGTTGAGTCTCGACACACACTATGCCCTCCCGGAGAACATGTTCGAGCTGTACACATCGGCGCCTGATACGCCCGTGCTTCCACGCCATCTTGAGCTCGATGAAGCGGAACGCGCCGCACGTGCGGAAGAAGCACAGCGCACAGCTGGTACGCGCCCGCTCATCGACACGGCGCCTGCGTTCACGATGGGGATCGACGAGGTCAAGCGCCGGAATGCATCGTGGACGGGCGACGCCATGAGCTTGAGAGCGAGCACCAAGAGCGTTGAGACGCTCATGAGGGAGATACGCTGGGCAAATCTCGGCTGGGTGTACCAGTGGTCAACCAAGTCGTACGACTTCTCCACGGATACGCCCATCCCATTCCCACCAGAGCTGGCGGCGCAATGCCGGGAGGTCGTCGAAATTGTGCCATGGGACAAGGTGTATGCCAGCGTCAAGGCGGAGGACACACCGGACTTTGGCGCGTGGGCGAGGGATTATGGTAAGTGGTGACTGTCACCGTGCCGAGCTCACAGCAGAACCCGACACCGGCATAGTCAATTTCTACCAGCTGAACGACACCCTTATGGCACATGTCGACCGTTCTGAGCTAGACAATAGCAGACCACTGGTGTCCATCTCGTAGGGCATGAAACCCCCATGCGAGCTGACAGCAGATTGGGCCACGCCGCGCTCTTCCTGCTAGGATCCGGCGACCGGGCAGACCCACCTCGCCCCCTCATTCTTCGCTCAGGCGACGTTCTCATCATGTCTGGACGAGGGCGCCAGGCGTATCACGGCGTCCCACGGATACTGGAAGATTCGCTTCCTGCACATCTGTATCCGCGGGAGAACGACTCTCTGACTCTTGCCGCAGTCAAGCGCTGGATCTCGACTGCTAGAATCAACGTGAACGCACGCCAGGTCTTCCCACCAGGGTTTAAGCGCCCAGCCTAAGCTACTCGTCCGCCATCACGACGCTAATCATCAGTGTCCTCCATTACCTGTACTTGTTGTCTCCATATGCATAGCATTACAACCGTGGCTCGCCCACGTCATCGCTCATGGCGCGCGACACGATGCGTGCCACCTAACCCATCGCCCTTCTTTGCTCTCTTCGACCTCCTCCGCCTTCACCTTGCTGTCCCCTGCTCCCTCCGCTTCCTTCCCCTCCCCCTTGTCTTCGCCCTCCCCGTCTCTCTTCTCCGCCCCTTCGTCATCCTTCTTCTCCTCCCCATCCACGTCCATCCCGCCCGCCTTCCCATTCGCCTTCTCGGCACTTGAACGTGCAGGCGACGGCGGAATCCATCCAGACGCATTGAGGGGCAACCCATCGATGTCGGACAGATATTTGCCGCAGCGGTAGCACGGCGACTCGAGCATCTCGACCTCGTACGGGAGGCGGTGGAGCAAGCTGAGCACGTTCAAGCCAAGGCTCTTAAGATGTTCCCCGAACACGAGCGACGGGCCGAGCGGCGCTACGGCGTGGATCGGCGGCGGCTGGAGTAAGCTTTGCTGCGAGCGGTACGCACCCTCGCTTCGCGGCTGAGGAAACACCTAACGCCAAGCACGCGCGCGTCCCCCGCATCCTCGACGCCGAGCGTGCGCACGAGGCACCAGAGATATCCTTGTCCGCCGAGGCAGACGAGGAGCGCGCTGCCGTCATAGTGCGCGCTCGCGGCCATGCCGGGGTGCGCGTCGTTGTGCGCCTTCAGCGCCGACTCGAGGGTGTGGCTCCCGGACAAGTATGAGGATTCGGGGATGGGCGGGACCGGGATGGGTGCGGGCGCGCGCGACGCAGGTTCGGCGAGCCGCCGCCGCGACGAACCCGTCGGTACAGGGATGGGTGGGAGCGGCGGGAGGGGGTAGTCCGTGTTGGTGGGGTAGGGGTAGTCTGTGATCAGCCGACCAGTATACGACGACCCGCGAGATCAGTGGATGAGGCTAACTCACCCACAACGCCGTTGCTGGCGTTCTCGCTCAACGCCCGCATCACCTGCAGGCCCTCAGCGGCATTGACCTGGCCGCGCGGATGCAGCGGGTGCGGGAGCGGTGGAAGGCTCGTGATGCTCGACAGCGACGGCGGGCCGTTGACCGCGCCGTTGTGCGTGCCATCCGCGGGTGGGTGCGTCGTGGTCATGGTGGTGAGTTGTCAACAACAACTTAGAAGTTGGGAGTGATGTCGGTGCCGGTGGAGGTAATTTGCTCCCGCTCTAGCGCACAGTCAGTGGCAGTGCCAACATCTGCTTCTGTTCTTCCCCGTCTCAGTCCCGCGTCTGAATGCGTTCTGGTGGGAGATACTGATAGAAAATCCAGAACCGACTAGAGTGTTAAAGTGTGAGTGTTAAAGTTGACGAGCTTTCGCCCGCGCGAGTCGAAGCGCCTTCCCAACCTGTGATCTTCCCATCGCAATCGGCTTACCGGCGTCTCGTGGCCGTATCGTGATCAGTAATGCTGCTATTGTTCCTTTCCCTACATTATTATACTGAATGAGCTCCTATTGAATTAGCCCAGCCGTTTCCCGAAATCCATCTTTCTCATCTGTATACGCCTTGACAGCCTCCGTGATTAAAGGCGCCTCGATGGACCCAGAGGAAGTGTGAGGACGAGCTTGGAGACGAACATGGCAGAACATTGGATGCCGCTGCATCGCCAATGACACTAGCTCACGTCGAGCGCCAGTACCTTCGCTGGAGCAAAGGTGCCAGCCCTTAATCATGTCCTTTGTCTGAGATCACAGTATTTTTGGCAAGGAGCAGAAGCTGAAAACGAGGGCCCCAGCAGTGGAAGTATGTCTCTCACGCCTGTAGAAGTTTAAGTGAGGTATTTCTGGTTGGGCATCTGAGGTTAGGATTTCTTGGAGCTGCCTTTTGCTTGCTGTTGCGTGTGTATATTGGGGTGTAAGTTTGTTCGGCTGTTGCAGATATTTTTAACACATGCCTGACTCATTAACTCGTTGTCACGCAGCACTAATGGCTGAATTACTTCGTGGATACATTCATGCAGATGGCTCCATAAGCGCTGAGGCAATCCAGCCTGGGCAACAAGCCTGATGTCACGCGAGTCGCCATCAACGAGTGAGACAGTGGTTGTTCATCGAGCAGTCGCAAGTGCCCCAGCAGGGATAATTACTGAGCAAGAACGTAGGGCTAGCCTTTGTTTCTCACTGCAAAATCTGCGTTCGTCCGTGCGAGCCGTGCATCTGCGACGGTAGACCACAGACTCATTGCCGTTGGGATCGCCACAGTCCAAACACCGTCTCCACCTCCACTTCTGACCTCCACTTTTGACCTCCACCTTGAATTCCGGCCACGACTTGGGTGAAACTCGCCCTCCACACTTGCATCGCTCACGTTTCACTGTTCAATTCATCAGCACATTACTCACCATGGGCGTACGAGGGCTCCAGACCTTTCTCAAAGAGAATCGGCAGAGCCTGTGTCGCTCCATCGTGCTCGAAGCGGAGGGCAGCGTCGCACAGCCCCCGGTGCGCATCGTCGTCGACGCATGGGGGTGAGTTCATAGCTGTAGCAAGCTGACATCAGCCTCATCTACCAGCTGTATCTCGACGCGCTCCCATGGGCCAGCGGCGGCGAGTACCTCCAATTCTACAAGCTTACACGCCGCTTTGTTCGCGCATGGCGCGAGGTGGGCGTCAAGCTGGTGTTCGTGTTCGACGGAGCGCCGCCGCTCGAAAAACATGACAAGCTTATTAGCCGCATGCAGGCGAGCATCGACAAGGCCAGACTATTCTATACGACGCGGCCCGAGAGCCGCTCTTCTCCGGGCGGACAGAGGGGGGACAAGGCGATCCTGCCGCCGTTCGCGAGCCTGGCATTTGCGGCGGCGCTCGCATCACTCGATGTCGAGACGGTCTTCGTGCCCCGCGGCGAGGCGGATGGGCAATGCGTTGTGATTGCCGCCGAGATGGGCGGGTATGTCCTGGGGCTCGACTCAGACTTTGTGATCCTCGGCAGCGCAGCCGACATGAAGGGCTACATCCCCTTCGACATGGTGGAGTGGATTGAGCCGACGACGACACACGAAGCGGTGGGCGACGGCTTCACCACGACGTCAGCCAAGAAGGTGCGCGTGCGCTCCGTCTCCCGCCTTCTCCCACGCTCCAGCGGTGCGACCCTCATACTCCCCATCTACACGAGCGAGGCGCTGGCCCGCCGCCTGCGCCTGCCCCTCAACATGCTCCCTCTCCTCGCCGCTCTCTTGGGCAACGACTACACCTCCTCCTCAGATACGAACTACACGCTCGACCGGGTCGACCGGGTCGCGCGCACGCTGCGCGAGACCGTCGCGCGGCCGGGCAGCCACAACGCTGACACGGCTTACGAGCTCGTGTCGCGTGTTGTGCGCAAGCTTCACGCACAAGCGTATGTCGACGAACGCAAGCTCGCCGAGAAGGTCGACGGCGCCATCGACGCGACGATCCAGTACGTCCTCCCCTCGCCGCAGTGCTGTTCGCTGTATCCTTTCTGCTCCCGGCTTAGCGAAGGGTGTACAACGCGCGCGTGGCGCTTGCCTACCGCCCTTAGGTCCGAGGCGTCGGCGAGCGTCGTCGAGGCGTACGCTGCTGCCCGAGCCACAGGGCACTTGGATATCATGACGCGCGCATGGCTCCATCCCGGACGTGTGTATCTGCGAGACGCGCTCGAAAATCCCGCGGGACCCTCGGCGCGGGCGGGCAGGATATCGATCAATGCGCGGCGGGCGACGTACGCCATCGTGGATGCTGCGCTAGGCATGCGCTGGCCTGCGAAGGGTGCGCAGAATGACGAGGCGCTTGAGAGGACCGAAACGGCGCAGCTGATGGCCGGGCTGTCGTTACAGCCGTCAGCGGACGACGCTGACACGGTCGAGAACGGGGAGAAGTCGCAAGACGAGGCCGAGACCGTCGGGAACGGTGAGAAGCCGCAGAGCGAGGCAGGGACTGTCGAGGACAAAAGCGCGCTGGACGATGCCGAGGATGGAACACAGGAGGCCGCCGTGCGCCGCGTTGTGACCGAGTACCTGAGGCAGGGGAGCAGTGCGCGCGTCGGCTCGCAGCAGATCGAGCTCCCCGCTCCTGGAGACAGCACTTCACTTCTGGCGCCGCTCGACGAGCGCCTCGCGGCCTTCCGAGACGCGCTGGACGCGCCGGCCTCTGTCTCCTCCCTGCCCGTCGACGCGCAGCCGCTCGCGTGCGCGCTGCGCATGTGTATCCTCTCCGCGGCCGAAACAGACCCCGGCGGACACCAGGGGCGCCGCTGGCGCCGCAGCGAAGTGGAGGCGGTGGTGCGCGCCGCACTCGGATGCATGAAGGGGTGGGACGACGACCTCGACGATGACGTGGACGCCGAAGAGCTCTATCCGCTCCTGGAGACGCGCAATGCCGAGCTCGTCGCGCAGCTCTCGGCGGCACTGCTGGACACACTGACGCTCGCGCAGGCGCTGCTTCTCACCGACGGCGCGCACATCACGCCGTACGTCTACGTGTCCGGCACCGCGCTGCACTCGCTCTTGAGTGGTGCGGAGCCGCCGGCCGCTTGCGGGTGGCGCCGGTCGCGCGCGTGGGAGCAAGAGCTTGAGGACATTGTCGCGGCAGTGCTCGATGGCGCGGAGGAGGCGCTGGGCGTCGCGCACGCGCCGAAGAAGAAGAAGAAGAAGCAGCGCGCCGAGGCGCCCGCGCCGGCCAAGGGCGGCAGGTTCGATATGCTGCTTGATGAGATGATCTGATGCATTAGGCATTGCTGTGCTTGTGTAAGGCGAGTGTGGTCTGCCGTGGCAGCGCCACAGAAGTGGGGCAGGTGTGGCTGTGTCCTGAGGCAGTTATCTAAAGCACTCATCGTGCCAGGAGCACAGCTTGGCAGGTTACGAACTGCCTCATCCCACCGCCCCACCAATGCCCACAAATGCATAACAAATCTAGCCACAAGCCCTCTATCCCGCATGCACGCGACGCCCAGTGTCCTGCTGCCCGGCCCCGGGCCGCGGCAGAGCCTGGCCGCTTCTCGTCTCTCGTCTGTCTCTCTGGCCCCGCGCAGCCCATCCGTCCGTCGCCGGCCCACGCCGTGATATATGTACATAGGGTATGCAACTCGGTCCTGGCCTCCCTAGACCTTGTTGGGCCCCGGCATGGTCGCAGGATTGACGGGGTCGACATAGCCGCCGCCGGGCGCGTTGAACGCGTACGGGTTGCTTGGGCCGGGCGCGCCGGCGGCGCTGTCGCCGTAGCCGTACGCCTCGCGGCCGTCGCTGTAACCGCGCGCGTGGTTGTAGTATGCGCCGCCGGCTTCGGGGCCCGGCTCATGGCGCCCGCTCTCGTAGCTCGGGCGCGCGTCCCAGTCGTCGCGCGGCCCACCGGGCACGACCATCGAGTTCGTCCACATGACACTGTCTGTGCCGTTGTAACGCTTGCTCTGGAGGATACTCATGGTGAACGCCTCGGGGTTCTCGCTGTACACCGAGTGGTAGAGCTTGTGGTCCTTGACCTGGCTCTTGCCGTACTTGCGCGTGCAGTAGACGAAGTAGGACTGGGTCAGGGCGAGAATGACCCAAAGGCCGCCCATGAAGCCGATGTCGGCCCATGTGAACGCGTTGCACAACAACCCGCTCTCCTCGTTCAATGTCTGCTGCGCCTGCTGGGTCGCCGAGGACGATGGCGTGAAGTAGTCCTTCTCGCACTTTGCCATCGCGGCGTCGTGTCGTACGGCCGAGACGATGATGATGGCAGCAGCCACAATAAAGGCTAGGAGGGTGATGATGCCGTTGAGCGCAGAGTAGACGCGGAACGTCTTGGTCTTCTCCTGCATGTCAGCGAGACGTTGGGGGCGCAACAACGCACGCGGAACGCGCCGACGAAGCCCACGGGCTGCACTGCAAGCCCGACGAGACACACGACGGCAAAGATGTACGTCACAAACGGCGGTGTTGCGACACCCGGCACTACGCGTTAGCCAACTTCGGGATAGCGGTGCAGTGGCCATCGCTACGCGGCGCACTGCATCGCAACGCAACGGACCAAACTCGGGACGCGAGCTTGGACCGTGCGCACACACCCACCACTCGGCGCTGTAAAGCACAGCACGGCGGTCGCAACTGCTACGGCCTGGAAGTCAGCGCGCCGCGTCCAAGTGTGTACACACTGTCTGCTCGGCGATGATAGAGTAAATGCCCGCATTGACCATCGGCACCGCTGAATGTCAGCTTTGAGGGCTAGGGGCTAAATCCAGAGCAGAGGCCAGACGCAGAAAAAGCACGCACCGCAGCAGCAGTACCGTGGGTCGATGAGAGAGGTGGAGCCCTTTGCCATGTCGTCGTCGTCGTCGATCGAAGGCGGCTGGGTCGAGGTGTTGGGGGTGTTGGCGTCGCCTGGAGAGGTGACGGTGAGGGAGGGGACCTGGAGGGAGCGGGAGTTGTTGGCGGGGGCCTGGAGGGTGGGTTGACGGTCTGTGGATGGTCTAGCGTGTGCGATGGGGGGTGGGGATGTGGACGATGGATAGATGTGAGTGTTGTAGTTGTGAGAGGACGATGGATCTGGTGTTGTCATCGGGGGCGGTGAGAGGGCTGAGTCGGCTGGGCGGGACGGAGGTGCGGCGGCGAGACGCGTTCAGAATGAGGGGAGGAGGGAGAGGAGAGGGAAGGAAGGTGAGCCGAGGGGGCTGCAAACTGAGTGGTGGCTCAATCAAGCGCGCGCCAGGCGCCGGCGGAGGCTTTGCCCTGCTTCAAGAGGGCCCACGCGTCAGGCACATTGCTGCGCGGGGCCAAGCGCGAAGCGTGATGCGGTGCTTAGCCACGTGGTTGTGACCTCTCCTTGCTCTTCACGCTTCACGACGCGCCTTATGAATGCATTCCCGCGATGATGAGTGTGAGAGGTGTCCCAGCGGCAGCGGCGGGAGGGTGACGGCGGAAGGAAAGCGGAGAAGCATGCCGAGATGCGAGTGACGATCCGTCAATCGCCGAGGGAAGGTGCAAGGTGGTGGGGCAGCCTCAGCAGCGGGTAACATCGTCATGGTCTGCTGACGACGCGTCCAAGCGTCCTAGAGTTGTACGGGATGAGCATCGATTATATGGAAAGGGAATGGAGAAGCAACGCGAGGTTGACGGCGTCACGGCCTTTGAACAGCGCAGAACGATATACAGAATGCAGGGAAAGCCGTCCGACGCGAGCATGGAGCTCCACGCAACAGTACTCTAAGATGGCAGGGCGGTGGCCTTGGCAACCCTCCGCGCTGCCTGTGCTCTGTGACAGCACTGACGGCTCGCTGGCTTGGCAGTAAGTTGGCAGGAGACGCGGCCAGGCGTTTCCTTCTGAGTGGCAGCACGTCACTTGCACCGTGTTAGCACGTTGCCTCTCATAGTCAGCAGTCGGATCTATCCACCTGCCCGCGATCGGCGTTGCGACACGGTGACTCCGCTCCTCCGTCCGGCAGCTCCCCAGAAACCCTCCGTCGACATCGTCTGAGCCATAGACACATCTCGACGAGCGGTCACACTCCGACAATTGCCCACTCTCACGCCTCTGGATGCCTCTAGCGAGGAGAAGGACACAAGCACCAGTCGCCCACGCTCATCCGCTCCCCAACCCTCCACTCGTAGCGCTGGCCGTGATGCAATGAGCATGTCATCAGACTGCGCTCTACAAACGCCCAAGGGCGTGTCCCCATCTACCCATCGACGCCAGAAGCTTAGGCAGCGGCCTTGCGCTCCTTGAAGTGCGCCTTGCGGACGGCGTCCCGGCGCTGCTTCTTGGCAAGCATGATCTGGAAGCGGTCAAAGTCGGTCGCCTCCTGCGATGTTAGCGTGTGACTCGAAAAGACAGTTTTGGGAGGGAGAGAGGCGTTTTCACTCATGTGAATGTCACGGTGGACATCGACATGATCTTACACCCCTCATCGCGCGACGCCTTGAGACGCATCACGCTAGCGTGCGATGCGATCCGACAGGCGCCGCTCCTCCCGCACCGCCAATTGCAGTGCTCGGCGCAGCTCACCTTGCGGACCTGGCGGGCCTCGAGCTTCTTGGCCCAGGCCGAGGCAGCCCACTTCTCAGCGACACCCGACTTGTCGAACGCCTTCTTGACGGCGCCGGAGCCAGCGCCACGGGGAAGCTTGGCGATGGTGTAGGGGGTGAGGATGAGCTTGCGGTAGGGGAAGGCCTGGCGGGCGACCGAGGTCGAGGGGCCGTCGATAAGCGCGCGGTTGTGGTCAATGATCTCGGCGATCACGGCGAGCTTGCCGGCGGACGGGCCGTCGTTAACAAGAACGACACGGCCGACCTCGACGAAACGCTTGAAGGTAGAGGGCTGCGAAGACTGGGGTTAGCTATTGCGGCTTTCTTGTTGACACGACACGACAGCTTGACAGCGGTTTGGCGCGGCGAACTCGACTCGACTCGGGCTGGGACTTGCGGACGAAGCGGAACGGGCGCGCGCACTCTCCTACTCTCTTCTCGCCATCTCCTCTCCTTCCCTCTCTGCCATCCTTCCCTTCCCTCCTTGCGCACTCCGCCAACTCCCCCCAATGCGCGCACCCATCGCGCCCGCTATCCTGCCGTCCGCGAGTGTGTCGATCGCGAGGAGTGCCCGAGTCGAGTGCGCGCGTGCCGATGCTGTCGTCGCTGTCGTCGATGGGACTCACCATGGCGTCCACTCTATCAGCTTTTGTGCTTGATGGTTGATACAACCCGGATGGCCGTTGACCTTGGATGGGACGGCGAATCGCTCGTGCCACGTGCGCTGGACGATGGGGCCAGCGTTGGGGCGGGACCAATTCCATGGCTTAACACCGATGAATTTCTACGATTTGGTGCCTGTCAGTTTGAGTCCGTGAATGATGACGTCAGGTAGCTGTGGGCGATCTTTGCGATGTGAGGCGTGCGCGCGCGGGCCCTTCTTCTGCTCTCCTTCCATTGCAGAGAGTGGGATAACAATCAGGACATGTGATGACACGTCCGATCTGAATTCGCAAGGTCGCGCGTGACTCTCAGCCTCTGACTCGATTCAGCGCCTCTTGCGATCACTCAAAGCCTCAAGCCAAACTTAAGAGGCTCATCCCGATGCAGGCTCCGCCTTTATGCCCAGTTGCCTTGATGTTCTTCACCAATGGATCTAGGCGTTGGGTGCTGGGCGCTGGGCGCTGGGCGCTGAGCTCTCTGGGCGGCGGTGCACGTCCGTTGCACGTGACGATCCCGCAGTTGATGCCATTCATACCTCTTACGCATTCCTTTGCAACCTCGACGGCTCGCCTCGCTCGTTTCGAGGCTGACCACGGTCCGATTAGGCGTCGAGAATCTGGATAATGCTATCGACGGATGCTTGGTCGACGTCGATATGGCAGACAGGTGATGCAGCGACGAAGGCACTGTGACCTATTTCCGTCTGAACAGTTCCAAATGTCTCGGCCGTTGTGACGGAGCGGGATGGGCACGAGGACAGTTCAGAGCAGCTGGGCAGTTCTTCAGCCAAGTCTAGGAAGCAGCTGACGGGAGCGCCAGAGAACCGGGGCGGCCGCGCGGCCGGGGCCAAGCTTCGGCCCTCTCTAGCTGCACCATATACATTCCCCGAGCATAACGGTGGCGTGAGTGACGGCGACGACGTCAGCTCAGCAGTTAGGGGAGTACCGCGGATAAGAGTAATTGGGTTGACATGGCGCCATGACTGCCACGAAAGTATTGGCTGATGAGCTCATGGTGGTATGGTGGCGGAGAGCAAAGAATTGCCGCGAGCTGGAAGATAGCTCAACAAGCTGGCTCATGGCTCAAGCTGCAAGGTGTTGGGAGTGATGTGCCTGGTGTCATGATGAGCACTTCAGGGAAACTGGGTTGGAGAGCTGCAGAGTCGAGGTCTATCATACCAGTAGTGCTACCCTGGATCCCTGGAAACTATTCGTGCAGCCCTCGTCGTCGTTGCAGTCGTCGTCGACGATAGTGTCCTCATCATAGTCGCCCCTCCCTCGTCGTCAACATCCAGCGCCACTCACATTCCGTCTCTCACGCTCTCCTAATTCCATCAACATCTCCCCCCATCACACACACTTTGCTACTTGTCATTCTTCCACTTTCTGTCTCACCCCACAACACCCACCTTCTGCCCACCACCCGCAGATTATCCTCGTAGCCGCTAACTCGTCTCAGTTCCTGGGCACCAGGTCGACAGAACAAAGCTGCGCTATCCGTCTAGACCTCTTCTTGCATTGACCGGAGACGGACTCCCACCGATCCCACCGGCCACCGGGACGACCAACTCCAACGGCTGAGGCAGCTCGCAGCCCGCAGCTCCTAGCTCGCAGCTCGCAGCCAGCAAGTAGTCAGCAAGTCAGCATCCGGCAACCATTCACCTCGGGCGCCAAGAAGAAGAAACGGCCATACGCCGGCGGGCACCGTCATTCAAATCATCCGGATCCCTTCAACGCCCTCCCTCGGTTCCCTCCCACATCCAGGCCATCCATATCTCCCCCCGCCCTTGCTCCGCTCCCCGCCGCTCATTCGCTTTTTGCATCCCGTGCCGCCACCACCTGCGCACCCAGCCTCATCCCCTCGTGTTCGCCAAGCCCTCGGTTGCTAAGGGCCCCGCGCATCCCCGCAGTGCGCCAAGCACCGCCCGGCAATTCATCCTTCACTCCTCTCTCTCCTCCTCCATCCATCACTCCATCCACTCCATCTCTTCTTCTTCAACATCTTCCTTATCACTCGCTCCATTGATATCGTCTTCCACCTCCGCCTTTTGCTCCCTACACGAGACCCCGCCTCCGCCCCCCCCCCCCCCCCCCACTATCACCATGACCACCCCCATGTCACAAACAGCGGCCTCTCCAGCCACTATGCCAGACGCCACGACTCCCAAGGTGCGCTCCCGCCCATCTGCGGGCCTTCCCTCTGTGTTTTACTCACCCCTCCAGGTCCACCTCCGTGTCCTTATCATCTCGGGGCAATATCACGTCTACTCGTTTGAGCCCGAGACGACTGTCGGCCGTGTTGTGAGTCTCTATTTCGGGCGGGAGCACGACTCGGGTTGCCCTTGTTATGCCGATCTCCTCTAACCGGCAGAAAGAACTCATTTGGAGCATGTGGCCTTCTGGTACGTCACCTTATGAGCAGCAGCGCAAGTATGCTCAGCACGCTAACACGCAGAATGGACCGCACCAGCACAACCAACCGCCCCGTCAAGGCTCAAGGTTCTCTACTCTGGTCGAGTGCTCGCCGACGACTCCACGTTGCTTTGTGAGTGCCAGCACTGCTCGGGGCACAAGGAACGGGCGTCACAAGCATGGTCGTCGGATATGGGGTCAAGCAGGGCGAAGCGAGGTGTGGCGCAGGAATGCACCTCGACGTACCGACGTCAATGGATCGTCGCGCACCCTCTTGTTTGGATCTTGCTTGTCTCATCATACCCCTTGCTCTTCCTCCGCTGGTTGAGTTGATCCTTGCTGACCGCAGCCAACAGCCTTCCAGTTTCGGCCTCGAACGAAAACCCAACAGTCGTCCACTTGAGTGTGCGCTCTTTCAGTATCAACGAGGCAGAAGGTACGAACCTCAACCCGTAACAGCCAGCTGATCTCAGACGACAAGAAGCACAGTGTCATCAAGCGGACGGCCACCCGCTCGTCTAATCGGCCAGCACACGCCGAGGAAGAAGTTGGCGGGTGCAAGTGTGTGATCCAGTAAATCATGCCTCCACTTGGACTTCCTCCGGCATCGTTTCCGCTCCGTTATACCCCTCGTCGACGCCCCGCACATTCCATCGCCCCGTTCGGCAGCCCGATCCCGTCTTGTACCCCTTGTTTGTCTGTACGCCTCCTCCCAGTTACGAACCATCCGGTCTTCAAGCCCATCTCGACTCGTGATACACGCAGCTCTGGCTGCTTAATGCATCTCCATGAGCTCGCGGCAGCTCGCGGTGGCTCCTGGGCGCATGCTCACGCTGAACTACTGATTGACTATGCTACACACAGGGACATACACTGTCGTTACGCCTTGGGCGGTAGCGCGCAATCGGCGGCGCATGAGTGCTTGGGCAGATCTGCCTCGACGCTTTTGCCCGACGCTGGGCTGCCTTCGCGCGAGCGTCTCGCCTGCTCTGCTGGCCCCGCGCTCTCGCCAGAGGCTGGGCTGCCTACGCGTGAGCGCTTGGCTTGCTCTGCTGGCCCCGAGCTCTCGCCAGAAGCTGGGCTGCCCATGCGCGAACGCTTGGCCGGGCGGGCCGAGGATGACGAAGGCCGGAGCCCTCCATCTCCCTCGTCATCTGCGCCCTCGTTCTCGTCTCCGCCCGCCCCTTCTTCGCGCACCTCAGCTTCCTCCCCCTCCCCCGATGCCTCTGAATCCTCCGAGTCGCTCGCACTCGCACTCCCCGACACGGACTCTCCGCTCACTGTCAGCCTGACAGTCTGCCCGCTCAGGGCGAGCGCGTCACGCTCCGCCCGTGAGCGCAGCATGTGAAAGTGGGAGAGCACGCCTTCTCCCGAGACCCAGACCGCGTCTTCGGGCTTGATAGCGAGCGGCTTCTCGCCCTCGGCGCGCGGGATCTCCCATCCGAGCTCGTGGCTGAGGTAGGACACGATGCTGTCGGCGTCGCCGAGGAGGAGGATGTCGGGGCGGACGTGCGTCACGGGCGTGAGGTTGATGAAGATCTGCGGGACGGAGTGGGGGATATGTGCTGGAGTCAGCGGCGCAGCGGTGCGGCTTACACAACACTTCGCTGACAGGCGCGACTTTGAGGCTCGTACCAATAATCACGAGGAGGTCGACCTCCTCGCGGTCGCGGAAGAGGCACTCGTCGAACGCCGAGTCGAGCGCCTGCCCGAAGAACGTAATGTCAGGCTTGATGATGCCCGGCTCGCCGCGGCGCCACGGATCGAGCGCGTCCGAGTCGCTGTCGCTGTCGTACTTCCCCTTCCCCTTTTCCTTCCTGTCGCGCTTGAGCGCGGCGATCTGCGCGCGGCGCTCCGCGGCGCACGTGGGGCAGAAGGGGATGCGCTGTTCCATAATGTACTCTTCTATCGCGTGGCCGGGGACGCGCGCACGGCAGCGGAGACAGGAGGCGGTGGCGAACGAGCCGTGGCACTGGAGGACGCGGGAGACGCCGGCCTGGCTCTCGAGCGTGTCGATGTTCTGGGTGTAGTTGCGGAGGAGGACGCCGCGGTCTTCGAGCATCTTGATCCAGCGGTGGCAGGGCGAGGGCACGAAGTTGCTTGGGTAGATCTGTTTCGCGAACGAGCTGGCGTTAGCGACCTCCGAGGCTGGGGGCGCACTAGAACACCTCGGGGTGTTCGCGGAAGTATGCGATGTCGAACATCTGCTGTGGGTCGTCGAGCTCGTATTTCCCCTCGGCTTGCAGGGTCGCGTACAGCCCCGTGGCGGAGCGGAAGTCGGGGATACCGCACGACGTCGAGATGCCCGCGCCGCTGAGGACCATGATGCGGCGCGCGGAGCGCAGGAGCGCAAGCGCGTCCGCGACGCTGTTGTGCGCCGCGAGCTTGGTGCGCCGGCGGAGGATGCGGGAGAGCGCAACCTTGGCGAAGGGGAGGAGGAGGATATCCGGCGTCGACGCGGCGCGGAGGTGGCGCGGCTGGGGTCAGGTGTGTGGGGGGGATACGCACAGGCACGATGCCGAGGCTGATGAGGAGCTTGCGCAGCGTGTGCGGGCCCGCGAGGTACGTGCGGAGGAAGGTGACGAGCCCGTCCTCTTTCAGGCGCGAGACGAGCGCCGCCACTTCGGCGTCGGTGAAGCCCGCGTCGGCTGGCGTTAGCTCCCACCGCGCCGCCGCGCCGCCGCGCGCGTGGCCGCGCACCCACCTTCCTGCACGAGGAGCTCGTACTCGTCCTCCGGGAGAGACTCGTCCGACGAGAACCCTTCGCTGTCGACTTGGTATGTGTCGCCGGGGGTGACGAGGGGCGGGGAAGACGCGGAGCCGGTCGGGCTCGCGTTGGCGCTGGCGCGACCGCGAGAGGGCGCGCGTGGCGCTGCGTGCCCGGCGTCCATGGTGTCGGCGCGCGGAGGTGGAGTGCGGTCGGAGATGGACGGAAGGGGAATTCGAGTGGCGGATGGCGGCCCGGGCGAGGCGACCGTGGGTGAGTTGATGAGGGGGCCAGGGTGGCGATGGGACCGGACCTGATTCAGATCTAGAGATCCATTCTGCATTGCGTTCTGCATTCTACTTTCTGCCAGCTGCCAACTGCCAGTTGCATGCGCACGGCATTTGGATATACGCAGCCAGCTGGGTCTGCGACTCAGCTCGCAGCCGCAGCTCGCTGTAAGCGCGCACGCGTGCACTAGCCGAGCGCAGCGGACATTCGGCGGGACGGGGCCGGGCATGGCACAGGTCTCGGCACGGCTGACGCCGAATTGCTTCGATGCCCTTGACGCGCCACTCGATGCCCGCCGCCCGCCGTCCGCCGCCCGCTGAGACAGTTCGCTTCGCCCTCGTAAACTGCACGATTACGAGGGCAATGTGTCACTGACACATGTGTATTGCTGTCGCGGGGGATAGGCGAAGGGACTGGCTCGTATTGTTGATAGCGCGCAACAGGCGCTCGACGCGGTCTCATTCAGTGCTCAAAGTAAGGAGGACGGAGGGAGAGGAGCTCGAGAATCGAGGCAAAAGCGCCGTCGGATGCATCGGAGAGTGCATGGGCTGTCTGGTTGAGGATGCGGGGTATCCATCACCGACCGCTGGTGCAGCGGATTGGACGCGATTGGACGGGCGAGATGAATTTGGGACCCTGCGACAACCGGGGGCGTTGAGAATTCCAGGGGCAAGTGCGCAGGAAGAGGCGCTAGAGGCGGAATAGGATCGGATTGAGATTAGGGTAGGATTAGATGGGAGCCGAGTCGCGTGGCGGCTCAATAAGGGAAGATCGACATGCGTCAACAAGGTCGTCTGTGTCAGATGGTCAGATGGGGTGGTCAGCTGGACACTTCAGGCTGGTCAGCAGTTCATCGGCCACAGAGTCCAAGTTGGTCTTGTATTCTTTCCGGTGGGTCGGTGTAGCGCTGAACGGCATGAACGGCGATGCGGAGGGTGGCTAGCGTGGAGAGACCTGGACTGGGGCGATTGGTGTGTAGGTGATGATCCTGTGGGGTCTTGTGTGTCCTGTGCTCAACCTGTGGTCACCTGTGTGTCCTGGATCTCCGTGTCAATCCAGTCAATCCAGTCAATCCGAGGATCCGAGGATCCAAGGCCCAAGGCAATCCCCGAGCCCCGAGTGTCGCGCAGTCTATGCACAACCCTTAGCGTCTTGTAGGGTATTGCAATCTCCGTTGGCTCCGCTCCCGCGGTAGCGGTTCTCTGGTTGTCTCTCTGGTCATGATCAGTCAACATTCACGTTAGCATAGTCTCCTTGCTCTCCGAGCTAACATGCTAGCCTCCTCGGCTCCAACATGCACCTCTTTCTCTTCTTCTCCCCCCTCCAATCCTCAATTCCTCCATAATCTCACTGACAATTCACATCCCCATCATCTCCACCATCTCCACCTCGTCTAGCTCATCTTGTAAATTGGAAGATCCACAATCCACAACCCTCACAATCGACCCACGTCAACCCCTGCTTGCTCTTGGCCCTCCTCACTTTCCCCCATCGCACCATCCATCTCCCACAACGTCGCACTCGACACCTTCCACATCTCTCCCCCATCTCGCATTACCACTTTCTCCTCACTCCCCTCCTCTCCCTTCTCCTTCCACAGCGATTCGCGTGCTTTACGCCGTGCGCCAAACCCTGTCTTCGCAGGATCGCGCGCGTTACGCCCATACGCCCACTCAGCCCCACTTGCACGCTGCGCATCAGTAAATACCACACCCAATCCCCGAGGCGGTCGGACAGAAACCTTCAGGCGAAACAGGCCGCCGCCGCCTAAAGGATAACAAAGCTCGGTTGCATCTCCCGGCTCCACAAACTCGGGGCAACACAGTTACGCAGACCATTGTCATCCGCTACCGCTTTACCGGCCTATAACAAGGCGCTCACCAACCTGGCACTATAAGCGTCGTTGGGGCTGTTCCATCTGCCCTGTGCTTAGGTTGCAATTGAGGCACAACCAGAACACTTGGTGTCTGCAGCAGACCCTGCCTGTGCCGTGTGTGTGTCGTTGGACACCACAAACTCGGACTGGCTTCCACTACTCCTGCCTTGCATGTCTTGCAATCTTGCGATAATCTAATAAAACACCTACGCACGCTCGCACAACTCGCACGCACGCACGCGACAACCTTGCTTCCTTGCATACTTTGAACCGATCCGTGATCCGCAATCCCGCCATTCACCCATTGTCGCTCTCGCGCTCTCCCTTTCTCACATCTCACTTGCATCCCCCAACCTTGCTTCTCTCCCCCTCTGCGCCACTCGGACTCATCATCGCACATCGCACATCGCCCACTACTACTCATATTATCCACACATCCCCCGCGCTCCCACACCCCCTCCCCCTCCCCAACTCACATCTCTCATCGACATCATCCCTCCTCCCTCGTCGCTTCCAATTGCTCCCCTTCATCTGCCCATTCGCCCGCTTGTCACGCACAACTAGTGTCATTTACCCACCCGCCACCTGGCCACCTACGTATTTCAGGTCATTGATCGCACGCCCCACCTAAGGCGACTAGCCCTCGTCACTGGCTACTGGCAAACGATCGATGACCAAACCGAAGCGTCTCAGCCTGAGCACACAGATACACACCCAGCGTACACACGGTCCAGGATCTGGAACAGCCGTCAAGCAGTGCACACCAACTTCGTTTTAACTCTCGAGCCCGAGCCATGCAACATAAGAGCACAACAGGCTAGCCGTTGAACACTCGCGCACTCGCACCTCGGCTCCCTGTTTGAGTCACGAACCGCAACCCACACAACTCCCCCACCCCTCCCTTCGACTCGGACTCCTCCCCCGCCCGACTGATCGTGACATCTTGCTCTTCAGCCGCCCGCCCCCCAAGTATCCCCCAAGAACACACCACACCCGACAGGCCTTCCCTCCTCGCCTCCC